TGGCCATTAGGGGAGCTGCTCCGGATCTACTCCGTCAATATGGAGAAATCTGGTCGATTCGATCCGTTAGTATCTTGACTTTCAACTTCTATCACTGTGCTGTAATGTTGTATGATGTTTTTGTTTGGATATCGCATCATGCTGAACGCGTGGCCCTGGGACAACACCTCTATTCTCACCTGCATGGCTCGGCATACCGTGGCCTCTTTCTTACTCCTGACAGCTGAGACGTGCAAAAGCAAGACAAGACAATAAAAGCTATGGTATAAAGTTTAGAGCATCGCATGGGTATAGCCCTGTCGGTGCAGGGCAGAGCACGAGTATCTCGATGTCGTTCACGGGACGGAGTTTACGGATTGGTCCTCAAACGAAACAAGTGCTTTGCCAAGACCATTAAAAGGGTGTCAAAGCTATCACGACCCGGCCGAGTCGTCCGTTAGGCTGTGTTTCTCGCTCGGTACAGTAGCATCCGGCATTGCATTTGACAAGACACGGCATGAGATGAGGTTAGAAATGGCGTCGGCATCGGAGCATAGGTATCGGCATCGCGAAAAGCTTCGGGGTGGATGGTTTGATTATGATTTCGTTTATTGAGGGGGAGCCGCGCCATGAAACCCGGAGCAACTCCGTTTCTGTTCTATCTAGGGTAGATCATACTCTACAATGTCTTGATACAGTACGGATGCTTGCTCCTTCTCGTACAAACCCTGCAGCTCATCATGATCCCTCAAAAGTCAAATGTTGATCGATTGACATGGCATGATAGGCAGAACAGGGATGAGCTCTCCTTTCGATCGTAAGAGCTTATCGTCGTCCGGTGAGTGAGTCTACGCATCGACAACGACGGGTCTCTACATCATATTATAAATGCAGCTGTCAATCAAAACATTGCAAACCGTTGAACAATGATGCAACACTGCAAGCTAACGGATGTCTATCCGTTCCGTGACTCATTTACTGTCAAGCACTTGACGTCGATAGTTACGCAGCTCCCACGTGGAAATTTGGAACTCTTCGATGGCCAGAACCTGTCTTTGACAAAGGATCAGCCAGTGATGAACTCTAGAACATGATCGGCGGATGTCCGTGACGGGAAGCGCTTATCATATATCCGTAACCATAAACTCATAGTGTCGATTGACGGACCTCCGCGTCTATCATTGTCGATTGTCTATCAATCAAGATAAAATTCGCCTCTCAGACGGACACGATGTTACCGATGCGCAGGATTAACATGTGGGGTTTTACGTTCACATCTCATCGAAACACAAAACATGACATTAGTCAGGTTCAAAGAAAGAGAGATTGGCGATCACTGGGTGTGGGATTGTAAAAAGGGAAAAGACAACACATTCGTGGGATTTTTGTTCCTTTACTCGTCAGCCTGTTTGATCTCCGTTACGGCAGAATTAAGCATCGAGATGGGATGCAAGTTTTAATTAGAAGCTAGGTATGTTGTGCTGTAGATTAATTAGTGATCAATCTCACTACATCGAGATGCGACGGAGGGTTTTTTATTTTAATCAACTACAGACGACACCAAGTTTCTCCGTTCATGCCTTGTGAAACCGTTTTAAACTGGGACTGAGAGTTAGTCAAGGGGTAAAAAAGGGAGAGAAACACACAGCAGAGATGGAGGTTCAGACTAAAAGACATAAAACGGCCGCCAATTGATAGCTGTGACTGATTGACAATGACATTGGGGGATTAACATGAGATGGGATGGGAGATGGATGCGACAATCCACAATTACCCATGGGATGGATGGAAAAATACCATGTGCACACCCACGTCTGTACATCAATATCATACCGTATTGTACTGTCTAGACTATAGCCGTTACATACCGTATTTAAGTCTCTCATCTCTATCACGACGAAAAGAATGGATATTCATCAAAATCAAACTACTGTGGCTAAAAAAGACCCTTTGCCCTCTTGTCGCAGATCGATCTGGAACACCTTTTCTCATAGCCTGGCCCTTCAAGTCAAGTGATGGGAGCCACATCGAGATGAACGCCACCCGGCCGAGATCCTCCCCCCAACCTTCGATTGCCGTCCGTTATGTCTCTGCGCCGGAAGAGCCCCTGTTGGACCAATTAAATATCGCCACTGGCTGACGGTCCAGGTTTAAACTGTACTGTATCGAGATGCCAATGCCAATGGTCAATCCCTCAAATTCTCGATGATCCACATGGTCGAAAAGATTCAAGATGGCCATTGCTTGACGGTACGCGTACTGGAAAACCTCATCAGTCATGTAAGGGATCGAGACACAGTCTATTCTCATCGGAGGATTTTCCCACTAATTGTCAATCTTCGCGCCGCGGCATTCTTACTTCCACCATGGCGTTTTCTTGCAGTAACGTTATTCACTTGCTAGTCTCCCCGGACGGAAACGACGGCTTGGACCTTTTATTAATTCTTCTATTTTCTTTGTCAGACGACCACCACTCTTTTGCTTGGCAATCCCAATCCCGTTATGTTCTTACTGTGCTGAGTCTAATGCTTACTGATCTTTTCCCTTCCCTTTCATTTCCGCCCTGGTGAGGAACCAAAGCCGCAGAGGCGGAGTTCTAGACCGTCCTCCTCTTGGCAGGGTCCCTTATTTTTTAATTTTTAGGGGAGAGGGGGTGGACACTTTGATCGACCCGCTTGGACATCTAGATGAGACGAGCAGACGTGTGTTTTGCATACGATGGATGAGGTGCTTCGCTTTCGTGTTACATACCGTCTACGTCTAATCTTTGCTGCTTACGACAATTAATTACCGAGCACGAGCACGAAACAGATGTTGCATTGCAGTATGAGGGAAATTAATCACTAGATAAGACTCAACTCAAACCACTCGGGGCTTCCATCGTGAGACGTAGAAACCTTCCAGAACATACCGAGTTTATGCGCTCGGATCTCAATTTGGACATAACATCTTGCGCGAAACAGGGTCCGGTGATCTCAGGGCTGAAGCTGGCCTGAAGGGAGAAGAACATTTATGGAGCGAGTAAGCTTTTTGTTTACTTGTAAATTAAGGGTCCTTTCATCCTCCTTTTCAGCCTCCTTCCCACTAATTTAGTTCGTAAGGGGTCCTTTTGAAGAGCTTTGTCAGACCTGGAATGTAAGCTGTCTATTCATAGCTAGTAAAGAAGAACATGTACTGTATTACAGAGCACTAAAAAGCTTCCTCTTTCAAGGGTCCAATGGTCAAAGCTCGGCCAAATTGGATCTGTTCTGTTTCTGTCCAACGTCCGTGTCTTGTTTGGGTTGCTGCTTGATGCATTGTAACTGAGCACTATGCACCTGATTCCTTTTGATTCGGGTGCATTCTGAGACAAGGACATGCCTCAAGACACGATATCTCTCTCTTTGAGTAAGCGGGCTTATCCTCGCGTGATGAATGTCCCTCAGACACTTGATCAGTTATTCCATCAGTGACTTCCCTCAGATCATGGCAGCCCCCGGTAATGCCGGTACGTAGAATATGCTTGGCGCACCTGAGTTTCATTTTCCGCGTACCTGAGCACAGGCTTCCGTACGACTTCATTCCCTTTCAAACCACGATACCTGCCTGGACTCTTGTGCAGGATCAACCAGACTCCTGTCGCCGGCCCAATACGCCTCCGGAAAAAGATCGTTGTCAATAGCTTGAGACATGATACAACGTTACTCAAATTAAGGCCCTGCCGAATCCCGGCTGTTCCTGGCTAATTCGAGAGACTATCGCCATAACGCCAACGTGCTATACCTATTTCCCGTGAGGCCTTCTCCGTTTTTGCCTTGGCCACCCAATGACAATGAGCAGACCACACGGAAACTTCCATGCCAGACCTCATTGGCGTGTTACTGTCCCTTGTAGGAAACTGCTCGGAAATACCCATGATCACCACGACACAACGGTCTAGACCGCGCGGAGCCAAGAGCTGTTGTGGCTCAGGGCACGAGGACACGCAAACCCACGGTCTAGAACGGGCTGTGGCGCTGGTTCGGATGTTGCGGGAAGTGCCATCAACGGTGTTCTGTCTAAACTCAATTTAACTGTTCAACTTTATTTGACTCAGAGCGGGCCGTTTGTGAAGCCCGCCTGTACATACGCGCAAGGGGAGGAGGGTGAGATTGAGCATGAGGGAGGCTTTGTTCGAGGTTGGGTTAGGTTGCGTTGTTTGTAATTTGGCAGTCACACGAGTTAGGCCTGGGCTTGGCTTGGCTGGGCACTGTTTCTACCCCGAATGATGTTCTGCCTAGGTGATTGGGGCTGTAGCGAATGTAAATGACTGATTGTTGCGTTGAGGATAGGCCTTGTGACCTAAAATCGTCTAGGGTATGTGTTTCGAAGCTGTTGTGGCTGGGGTGATTGGTTGTGATGGGTGATGTTGTCTTTTGCACGCCCTTGAACCGTTTGTTACGATGCTCAATCTGGGTTGTTTGGTTGCAGTGACTCTCGGTGACAGTTGGGCTGTAATTTGAATCAGTTATCGTGAGGGTAAGCGCTTGGTGTTTGTTCGTCCGAAGCTTAGGAGCATGCAACAGGCAAGCTCTTGGCAAACCTCCTTCGGTGATGAAACACAACTGGACGGCACAATCTGATTGGATTTATGAGTAGAGCTGCAACAGCAGATTCAACATGTCCATCCATTACAGGCGCTTATACCATACAGCAAACTGGCTGTCATTGTAGTTTGAGGGTTGGGTGTTGATGCTGTCTGATCTGTACTTGACTCTCGACTACCCTACACATTCCCAAACAGTGAACTCCCCACATCTTCAGTGCATTACAAACAAGACAATCTGCTTGTCCTTTTGCAAGATGTACCACATTATCAGCTTGTTAATTCTCGAAGTGATTTTGGCAGTGAATCTCCTATCGCTTAAATAGTCGCCACAGCGCTTGTGAAAGTCTCTTACTGGTCGGCCTCCCGCAGCTGGCGGATGACGTGTAAAGTGGAGGTATTCACTCCATCTCACTTCAACACCGACATTCATACATACAACATCAACACAAACAAAATGGCCAAAGAGTTCGAGCTGATAGACAACGTGCTATCCATCGCATCAACCATGGACGGAGCAGCCACCCCAACCCATTCAACCCTGACCGAAACACTCTCAGATCACATCGAGTCAGTCCCCTACCCCGGCGCTGACTTTATCATCCGTCTCCGCGACACCAACAAATACATCACCCTCGTCGGCGGTAATCTCGAACTTACCGAGGGTCTGAATCCCAAGGGTGGTTATCACTGGGAATGTATTGAAAAGGATAGATGGCTGGGTTTCCGCAACTGTGTGTCTGGGACTATCATTGGGCATAACGATCGGAAGAAATTCCATGCTCAGGCAAGCAAGCATCAGTCTTATGAGTTCTTTACGCTGCGACCGAGTCCCCAGGGTGGTTATGAGCTTTTGACCAAGCACAATTATGAGTTGTGGAGTATGGCTGTTGGGGAGGATGGGAAGACGCTGGTTGAGATCAAGGAACAAGGTGCTCTGTGGGACTTTTTGAAAGTTTGATGATCTTGTTTGGGTTGGATCGTTCGGCCATGCCATTCTTCTGTATTTGAGGGATATTGCCATGGTAGCTGTATGACTTGAGGCTTGCGTTTCGTCATGCTATGGGATTTGCAGCTGTCAGCACACGGGCGTAAGAGAAATGCCCAATAGGTATTTTGAGACAAATACGAGACTACCATCGAGACCTTTCTTACTTGGGTTATCAAGACGTACTGAGAGATGATACATAGATGATAATATTAAGTGAAGTCTTGATTCCTGGTCTAGTACTGACTTGTGCAGTTGCACTCTCGCTGCTCTACACCGTCTCTGAAAAGACCAACTCTTCAGTAACAGCCATATGGCCAAGAAACCTAATCTCTTCCTGACATTACCTGAATTTCAGTCGCTAAAACCCTAAGAGATGAAGTAGTCTATCCACTTTATGTCAATTTAGACCAACATTAGGCTAGGCACTCTCTAATCGAAGCCTCCTGCATCCCAGCATATAACTCAAACTCCTTCTTAACAAGACATCCAAGGCTCTTCTCAAAAGAATCCTGATCAGCACCCACACCGTGACTCATGCCACCATCGTCTCCCAGGTTCGAATGGAAAATGCCAGCCGCACTAACAGGTAGAAAATCTTCATACGTGATAGGTTCGACCTTTACAGCTCCAGAGCTGACAAGAGCTTCAATATCGTTTCCTTCAACGCTGGAGATGGGCTTGTATGTAAAGTATGCCAGCTTCTCTTTTCGAAGAGTCTCCATATCATCGGGAAATCTTTCAAAGATCCTGGCTAGATGCTTCTCTTTTGACTCATTTCCCGCGCTTCCTCTCCACTCATTGATGAGATCGTCATATAACTGTCGTCCTTTAGGTGTCAAAGCCATTCCACGCTGTTCAATCTCTCCAAATCTTGCTTTATGGCTTCCTCCAGTTTCTTCGCCTTCTGAAAAGGCAATGGCTTCATCAATAGCTAAGAAACTCGTCTGGCGGAGTAAAATCGGACATGCTCGTGGTGGTGGTCCTTCAATGGCGTCTTTTGCTTGCAGTCCATATCGCAGCATACGAATCTGGGCGGTTTCGATATCTAGCACACGAGGTGTAAGATGGTTGATGTGAGGGCCCTTGAAGCAGACAACATCTGCGATGAGGGGATGTGCTTTTCGGAGGGCTTTGTAGGTTTTTAAGTCGACTGTTGAGGTCTTGTGCCAGCGGAATGTCTCTAAAGCTTCTTTTATGAATTCTTCTGCTGTGCTTTCTGAGAAAGATTCTTGTGATTCAAAGAGCTCGATTAACTCGATGCATCGAGATGTGAAGATCTGACGCTTGCTCAGAATCTCAGCAGCTTTTAATCGAAGATCCTCATCCTCAATAAGTTCCAATCTCAACAAGGAAGTAAACACCCGGAAGGGATTATAAGCGAGTGCTTCTTGCGTCAAAGGGCGAAAGCAGGTAGCATGCACCGGAAGACTGGCAACGGTGAGATCATAGTAGCCGACGGGGTGCATTCCCATGACTGAGAACAGACGTCGCATCATGGATAGTTCTTCAGGTGTTCCGAGCCTGATGGCACCGTGTCTCTCTACCTCAATGCGAGGTTCTATTTGCTGGTTGTTTTTGTGGTTGATGTCTGATACGAGCTTAAGGAGGGTGCCGTACTGAGGGACTTCGCGACGGTACATGCTCGATAAGGCAGACGCGAACATGGCCCTGATGGCGTCTGGGCTGACTGAGGTTGTTGCAGTCATGTTGACGATCTTACTAGTAGAATGTGATGATAATCTGAAAGAAAAAAGAAATAAAATAAAGCAAGTATTATTTGATATACTGGGCAGATGTCTTATCGCTCAACAAGATACGAGTATCTTATCCTTTATACCTATCTACGATGTCGGTATCTCTTGGTATCTGACGCCCTTTTCTATGTAATCCAACCCACTTACAAGGGCCACAGCGAATCAAGTTACACCATCTTGTAAATTAAGCGGAGATGGAATGATAGCGTTGACAGAAACAAGTCCGTTATCTGGGGATGTGGGACCAGAAACAAGGTCACGGGGCAGCCGGTCCCGACGATACGGGAAACAGAACCCGAGCGTCGGCAAAGGATTTATGAGACTCGGCAAGTGTTGTATAAAGCCGAGACTGGCCATCATGTTTAACTCATTGGTATCATATCTTCAAAATACATCTATAGCTCAAAACCCAAGTTGACGTGGATGGCCTTGGACTGCGTGTACGCATCTAGAGCGTACTGTCCCAGCTCACGACCAATACCCGATGACTTGTATCCTCCGAAGGGAATGCCAAAGTGGGAGTCTCCAGAGGAGTTAATCCAGACCATACCGGCCTGAAGCTTGCGAGCGACCTTGTGTGCTCGAGACACCTTTTCTGTGAAGAGAGCGGCGGCAAGACCATACGAGGTGTCGTTGGCCTTGCGGATGGCCTCCTCGTCAGTGGAGAACTTGGCGATGGAAACGACAGGACCGAAGATCTCTTCCTTCATGATCTTCATGTCTTCGGTGGTCTGTTCGGGTTAGTATGCTTGCTGTGCAATTGGGGTTTGGGCACTTACGTCGGCGAAGACAGTGGGCTGGAGGAAGTATCCCTTGTCGCCGTACTTGCTACCTCCGTAGAGAAGCTTAGCACCGGACTTGCGGCCCTCTTCGATGTAGGAGAGGACGCGCTCGTGTTGCGTCTTGGAGACCTGGGGGCCTTGGACGGTTGACTCGTCGAAGGGAGAGCCGAGCTTGTCGTTCTCTTTTGTGACTTCGACGAACTTCTCGAGGAACTTGTCGTAGATATCCTCGTGGACGTAAATTCTTGAGGTAGATGTGCAGACCTATTGACAAGATTAGTGACTGAATACAGGGAATATGGATGATGGATCTCACCTCTCCCTTGTTATCCATGATACCAAAGTGGCACCACTTAACAGCCTGCTCAAGCTCTGCATCGGCGAAGACAATAGAGGGACTCTTACCACCACACTCAAGCGTGATGTTCTTCAAGTTATTCGCAGCATCCTTCATAATAGCCCGACCAGTGTTAGTACTGCCAGTAAACGCAACCTTGTCAATGTCCATATGTCCAGCAATAGCCTTTCCAGTGGAAGGACCAAGACCAGGCAGAACATTAACGACACCAGCAGGAAGGCCAGCCTCCTTGATAAGGTTGCCAAAGTATAGCGCAGACAGAGGAGTCTGCTCGGCGGGCTTGAGGATGACCGTGTTACCGCAGGCCAGAGCGGGCGCGACCTTCCAGGCGAGCATCATGAAGGGGAAGTTCCAGGGGATGATCTGGCCGCAGACTCCGAGAGGTTCTTGGAGGACGTATGCGAGCTTGGCGGGGGAGGTTTCGATGGTCTTGCCGCTGATCTTGTCGGCGGCGCCGGCGTAGTAGCGGAAGACATTGTAGGACTCGTCGAGATCGCCAGCGAGACAAGCGCTGAAGGGCTAGAGACATAGTTAGTAAGGCAGTCAATTGAAGTCGAGTAAAGTTGCTTACCTTGCCGTTGTCGAAGGCGTCGATGGCGGCGATGAGCTCACGGTCACGATCAATAAGCTCAGCGAGTTTGTAAAGGAACGCGCCTCGCTCGACGGCTGCGATCTCGGACCACTCGCCCTCAAAAGCCTTGCGCGCAGCTTGAACAGCCTTGTCGACGTCTTCTTTTGAAGCGCCCTTGAGCTTGATGACTTCTTCTTCGGTGCTGATGTTTTATGAGTGTTTGTTCTGCAGTGAGCTCTGCGGGGGGTGGGGTGCTTACTGAGGGTTTGTTACGACAAACTCATCGCCTGTAGCTGCGACAAACTCGTTGTTGATGAAAAGACCAGTGGGTTGGTCATACTTCTTGCCATTGGGCAATGAGATTTGTGTAGTTGAAGCCATTGTAAAGATTATGTGAAGGGCAGAAGGTTAGAGAATTGGAGTGTAAGCAGTCTGACGAGTTGGGGGCATCATCTTTATATGAGTGCGACACTCCAGAAGCCGGGTTTCCTCGGCGCATCAAAATGAAGCAAACAATTAAACTCCAATCAATTACCAAAATTGTAAGCTTCTATCATGAGACCGCTATGAGTTACCATAAACGGTGTAAGTAGACGAAATGTTCAAGATTGGCAAGTTTCTCGGCCAGGGCATGAGGGGAACTTTGAACCCCACGATTGCGGGGGATATCGCGACCATTCTTGTTTGGGCAACTTTTTGGACCGCTACCAACCCATAGTTTCTATCAAAGCCACGCTTTGGCCTTATCTCATGCTTGATTGGGGAATGTTTCTGGGCAAATGTTTTGCGGGGAAGGTTATGAGTATCAGGTACCGTCTTTTCAGCTTGCTGGATTAGGAATGTTGGCTGACCACTCGGTGCCGTAGTCCAAACATGATGACACTGGGCTCATCTTTGGGTTCATGATAGCCAGAGCTTCATGATTGTTGGATGCGCCAAGATTCTAAAGGGTTATTGTGTGTGTCATGCTGTGCAGTACGTGCAGTACATAAGAGGCGAGGTTGCCTCTTATGAGTATCCATACTACCAACAAAGTCCACCAGTTCGTCAAAACATCTTATCTCTTCCGTAAGACCTCTCTTCCTCCATCCTAACAACACTCATCTAAACAAATCTCTAGTCCAAACCATCACAATGTCTCACCTCACATACTACAACTACGAAGGCGTCGGCAAGACCAACAACAAAGAATACTCCTACTCCCAAGCCGTCCGCATCGGCAACACCATCAAGTGCTCCGGCCAAGGCGGCTGGGACGACCAAGGCAACATCGACAAGGAAGATCTCAAAGGCCAAATTGACCTTGCTTTCAAGAACGTCGAGAAGAACCTCAAGGACGCTGGCGCAAGAGGCTGGGCTGATGTTCACTCTGTCAGGAGCTACCACATCTCGCTCTCTGGCTCTTTTGACTTGATGGTTGAGGCTTTCCGTAAGTGGATGCCTGATCATCAGCCTACGTGGACGTGTGTTGGTGTTACTGAGTTGGGTATTCCTGGTATGATTGTTGAGATTGAGGTGGAGGCCAATATTGCGCAATAAAGCGATTGATAGGATAATAAAGCGTTCTTTTGTTCCATGAATCTCAGCATACATTTTCCCTACTTTTACAATCTAATCTCTGGTGTGTCATGAGCCATGCTATGAATAAAGTCAGTTTCTGCCCTCATGTGATAGCATCTATTTAAATTTCGAGATTAGTTTCCAAAGGTATACCATGACGAAACAGCACGTTGATGAAATCATGTTTCTCATGGAGAACAAGTATACTGAGGCGCCTCACGGTCCTGTGTGATGACCAGAAGAATAAGCTCGAAGATCTTGAAGTAAGCGAAATTAACTTGCTGTAAGTCTCAACAGGATTCGAATGCAATACTGGTCTACATCTCAGGAGGAGATCCATAAGGCAACCTGCAAAGGAAAAGACGTCACTTGTGAGACCATAGATTCTGGACCTGATGCTAGTAAGGTTGCTGTCATATTGGTGAGAAGAAGAAGCCAAAGACACTCAGCTGACCGCCAAGAATATAAGAGGCGACATAACTCCTTGAAGCCATGTCAGGTAGTTTAGACTACTATTTAGGCGACTTTGCCTCAGCGTCCTATGTCTTAGAGGACAATCTCTTTTGCCTAGTAGTCTTTAGACGATTTCTCCAACCCTCTGCATCTTTATCCTGACTCCAAGGTCATCAGAGCTGCCCATCTCTTCCCTTACGCCCAGGGAATGTTTATGGATGATATCTTTGGCAAAGGTTCTACCGGCTGTTGAGAAAGTGAAAGGAATTTTGAGACAATGAAGGCATCAGATGGATAATGGAAGCTGGAAAGAACCACCTGAACCGGCGCGATCATCTAAATATCAATCGGAAGATACACTCGTCTCGGAAGGTGTGCAACCGTTTCAATAAGCACGAAAGTGAAACGGATAGTTCAGTTAGCCGGTCTAGGAATCACATCTCCACTGAGGCATATAAACTAGCAGTCAATATCATTTCAACCTTGCACAAAATTGCTTTTCAACTCAAGAGATCCGTCCATCCCCGAGGGTAGAAGCACACTACATATACATCTGAATTAATGTAGATCGTGGTTCAAATCAACCAAGTGGATTCCGAACGTATCAAATATTTCTCGGTCTCTCCCCCCAGACGATAGATAAGCATAATGTGAATGTCGTTTCCCGTCCTTCAAGATCTCGGTGGATACCTGAATGGAATCATTCTGAAAACACTAGCTCGAAAACCATCTAGCCGCGCACAGAGCCATCGCCAAAACATATTTATAGGTAGAAATATGGAAATCTATAATCCAGCCGCATCCGAGCTCGGAGATGTGATACGATCGTCGTCCAATATGCGTAGCTCAAATCCGAGGTCAGTCAGCCTTGGCGTTTGGAATCAGCTTTGGTGCATGAGGTTGCCAGAAAAGCTGGCAATCAAGAGTCTAAACGACGAAATTACTTAGCCACTTTATCGTGATGTAGACAAAGCGTTTAGTCTGATTTATTTTGGCGCGTCTAAGCTTTAGGGGACAATTCTTCTGTCACTCAGATGTTGGCGGCTGAAGAGGCTTGGCGCCCCCTCACCTAAATGGCCAAGATGGTGTTGAACGCTGAATGAACCTCTTTTTGGCATCTGGGCTTATTCAGCTCAGGCTTACTGTGTTGGACACGTCGCAATGATTGAAACTGTCTTGGATTAGAATCTGATGTATAAATAGGTATCTTCCCGTCTTCTTGAGTGTAAGAGTAAGCATCTTAACTCTATCACGACTTCAAACAAGCGACACACACCACAACACTACACCTAAGCATCATGGCCTTCACATACGTAACCCCCCCCTCTGAGTTCCTCCAATTCCTCACCAATGCAAACCACTACTCTCAAGCCGTCGACCTCGGCAATGGCTTCGTTAAAATCTCCGGCCAAGGTGGCTTCAACGATAAGGGCGAAATGCCATCCGAGGTGAAAGATGAAGTTGAACAGGCTGTGCAAAATGTTGAGCTCATGCTCAAGGCAGCGGGGCTGCGCGGATGGGAGGACGTTTACTATGTTCGACACTATCATCTTGATATTGATGTCACGTTGCCACTTGTGACGGAGGCCATGAAGAAACGAATTCCTGATAATCGACCGGGGTCTGTCGCCACTGGGGTTCCGAGATTGGCTTTGCCGAGTATGAGGTTTGAGATTGAGGTTGATGCTAAGAAGCATACTGCATGAGGTGTTCTGGGAGAAGGCAGCGTTTAGTGGAGGAAAGTGCAGGCTGGAAAATTCATGAGTCTATTAAATAATTATGAGGGTAGCGAGTGAGTCTATACCGAAGACTGTAGGTTAGATTTAAACAAATTAATGGTGAATTTTGACCACGACAAGGTTGGAATTGACAATTTCTTCAAAAATTGAAATCTTGACCCTTCAAATGCGACTTTCCCGCGTGCAAGACAAATCTATCAAGGAAAATGAACACTTGCAACAACACATCGAGAGTATCCATAAATGCAAAAAAGCTTTCACATATGGCTTGCCGGAGTATGAATAGGCTTTTGTAGAGAAACGCGACTTGAGACGACATATCAGAGCTAAGCAAGATCTTAATGTCCCACAAGAATCACTTTGAGCTTCCAGCAGAAGCTGGGATGGTGAATGCTATGGGTTCGGGATGAAAGCCTCAATCAGAAAATGACTGAAAGTTCTGTGTTCTTAAATCTTTAGGGACCCAGGAAGCAAGGGAAATCTGATTCTGTTATCAAGAGAGTTCGTCCTTCGTCTGGTGACTCTGTTAATACCCAGTCCTTATCGAGAGTGATGTTGATAGAGACAGTAATGTTGGCGATGTGACCTCGCAACATGAACCAGTCCAGACTCCTGATGAACCACACCTGATAACGCAATGACTAGAATAAGGGGCAAGGATCAGGAAGATTGGCTTGAAGAAGCGCCCACTACCACTGGCTTTGGAGAACCGAAACCCATAATCGGCGATCCAGTAAGCACAATGATATTGGTAAATCTACCAGACATCTTGTCATTAATGCAGACTACCAGCCTTTTGGCTAGGGGATTTTCACTCATCAGGATCAACTGAAGTCACTGAATTATTGCCAAGAATTAGTCATCCCCAGGATGCTGAACTCTAGTAGCTCTCATGAAAATACTCATTTCGCGAGATAAGTGGTATCTCCTGAGACGCACTCATGCTATGCAAAATTAGGGCAGTAACATCATGATAAATCCCACTCAACTCACTACAAATATGAGGAAGTCTTGGTTACGTACTGGTAGTAAAGGAGAACGTGGCTTCTGTGCCAGTCCTTCACATGTGAGCCTGTTTAAAGCTCTAAGGCGACGTTGATTTGGGAAAAGTAAGTGCTGACTCTACATCGGCTACTTCCCAAGAAACATGCAGGAAATGCCAAGGGAAAGCATGCCGCATTACCGAGACAGGTGTGATGCCCAGCCGGCAGAATAATCGATAGTGCTCGCGTGCATACGTTGGCACAGAGTGAACATGGCTCGGGGAAGGGTGGCGAGCGGGATATGGGAGTGTCAACGTGGGATGCTTGGCAGGAGACCAGGCTGGAATCAAATGAGAGTAGTGGGAAACCGACCTTTGGTCAGAAATCCTGGGATCGGATGGTGACATGTCTAGACCGAGAGGGTTATGCATACTCCCCGATACTACACAGACCCATGCAACCCGACAACAAGGATAGCTTAGATTTCGCCCTTAAGACGAAGAGGGAGGGAAGGGGCCTGGTGGCGTCTTTTAGCCATAACTTGGCGATGAGATTCGGAAATCATCGCTTTGTACCATGGATCGACTTCAAAGTGCAAACTCGTGATGAAATTGTCGCACATTCGCAAACACAATGGCAAATGGCACCACTGAAAACCAATAACGAAAGTGTCAGGTTAGCGGTGTCTCCCTGGTCTAGATGAACTAGGTCATAGTCCTTTTCTAACAGAGACCAACACTTCATGATACCAAGCATGGGTTCCCGGTGAAGGCGCTTTGAGGCGTTTTCTGACGTGGGGGCCAAGCCGGATGGCTTTCTGGATATTCACTCTCCCGAGCGGGATTGATAACGTTGTCTTGGCTGCATATTAACTTCTGGATCAAGACATCTGCCCAGTCTGGACCGTCGGTGCTCGTCCGAGGGTCCGCGGCTGGGATATGATATTAGCATCAGGTATAATGGGGTTATGTAGCCTTGTAAAGAGGAGACTGTCAGGGTAGTAACCTGGTTATCCGCGGGATGAAGAGGAGCGATGTCGGGCTGAGACAACACCTAACCAATACCTGTGATTCTATCGCGTAAAAGTCGTTGGAATTAAGAGCTCGGGGAGATGATCTGCTATCCGAGTACACTTTGGGGCGAGTAACGCGGTCATTCCTCGGTTCAGATTGGTGGATCATCCCCCTTTGTTTCTCGGTATAATTAGAGTAATGTTGAAACTTTGACGGGGGGCCAATATCAGGGATCGTTGGGTCAAATTGGCGTCGATTGCACCATGCGTGGCCGTGAATTGTGAACACAATCTTTCAGCTACAGTTTACCAGACCCGGAAGATCGGCATATTAGCCCCAAAGCTGTCACATTTGGCGTTCTGATTTAATTGAGTCTAGAATTGGCGAGTTCAGCCCTGACAAACTATCGACTGTCTCAGTATGAATGCATGGGAAGCTACAAGGGTGGGCAGTAGTCTCACGGGGAGCTGAAGCTATTGACGAATAGATGGATAGATGTGCCAACTCGCATGCCTGAAGGGGTCCATGTTGCCGAGAATCGGCTGTATGTAAGTCTAATCTCAACTCAAAGTTAAGTGCATGAACAGGGAAGTCAAGTTATTCAGGTATAGCGGCGTGGGATTCTGGACCATCGGCCAGGCCATAGGACGTGCACCGGAAACGCAATTGTAAACGAAAATGAGCATTAATGTGTCCATCGTGAGATTGAGTCTAATGTGTTCTTATTGGGTTTGAGGTCCCTTGAGGCTGGAGACGTTGATAAACGGTAGCGCATGTGGTCCAGGATGTTCTGAGGGGAAAGTGGGGCCGAAGTGGGAGGAACGGGGAGTTGGTAGATGGGTCTTGATGAGGCCATCATGATGAATTCATTGTCTGTTGCAGAGATTTAACAGGGAAGTACTTTGCCTTGATAACATGTTCTTTCAATTAATTAGATGTTATCGTGGTAGCCATCAGAAAAGGGATACCGTGTTTATTTGAGCTTTACTCGTATTGCGACCTCTGGATTTCCGTATGTCCAGTCCATTTCATCTCCCCGAGAAAAAAGAAGCATGCATGGAACAAAAGCTCCAGGGCGGCATCGGCAGTAAAAAAACTCTCAACTCCCCGAAGTCCCCTGTAGCAACTGAAGGATCTTGATCTGTGCCCTCACCCATTTTTAATACCAATCTGTCAGCAACGCTACACAATAAAAAAGAATTACAGCGTGTTCATTCGATTCATCTCCTCTTTCTACCATGTAATATGCGTTCATTGACCATTTCTAAGCCAATTGATGATCTCACTCCAGCATCAAAGCTCCGCGCCTTCACATCAAAGCTTTGCCTTCGCTAAGCCACAACGGGTATGGCGCTATCAGCCCGCAGAGCAATCCAAGGTTGCAATTGGCTTTAGATCGATGGCGCAATCGCAGTCGATATCGTCGTGAGTCGATCTAACAGGGATTTTCACTCTTTCCAAACCTTGAATCCCATAATCTGCAAACCTTTGCGCAACAGCCAGACGTTGTATTCTTGTCGCCCAAGTTCATGAAGTGACTCTCTCAATATTCAGTCAATTCTCTAGACTCCAGACCCTTATATACCCCGCAATAAAGAATCTTCATTCTTGCGGAGACGACACGAATGTTGGTGGAGACCTTTGGCGGAGCTGTTTTGGGATAGCGACAATGACATGCTCAGATCCTGGTCAGCACGCAATGGTTCTAATGGGGCCCGCGCAGGCACACCAGCTTCTGTAGCTGCAGCGCCAGCAGCTTTTGCCGCCGCCAAAACTCCAACTCCCCACGCTTTTTCGACCAGGGCAGCTTGACGCGGGAAGCAGAGCTCTGGGCGTGAGAAAGGACAATGACCGAGACATACGAGCAGCCCCGAGGAGACACATGAACTGGCCCATGCAGAATCTGGTACAGGACAGAACACACACTTTTTTGCTTTTGGAGGTGACCAGAGATTGGTGCGCGTTGATCCTGGTACGCCTGGTCATTAACGTGCTGTGATGGGTGTACCCATAGCACAACTCCCCGTCAGAAGATGCGATTGTCGCACCCAAGGGCTGAAGGGTACAGTAATCAATCAATGGCATGGCCTAGGATGGGATGGCATGGCAGACTGGGATGACCCACCTCGGCTTAACCAGGTAGATCACCGTTATTCAGTCGCCAGTCCAGTCCAGCTCACTCAGCAATTGACGTGACTTTATCCTCATTCGGGTCGCCCTTGAACGAAATCTTAATTTATACCCCATCTCTCTCGCCTTCTGCCTCTTGTTTCCTCGTCCCATCATCCCCTCAACTCGACTGGGAACTCAACCGGACTTTACGTCGCATCCGTTCTTCAATCCTTCCACAAAACCGGGTCGACAACGAACTCCCCATAAGATCGATTCGATCTGCTCGGTTTTTACCTCAACTTTACTCCGTACCAAGCATTGAGTCGTCATACCTCCCTCGACTACTTGCCCCAACTAGGAGAAAGTCCTGCTAGCGCTGCAGCATACCCCGACGCACCGAGCGACAGTCCGAACGACGGTCCGCTATCGCCTGCATTTCGCATTTCAAAGCCCGCCAAAATACCCCGTTTCCAGTGGCCGACCACTCTCTACGACTCAAATACCCACGTTGATCATCCTTTTTGATCTCCCCGTTCTTGCATACAGTCTTCCCAACTCCCCTTCTCCTCTTCATCCATTCTTATTTTATCTCTGTCTTCGTCTTCAATTTTTATTTCGAGCGTTGTCCTTTTTTCCTCCCACACAGTCACATACACCACAAACATGTCGCAACAACCCAAGAACTCGGCCAAGACGGCCTTGGAAAAGTTCATCGGCGCCGATCACACAGAACCTGAAGAGAGAGCGCCTTCAATTACGAATGCCGACCTATACATCGAGGAGGAGCCTACCGTTGGAGAGTTTCTCAGAGAAATCACTCCTTCTGTTCATCAAGTTGGCGAATACTTTTACAACCTGTTCCCTTTTCTATCATGGGTTGGCAAATACAATTGGATTTGGTTTCTTGGTGACATGGTTGCTGGTAAGTAACTCCCCGTGCCGTTACATGGGGTATCTGCTGACACACAACTCCCCGCAGGTATCACTGTTGGTGCTGTTGTGGTTCCCCAATCCATGGCATATGCCCAGCTGGCCCAGCTTCCCGTCGAATACGGTCTGTACTCATCATTTATGGGTGTCTTGATCTACTGGTTCTTTGCTACATCCAAGGATATCACCATTGGTCCCGTCGCTGTCATGTCTCAAGTCACGGGTAACATTGTTCTGCACGCTGCAGATGCAATCCCTGATGTTCCTGGTCATGTGGTCGCTTCTGCCCTGGCTGTTGTCGTCGGTGGTATCGTCACCTTCCTCGGTCTCGCTCGACTTGGCTGGCTCGTCGAGTTCATCCCTCTGCCTTCAATCTGCGCTTTCATGACCGGTTCCGCTGTCAACATTCTCGCTGGCCAAGTCCCCAAGCTCATGGGCATCAAGGGTGTCAACACACGTCAGCCCACCTACATGGTGATCATTGACACCCTCAAGAACCTGGGTGGTACCAAGCTCGACGCCGCCATTGGTCTCTCAACTCTGGTCATGCTCTACTCCATCCGCATTTTCTGTGGCACTATGGCCAAGAAGCAGCCTCATCGCGCCAAACTGTACTTCTTCATCTCCACCCTCCGAACCGCCTTTGTCATCCTGCTCTACGTTGGTATCAGTGCTGGAATTAACATCAAGCATCGCGACAACCCCCGCATCAGCATTGTCGGCGACGTTCCCAGTGGCTTCACTCATGCTGCTGTCCCCGAGATCAACGGTTCCATCATCAGCGCCTTCGCCTCCGAGTTGCCCGCTGCTGTCATCGTCGTCCTGATTGAGCATATCTCTATTTCCAAGTCCTTCGGCCGTGTTAACAACTACGTTATCGATCCTTCTCAGGAGCTCGTCGCCATCGGTGTTAGCAACCTTCTCGGTCCCTTCCTGGGTGCCTACCCCGCCACTGGATCATTCTCTCGTACCGCTATCAAGTCCAAGGCTGGTGTTCGCACTCCCTTCGCCGGTGTCATTACTGCCGTTGTCGTCCTGCTTGCTCTTTACGCCTTGACTTCCGTCTTCTTTTACATTCCCAATGCTGGTCTTGCTGGTGTCATCATCCATGCCGTCGGAGATGTCATTACTCCTCCCAAGGTCGTCTACCAATTCTGGCGCGTCTCTCCCATTGAGGTCATCATCTTCTTCGCCGGCGTCCTCGTCACCATATTCAGCTCTATCGAGAACGGTATCTACACCACAATCGCCATGTCCGCTGCTGTTGTTGTGTTCCGTCTCTTCAAGGCTCGCGGTCGCTTCCTCGGCGTCGTCCGCGTCCGAACCATGAAGGCCAACGTTAGCGACGGTACTGCTAGTCCCGGCTCAATTGATGAGGGTGAAAGTTCTCTTCGCGCTGGCTTCCTTCCTCTTGACCACGGCAACGGTGCCAACCCCAAGGTCGTCGTTCGCACTCCTTACCCCGGTGTCTTCATCTACCGATTCGCTGAAGGCTTCAACTACCCCAACGCTTCTCACTACCTCAACCAGCTTACCGAGACCATCTTTGCCGAATGCCGACGAACCAACCCTGCCCTCCTGGGCAAGCTTGGAGACCGACCTTGGAACGACCGCGAACCCCGTCACATCAAGCAAGTCGAGAACGATGAGCGACCCATTCTCAAGGCTATTATCCTCGACTTTTCCAGTGTCAACAACGTCGATGTTACATCTATCCAGGCCCTGATTGATGTCCGCAACCAACTCGACAAGTTCGCTGCCCCCGAGGTCGTCGACTGGCACTTTGCCAACATTGAGAACCGATGGACGAAGCGTGCTCTGGCTGCTGCTGGCTTTGGCTTCCGTACTCCCCGCGCCGGAAATGACTCCGCCGGTCACTGGAAGGCCATCTTCTCCATTGCCGACCTCGGTGGTGATGATAGCGCCGCTACTGCCGCCGCTATCGACGAGAAGGCCAAAAACACACCCATGCGCCAGGACATCGAAGCCGTGGAGGACTCCATCAACAGCGCATCATCCGAGAAGCTACCAAGAGACCCCACCAGCACCCGCCTCGTCGCTGTCGGTGGTCTCAACCGACCATACTTCCACCTCGATCTTCAAGAAGCTGTCGACGCGGCTGTGTCCGCCGCCGAGCTCAAGCAGCACTAAAAAGTGTTATGATATTTTAATATTTAGGCATTGGCGTTTTCTGGGAGTTCATTTTATGTCACATTTGTTTTGGAGAAGTTTATGATCGGCCAGCTGGGCGATACTCATGTCTATACCCGATTTAGTTTGATGGTTTACATTGGTGGATGGAGATTTAGGGCCCTGCTGTAGGCGGTGGCATATAAATGACAATGATGACTTTTACTTCAAATACTTTGCTCTTTATTCGTGATTGTGTACATGAAGGTCTGCAATGCTTCGCACGTCTCACCCATAGGAAGAACCGGCCGCTAAGAGCCTAAGAGACGAAATGATGTGGGAACCTTATGATATCTTAGAGTAGCTTTTAGGAAACCTTGTTTTTATTTAGCGCCCTAAGCCTTAGACGATGATCTTCCCCTTATTCCCCGATACCTAACGGATGTGAATCTGCTGCTGGCATGAGTAGATGGCTCCATTAATACAGATGGTTCACTAGAACTTGATGCTTGATACCAGTAGTGCCTTGGGTAGATACCAAGCCCAGCCGCGCCGCCCCTGTTCTTCTTCTTTTTGTTCTTAGCGCCCTCTGTCCTTCTTCTCGGCGCCTCTTCCCGTTTTTGTTCCTGTTCTCCTTCTTGCCCTTCTTGTTCTTCATTTTCCTGGCAACCCCGGAAGGGGTTGTTGGGGAAGGCGTTGGAGTTACACTTTCACCAAAACCCCATCCAAAGTTACCAAGAAGGCTAACTCGATGCCTATGCTGTCCAGGGTTGGCTCTAGTACTGAGTTGGTCGCTGATCCGGGAAGGACCACTCTCCTCCACGATGGTCATCATGCCGGCTAAAATGATTAGTCGTCGGGCCCAGAAGGGAGTAGAATCAGCTCACGACCATTTCGGCAGTCACACGAGAGGTGGTTGTACTTCCCACAATCACATTTCGGACGCTTGTTCTTCTGGCCTTATGTTTCGAGGCAGTCTCATTCGACGCAGGGAGAACCCCACCTGGTTTGAAGTTAGTAAACAGGTATTGATATGCAGTTTCGGATGAAAGATATGTGGCAGTGGGTGACGCGGGTGGGTAACAGAAGAATTGTCCTCTAAGGCTTAGGATATCAGAATAAAGCAGCCTAAATGCTAGTCTAATATAGCATAAAATAACTAAATTCATTTCGTCCCTTAGGCCTTCGGGGATGATTCTTCCGTTTGACGGAGAGGTCAAGTATTTGAGTCGATCGATACGTACCGCATAGATGGGAAGCTATGAACCACAAGTTAGCTTCTGAAAATAATCATAATATCGTGACATGTACTTACAGTTGAAGTCATGAAGGAAAGAAAAAAGAAATAAAGATGGTATGGTATTTTATCTACAAAGGTTAGCAGTTGAAAACAATTGTAGTATTGTGACACGCACTCCTAAACGCTGCCGCTATGCTTGAGCGTGTACTTTGGCTTGCATCGCAAGAGTATCATAGCTTTCCATGATCTCGCCAGCCTGTCAACATACGACTGCCAAAAGGAAGGGTCACTGTTACAAAGGTAACAGTGACTTCGGGCTATCAGGCATTGTCGAAGCAAAAGGAAGATCGCGAAATTGGTTGGCAGGGATGAGAAGGAAGAGATTTTCCTTGAGGAAGGAAAGTCGAGAAAAGAGAGAGGGAGAAGAAGAGAAGGAGAAAGAGGGGCTCAGCGCGAAGAGGTGCGCGCAGGTGGCGGTTCGCAGCTGCCAGTTGGTGACGGCTGGCAGGCAGTGACAAATAGGCAGGTATCTTTGCCCTTTCCTCAGATACCATAAAGTGACCAAATTATGTCATCTCTTAGGCCTATCCTTTTAGACTACTTCTTTTGATACCCTGAGGCCCCTTCGTACACAAAACAACATACTAGACAGTATAACGTTTCCATCGCCTCACCACCGCCTCACCATCACTCATCATGACACAGAACATCGACGTCCTCGAGTTCAGAAAGGCCTTCAATAGAACCTTGAAGCGAACTGTGGACGGAACACACGGAACACACTGGCCGCACATGTGCTTCCTGCAGAACAGACCTCCGAGGTATGGGTATGAAGATCTGCCTTGCATATACCCAGCTTGCACAAAGAAAGATAAAGACCATTGGGGCATTCAATACTGCGTCAGCATCCGCCCGCCAATGTTTGGCAGTGACATACACAAACCAAGTAGGTCATTCAGTCATGCCTCATCCTTTCACCGTTACCAACTAACCAATGCAGATCTATTCCACCTTAAATGTTTCGGCCTGGTCGCCGACCTTTCCTACCTCCCGCATCTTCATCGACTTTGGCCACTGAATCATTTGACATGGCAGCGGGCAGATATGTCACTCAAGAAAAACAACATCAGACAGTTCCTTCAACCAGCTGCTCAGCGTCTGTTACAGGATTTCAAGGGGACGTACTACGATTGGTGTGCGGAACAGGCGGGAGTGCCACGCAAACCCGAAGGCCCGAGTCATCCTGATGATGTTGCTCTTAAGCGCGAAGAGTCTTTCAGCGATCGATTGCCCAAAAATCCACAAAGACCGCGAGACTTCGAACTGATGGACGTCATGCTGGAATAGGCTCTTCAGCAGGTGAGCTCAAATCCATCATAGCATCGCAAGTACTAACCCAAGTGACTAGGACCAGAAGTATGTAGACAGGGCTGACGAACATTTAAACGGCCTCCTATACGGCGACGTCGACTGGCGCTGGTTTTTTCAAGACAACTTTGCCCACTGGACGACTGTCAATATCAATTTCGACCCCGAGAAGCCATTGCCGGAGGAAATGGAAAGATTGGTCACTCTCAGCCCTATTAGACTACTTGATATGATGAAAACGGCACGTTAGTCTTCAAGTGGTAGTGTTACTGTAAAAAGATGGAAAAAACCATTGATTAGCGTTTGTATTTTATTGGTAAAAGAAACTGATAAGAATAAACAAGAGTTACTATAATCAACGCAGCCCAAACACCAATCCATGCAGCAATGTCATAAGCCATATCCATCATGCCATTTACAAAATCAAGAGACTTCCCAGCATGCCAGAGACAAACACCATACCAAGGCTAGCAGCAATCCTGAAAGCATCCGACTGTGCAGCATCAGCAGATGAATCGCCATCTGAGGCCGAGCTTGCGTCAGTCTCTTCCGCGTCGTCGTCGGAGTCAGTGCTCTGAGGTCGGAAGGGCTTGACGGCGCGGGTGCTACCGCTGCGAGATGTGCTGGTTTCTTCGGTGTCGGTGTCTGAGGGAGAGCCAGAGTCCGTGGCCAGAATCTCCTCGGTTTCTGTGGGCGTGGACTTGCCGGTGTGATTGGCACTTCCTTGACCTGAGCAGGCAGGGTCGTTGGAAGCAGCGTCGCCTTCGCATGCTGCGCCGGTGTTGGCCGGGGCGTCGTTGTCTGCGGGTGAAGCGCCGGGCTTAGAGTCATCGCTTGAACCAGACGACTCGCCATCATCGCTGGAGCCGCCGCTGGAGTCACCATCACTGCCCTTACCGCCGTCGTCACTACCAGCTTCATCACCAGCAGGCTTGTCACCTTCACTAGGCTTATCGCCCTTACTAGGCTGGTTCTGAGGCGGAACGGTAGGAGGAGCAGGTGGCGCAGTAGTAGGAACCGCAAGCTTACCATCCGAGACCTGGCTGACAGGAGGAGCAGTAATGATAGGCAATTCCATATCATCACAAGGCGTCGTGCGAACTTGAACCTGTCCATCACCAATCTGACACATCGGCACAGCAATCGTTGTAGGAACCTCCTTCGTCGTACCATCCGAGACAACAGTCACGACAGTAGTAGCGACAACACTGCTTCCCACGATTCTCTTCTTAGGCGCTGTCTTGGAGTCACTTCCCTTACCGCAAGGCATGACGCCGAACTCGACAGGCTCGCATTGCTCTGCCCAGTTGCGGTCGTACAGGTTGTAGAAGTCACCGGATTGGCATTGCCAGAAGATTGCCGAGCCACCCAGAGCGAGGGTGCCGTTTGAGCAGACTGAGAAGCCAGAGGTGTAGATTGCGCCTGATTGAGCGGGCTTGTCGAACTGGAATTGGTAGCTGTCGGAAATATAACCTGTGCGATCTTGAGCGTCTTTGAGGACACCGTCATCCAGGGTGAGGACGAGGACGCCTTCACCATTGCATGAGCGCTTCTATGGTCTGTTAGTTGATGTAATCTGATTAGTGGAATTGCGTCGACTTACCTCGCTGAGACCGCGCTTTTCGTTACCAGGTTTGAAGATTGTGACTTCAAATTTGCCGCTGTATGATGATGTGCATCCTTTTGGAGGGCCCTCTTTGGGGCTGATGTCTTCTGTTACGGCTTGGGGGACAGCAAAGGCTGTGGCGGCAAGGGCCAGGAGGGCGAAAGAGGTTCGCATTGTGGTGAGATGTGTGATGATATGCGATAGCAGACTGAGATCAAGGAAAGGCAGTGAGTAACCTTTGGTGTCTTAATGCAGGTTGTAAAGTGATGATGAGTTTGGTCAATGATGAGAGAAGACCTGCTTGATATACATATCAACCACCCTGCAACAACGTTCTGGAACGCCATATTCTCCTCCTTCTATCTATTGATACTCTACAGAATCTGCATTGTTCGCTTAGCAAGACACGCCAACCCGTGTGGTTGGGACTATTCCCCGGGTCCAGAGAACAATGCGATAACCATTAAAACGCTTTCCCGGGAGTCGCGCATACCATTGGTAATGCAGGGAGAGATACGTCGTGCTGAAGTGTGGTTGGACCTGCAGAGGACAGCTGATGAAACGCACTAAAAGTTGTAAAGCTGGCATCAACTGGAATTTGAATGTATCAATTTAGAAGACAGCGTGTTTTAGGGAGGCAAGTTGGAATGGAAGGAATGAAGGAGGTTAAGAAGACGTGATGTCTCACTTTAATGGCCTAATGTCTCGAGGGATGGGCCCGGATTGAGAAGTGTTCGCCTTCCCGAGCAATGCTCAAGACGACCTTCAAAGCAATTATTGATGGTTTCTATCAATAGACCTTTACCGAATAGTCTCTAAACACTGAATAATTCAATAATGCATAAGGTGGTGTCATTGAGAGGGCCTTCTCAATAGATGAATATCGCACCAAACCCTCTGCATTTACCTGATACATTTGGCCAAGAATAGTTCCACGGTTGCCATAAAGCACGGAAACCAAATTGTCTTTCGGTAAAAACTTGCGTTTTCGTGTCCCATAAATCGAGGCCTTGCCGAAATCCGAGTTGAGGCTGTCGCGATGCTCTGATCTTCAGGGGTGATGCAAGGGAGTGGCGCTGAGACATACCCAACCCTCGCGACAAGGGCCAAACACGATATCCCGCCATCTTACAGGGTAACTTAGGAATGTGGCGATTAACAAAGAGGTTTGTGAATTACATTGTTCAGCTGAGTACCTTGCTGGATTGGCTTACGCGACTAAGGTTGGGAGTGGGCTGGATGCTCAAATAGACTTCGAGGCAGACAACACAACGAACTCTATCCAAGACAAAAAAGAGAAAGGAATAGCATTACCAAACCAAGGATTCGAACCAAGATCTGCCCTGCCCCCGAAGGGCTCGTTGTAGACGAGTGACCTCACAGCTATGTTTCCAATTACACCAGTTTAGCTTTGTTTTTGCTTTTCATTCGTAAAAACTGTCTTGTATATCCAGCTCCCCACAATTTTACAGTTCATAAATCCTCGAGAATCTTGTCTAAAGTCTCCACCAACAGTGGCGGGTTCGTCTGATGAGGCGAGTGGCCTGTATCAAGCTCGAAGACTGGCACACTCCGACCACCATGCTCCTCAAGCTGTGATATAAACTTCTCCTGGGCAGCTTCTGGTACAAGTATATCCTTCTTAGTGAGGATCCAGCTTGATGGGATGAGCTTATGGAATCCATCGTAGGTCTGTTCATCGCCGAACACCCGGACGGCCTGATAGAGTTTGGATGCGGCTTGAGCTAGAGGTAGGCCTTGTTCTTTTGTGAGGTCGCTGTAGAAGCACATTGCTGTGTCTTCGTCACATAAGAGATAGTCGCCCTGTAGTATTCAAGTCAGCCTTTATTCACATCCTGCAGCAATGTTGACTTACTTCTTTGCGAGGATAGCGACCGGGATTAGCATCATACAACCCCCGAGTACTTCTCCCCGGCGGCGCAAAAATAGAAGCCAAGAACACCATCCGAACAATCCCTCCTTTCAAACCATTTTTCTCCCGCTCAACACAGCTCAGGCCGCGTGTAGCTTCCGTCCCAACCATTCCTCCATAAGAGTGCATAAGAAGCACTACATCCTTGCCCTGATCGATATGCTTGTTAAGTACTGACGAAACTTCTTTTACATCATCAGCTAAACCTGGTGCTGGATCGATAGGTTCTTCCCGTGAGGATCTGAGACCGACTACTTCGACGGGATATCCCTTGTCTTGAACTGATTTTTGGATCGTGCTCCAGAAACGTGGGAGGCTGAAGTTGCCGGGGATGATGATTAGAGAAGGCTTCACAGCTGTGCGTAAGGGAGCGATGATTTGAGACCTGGCGAGATAATGAAGAGATGCGGATTGAAAGGGGGGAAGAGACTGTTTAGTATTCTTGAAGGATTCTCAACAACCCAGCTTATGCGAGGAAGTGACTGATATCACGTCAGCACTTATAAGGTCTAATAGACTGGTTGGGGTCATTCCAGGATGACAAAGCTTTATAAAGTCAAATGAAATAGCTTGAAGGAACCTCTTCAAATCATGATTGCCTTTGAATCATTCCACTTATGCAGGCTAATTCTACGTAAAGCACAGAAAGAAAAAGGAAAAAGATCAACACCCGTAATCAACGCAATTAGTTACGGTATGAAATCGAAAAGAAGAATACTGGAAAAACAGGTAAAAATGCAAAAAGAGAAGGTATAATAGCGGGATTAAACCGCCTAAGATGGACGAACAGGGAATCGAACCCTGGACCACTCCCAGATTATTCGGATGAATTATGCTAAGGGAGTATTATACCACTAAACCATTCGCCCGATTTTAGATGTTAATCGCTCTGCAATTACTGTACACAACCTGTCAGATCACAGTTGCATTGCAGAGTTACATTGAACCGGAACTTTTAGCCCGGAGTTGTTCTGCGATTGGCTGGAGAATACCTTGCAATTGGACTTCACGGAGCAACAACTCCAGCCAAAGGATCATATCACAGTATTCATCAGGTCTTCAGGCATCAGATATTTTCATTCATAACTTCGTCTTAATAGCAGATGATCGTTCACTTCTAACGACATCTCGCATCAGCCCTGTCAATCATTCCCAATCCCTTCAACGCCGCCGCTTATCATCAACATTCATTCATTCATTCTCAACAAACTTACTCCACATCCTTCATGAGCTCACTATCCTTGTCAAGTTTCGTCCACTTGTCCTTTCCATCAGGAATGTCGACTACTCGTGATTTGTAGAAAATGTGGCATCTATACTATGTTAGAGCTCGTGTAAATATCGATAGAGAGGGACATACTGAGGCTGGAAGTTTTCTCGAAGCTGAGGAGTGTCGAGGTTTAGGAGTGTAGGGAAGAGAAGAACCATGTTTCGTCCTTCGTCCATGATCCAGCTTCCGCACTCGGCGCAGCCGACTTTGCAAGGAAGGACGTGCTCGTTCTTCTTGGATGAGGTCTTGTAGAAACGGAGGTTCTTGACACCATTTTCAAACGCTGGAGTAGTCAGTAAATATCATGATATGATCTGTGAAGCATAGACATACCAAGGTCGGTTTTCTTGAAAATAGCAGCCCATTGGAAAGGAGCACCTGAGATCTGTTAGCCCGCCGATCGGTGTTGAAGCTAGTGGAGTTCGATCTGAGATCGATAAAGTGGATCATACCGTGGATTTTCTTGCAGTCGATGCAATGACAATACTTGGAAGCAAGAGGTTTGTCGCTGTTCAGCCAGTACTGAACTCGTCCGCAGTGACAAGACCCGTGAACTTTCTTTTCAAAGTTCTCTCGCTTCTCGGTAGCTTCATCGGGTCTCATGTATGGAGGCTGAGTCTCCCAGTCGTCATGGTTATCATGAGCGAACTCATGCTGGTGGTTCTCCATGTGCTTCTTATCATCATCTTCGGAACCCATTTTGGCGATTTGCTTGGTAATGAATAGTAAACAAAGTGTGAAAGTCAGATAGAGTTGTATGTAGATTCAGAAATAATCTGGAGTCTTTGTAGTGTCGCGTGCCTTCTGTGGCGCATCCTGTCGTCATAGATATATCAACATGACAAACTCCTAAATGACCCTCATATTCTCCTCCCCTGCATCAGAATCACAGTTCAACATGTCATTGATCATCTCGGCCCACTTCCACGGCTCGGAGCTTTGCTCCGTCCTCGCATTATAGTACTCCCAGCCCATGACGCCTCCAATCCGGGGATACCTCCTCACCAACTCTGCGAGACACTGTCGCAGTTTTGCTTCTTCGACATGACCTGAACAATTCGATGGGTTGGTTACCAGCCCGATGACCACTTTTTCCTGCGGCCATCCGCGCGCGATGATTCTGTCGTAGTCGTGCGGTTTGCTCATGTCACCCCAGCCGCAGTAGAATTGCGTGTTGTACCATGCTATGCGCGATCCCAGACCCTTTTCCAGCTCTTCCATGTTGAAGCCGCCTAGATTTTGTTCATTGCGGAGCGCTGGTGCGACGGGCGCGAGGGTTACGAGGAAGGATTGACCAAAGTCGGTTTTAAGATGGTCAATCAACCGAATTACGCCGCCGAGGGACATTGCTTCTTCGATATCGAGGTCTAAACCGTTGAAGCCTGCCCATGCGATCATTTTGCGCAGTGGCTGGTACCATCTGTGGAAACCTTCAAGAGACCCGTCGAGTTTTGTGTACGAGCCTTGTGCTGCACCTCCCAGCATACCCAGAACTTTTGTTCCTGCTGCTTGAAGCTGTCGGACTTCATCCCAGAGAGGAATGAATTTATCTGAATCGTAGAGGTCATTGTTGAGCGTGATGCGCGTGGGCGAGTTGAGATGAATGGCCGCGATGATGACGTGGGTGACACCTGCGCCCGGGAGAATAGTGGGCTGAAGGGAGATATATCTATCCTCTTTGTAATGAGTCTGATGGTAAAAAATGATTCGCTTGTAAGGCTTTTCCTCAACACCAGATTCATTCTTTTTGACGAGCATTTTGACTATGGTTTAATTGATGATGAGTCGGAAAAGGCGGAGGTTGGGAGTGAGCTGGCGACAAGGATTATAGCTCGGCGTCGCCTTAGTCACCAGCCTCATCAACATTCCAAAAGAAAACTCTCAGAGTCAACTTGAGTTTCCTGTAAGCTACATTTTAGCCAATGATACCAGAAAGTTTGTTACTTAATTTGAGTAAAAGATGAACGGCCGAGGGACTGTATCAAGTGACCAAAGTCTTTCAATTCGTATATCCTGAAATCAGGTTTCTATATCTTGTCAATCTATATACCAGAATTTGATATCTCCAGAGTCCCTTTTGACCAGAAGGATTATTCGAGAACTCTATAAACAGGATACTCATCCCCAACCTCCAAAGGAATAATATTAGCGCTAGCATAAGAATCAATGTTCTCAGGCTCAAGCGCAACAAACGCCAAACCAGCATTCTTCTGACGCGTGCTAACAAGGAAACTTCCAGCAGGAACCTTGACCTCCTTCTCCTTGACCTCTGTAGTAATAGTAGCAAGAACAACTCCCTCGTAGTACGAGTTGCTGAGCTCAGCAGAAGTAACGTTCAGAGCTTCAACGGTGCCGCTCCAGGGCTTATTCAGCTTCTCGACTTCGAGACCGGAAACTCGGAGACGCTCAGCAAGGCCGGACCAAGCGACGGGGATGAGGTAGGATTCAGGACGAGATCGGGTCAAGTTGGCGGTGACGGGTGTTGTGGAAGCGAATTGGATGGGGACTTCGACAATAGAGCCGTTGGTTGCGTCAACCATTATGAAAAGACGCTCGCTGACTTCAGTGTAATCGGTGATGATAATATCTTCCTTGGAATCGATAAAGTCACTGATACCGCCCTCGATTGTCTTGAAGACCTTCTCAGCGTTGAAGGCAGCTGACTCGATGATGGAGCTGGCCATAGTCAAGGCAGAGGCGGTTCGGCGTTGAAATTCCTGGTCAGCCAGACCAATGCCTCGCGTTTCGCAGAGGAAAGTAATGCATTGAGTCAGACCCATGGCATTGCGGCCGATCTTGGCGTCTGATCCAGCCTCGTTGAATCTGAGATTCTGTTAGCAAAGTCATGATGGAATAGCAGGGTGAACTTACAGAGGGACATAACCAGGCGTAGAGTTGGTTCGGCCAGTAACATAAGGCTCCCACCTCAAACCAGCCTTCTCCAAATCATCACCAATATTCTTAGCAAACAACTCCTCCGAAAGCTTCCGAATATCCTCATTGATATTCAAATTCTTGGCCGCAGAAAAAAGTCCATCCGAAGCCTGTACATAATTTCCATATCTGGAAGACGAGCCATACTCATGCATGTCAATAGCAACATGCGGCGAAAACTCCGTGAAAAACTTCTTAATCTCACGAGTCTGCTGACGGGCAAGTTTAATGTGATCACGGTTGGGATCGTAGTTAGTCGCCAACGTGCGCTGGAAGTAGTACACGCCGTCGGGGTTGTAGCGTGGCATGAGAACAATGTCAGCGTCTTTGAGAACCTTGGATGCCCAGTCGGGATGTTTGTCGAATTTGCCGAGGAGGGCCATGAGGGACTCATCGCCTGCTGGTTCGTTGCCGTGGACGGCGCCTTGGACGAAGATTCGGACTTTGTTTGATCTTGCGCGAGTCTTGGCTTGTGAGAGTCTGACGTAGGGGAATGAGCGGGCTTCCTCTGAGGTGAAGTTTGCTGTGTGGTAGGTCATGTAATCGTTCTTGGAAGCGATTTCCTCCATGTATGCCTCTATTATCAATCAGTATAGCTTCAACCAGATTTAGTTTAAGAAACATACCCATATCCTCATGAGAAGTAGGCCCTTGGGTGCCATTGCTAAAACCGGCCTGTCTGTTATCCGGGGTCAGGAAAGCAGGCGACAAGAGCTCAATGTCAACATCCTCAAAGTTAGCAGCCACCAAGTCCGAATCAGGCCGAACAGGAACATGGTTATATCCGTACTGAACAGCGTTAACAGCAGATACAGCGGACAAGCCGACGAGGCAGACGGTTTTGGACAACATCTTGGAGTACCTGGTATAAGATTGCCTGCAGATCTAAATGAGCTGGAGGGAAGAGTCCTCTTTATAGTCATCATGATGGGAAGGTAGTAGCGGTCTCTATTTGTTGACTCCGCCACGCAGATATTCCTTGATCGTCGGAGGGAACTTTGTTTAAGCATGATATTAAGCTCTTGGCGCTGGGGAGAGTAGCTTGATGAGGAAGCTGGCAAGACGAAGATAGTGGGGCATCGCAACGGTCTTGAGCGGGGTTACATCATGTATCTCATCCTTATTCCCAAGCATTATAACAATTGTAGAATAAAAAAGATTATAAGAAGATGAAGAGATCAGGGATTGATAGACTGGTGATATTTGTGTTTCGGATCGTGTAGGTTGCGATGTTGTTGTTCTGTTTGACTGCGGCCAAGACAGAACAACCTCGGCCATGCAGTGATCGACAGACGACAAGATAAGACGACAGGTTACCAAAGAAACAAGGTTCCAAGGCCTTGGGATCCGCAACATACAACCCCCGCAAAGATAGGCATCCATGGTCGGCAAAGTCCAGGTGGTTGGGTTCCCAATCGCTGAAGTATCCTGATTGTTGTGAGAAACAATAAGTACCCCGATTGGCCAGTTTTGACGAGGGCAATGATAGGAACGTTGCGAGACGTAATACGTCATAACCACCTATTGTTTCTGAGAATGCGTTCACATAAACTGAGTGCGAATCATAATCAGGAACAATGAATGATTGTTACATTCTTTCGGATGGACACAGCTGGAGCCATGGAACTGAGGATATCCACTTCTCATATCATATGAATCAGATCAGCTTATAGAAACAGATATGCAACTCAAATGCGCAACCTTATAAACAGAATTAGGGTCATCTATCATAGTACTAATTAGTCCAACAAATTGGTTGTTCGCAATAGTATTTGCAAGAATGTAACAACCGTTGAACCGTTCTTACCCTATCCTACCCTTGACTTTCCCCAGACACATGCACTATTCCAAAAAGAGTAGGCTGAAGGAGACCCAGATCTCGCGAAACCTTGTTGGGTAAGTCTATCATTAGCATATCATGAACTTCAATATCATTGGACGTTTCTCCTCACTTTGCCTGCCATATCTACAGTACAAGTGATACAAGTATAGATAGGACCCGATATCGCAATTCCAGCTGTAGACTTCTCTCTTTCATTAAACATTTGATAATATCCAAGATGAGACTTCCAGTCAGTACATTTACAAGAAGAGCATTCCGCAACAGCAGAGCTCCTGCTGTTATTTCCCGTGCATGCGTCTCAACACTTCACGCCAAGATAAACAGCCCACCACCACGAATCGTCAAAAGCCAAGGACTATGGCTAGAAACACATGAAGGACACAAAATTCTCGATGCATCTTCAGGTGCAGCTGTCGTAGCCATCGGACACAATGATTCAAGAGTTAAACAAGCTATCGCTGCTCAACTGGACCAAGTAGCGTATTGCTATAACCCTTTCTTCACCACTGAAGCGGCGGAGAAGATATGTCGTTTTCTAACAGATTCTACTGATGGGCATATGTTGAAGGTGTTTGTTGTCAGTTCAGGTGAGTGAGAATTTATCGGTGAGGCGATGAGTGTTATTGACTGGATTTAGGTACCGAGGCTGTGGAAGCAGCTTTGAAAATCGCACGGCAGTACTTTACGGAATTATCGACGCCACAACCGAATCGGACAAAGTTCATCGCACGTAAGCAATCATATCATGGAAACACGCTAGGCTCCCTGGCTGTAGGAGGGCATAAAGCTCGACGAGGTGTCTACGAACCTATCCTCGCTACGAATGTTTCTCACGTTTCCCCATGTTATCCTTATCGGGAGATGAAGCAGGGAGAGACAGAACAACAATATGTCGATCGTCTGGCCAAAGAGCTAGAGGATGAGTTTCAGCGTCTGGGACCTGATACTGTGTGTGCCTTTATTGCGGAAACAGTTTCTGGCACAGTGAGTCAACACCTCCACCGATGAATTTCGCTGACGATAGAAGTCACTGGGTTGTGCGCCGCCAGTCCCCGGGTATTTCAAAGCCATGCGAGAAGTCTGCGACCGCCACGGCGCCCTTTTGATCATGGATGAAGTCATGTCCGGCATGGGCAGAACAGGCACGCTTCATGCTTGGGAGCAAGAAGGCGTTGTTCCAGATCTACAGACCGTCGCCAAAGGTCTCGGAGCCGGATATATGCCTGTTGGCGCTTTGCTAGTCGGGAACAAAGTGGCAGATACTCTAACACAAGGATCTGGTGCTTTCTCACACAGTCAGACGTATCAGGGCCATCCTGTTGCGTGTGCTGCTGCATTTGCTGTTCAGACTGCCATGAAAGAGGACAACATGCTGCAAAATGTACAGAAGATGGGCAAGGTCTTAAGTGAGAAGCTGAAAGAGAGACTGGCGGGACATAAGAATGTTGGTGATATCAGAGGAAGAGGTCTTTACTGGGGTGTAAGTGAAACTCTACCCTTGAAGAACGTCTGCTAACAAGTCTGAAGATGGAGTTTGTGCAAGACAAGCACACCAAAAAACCATTTCCACTGAGCGAACAAATCGCCGGAAAACTGCACAAGACAGGCTTGAGTGCCGACCACGGTGTTTCGCTTATCCCAGCCACTGGAAACATTGACGGTATAAGAGGTGACATGGTCATCGTCTCACCACCCTTCGCAATCACAAGAGAAGAAGTCGACATGATAGTGGACAGGGTAGAGAAGGTTATCACATCTGTACTTGGATCTTAGTCAACCCTCTCTATTACCAACTCGTGTTCTTCACATTATAAAGGCCTGTGTCGGACCGCCCAGCAAACTCGTCCACCTCACCACCCCCTGCGAAGCCCAAATCTCCTTTACCTGCTCCACAGCCCTCAGCAAATTCCAGCACCCCGTCTTACTATGCAAAGAAACCAACTTCTCCAAAAAGAAATTCCTATGATCCTCCGTCGAACTTTCCGCCGCGATGATAAAATACGGCCAAGCAAGTAAATGCCGACCCACAATATCAACGTACGCGTCTATTTCGTTCAGGGATTGTTTGAACTCTTCTATCCGGTGGACAGTTGCTTCGGGCGGTGGGTTGAAGATAGCGCGTTGGACGTAGATATCACAGGCGAGGGTTGTTAGGTTTGCGAGTTGGGAGAGGAGGGGTTTTAGTTCGGGATGGACGCTTTCGCACCATGTTATGAATTCTAGACAGGCTCTTTGCTGGGCTTGGATGAAATGGACGCCGTTTGTTTCGTTGAAAAGAGATTCTCCAAAGAGGCAGACTCTGCAATTTGTTAGTATAAAATTCATATCCAGTTGGGAGAATTTACCTGAGAATTTGCATTTGAAGAAATCTCCTAAGATCAGAAGTCCTTCTATCTCCCTTTGCAGCAAGTGCATTAACAACAACCCTCAAAGACCCATATATCAGTTTAAAGTTATCACTCCCACTGATCATCTCGCGAATATGCAACAACAACAAAGCCGTAAGAGCAGAATCATCATCTTGAGGCGCACATTGATTCGACCTTGAAATAAGCTCTCTCACGATGGAACCGTATGCTGCTGGGTCGAGTGATACTATAGTCCCGTTTTGTAAAGAGAGATGCTGTTCGACGACGAGAAGAACTGCTTTGCGGACTAGGGGATCTGTTTCTGCTCTTGGGAGGACTAGATCGCGGTAGCCGTTGAAGCCCATGTTTATGACGGCGATGAGTTGGGCTATGTTATTTGAGACTGTGATGTGTTAGAGGATGTGAGGAGGGAGGGTTTGGGGACGCACAATATCCGAGACAGAATCTTGACTTTGGATCGACGTGATCTAGACCCCAGTCGACTGATAACGGTTTTTGATATGATACCGCCAACTCTGTTGTTTCTGTAATATCCTCCACTGTCTCGTCAATCTCATCTTCGGGGTGCCTTGTATCTTCATAGCCACTTTTCCTGAACGGATCATCCTTTCTTCGTTTATCGGGCACATCGTCCTTCTTTGCCGACTTCACCGGTCCATCGACAATTGGAATCGTCTTGCCAACGAACCTCCCTCTTGCAGCAATCCCATCGTTGAAACGATATCTTAGACCCAGACCGCTACATTTGACACCCTTGGCAACACACTTTGCGCACTCTGGCTCTTTGCGATCACAATCTATGCGTCGACGAGAGCATTGGTAACAACCTAGCAGGCTATTAGTGGTCTATGGAATAACGCGCCAATAGTGATTGCATGTTTTACCTCTAACTTTGGGTCTCTTCTTTACTTTGTCCGAGTTCGGAGTTGTACTTGGGGACATTTCTGATTGGAGTTGGTGAGTGGCGTAGTCGCAGTCACAGTCGCAGTCGCAGTCGCAGTCGCAATCTGCAATCCTTGTACACAAATTCAGTGCAGAGGCAAGCAGTACTTGAGCTTTGTGAATGGCGTTATCAAGTGGTGAGAGACTTCAGACAAGTGAGTCCTGTTATCTCGCAATCAGTAAATTTGTTATCGCGTCACGGAATGGAAGACCTCGCCCCATGTCATGATCCAAGATCCGGCTTCGCAAAGGCGGGGTAAGCTAGTCCCTAAATGGAAGTTCGACACGAGCTGGTGATAAGCGACGGCGGAGTTGAGGTCCGAACATGACTTTAGAGTAGGATATTTCTTACCAAAGCTGATTCAATTCTAACTAAGAAAGAAAGTCAAGAACTTGTCAATAATGGCTAATGCTAGTGTCCTGAGAAACTACTTTCCTCCTGTGTTACTTGCGATATAATCTTTGGGCCTGCAACCTTTCAAAGTCTATGTTCTTAGCAGGCGGTCGAAGAATAAACAGGATATAGAAGTTTATTAACAGAGTCACTTAGACTTGCTTAGGAACTAAGTTTAGAGTAGACTATCCTAAATTTTATGATACTTAGCTAAGTCTTACTTTTTCTTTAACCTTTACATCCGCTGAATACAATGAAAGTTATTACCCTTCAGCTGAATCGCAACTCTACTCTGCGTGTATTGTTTAATTTTATTATAGGTCTAATCAGAGAAACACCGAAAACTTTCACTCTACACTTTAAAATAAATACAGGCCCATCGCCCACATCAGGTTCCATTTCATTTCTCTACACATATCGTTCAACATGGCCACTCACGCCGGAGGTCACTTCAGTGCCGAGCACGAAGTTCCGATCACAGAACCTATCAAGGATACCGCCAGCCCTATTTCATATGCCCCTGCTTCTACTGGTCTTGTTTTTCTCGGGAGCGACGAGGCCGAGGAGCGGCTTCGACGTGCCAAGGAAATAGAATCGTACATGTGGCCAACTCAGTTCCGCTTCTACTGCGAAAATGTTGTGACTATTTTATTGATACCTTTGCATAAGCTTCAGAAGGGCGGCACACTATGCGCAGAGCGTCCGAGCGTCATGCCATCAAGCATTCACCAACGACTTTTGAGCGTTACTTCTCCTTTCTGCAGGCACTGTAAGTCACTCACTATATTCCATACCCTGGCATTAGCAATGGCTAATTTCTCGCAGATATGCTCCACCTCGACCCAGATAACCTGAAAGATCCAAAGTGGCAGCATGCCGTCTACAAGCTTCCTTGCCCGCAGCCGGATTCCTTGGACATGCCTTGGGAGGACTGGCAAACGCACTGTAAGGCCAGGAAGTACCGCATCCGTTTCAGAGCCAAGTCTGACCTCCCACCCGTTCTTCGCAGCACGGCCGAGGAAGCCAAGTGTCTCGACCGCGACGGTCATAACTGTGTAGTAACGGGTAAGAGCTCCCCTCGGGTCTTCTACTTTATTCCTTTTACTTGGAATGATACCGTTGAGCACATGAACGCCACAGGCTCCGTTCATGGAGGAGCCATCTTAGCGGACACTTACCTCCTGTCATGGCCGAGCCCTGCCGTCAGCGTGAGGAAGCTTGGCGCGACCCATATGGCATGGAATATGCTCTCTATCGACTCGGATCTATACAACTACCTTAAAGATGGTCTTTGTGCATTTAGATATGCCGAAGGACAGGAACAATCACTTGGCGAAGGCCGCGTCCAGGTAACCTTGAATCTCTACTGGATGCCCAAGCTCAAAGGACGGTTCGGTCAGTTGATGGATTTGGATAAGGATTGGCCTACGCTGTGTGGCGAATTGGCCAGATTCGAAAACTGTCCTCAAGAGTCTTTTCGGTACGGAAAATTGCATACAGAAGCGAAAGCGCCGGTACTATCAGGCCATACTGTCAAGGTAACCCTGTCGGAATACGACGTTACGCAGTTTAAGAATGTAGTTAAAGTGCATTGGGCTTCCATCGTCTTCGCGGCCGTTTGTGGTGCTGCTGGACGCCCTTGGCTCTTGTCGGGTGACGATCCCGAGGATGGGTCAATGATGAAGCGGCAGGACAAGGCCAGATTTGAGGAGGATCGACAGAGAGGGACCATTAGGAAGACATTGGATCTAGCAACTTCGACGATCAGTAAAGGAAAGCGTAAGATTGCTCGGTTGGCAGGTAAAAGGCTTGTTTGTCACAGCAAGAACTGAGGTGGTTACGAATAGGTAGGTTATGGAGGCCAGCAGTCCGAAAAATAACCAGGATATAGAAGTCTACTAATAAAATAATTTAGACTTTCTTAGGTACTAAGCTTAGGGTAAATTATCCTAACATTTATGATACCCTTTGCTAAGCATTGCTTTTTCTTTAATCCACCTAGGAGAATAGGAGCTCGTAACTATTGTGGCTGTAGCTAGTGTGATGTTGCTTAGGTATTTCAAACGTGGTGGTGATAGGCGATGACGGAGTTGAGGCTCCGAACATACTACGGATATGCAACATAAAACAATAAACAGATCTGTTACCAATAAATTAGAGAGGACCAATGGGACTATAAACAAGATCTGCCTCATCGTTTGACGGTGGCAGCATCTCCATCGCCTCCTCGGCGACCGCGACATCCACCGGCCCAGGAATAATATCAAGAAGATCCAAAATCGTATAGATCAACGTAACAACCCCGACAATCAAAGTCGCCAGTTGATCTCGCTCAGTAATTCGAATACCCAAGTCGGGAACATTACTCATTTCGAGTTCGAAGATGATCCAGAATGCCGGCCCAAGAGCTAATATCAGGAGAAGAACCCCATCCTTGAGAGTCTTCAGCGCCTCTCGCATCTTCTCGTCGTTTCCTTCTCTCCAAGCTGACGTGAGGAGGATAAGGTATGCAGGTATGACTGCCACTTCCAGGGCCGTCAAAACACAGGTTCCCATAAGAACCACTTGGTTGAATGCTTCCATTATGACCAGGAGGTATGCTTCTCCAAGATCGCCAGTGCTGAAATAGAAGACGCTAAGCGATAGGCTTATGTAGGTAAAGATTGCAAATATTATCAGGTAACATGGCGGCATATTTCGTAGTTTTGGAGCTGGGACCTTCTCCAATCTGATAAATAAAACGGCCAGAAGGCACAGGAACATACCCGCCGTCCATGAGACCTTGCAAGGCCCCAGAATATCAATCACACGCTGTCCCAAATCGAGTGCCTCAGGAGGGATTGCCTTCATATCTAGTGGCTCGGTACTGTAAGAATGCCCAGGAGGACCACTGTCAAGAAACGTGAGGCAGCTAATAGCAAGAGCTCGATCTTTTATTCCAATCATGCGTATGGACTGTATCATGAGATCCGTAGCGGCGAAAGCTGGATAAGCCAATGCGCCCACAAGATCGCTTGAAAGAGTTGGTTTCTTCTCATTGACGTGGCCGTAGAACCAATTTGCAAAGACGGAAGTGAGGAGCATGTACCAGCAGTAAATAGCGCCCGGGCCATATAGTCCTGTGGCGGTGTCGTAGAATTCGGGATTGTATGGAAAAAGAATGCCTGTATCGTGGCGAACAAGACCCTCTGTGATTTGAAGTTCTGGGTGTGTGTAGTTGCAAAGTGAAGCCATGGTAACTTGGAAGCTATAGCACTTGCTAGGACTGCCTGAATTTCCAAGGAAAATAGAAGGGCGATTTAATGAGGCGGAGCTCTTTTCTTAATGAAAAAAAAAGAGCATTGTGCCCTGAAAATGCCTTGTTGCACTTTGTTCGGCATCTCTCCAATAGGGACCCTTGCATCTATTAGCGCTGCGGCTGTACAGCTTCTAGCTTGGATAGAGCTGAGACATGGGCGGCAGCGCATCATCAAACCGGATTCTAGCCTCAAAAGAAAGCACAAGAAAGGATATATTTTGGTCACTATATGCCAGCTTAGACTAGCACTCAGGCTACTTTCTGGCGATAATTGTCCAAGCCTTGAAGGACAATCTTGTTACCCACCTGCCCAGTACATCTTGTCAACTGACAGTTTGATGGCGGAAGCTAACTGGAACTCGTTGTTATTATGAAGCCAAATACATCCTACTTTCCCCAAGGATCCTGCACAGCTGTGATATACGTATTTGTTCCATACGACGGCGCCCTTAATGTCCTCTGCGATCCCTCACTAAAACTATCCTGACCTTGACTTGCAACCCTAGTTGCATCCATATTAAGCCCCATCTCATCGTCGCCGCGCTGTTGTTGAACATTATTCCTTGCTTCCTTTTTAGGGCAACGAGGTATTTTTGCGTTAAGGCGAACCAGTAATGGTTTGTACGTAGGCACACATGCGCATATCAATGCAGATGTAGCCTCTGCAAGACCCCAAAGCTGAGGTCTGACGATTTTCCAGGTAGAGATTGACCACATGTTAACCCACGTCACCCTTATAATCGACAAGACTATTGAGCTTTGGAAAGTGTCAATAGAGAGGAGCCCATGGCAGTTGGGAGACTTACAAGCATGCCAGCAAGAAGATTCCCGACAGCGCAATCTTTTGCGAACGCCGAAGATTCAATTTCCAAATGACCGGCAAAGGCAAAATAGCCACAACAAAATCCGTGAAGATATTTATCCCAGAAAGCACATACCCAACCTCCATCTGATGAGGCACACACTTTCCCACGACGGCTGGATCCCATATGGTTGACATGGGAGTGCATTGCAGGAAGTGGTACAAAATGCCGGAGACGTTCCAGAGGACGAGAAAGGTTATCGCGGCGATGTAGGTCCATCTCCAGTGGGGCAGCGCTACGATTCGGTAGTAGAGAAGAACAAAGGCCATTTTGGCAAAGAATAGGGCCTGGCTGTAGAGGAATAGTATGAAGTATGAACACTGATAATCGTTAGTCGATAATGGCGAGATGTCGTGAGCGCAATACCTTGTAGAAGTTGCTTATCTTGTGGAATGGTAACATCCCGCTAGGATCGCTCAGACCTAGAGGAATTACTGTAGATTGTGAGCTTTTGTAAAACCTGGTCCAGAGTCGTGACATACAAGCAAGAATCCCTGATCCATACCCGACGATACACAACTACAAAGCGTTAGCAAGACCCACGATACAACCAAGCTTACTTACACAAGTCATAACCGCAGCGAAGTCATCCCATCCCAACGCCCGTATCTTTCTTCGACACCATAATCTCAACCCAACCGCCAGCAGCGATGTCATAACCGCAAAAACGACGACCAGGAGAACAATGATGAGTCGGTCCCCCGTGGTCTGAGCATCTTGCTCCGACGGATCGACCATGTCGACTAGGAAAGAGAACGAATTCGAAGGTTGAGGACTAACCACCGAGCTGGGACATCGCGGGTTATGTAGAGTGTACTAGCGTCGAGGCAAGATTTTGAGTTCCGTGGCGCAGGAATGTTGGCGTGGTCTGGATGGAGGTTATGCAGGAACAGGTTGATGGGTTAGCCCTATGTTAACTGCTTGGGGAGTAGAATTTGTAATCTTGGTATTGGTTGAGATGCGTCATTCTAGAGATTTAGTACATTTGGAGGTCATCAAGCTTGCATCAGAAGGGTGTGAGAGGATGCTGTTTATCACCACCATGATGATTACTCTCCCCATATATTATCATCTCTTAACCCACACGTTTCTCGCCTTGTTGAATGCATGATCTCCAATACTACCGAGACCAAGGTTCCGGACCAGATGGCGGCATCTCCTACGATCGCATTCCAAACATGTCTGGTAACCGTTAGAACATCCATCTAGCGCAATCGGAATAATGTCAGACATTTTCAGCAGCATAAAGAAAGCTCAAGGTCTAAAGCTTTGGGTCATTAGCGTCCGGTAATCTGCCAGAGTTTTCGATAAAATCAGAAGATTACCGGCAAAGAAGATTTCATCCAGATCTTGCGAGGGGTAGTCCAGATAAACCATCATGCGGCGACTTTGATCCGGACGCCGCGGAACTCTATCTTGGACGCTTTCGGTCTGCCGCTATTCCCGGAGGCGTTTACATTTGTTTGAGCTGCACATGTGTCTTTTGATCATCTGTCATTGTTGTTTCATTTGAGGAATTAACATCGCCCAACCTACTGTGCATATATGTCGGGCGTGGTCTAACCTTGATCTGGGGACCGAGCCAGTTGAACTATTGCCCGTTTCGAATGTGATGTTTCAGCTCGATGATGGTGGCTGATGTCTGGTGTTTTCCCATTGGCTGTGTTGTCAGAATGCGAAATACGAGCATCAATTGATGTGGTACTCCAGGCATCTGTGGAATCCACTTGCTGATTGGGTGTAGAACAATTGGGATGCCAATACAGAAACCATATATCTTGATGCATTTCAACGTCTCTGGAGCTGAAGAGCTATTTCATCTTTAAGCTTCATCGCCAAAATGGCAACTACTTCAAAGCAAAGACTTCCTGCCTCATTCTATGAAGACACTCCGAGTGACAACAATAAAATCGAACTGTTTCCTCTTCCTCAAATTCATGAAGAAAATGATATCACAGCATTCAACACCATCTCACCTTCCAACGTCGTACCTCTTCGAAAGTTGAAGCAATGGCCCCGAGCGATCGTATGTCCTGCTTGTCGGGAAATATCACTCACTCGTATTGAACGCAAGATCACCGGTGGAACCCAGTGAGTCTATCACCTGAACGAATATTATGAAAAGGATACTAACCACGTCTCAGTGCCATGGCAGCATTGATGTTTGTGTGCACAATTGTTGGCGGGCCGCTTGCATATACTGGGAAGCAATGGAAGAATGTTGAGCATTACTGCTGTAGATGTAATCGGAGACTGGCTACCTGGCACTTTAGTACAGGAACGGAGATTCATGTATGGTAGATTATCAGCTCTTTTCGCAAATCACATTTCAATAATAAACTCAAGACCCAAGGGTGTCATTCAATTAGTATATTCTATCATTTCTATTTTCGCTTCTCATAATAATCAACGAACCGCCAACTCCACATCCCATACCTTGACACGTAATCTATATTTTACTCCTTAATAAGAACAGCCCTGTATCGGACCTTACCGTCCTTAAGATCATGCAGAGCCTTCTCAATACCATCTTCGTTGAGAGAGTATGTCATGATGGTAGGAGTAATGTTCTTGCGAGCAGCAAACTCGAGGAGCTTACGGACGCTGTCGCGGGAACCGACCAGAGATCCCTGGATACGGATACCCTTGATGGAAAGCTCGGTCAGGGGAACGGGAGTGGACTCCAGAGCGGCGGTGAGAGGGTAGATGGTACCGTCGTAGTCAACGATAGAGGCAAGACTGTGATTCGTTAGTTTTGATTATTGAAACTGTTGAGGAAGATACATACCCGCTGTAGTCGATGTTGGCGCTACCGCAGAGGAGGAGGTGCTTGACGGGCTTGAGACCCTCGGGAGCCTTGTCGCCGGACTTGTAAACGTGGAACTCTGAAGCACCGTACTCCATGGCCTCTTGGCGCTTGTTCTCGGAGCTGGAGAAGACAACGACGTGGTTGCCCATGGCGGCAGCCAACTTGATGGCAAGATGGCCCAGACCACCGATTCCGATGATGCCTACTGACTCGTGGGACTGGAGACCGTACTTGTTGAGGCATGTCCAGACAGTAGATCCAGCGCAGAGCCTGGAATAATCAGTATTGAATTCTGGTCAATATTTCAAGAGAACTTACAGAGGAGCAGCGTTGGCGGAATCATATCCATCAGGAATCTGACAAACAGTCTTGGAATCCCAAACAGCACCGTAAGAGAAAGAACCGTTGGTAAAGTCAGAGAAACCGTAAATCTGTCTCTCACGGCAGTACTGATCACGATCGGTACAGCAGTTATCGCAGTGGCCGCAGATCTGGTGCGTATATCCGAATCCAACTCTATCGCCAACTTTGACGTTCTTGACACCTGATCCAACAGCCTTGATGATACCAACACCCTCGTGGCCCAGAACAACACCGCTGGTCGCGTACAGCTTGTCGGTGCCGCAGACGCCAGAGTGTGTTGTCTCGATGAAGACCTCGTGGTTCTCGAGCTCGCGCTCGATTTCGGCGGAGACGATCTTGCCCTCTGGGGTGCCGCGGAAGACCTTGTAAGAAACCATTTTGGATATATGAGATAGTATGGGTTTAATTATATGGGAGAGTAGGTAGGATTTGTTTCAACGGTACTCAATTGCGGGTTGAGGCTTTATATAGATGGATGTCGGTAGATGAGGTTGCAGCCGGGGCAGTCTTCCTCTTTTAGCTGACTCGCAAACATGGGTAGAGCGTTGATGTATGAAACGTAGCTCCCCTGATCCTGGTTTTGCAAGTCAATGCCATGCCCGGACTGAAGAAACGGTTGAGAAAGTGGGTAAAGCTACTGTAGTATCTTTGTTCCATGTCCATGATGCCATGACATGATAAGAGCCTCAAACGTGTCCTGAGACTACCTGCGACACAACAACCAGCCCCGATATCACATACAAGTAATACTATCTATATTTTCCGGACGCCACTCTTCCCTTTCCCATCTCGACTGCTCTCCGAGCCGTTGAGATTCATATTTTCGATCGGCTTCGGTGGACTCCATCTCGTCCCGTCGGTTCCGTCCAAAAGTGGATACACCTCGGTCCGGCACTACTCCTCAATCAATCCCACTAAGAAGGTGGCGTGAGACCGCTGCCAGCGGGAAAAAAATGTTTCTAGAACACCCCTGGAAGAAAAATGGAAAAGATCAAGCACTTGAACCTCGGTGATCGACGGTGCTAATGATGTCACTTCAGGGTCTAACTTTTTTCTTTTCCTCTTGATTACTCAAGAATGTATTTCTCAGGGAACATTTCCCTGATGAAACGTCGCATTGAATCGCATTAAAGCCATCGTCGATGTTCAATTTGACTACGCCTGAAACCTTGGTTGGTAGTGACCATTAGGCTCGGTCCATTATGGCTGTATCAGTTAGGGGCTCCGAGCAGGACGGATTCGTCAGTGCCGTGATAAGGCTTCACTATCACTGCTGATTAATCCATAACTTCTCGCTTCCGCAGCCGCAATTCTTTTGAGGACGTCAGTTACAGCCTTACCTTTAGCGGTGGAGAGCTCTGATAATAAAAAAAGTCCCTCGAGTCGGTGAAATCTACGCCGAGTTACTCACTGGGTGGGTCTTGCACGTCACCCAGTGGGACACTTCATGATCTCATCCCGAAACTTTATATCGCGATCTAATTGGAATGCCTTGATTTATGTAGAAACGAAATACTAGCTACTGGAATTGGCGCAAGGGATTTTCTCTTTGTTCGGCAGTTCGAAAACGCAATTGCTTGACCTACAGTAAGCACATCTCGAGATCTGAGGAAGGACCCGTCCCGAGATCCACAAACTGTCGTCAATGCAGGATCATGGATCCTGGTGTCCACGTGGCGCCCCAATTGTCATCCATGGATGTTTCGTATAAATCTATGTCCCATCTTTAGGGTATCTTCAAAAACCTTTGCAGTATCGGACTTTAAAATCTCTGTCTAGATACATAGGATTGTGAGAAAATCTCGTAGTGATCAAGTCATGTGTTATCTTGCCATTCAATATCAAAGCTACCAGTCGGCCCACTCCTCCCTTGATTCATCTTCAACCTCAGCTGCCAATAGCCAAGGTCTACCGGCGGCACCATACAGGGCTGTATACACAACACAAGCCCAATGTACCTTGACTGCATTTCTGCACTGCTCAGCATCCTGTTTCGACATGGCGATGTGGATGAGCTGCCCCGATCGAAGTGGCTTCCCATATTTGTCCATCACCGTGCCGTACTTGTGAGTTACTTGAGGGCCTTGGTCGAAGTTCTTGATATCTTCGACCAATTTCCGAAAGTCATTTCGAGCTCCACGACGCTTAAGGTTCATCCTTTTACCCCATCGTAGCTCAAGTAGCGGCATCCAGTGGAATTGCAAGGTTATCTGGACCTCACCGTTGGGGGCCGGGTCATTCGTCAACCACTTGAACGCACAAAGACCGTTCTTGAGATATCGGCACAAATCCTTGTCAATGCAGAGCACGTTCCATGCTTTATGACTTCCACCAAGCGCGCGTGCATTGCAGGGAGGATTTGGACCTTCCAAAAGGCGTACGCCCAAGTCAGAGATTCCACGACGGATATCACCCGTATGGTTCATATGCTCCACGGTATCATTCCAAGTGAACGGGATAAAGTAGAAAATATGAGGTAAGGGCTTGCCTGTTACCACACATGTGCCCTTATCGCGACTCCAGCATATGGCCTCCTCCGTCTTCACCGTGCTGCGGTTGCGACGCACGGGTTGGAGATGCTCCAAGGCTGAGAAGCGATAACTGCGGCGAATCGCCTTGCAGAAAGTTTCAATATCACATTTCCACAACTCTTCGTCGCTCATTTCTGGCTCGGGAGCCTCAGGAATAGCGTGTTGCCAGCGTGGATCTTTTACGTTGTCTGGATTAAGATGGAGCATATCTATATGAATTATTAGCTATTCGGAATTCCAGAGTAACGGTGGTGTTCTTACAGTGTATGCAGGACCGGGAGATATACTTCAACGCCTCTGCTGGCGCCGTTATTCTCGGAAAGTCGGAATCATCATCCCCTGACAGTGGACCGTAGTTTTCAAGCTTTTCTCGAGCCACTATCAGAACTGCTACAAGGTCTCCGCCCCGCATATAGGTTCTGCGGTATTGGCAATAGTCTTCCTCCATGTACTGCAAAAGAATCTGAGCACGATCAAGTCGATACTCACTCTCGGAGACGGGAATAAGGGGAGCTGGCGGCTGAAATTTCTCAGGCCGAGACTCGTAATGCGGGCTTTCTTTGGGAGGCTTCATGTCGGCGGGGGAGGATGCTGATGGAGGAAGAGATTGATGGGAGAAAGAAGACAGAAGGGTACCTCGCTTTACTTCTTTTAACAAATTTCTGCCTGATGGCCTGCCTATCAGATGAATGAGCCGTCGAGAGTTTAGACATAAAGTTTCATTCGCGTGATGCCAGTTTATACTATACTTTAGGCATTGCACTTTAGCATTTCGAGGCTGAGAGTGTAAACCTTTGTTGCCATGTGCTGCCTGTATTTGTTCGGATTAGGTGCGAAATGCAGAAAAGCCGAGTTCTATAAACCTTCTATGTCAATACAAAATAGAAACATGAACGAAGCAAGTTGATCCTTCTACCTACTGAGGTTGTAAGAAGACAGAGCTCTTATAGTTCTGCTGAACTTCCGGAGGTTTCCTTGAATCGGCTCCATAAACAGACTTTGCCAATGATAAAACAGCAAACTTAAATAAGCAGATAACCAAATAGCTACTGGAGGAGCAATTTCATCAAACACATATGAACCATTTTGCCTGTGGAAGCACTTGTGAGGGACCCCAAGCTTGGGCATCCAACTTTTGTTCAAGAAGGGCCGGCCTCTTATTATGAGACACTTGGGATCGGTTTAAGAAAGGGTGAACTAAGACAGTTCTAAGAACTACCTGTGGTAAATGCACCTAATAAGTATTCCAGAATTGAGTTGATTCCAAATCGATCGTTGCTTGACCAATCAGAGTGCCGCAATTGCTGACAGATCATGAATATCTGGACTGCCCGGTCTCGGCCTGCCTTTGGATCCTTCCCGAGGAGTCAGTCACGACCGTCATCACTGCTGCTTTGTATTCCTTCGTCTTATTTTTTTTTTTAATTTTTCTCCTTCTATCTCTTTTCTTTTGAGCGCATCTCATGTCAACATCTCCTTGACGACCGATCAATTGATTACTGCCGCGTATCTTGCTTCCCTGGCAGCGAAACATCATGGCCAACGAGATCATTCCAGCTCTGGCCATCGCCGTACTACTCGGCACACCCGTCTTTATAGCCTTATTTCTTCAGAATGGGAACCGAACACCAAGAGAGCTCCGGAACCTGCGGCGACAAGGCGTCGAAAGGAGCAACATGCAAGATCAGACAGATCCCCAGTACGATCTTCCCGCGGGCGCATCGAGCAAGGCTCCCATCAGGATCAAAGCCATCTTCATCCATCCCATTAAGTCTTGTGCACCAGTCGAATTGAATCGTACTCAGCTCCTCAAGAGTGGCTTTTTTCTGGACCGTTTCTTTGCGCTCGCGACAGAGGTCAATCGGCCGGCATCAGAAGGCGGTCCAATTTGGCGTTTCATCAGCCAGCGTACCAAGCCATTGATGTCTCAAATCAAGACTGAGGTTTGGCTTCCCTGTGAGAGCAGCGATGAGAATGATCCATTGGTCAAGTCTCAAGGGTGTGTCGTCTTCAGATTCCCAGATCCCGATCACATCGGTTGGTCCGACCGACTCATATCACTGATCTGGAGAGGCCAAAAAGAGGTTGTCGGGATTGCGCCGATATCTTCATACGAGAGATTTGAGGAAAAGCATGGATTGACTATGAAGCCCTTCACCATTCATTCCAGAGAGGCAAAGGGCTTGGATCTCGGCGGCTTATCGTCTGTCGCAGATACACTGCCCAAATTGAAACGCTTCCTCAAGATCTCAGACCAACAAGGGCTCACGCTGCTACGACTTACTCCGGATAGCCTCGTACGTACTGAGAAGAATCTTGCACCTCTGCAGCATATTGGAACACCAGCTATTCACGGGTACACCGACCAGCAGCCTGTCAACATCAACAACTTGGCCTCCGTCCACGCAGTATCAGCGCTTCTGCCCAAAGAGAACCAACCGCTAAACGCGCTTCGCTTTCGCGCAAACATCTGGGTCACGGGCGCTCCAGCATTCGACGAGGATACATGGAAACGGTACCGCATTGTACCAAATGCAGGCCCATCGCCGACATTGTCAGTCGTTTGCCGTACGTCACGCTGCACCCTGCCCAACGTCAATCCGCACACCGGCAAGCCGGACACCGATACTCCGGGTTCTGGAAAGACACGAGGGAAGCCTCAGCCTAGTTCGACATTGATTGAGCATCGTACTATCGAGGATGGAAACCCGAAAGCTCTTGGTTATATAGGCATGCATTGCGTGCCCGAGGACTCTTGCTTTGGAGAGATGCCTGGGAAGCAAGAGGGCGTATATGTACAGGTCGGCGATGAAGTTGAAGTTCTGGAACGCGGAGCGCACCTCTATGGATCTACTGGCAATGACTATTGAAGCATATATAAGAAGCGTGATGCGATTCAGATGTGGTCTTGACGCCCCAAGCCCTCACTCAATACGATGTGAGAGGGCGCCGTTTGATCATAACAAGAACATATTTATATCGGAGACACGGGTCTTCATCGAAAGTCGTTTGAAGGTATAGGAATACAATTAATTCTGTTTGCTTTGTGCGTAGACACCTGGTGTTCAAACGCTCAATCGACGGCAAGAGCGCATGAGGGAAAGTCTATTTATACTAAGCTTTTCCGCAGGCATGAGCGCTTACCTTTGCGTGCACGAAACTATCAACGACTAAATTTTACAAATTGACGCTATCAACTCTAAAGATCACGTCTATATAAGAGACATACCCAAGTAGTCGAACTTGCATCGCTTTCAGAAATACCATCATGACGACCGAAACCAACACGGACACCAATACTCTCATGACAACCAAAAAGACCAAGGAGACCAAGGCTATCAACAAACCCAAACACGCCAAGGAACTCAAGACTGCCAACAAGACCAAGACTAAGAGTCCTAAGGAGACCAAGGCAGCCAAGGCGTCCAATACCGACAAGGCGGAGACCAACGGCAACATGGAGACCAGAAGCACTACGACCCTGAAGCCATGGCAGCAGAAAGCCATCGATAATGGAAGGACACCTCTTCCTGAGTTTCCTGGAGATAAGCCTGGGGCATAGAGGCCTCGGGGTTGGCCGACTCCTCCCCCTTCTAAGGACGGTTCCCAATCACCCAAAGACGTAAGTGAGAGCGCTGGGATATCGCATGGCTATACTGACGCTCTCTAGACTCTCAGACATGCGCTATCAATTAATTGAGCAAAGGACGGAAGCGCGCGACCGGGAGATCATTTGGGCAAGGTTGTGAGTAGTGAGAATATTGATGCGGTCTTGGTTCTGGTACGACAATTAGCAAGACCGCGCACGACATTGAAGTGCTGGAGGCACAGAGACTGCTTGAGATTCTTGGTTGAGCAGAAATAAAAGATCAATACAGGTGCCGCTCGAGGGTGGCTACACTGTTCATTAAGCAAAGACTGCGACTGTCAATAAGAACCGGTGACGCCTCGGCTGTCACTAGTATTAAAAGCTAGAAGCTTGAAACAATGGAACGATGGAACTGATTTAGACAATGCAAAACAATGGGATTCTGTTACTGACTGGTATAATATCGCGACACCACTATCATGGCTCTCTTCAGCCATCGGTGTCGCCCTCCTCCTCTGCCTCGGCGGCCTCCAACTCCATCTTTTTCTCGACAGCGTGTCGACGCTTGTGATACGCCTGTCTGATCGCTTCCCTCGTACGATCTGGGAAAGCTATAGTTAGAGCATCCCATGTCCAACCGCTCTTCTTGAGTCTTATCAGGCGTCGCATCTCCTCTTCAGGCCAGAACTTGTAGCTGGCTGGGGCGCGCTTGCTGCTCTCCAGTATTTGAGTAGAGAGAGGAGTAGAGAGAGGCTTGGAACGCAGCCAGGGTCTTTCTCCTGGTGCCTCTGGCAGAGGAGTGCGGCCGTTGTCCAGGGCGCGGTGTTGCCAAGGTTGGATCAGGCTGGGATGTTTGTTGCTTCTAATTCTAGCCATTTTGGCGATAGTTTGATGAAAAGGCTTGTGAGTAAGTAGATGACAGTTACAAAACTCGATATTGACTATATCCAATTGATACAACAATGCAAGTATGTATAAGTAATTGTAGATCAGCCAAGTGATGTGGACAGTGGCACTCTTTTGTGCTTCAAGACCAACAACGCGCACAGCGTCGTCGGAGTGAACAATAACATATCCCGCTGAACAATAAGTCAATTCATGGAATAGCAGGTAACATTTCTTTGTGGTCATTATGATGAGGAACAAGTGAAGGTCAGTTTTAAAAGAAGAGAACAAGTGAAGGTTAATTTTGCAAGAAGAGAACAAAGGCTATCTGGGAGTATCTAGAATAAGCTTGGGTTCGTGGCTTCTTCTCAAAACTGGCCTTTCAATCCAACACCCTGCCTTCATTCACCAGCCATCATCAGCAACACCATACATTCCCACTGTAGAAGGATGATATCAGCACTCTTGTAAGCATCCTCCGGTTCCTCGTGCGTGATATAACAAATGCTCCCACTCTTAACACGCTCGCCGCTCGGGAAGAATGTGCCAATATATCCAGGCCCATCAAACTGTCTAGCGGGAAGGCCCTGTTGTTGCTGGTCGTGGAGGTGAGAGTTGATGGCCGATAGGGTGGCTTCAATCTGCTCGGTCGTCTCCGCATTGCCTTCGAACTGGCATTTGGGAAGGAAGTGGAATTTGAGCCGTGTTTTGTAGCTGGTTCGGTAACCCTGGGTTTCCTCTTCGACGCCCATGGACTGAAACGCAACTAGGCCCTCATCGAGCCAAGAATGAACCTTTCGGTCCAGGCCAAAGATGTTCCATTTAGCTTCAGTGCCTCGAAGCTTGACGATAGACTTGTTGCTCTCGATGAAGGCGGATCCCATAATCCAGTGCATGACGTCGAAAAGGCCCTGAGTAGTCGAAACTGCCGAAGGGCTAGAGGTGGCTGAGAAGGGGAAAACATGCGCCATCTCAACTATAGCAGCGCGTGTGAGAACGCATGTGTTCTCGTCGCGTTTCCTCGCATGATCTGCGTGACTGGTCAATCTTCCCAGACTTTCAACGTTTTTCTTTTTTCCCTTGGTCTTTCTCAGGAACCTGGTAGCCATCGTATGCGTGTCTTCGAGGATGTCCTTGATCAAGGGGTGAAGGCTTGTCCTATCGATCAAATCTTCAAGAGAATGAATCGGCATCTTCATAAGGGTTCCAAAGTGCCGTTTTTCAAGTTTTTTGAAGGTAGTGTCCCGTCGACGCATAATTAAGAAAATGGTTTTGATGGCATCCATTCTTTTGGGGTCAACCTGTTAATTATAAGCCCAGGGGTCAGAAAGAGACCCTGACAGGTGGGTGTCAGGAGAATTGTTCTCTAAGGCTTAGGGTACAGAAATAAAGGAGCCTAAACCCCGGCCTAAGTGGGCATAAGGAGACTAAAACATTTCGTCTCTTATGCTCTCAACGGCCAGCCAATTCTTCTGACACCCTGACGCCTGACAAGGGAGAGAAGACCTTACCTCTTTCTTTTCCACGAATTTGGCTGGGAGTTCAATTTCTTGGGCTCGAGGGTCAAAGCCCCCGATAGTATGACGAAAATGTTCCTTACTGCGTGCGTCGGTTGTGTTGCGAACTCGATCAGCTAGCTGTGCCATCTCCGGGTCGGGGCCGGGGTCAGGGCCAGTGTCGGTAAGCATTGGAGTTGACATGATGTTATTCACGAAACAAAAGTCGGATAGTGAGAAAGGAGGTAATCTATCAGGACCGAGAATATTCCCTTTATAGCTACCTAGGTACGTACATTAGGTAGCTCAAGTCAACTAACCAAAGTCCTAATAGAATGAAGGGCCGGTTTGCAGCTGCTTGACACTGCGCGGACGGTAAGTCACCTTGGAGCAGGTTATCTACTGCCAAGTACTTCATTCGGGTATTTTACTACCAGCTGCTTGACAATGTGCGGAAATCATATCACTTTGGCTCGAGTAGTTTCGTGCAAATTGCTTTAGTTAGGTACCTTGCTGTCAACTTGACAGCGCGGACGTTGTGTTACTCCGGGTCTTTGATACAACATCTGCATGAGGTGGTGAGCATAAGAGACGGAATAATTTGTCAACCTTATGTTAACTTAGCTAGCATTTAGGACATACTATTTTAGTGCCCTAAGACTTAGACTGGAGGATAGCTGGATAGGTGGGCAATTGTTCTTTTGTCTGCCTCCCTACCTATGCCACTTGTTCCTTTCCAAGATATCGATCAAGCAATCTCGGAGTTGCGCTTCAGTGCTCAATAATTGCACGTTAAACCTTCGGCAAACAGCCTCAACGTTCCCTCTCTTTCTGTACTCGTTCTGGGCACAAACAACAACTGTCTTCGTTCTGACAGCCAATCCAAGCTCCAAAAGACTGATCGGCGCATCCGTAGATTTGTGGAAAAAGAAAACGACAACGTCCGCGGTATCCTGCATATCCAGCTCCCATGAAACCTGCTCCTCCCAACGTTTGTCAGAGAAATCTTCCTTCCAAGTGCCATCCCAATCAGGTCGATTCGGGTTGAAGATTGTGACTGGGTGGTCAAACAGTGCATTTGTGAGTGTTTGGCGCCAATCTGCTTCGTCTGTGCTTGTTGTAATGCCTGCGAGGAAAACCGACATGGTCTTGTCATTTAGTTTGGGCTTTTCGGGCGCCATGACGACCACTGCTTGAGAGGTCATGTTGGTCATGGATCCTTTTGCTTCCCGTTTTGTTGCTCTGCTGTTGATGCTTTGCAAATAATAGAACAACGCAGCCCGAACCCCGCCTTGCCATGCACGCCAGACAATATGCAGTGGAGATTTTGTGATTGGTCTGCTGCTTGAGACCACTGCTGAATGCCAAAGCCATTCTCGGGTATATGCTTCTACCTATCGTCACCAATTGATTCGTAGCTGTTAACTCACCCGCATCTCATGCCAGAACCTCAATATCACCTCCAAATAAGAGTTCAGACCCTCTCCGTTACCAGATATCTCCTTAAAGCAAGAGCTTTCAGATACAAAATGCTTCCTGGATTCCTAACCAAAGGCTGTTAAATTCCCATTCTCAATAGCGCGATAGTGGGAGGCTCAATTAACATCAAACACCCATCGCTAGGTAAGGACTTCCTCATATCTTGCCGCAATCCGGACTGTCGGCGGGGCCTCGTGTCGGCGGGGTCCCGTGTCCGTGTCAAACTTGCCGGCGAAAGGATTCGCAATAGGCGTAGTGCAGTGGGACACACGGCGGACACCAGACAACATCCCGTCCAGTTCGGAGATGTGCCCAAACCCACTTGGCACGAAGCGACACTGTTTCCATGTATATTTATCGAATGCTGAAGCGCCTGGAACCCGGATGTCTGTTTGCACGGAAACGAAGCGCATTCACATGGCTGATGCTTCTCAGGAAAGCGACGATACTTCAGGGCCAGCGCTTGGAGAAAAAGAAAACTCAAAATAGTTCCAGGTGCATATTCCGTCCGAGGCTGGTAGCCTACCGACATTTACCTCCGCAATCATCCTTACGCATGATTGGGATTGCAAACCTGTTCTATTCATTTACTGTTTCCCTACCCTCTTCTAAAAGCCGAATTGCGGCCGTTGCCGTTGCCCCTCAATTGTGTCACTGAACAATGGAAATTTCGCATCTGCTGCCTAAAGGCTGTCACTGATACTAACATAGAACCTTTCATGATTTGGTGCTTCCCCAGGCAACAAGGCTGATAGGTCTTGCGGACTACAAACTCTCCTTCACACAACTAAACCTAGTCACCCGCAAGAAATTACAGTTGCAAGCCAACTTAAGCTCTCTTCCTTTTCGTTTCCTTTCTTTTCTTCTCCTCCCCGGAGATCAATCAGGTTCTCTTCCTTAAACATCTCATCCATAAACGAAATGGCTCTTTTCCCTGAACGTTACGAGCTTCCGGAGGATGGATCTGCTGGCTGCGCGCCTACTGACCTTGCTCGCTTATCTCTTTCTGACAGTCCTGTGCGTCTTTCGACCAGTCAACCTGCTACCGTTGCCTTTGTTTTCCCTGGCCCGGCGTCCCGGCCTGAGATGCCCGACACGCGCCTTGTACGTACCAAGCAGCTCGAAAAGCACATCAAGGAGTGGGATGACGACTTTCATCTCTGCTGCGAACACATCGTAACGACTCTGATGGTGCGTACGAGTGAACTTGGACCAAAAGGTGGACTATGGGCAGGCCCTCCCGATCCACTTCCCGCAAGCATCTTGAAGAAACTTTTTCATTCTGTCTCTCCGTTGTGCAGACATTGTAAGTGCCGCATATCTTCAACTCTGGCTGTCTGGCAATGGAAATGACTAACAGCTCTTAGACATGCTCCATCTTGACCCAAACAACCTGACTCTGCCGCAATGGAAGCACGCCATTCCTGTGCCTCTCGAGTGGCAACCAGAAGTCGAAGACTTGTCCGACGACGATGATTGGGAGGCTTATCAGAAGTCTGTAGCGTATCACAGGCGTTTCAAGACCAATCCCGATCTCCGCCCTTTTCTTCACGACGCAGATGAGGAAGCCAAATGCGAGCGTCGCGACGAAGGCGAGTGTGTGGTGACCGGCAAGCCCACTAATCGCCGACTTTGGTTCATCCCCTTAACTTGGAATGACACCGTTGAACATATGAACGCAACAGGCGACCTCCATGTGGGAAGTACGATCTTAACAGGAGTCAATCTTGCGGAAGGGCCCAACCCAGCCTGTAGCGCACACACTCTCGGCGCAACTCATCGAGTCTGGAATATGGTCTCCATTGGTGAGATTCTCTATCGCTACTTCAACGACGGCTTTTGTGCATTGAAGTACCAGGAAGGCAGGAACGAGGAGCTTAACAAAGACGAAGTTAAAGTCACCCTCAAATTCTACTGGATGCCCAAACTCAAGGCGCGATTCGGGCTGGTGATGGACATCCATTCACAGCCAACGAACGACTGGACTATGATGTTGAAGGAGTCTGACGCCTTCCAAAACTGCCCACCGCCTGATCACTACGGTAAAGTCTTTACCCAGTCTGGAGACCTACTGGAATCGGGACACATTGTCAACATAACAGTGGCCAAAAAGGATCTTCTGTTCTTTCGCGATGCAATCGAGGTACACTGGGCTTGTATCATGTTCACAGCCTTTTGTGGTGCCGCTGGGCGCCCTTGGTTGTTGTCGGGCAAGGATCCTGAGGATCGATTAATGCAGAGCCTGCAGGACAAAGCCAGACTGGAAGGCGATGCCAAGCTGGAAGGCGATACCAAGCTGGAAGGCGGTACCAAGCTGGAAGGCGATGCCAGACTGGAAGATGATGCAACAATTGCAGAGTCTTCGAAGGGCAACACACTTCGTCGGTACGGAAGGAAGGTCAAGGATGGTATCAAGAATGTACCCGGCAGTCTCAAGGAAGTAACTCGCAAAAACCTTGGTCGTCAGCCTATCCCTCCTTACACGAGTCCCCAAGGTGTCTCAAGTGCCACAGTTACCCCAGGTCCCTCAACTGCCCCGGGTTCCTCAGCTGCCCCCGGTAGCTCTTAATATGGAGGCTAGACAGAATTGGCAAGATGGATGTGTGCTTTGTCAGGTACCTAGGAAATATGAATTCACATTGTGCTTATTTGGGATTTCGTCCTCATCGTGCTTTCAATCTTGACAATGATTTAGTGACTAAATGAAGAGATGGGTACCTAAACTGATGAGCTACCGAGGAGATCACTTGGAACGAGCGATCGCATTCTTTGTATTGCCCTCGGGGGGAAAGAAAGCACGGTCTCTGCTCACACCAAATTCTGCTGGTCTCAGGGTCCGTGTTTTCTTTTTCCAGATTGCACACGGCACAGAAGAGGGCGCTTAGACTTGTGCTCCCACCAGCTAATTATTCTGGAACAACTATCGGGGAACACAGCTTGGACAATACGAAATGGATGTCTGCAGGAACGGCATCACGATCTGAAAGTGATATGACCTCCGCACAGTGTCGAGCAGCTGGCAGCAGAGCGGCCCTCTCATTGTAGTAGAGCTTACGATGACCTGAGCTATAAAGGGGGACAGCTTCTGCTTTTCTCCTTAGACTCATACCCTCCTACCTGCCTTAGTACTTTCCGTTACCGTCGTTTACTCAAGTCTTAAGAACGTTCAGCAATCGCAAACCTCAATCAATAAAGCTTCCAATATGGGGCTCCCTCAGCGCAAAGAAGATGTAAGCTTACGCCTCTCCTCATGTCTCCATATCTGCATATCTTCATCTCATCGTCTCATCGTCTCTTGCTCTGGAGGTCTCAGGGTATCAGTCTTTCTCAATATCCTACCCTGCCACCCTTTAACAAGATGCCTAGACTTACAATTAACAGAATGGCAATGTCCCCCCATCTCAACAGAATGAGTCTGTTGGGGCGCCTCTCGAGTCCGGACAAACCACCACCGTGCCCCAAAGTGCCAATGGACAGTATGGCACTACTTGCATCATCTCGGACAAAAGTCCAGAGGTTGTGCACTTGCCTCCATTCGAGAGGAAGCCCTCGAACGTATGAGTGTCGGAAACGGCCATTGGGGGGTTCAGAAGGATCGGCCGCCGGAATATTAAGAGATGGGATAGCTTAGTTACCTCCAGACCCATATGAGTTCCGAATTGAGTGTACTTTAACTAGGCAGGCGTCCCAAGTTTTAAATGACAATTCTTGTGTTGTTCACCCGACCGCATAGTATGAGACAAATACTTTAACTCAACGGCTGCGCGGTAAAGTACCTTGTCTCGCAATAGATTAGACAGATCGGGGGCTTACTTGCTACCGTAATACTAACAAGTGTTATCTCCTAGGCTGCTCGATGCTCTTGGTTCAAGCAACGTCTGGTTCTGGAGACATCTTCAACTACCCAGGTAGGTAGACTACTTTGTTACGATAGCCTAAACCTGAAAAGGGAACTTAGTACTCAATACTTCTAGGTGACAATGACTACGTTTTGAACGTGACAAAGATTCAGTGATAAAGTGAGGAAGTAAATCTCTAGACTGCTGAAGACTTGAGAACGCCTTCTGATTCCACCATTTGACTTTTGGCGCGGGAGCAAGAAAGCAGCTCAGACAACTGGTTTAGTCCTGGAGATACCTTCGACTGCGGAGGCACTGTCGCTGGGTTCACCGAGCTCACCGAGCTCACCGAAGTTGGCATGGAAAAGGAATCGACCCAAAAGAAGTGTCCTAAGGCTTAAGCTAAAATAATAAAGTAACCTAAATGCTAGTCTAAGCCGGCATAAAGTAACCAAATAATTTCGTCTCTTATGCCTCCAAGGGACAATTCTTCTGATACCCTGAGGCAACCGTACACTGTACCAGCTCCACTTATTGCCGTCGCTCGCTCCTCCCCCACATTAGACTGTGCCTTTGAATTCCGCGCTATGAGTAGCGGGGTATTGTTTCAACGAAAGCTTCATCCATTACCATCTGTCGAACCCTTTGTCGTGGGGTTCCCTTTGACTTTTTGACCAAGCATAATACCGATACTTGCCTCCGGAGACAAATATATTTTGGAATACAATTGCAATAACTTACATCACTCCATCAAACTACAATCGCAACACGCTCGTCATGGATGACCAATTTGGAGGGCGCACCGACGACGATCTCTTCTACGATGATTTCGAGCCCGTCGAGAGCGAGACTATAGTGACCACCGAAGTCGTCTCTCCTGCACCTGAGCCCACGCCAGTAGCGCCAGCTCAACCACCTCCTATTACTCAAGAGAAGCCTTCGCCTGCGCCCGCGCCAGCGACCGCACCCTCAGCACCTGCCTCTAAACCTGCAGGCCTCTCCTCTTCCCGATACGCCGACAAGGCAGCCCCAGCGCCCGCTCCAGCTCCTGCCTCCAAGCCCGCGAAGCAGCCTCCTCAACCAACATCCAACGCTCCTCCCAATGCGCCCACTGCCCCTCGCGAAAAGACTCCTCATGGCTCTCACATCAACTCCGCAGCTCGTCTCGGATCCGGCGCAAACCCACGCCAAAAGCTTACCGAAGCGGAACTCGCTGAGAAGATGGAAAAGATGAAGCTCATCAACGCCGAGAAGACGCGCGAGTTCGAGAAAGCTGAGAAGGATCAGAAAGACCACGCCGCCGCATATGCTCGTGGTATGGAAGAGGCAAAGAAACGACGTGCGGAGGAAGCTGAGCGACGTAAACGCAATGACGAGGATCGGCGCAAGCTAGAGGATGAGCGCGCTAAGAACAGGGAGCGAAAACTGAAGGCTATGGGCATGAAGGAAGGTGGATGGGACGAGGGCAAAGAGGCCCGGGAAGAGGAGGAGAACAGACGCTTCCGTGGCGCGAACGGCGGTATTCGAGGGTCGAAGACCGGTGGTCTCGGTGGAAGTCGGTATGCGACCCGGGACAACGAAGAACACGACGTGGATCGTTTCCTCGACGATAGACATCGCGGGGGCAGGGGCAGAGGTCGTGGGCGCGGAGGTCGAGGAGGCAGAGGCGGTCGTGGTGGTCATGAAAGCGCGGCGCCTGCACCACCCAAACAGGCTGTACCAGCAGCTGAAGATTTCCCAGCTCTCCCTGGCGAGGTCAAGAAGAGTGCAACTGCGCCAGCCAACGACAAGCCAGCTTTCGCCGCCGCAGCAGCAGGGCTACCACCCCCATTGCCGCCACTCGCTGGTGGAAAGTGGGACGAAGAGATGGATGAGTATGATGAGCTAAACAAGAAGTCATAAGAATTCGGGTAAATCGAAAGAGGTGGAATACGAGGCACGGCTGGAAAGCGGAGTCGAGAACATTGGGAAAATACCATACATAGGCAGCATTGTTAGACAGCATCAATAGTCCAAGCGAGATTGCACAAATTCTCCTCCGTTTTCGTTCGCTCTCTATCGCTGAGCTGCTAGGTCTAAAAAGGGTATTGCCATCCATGCTTAAGTTCCTAAAGTCAACTCTTTCAGTCTCAATTTCCATCCCTTTTAAGCAGCGCCCCAACGCCTTTGTATAGCCCTTTAAACAAATATTACTCATAGTCTACCATCCACCGCCTCTGTAACCCCTTCCACCGCGACCGCTCCTGTATCCTCCTGAGCCGCGCGGTCCTCTGGGTCCGCCCATGCCAGGGCCATCATCGTCCATCGGTGCCCTGGAGCGACCCTTCATTTCCTTGGGGAACGCATCGTAAGTCTTTCGCATCTGCGCATATCCTAGATGCATCTTGCCGTAAAAGTGATCCGCCAGGCGACGGTCGTTATCAAGTCTGCTGAGGTACGCACCGCAGACGTCGCAGACCTGAAGTTTCTGATGTCCAGAGGGACCCGAGGTGTCGGAGAGCGCTTTGAGCTCTTTCTCACGGTCAGCTTTGGATTGAGAGGCTTGGCGAACGCGGAAGAGCTCGTCTTGGGCACGGGAGACTTCGCCCATGGAACCGAGGATTTCGACTTCGAGGAGGCCGTTGTTAATGGAGGCTGTGAGATCGGAGATGCTTTTGAGCTGAGCAAGTTAGAATTTTTGCAATAAAATGATAATGAAAGACATACCAGAACGTTAGTTTGACGAATTTCATCGGGTGTCTTCTCCAATCGTCTCTGCGCAGCATCGATTCGTCGGTTACAATCGTCGATATACTTTTGCAGATCGCGCATATAATCGTACTCGAATCCATATTTCTGCTTTTCTCTATCCGATAAAGCCTCGTATTCTGTCTTTAATCCTTCGCTGTGCACCTTTGGGCACTGACCAATGTCTTGCTTTGTGTTCGTGAAAAGGTCGTGCGGACAGGTGCCTGCCAGGTAGGAGCGACAGACTTTGGGATCTGTGAGGGAGAGCTGAGCGGCGCGCGACGTCGAGGAGGCCCCCATAAGCTGCTCGAGCAGCTTTCTCTGTTCAGCGGCCATTGTGTGTTCGTCGTTCGAATATGCTGTTTGAAGATGTTGAAAGTTGGCGGGGCCTTGAAGATCCAAGATGCGACGGCATGTGGAGGAAGCGCGCGCCGGAGAGCTAAGTTTCTGCCTGTCTCCACCGCTTACTTCATCGAACCTTCCACGTCGCAACTGGAGCTCTCCAAGCTACGACTCCAAGTCGATTTCCCAAGGGCAAAGGTGCGATGTGAAGTCTTGAACGACTTCCTCCCTCTTTAACCCACTTCACGATGCGCCAATTTCTGGCCTATCTCCTACTTGCTATCACAAATGGCTTCGCACTCACTTCGGCCGCGGCATCCGGCTACCATGAGCAATTGACGCTTCGACCTTTACCCCTGTCCCAGCTTCTAGCGAGCTTCAACTTCCGAGCCAATACTTCAATCGCCGACTTCGAAGCGCACAACTTCCGACTCTTTCCTCGATCACTAGCACAAATTCTTCAGTATGCCGGTACTAGAGAGTTGCATCTCCGATTTACGCTGGGGCGATGGGATGCCCAGTCATGGGGTGCCCGACCCTGGGATGGGACCCGTGAGGGAGGCACTGGCGTTGAGCTGTGGGCGTGGCTGGATGCTGAGACGGATGCTGAAGCCGATGAGAAGTGGTTGATCTTAACCAACGCCTTATCTGGATTGTTCTGCGCCAGTTTGAACTTTATCGACGAGACGAGGACCATTCGACCCGTTATGTCTTTCCAGCCCGATGGCCACCATTCGAACTCATCGCTGGCCAACACAAGACTTCTGCATGGTGTTTTGCCGCACGAAGTCGTGTGTACAGAAAACCTGACACCTTTCCTCAAATTGCTGCCGTGCAAGGGCAAGGCTGGAATTGCCACCCTGTTGGATGGGCACAAGCTCTTTGATGCCTCTTACCAGAGCATGGCAATCGACGTCAGGCCCAAGTGTGATGCCGACGGTGAATGCTTTTTGGAGATGGAAGAGACTGTGGATATGGTTCTCGATATCAATCGCTCCAAGCGACCTCAAAGTATGTGCGTCGATTTCATCTGGTGACTTCTCTAACAACCACTAGACAACCCGATTCCGAGACCCCCTCCTGCTCATGAGCTTCTTTGCGATACTTCCAAGTCATACAACTCGGAGCACGCTTGCTTCCCCGCCGACAGCCTCGATGGTCAAGATTGGACGCTAGCTCAAGTCTTCGGTCGACCTATGAAGGGAACGTGTCCCCTAACCGACCCTGACGTTCCTCCTGTCTGTGTCCAGATCCCCCAATCCCGCGATATCTACACTACCGAAGGCGCCCGCGAAATCAGATCTCAAGACGGAAACTCTCGATGCTACAGCCTGGACTCCAATTCCGAGCTTGCTCTCATGCTTGTCAAGCCCGAATCACAGGATGAGGACAAGATCCTTAACAAGCCACAAACGCCCCTCCTCTACGCTGATCGCAGTTTCAACGGCCACGGCCAGGAACATGGTGGTGTACAAGCTATTCTGAGCAACCCTAGCGATACCGACGTCGAGTTTGTCTACATGGAATCCCTTCCTTGGTTCATGCGTATCTACCTACACACCCTCTCGGCTCGCATCGCCGATGCTCCCTCGTCAAACTCGTCCGATCTCATCAAGGAGATCTACTACCGACCTGCCCTGGACCGCGCCCGGGGTACACAGCTCGAACTACTCATGCGTATTCCTCCACACTGCACCGTTTTCCTCACCTACGATTTCGAAAAGTCCATCCTGCGTTATACCGAATATCCTCCTGACGCCAACCGCGGCTTCGACGTCGCCGCCGCAGTTATCACGACACTTGAGCCCAAGGTCCTGAACATCCGCACTACAACACTGCTGCTGTACCTTCCCACGCCAGATTTCAGTATGCCATACAATGTTATCATCTTTACATCGACTGCTATCGCCCTTGCATTCGGAGGACTGTACAACATCCTCGTCAGAAGATTTGTCGGCGCTGATGAGGCCCAGGGAATGGCTTTGAAGGCGAAGATCTTGGGACTTATTAATAGACTAAAGGGCAAGGTCGGAAAGAAATAGATATGATGTATGAGTTATTTTTCTGAGTATAATACACAAGCATGTTCGATACCGTCACTGCACACTTCATTCAACTCGACTAGGATCACCTGTCGGGTTACTCTGGTCAGGGTCGAAGTGCATCTTGCATTCGGTCTGACCGTTCTTCAAACGTTACATGCAACGGCCCTGCATTCTCTCCAAGCATAATCGGGCCGCGTAATTCGATCTGGGAAACGTGGGCACGAGCTTATCGCATCTCTAGGTCGAGCGGTCTTGGAGTTGCAGATGACGAGGGAGGACGCACATGTGTTCAGGGTCTTGCACAGGCATGGCTGAGCGCGCTCTAGCGATGAAGATGCTTCGCAGGACTGCGCAGCTAAAGAAAAAGAAGACAATCGAAACATTTGATCGTGTTTGTTCAATAGGACCTATTTATATCATCTCTGAGCATGTCTTCTCGTTCGAGGCATCTGCGCGAGATGTAACCACAATAACGAGGCATCAACTACAAAAGGCCCGCGCCTTCCTTCCTCCGTTCCTTCCTCGACTTTCCCTTTCGTCCAATCTCTCAACAAGCCACCACCCGCCGAAACCTTCCATGCGCATCAACATCACACCTTCCATCTCATGCCACCACCCTCGCCATCATGAAGCTCGCCCTTCTGCTTCTAACCATGACTTTCGCCATGGTGAACGCCTACTACACCCTCAGCGTCTTCTCTCCAAAGGTCCCCCAGATTCATGCCCGCGTGATCAACGCTCGAAATAGGGCTTTCATTATCGGTGCTGCGCAGCCAAGTACCTTTTGCGATCTGAACAATGCGACGGAGTGTCCTGATGGGACTTCTACCCAGGTCAATGCAAACATGACTGGCCTTGCAGTACGTCACCCCCTTCCGTCAAATTCCCTTCCACTGATCGCAATAGGCTGCAGTTCCAGGTGGTCAACTCATCTTCGTCGCGCCCGATGGCATCATCTCGTACCCATCCGCCCACTCTGCGATGCGTCCACCAGGCTCCCAAATGGGAGGCTTTCATCCAGTGCATATCATCTCTGAGTGCCAGATGCCTGTCACGATACTCATGTGGTCGGCGGAGAACGGCAATTCTGGGCTCTGGGCTTGCCCGACAGCGAGGAACATGCCTGTCGCGAAGGAAGCGGTTCTCAAAGCGACGACGGGATTGTTCGAGGGGAAGGGGTGCTTGGAGGTGGATGGAGTTGAGATACAGACTGCCGGTGACAAGTTTGCGGCTTGGGCTTATACGTAAGGGATGGACTGAGAGTGAATGTTATGGGACGATGTGATTACGAGTTCAAGGAGGATGTGCCTGCTTTGTTTCGAGACGATTGTAGTTGAGGTCTTTGTGTGGGTTCATATCTATGTAATTGAAGAGGATCTCGAAGCTTAACGTCACTTTGCAATATCCTTTGTCTCTTGTACATTCATGTGAGTAACAGAAGTACTGTCCAAGGCAGAGACCACTGATATAAAGTAGAATGAGGGCTGGTCTAAGCCAGCACCAAGTGGGCACATTGTTTCGTCTCTCAACTTTCGTTGCTTCCCTCCTGACTCACTCCCAGCACTACGCCAAGGACCTTACCTAGTGGGACAGAGCAGCCTTCTAGCTGTGATTCAGAGCTGAAGCCGTCCAAGCAAGCAGCCAGGTACTGCCAAGCAGTTACTGAGAGTGATTGGTGGTTATTGGCAGCTGGCAGATGCCTGTCATTGATCGGGCTGTCAGGTCACACAGATGGAAGCTAGTGGAACGCACATCAGGGCTTTGACAAAATACCCTTCTGTCTCCTGCTGCTTTTTCTTCCTCTTCTCCTTCCTTCATCCGCCACATCATTTGCTCTCGGCGTTCGTACACATCTTCAGCTCTTTACACTTCTTGTCCCGACCAAGCATCCATTCGCACACACAATGGGTGCACAGGAGTACCAGCCCCCGACAGGATTACTGTCAGTCGCTGAGGTAAGTACCTGTCTGCTGATCCCTTTCTCTTGTTTCCTGTACTCTCCTGCCCATCGCATCGAGTCCGAGCTAGGCAACTCGAAAGAAGTCCTCTAAGGCTTAGGGTGCCAAATACAAAGGGCCTTAAATGCAAGTCTAAGATGGCATAAAGTCCCCTAAACATTTCATCTCTTAGGCTTCATTTACTAAAATATGTACTCACAGATTGAGGAGCGTCGACCGTTGGTGCACAAGATCGAGCAGACCATCCGACGCCACAACGACGAATTCAAGATGCAACAGAAGCATCTTGGACCTGCTTTCTACCTACCTCGACCAGTCCTTGACGCTTACATCGACAACAAGCCCAGCGGGCTACAGGAGCTTCTTGAGAGTAACTGTCACCTCGCTTCTTCGATCCAGATTTGGGAGCCAGCTGAAGATGAAGAAACCCGGGCCGCTTCGTCTCGCGACCGACATGCCTGCATCATCTCTCGCACTGCCTACCCGGCAATTATGTATGTTTTTCCAGGCTCCATGGCAGCAGACCCTCAAGTCTGTGAACAAATGATGTCGATGATGGGGTGTGAGTTGAACCCCAAGCATGAATTCGGCAGTCGTGGAAACATGTTCGCCATACACCGAGGGCTGGCCGTGTGGCGACGCATGGGCTTCTGGACTTTTGAAAGCATCCAGGAGCCTCAGAAGACTGACAAGGGTTGGGAGAACGCCCTGAAGTTCTATTGGCTCCCTGATTGCAGCAAGAAACTCGAACCTGGTGAGAGCATCGAGTCCATCGAAGCTATCATTGATCGAGTCATCCAATGTTTGACTGTGGCCCAATCCAACGGACTGCCGGCTCGCTCTCCTGCCGAAGGTAGCGGCGTCATGGGACATTGGCTTGATACTGAACAGATGCTGCGCAGCGGTCACATCTTCAGGGTCCAACACGAGACCAAGGAAGAAGCTGTCGTCTTCCGCAACATGATCAACAAGCACTGGGTGTACTCACGTGTGTCGATGATCAGTTGCTAGACTGTCACTTTTGGGTTTCCAGAGGACGACGCAAATGGTAACCGCGTTGATCCTCGCAATTAGAAGGCTGAATTATTCTTCTTCTTTCCAACATCGCCATTCGCAGCAGAAACAGGTAAGCACCACATCGGGACCCGGCCTAGGGAATCAAGTCTTCTGACCAATTCTGAATGCAGACATCCATATCCCGATACTCTCGTCGATTCCCACTGCGATATTCCGTATTCCTTCTCGCCCATTGCCGCCTCACTCGCCTACTGCCTCCAGTGTCAGGGTAGGATTGGCCACCTCGAACATGAGAGATGGATAATTTAGTCACCTAGTGCTGGCTTGGACTCGCACTGAGCATTCGGGTGGAATGATCAAAAGGCCTGGCATATGAGATCGTAGAGCTTAGGTACTTATGGAATTGATTCTGCTATGGCAATTGCGATCCCCTACTGTGGCAAGTATGACGATCAAACCTAGACGAATGTCAGCCATGTTCATCGCGACCTTTTCAGTTCAACACGTACCTCCTGCACCGGCTTCACCTTGACGACCTTGGTCTTCTTCATCTTCCCACCCCGGTAACTGTACGTGAACTCCCATCCACTCCCCGCAGCACCATGGTTCCCGTACCGATCCACCACGACAATACCGCTCTTGAGATCAGAGAACTTGCGCACCATGCGAAGAACCGCATCTTCGGCTGCTTCCTTGGGAGATAGACCCCGACTCAGACTGTCGAGCGCTTGGTAGCAGGGGAGGAAACGGAGCATGATGTCGCCGTCGCCTGTGGCGCCACAGCCGCCGAGCGAACTGTCAGCGTAGGAGCCGCTTCCTACGATGGGACCATCGCCGACTCGTCCAGGGATCTTGTGCGATGCGCCGTTTGTGGTTGTTCCCGCGGCCAGACTTCCGTCTTTGGTGATGGCGATGAGAGAGAGGGTGTCGTGTGAGGATTGAGCTTTTTGCTGGGCTTGCTTGTTCTTTGCTAATGGACGGTAAGGGCCGCAAAAGTGTTCGGGGTTGGGACTGACGTTGACACGATAGTTGGGTTGGCATTTGCTAGCCTGCCACTCCTTGCACTTCTTCGCCGATGCCTTGGTGGTGAGGTTCGTCGTTTTAAAGTCATTCTGGACAGCGAATTGGGTAGCTTGATCACCTGCGAGGAGCGAATGACTGGTGTACTCAAGAACATGTCTCGCCACGGAGATAGCATCTTTGACGCGACGCAGAGCAGCCACAGCGCCTGTATTCATGGTATCACCATCAATGATGAGAGCATCAAGTGTCGTCTCACAGTTCTCGTCGGGAGAGCCTCCGTATCCAACACTTCCATCGCATTGATTGCGCTCACATGTCAAACCGCCAATCTCAACAGCGTCGACAGCTGAGGTCTTGGACTTTTGCAGAGCATTGAATGCGGCGTCCGTAGCCGCGGTGAAGTCGCCGCCCCAGGTGTTGATGACGAAGGGAAGGCCTGGTGAATTACCCGCTTGAGCAAACGCCGCGATCGAGGCAATTCCCAATAACAGGGGAACGGGAGTCATTGTTGAATGAGGGTATGTTGATGGTAAAAAGTTGGCAAATTTGGAGGATGGAGTGGCGTATCTTATACGACTTTCCGAAACCGACGGTTTCTGATAAGCCTTCCAGGGGTATTGGAACTTAAAAATGCATGGTCCCAGTCTGGACCGGAGTGGTGTAGTAATTTCGTTGTCTCGAGGAACGTGATACAGGACTGTCAAAGTCAAACGTTGTAAGACGATACGATACGGTAGTTGTTGACCAGTAAACTTGGGGTGTTGATGATGGCAGGGATTCTCTGACGCGTGATTAAGTGTGATACGAGTGCTTATTTAAACCCCTCATTCCAAGCATCATTCCTCTTCTTTTTCCTCTTACTCTCTACATTCCCTGTTTAGCAGAAGTACATACATACACTGAAAGTTATCGTGATTGAATTGACATCGCACTGCACCATGAATGAAATGGCCGTAGCTGCATCTGACACTGTATCCTCAGCCCTGACGTCCTGTCTGGCCAATGCAATCGACATCTACAACGCTGTACAACGTCAAAGTGACACAAATCTTGCTCGCTTATTCGAGACCTTGGTGTCTTCGGTACAGTGTGTCAAAGATCTAGGACCTGTTCCCGGGAATGTCTCGTTGATCAAGTTTGCGTGCATTCAGATCGCTGATGATCTCTTGGTGCACTTTCAGCGCCTTGATGGTGGACCAGTTGACGTTTGCGGGGTCTGGGGAAGGGACGATCTTAGCGCGCTACGGGGCAGGCTTGGGGAGGTTCTTGGGCTGTGCCAAGATGTTTTGCCGAATTTACGGTATGTTTTGTTTCGTTTCGTTTCGCCAGCTACTGATGATCTCAGTGATATTTGTCGACCTGTACTTGCTGGTTCACAGATCCATGAACCTGAATATGCTTCGATTCAACCAACCGAGAAGACGATTGACAAAGGTCCGGAAGCCCAAAATGTCGAAAGCACGGTCGGCGTACCTGCCAAGAAACCGCCCAGGCTCGCTCCTGCCGGTCTCATCAACAACTTCATCCTCGAGAGCTTAGCCTATAAGAGCATGCACGACCGTGAGAGTCAAGTGACCGAAGCGCACGCAAAAACTCTCGACTGGATCTTCGACAACTCGCTTATCTATCAATCTCTGCGACGAAAGTTCAGGGACTCTTTTACCGCATGGCTCAATGGTTCGGAGCTTAGTCCCATCTACTGGATCACTGGCAAGCCTGGCTCAGGGAAATCGACTCTTGTGCGATATCTTTTGCAGCACCCTGTTGCTCTGCATCATCTTCGAAAATGGGCCGGCAAAAAGACTATCAGTACTGTTGGGTTCTTCTTTTGGACGAGTGGTTCGATGCAGCAGCGGTCACAGACTGGTTTGTTGCGATACTTGCTTCATCAACTCTTGTCTTCTGATCCAAATCTTGTTGAGAAGGCATTTCCAAGCCTTTGGGCGCATTTGCGACAACTGACCACTAAGGAAAGAGTCAACTTTGCGCTTGACTGGGCCGTTGGAGAACTGCAAGCTGCGTTTTACTCTCTCCTGGATGCGGCCTTGCCTCAGACCAACATCTGCCTATTCATCGATGGCCTGGATGAGTTTGAAGGAGACCATATGCAGATTATTGACTTCTTCAAAGGCTTGACAATGAAACACGATGGCTCGCTGAAGCTCTGCCTTTCCTCCCGACCGTGGGATGTCTTCGAGAGGGCATTTGGAAGCTCCGTTCCGAACACGAAGCTGCAAGACCTCAGTTACGAAGACATGTATCGCTATGCACTGGATACGCTCAAGACTGATCCGCGACTCCGACGGCTTCTCAAACAGGATCAGGATCAGGAAGCTACCCGTAGCTTGCTCACGTCAATCGTTGAGCAAGCCGATGGTGTGTTTCTGTGGGTCAGACTTGCTGTTGAGAGAATGCTTGCAGATCATAAGAGACGAAATAATATGACTACCTTATGTAGGTTTAGACCAGCACTTAGGCTACTTTATTTTGGCGCCCTAAGTCTTAGGATAATTCTTTTAACACGCATCAGCAGCGGAGGCGAACGGGTTTGAGAGTCTCAGAACCACTCTGGACAGTCTTCCTACCGAACTTGATGACCTCTTCGCGAAGCTACTCCTTGAAGACCAAACGTCGTCTGACATCACGCAGACTGCAACACTGTACCAACTCACACAGGCTAGGGAAATCGTCGCAGACTTTATTAGAGATGAGTCTGCTAACTCCCTAACTGTATGGGAGCTCGCCTTTGCCCTGCTCGAAGATGACGACGGGCTTGCATTGAATCGTCAAGTCGTCAAAGCAACAGACGAGGAGATTGAGGCTCGTTGCCAGACAACTATCAGAAGCATTAAGGAACGGTTTGCTGGTCTTCTGAATGTCCACGTTATCAAGCCGGTAGGTAACATGCGCTTCGCTGACAAGAGACAGAGTGTCGCAGGTCTTGTCACCACCAGTAAAGTGGTCTACATCCACCGCACAGTCCGCGACTGGCTCGTTCAATCCGGCGCATCTCGTCTCGCATCTTTCCAAGACTTACGCTTCGATTCTCATCTTCGACTTCTTCGGTCTTACGTCCTCCGACTCAAACATCCCCTCGAAGAGATTGAACACCATCGTCGGTTGAATGAGTGGTATCCCGATATCGCTCTCGCCATGACACATGCTCGATACATCGTTAACGATGATGGGAAGCTGCAGCGGAAGTTCCTGAATGAGATGGACAAGACAATCTCGTGGCTTTGGCTGACAAAGGAGTCAGACGAGACTGACCATTGGGCGAAGAGCACGTTTGGGTCTTATGAAGTGAGGATGAAGGCGCCGCCTATTCACAACCCGTTCTTGTGTCTTGCTGTCAAGTTTGGCTTGACGACATATGTCTGTGCAGAACTTGCCAACATGACCCAAAACGTCGCAGATGGAGACGATGGGTCTACGCCATTGTTGGCATATGCCATAGAGTTCCTCTGTTCGCGCAACAAGACCATCTTCCCCACGTCATCGCCCTCTCTCGTCAAGTATCTACTCTCGCACCAAACACCCATCAACCCCGGACCAAATCACAAGTACAAGCACTTCGAGACCCACCAGCCATTGACTCCATGGGTTACTGTCCTCCGTCACCTGCGTGATGCGAAACGGCGAGGATGGATAGAGTACTATGACATTAACCCAGAGGGAACTGCGCGCTGGGTTGAGATTGTGAGGGAGTTCGTCAAGTACGCTGATGTTGAAGCTATTGTTCCAAGAGATACTTGGGATCCGGAGATCTCGGCTTTAGGAGTGATTGACATGCTGGTCAGGACGTACGGATCTGCTGAGATGGAAAGTATTAAGCTTGAAATGAAGAAGTCACTTGAGTCATGGCAGAAAGCAGCATAGGTAAGCGCGACATTCCATCTCAGTCCGAATTTGGGAAGTTGGCTAACGAATCCTGAGGACGAAATACAGAAGAAAATGACTGAGATGACCTCAGTATCAGAAGAATTGACATCCGAAGGCTCAAGATATGGAACGATTTGGTCACTTCATGTTAACCAAGACTAGAACTTGGGCTACTTTATTATTTTAACCTAAGCATTTGAAGACAGTTCTTCTAACACTCACTTGGAGGCCGAAAGAAGTGGTTGAGACTCGGCGAGTAATTTAAGCATTCACAAAAGACAATGACAATCACAACGGAACAAGTATTGATTCAGAAAGGGTTTTATTAATCAGACTCAGGGTCATAATATACAGCAGAATATTGAAGGTTCATCCCATGTGTCGGGATGGACAGGACACAATGATCCTTGAAAGGTTTTTTTTTACACAATCACGCTCAGCGTGTTGCTAAAGACAACTTGAAGCTCGGGAAAGAAGGAGCTTAGTTGAGCATGTCACGGGCGTGACGGCGGGCCTTCTTGGCCTTGCAGCCAGTCTTGGTGGGCTGGGGAGCAGCGGGGGAGGTCTCGACGGGAGCGGAACCACCGTTGTTGTTGTCGTTACCGGCAGCGGGAGCAGACTCGACGGGGGCAGCAGACTCAGCGGGAGCCTGGGTGGCGGAGGGAGCGGGAGAGTCAGAGCCGGAGCCAGTGCTGGGGGTAGCGGGGGTGGAAGGAGCAGAGCCGGAAGAGCCACCGGACATCAGCTTGGGACCGGGGATGGGGTAGCTGGTGGGGTTGCTGTAGAGGTCGAACTTGATACCGGCATCGTCAGCCTTGTAGAGGCTGGTGCCAGCAACACCCTCGGGCTCGTCGGAGCCGGAAGACTCAACCTCGAGGTTGAAGCACTGGGGGTAGTTCTGGGCACCGTTCTCCTGGCCAGCGGCGTGGAGAGCGATGATCTCGTGACGGAGGACGTAGTTACCGCTCTTGATGGAGGTAGGGACGGTAACCTCCCAGGAGTTGCCAGCGGCAATGAGGTCGTCAGAGGCGAAGTTGCCACCGGAGGTCATACCGGCCTCGGCGATCTTGAAGAACTTGAGGCTCTCCTTGTCAACCTTGGCGCATCCCTCAGCACCGCAAGAAGCGAGGTAGTCGATGACGGGACCCTTGTGGGACTCGGGCCAGGTGTCCCACTTGATGGTGATCTTCTCACCGGCCTTGACCTTGGCGGACTTGACGGCGTTCTCGGCACCGCGGTGGCAGATGATGTCGGCATCACCGAAGGCGGAAGGCTCAACGAAACCGTTGTCGGTGTTGGTGGCGAACCAGGCAACGAGCTCCTTGCGGGGGTTCTCGTTGGCAGCGGCACCGGGGTTGAGACCGTCGTAGTCAGTGCCACCAACGGAGATGGACTCGACGTGGCCGTGAGCACTGACACCGGCAGCGGCGACGAGAGCGGCGAAAAGGGTCTTGGTGAGGAAAGACATTTTGATTGTGTAAAAAAGTTGAAGTGTTTTGTTTGGTAAAAAGAAAGTGGTTGTGATAGGTTGATCCGACTGGCGGTGATATCAAGTTTGGATAGATGAAAGAATGAATTGAACTACTTCTGTCAAAGAAGAGTGAAAGAATGTGCAAAGATCAAAGTGAATGGAATGAACTGCTGTATGAGACTGAGTGAGTGAAGAAGAAAGTCCATTTGAAGCGGGATGAAAGACGATACTTATATCGAATCGAGGTCGTGGTTCGACGGGGTAGTTTCCCGCCTTGGACAGATAAAAGGGCAAGGATGTCTTGTTCGGCCGATATGCCATCAAGGATCTGACGCCTCAAGGTTGCATTGCTCGTGGCCCCGGCCAGTTTCAGGGTACCAGGGTTTGCTTCTTGGGGCGCCAGCCGTTGAGGAGACGGGTTAATGGGGATCGAGATATTAGCAGATCATGCAACGATTGACTTTGACTACTGCGAGCCATTGCTTAACAAGCGAGAGTATAGCACAGGCTAGTTTACGTTTACGAGTATTCTATTCAAGATGAAAATAAGCTTAAGCTTGAACTTGACAGTCTTGTCTCTCTGTCAAACTAGTCCACTCTCCCCATGCCATGTCAACGGTGGTGGTTCCTTCAGTTGACAACGGTCAAACCATCTCCAGAGAGAGTTATCTAGGCGAGCTGCCACTCTCACCCGAGCGCTTCCCATCTCCCTTTCTCGCATGGTGGATCTCTCTGGGCTTGGCTGTACCTGAAACTCTCCAAAAAGACAAGATGGATGGAAAAACAACAACCTCGTGGGTCTCTAAGTGCTCGCTTATTCTGGTTCCTGCTTTAGCGCCGGAACAACGGTCACGGTGTTTATTTTTCCGCAAGTCTCGTTAGATCCCGCTGTGGAGACGTCTGACCTGGATCAATCTTCCTGAGACTGTTTTCTCGCTTGGCTTTCTAGACGCTGATACCCCTGGTGAGATGAACAAGGTAGAGGGCAGGCAGAGTTGAGATGACGCGAAGCCTTATCCAGATTAAAATTAAACATGGAGTTTTTCTTTTCCAAGGTCAAGCGGATGTCAGGACCGAAAATGCCTACAGGCGTTAATCATTGCCACGAGGGGATGTCGTAATCCGAACTCTTTCGTCCTTGACCCGCTGGATCGGTGTCGCATTTTCTGGTGAAACGCTTTGAGCTTCAAGATGTCCCTTTCCAACCGAAAATTAGGCCAGACACCCAAAGAGACAGTCACCCTAAGCCACATTCAGCTTTACAGTCTGTTAATGTTTTTGTATGTTTCTATAAACTGTCAATCGTGTATCAGATTGCAGAACATTGTTTTGTCTATCATGAGTGACTCAGTAAACATCGCGTGATGCTACCTCATACCCTTAAGATAGCGGTGTAAAATGGTACCATGTGAACAGCAACAATTCTCAACAAAAAAAAAACTCACCCTATAGTCCCATAAAGATGCTGATCTGGAAGGTGAATTCTCGCTCTCGCTTAGAGTCCAAGCCTTCCATTTTCCTTTTTCTCTTGATCCAAGCTTTTTCTCCCACCACTTTAATTCCGGGTTGTTAATTTCCCAAGACCCAAGACCCCTTTTCTCCCACCGCTTGTCTCCAACTTTTGGCAGACGGAGAAACAAAACGACCAAGGAAATAATCCCACGCTCCTTCCTGCCTTGGTTTTCTTGCATCTGAATAAGATTTATGGATTCTGACAGGTCGAATGCAATGGCGGCGCAACTTGAGACACAGGGGCTTACGGAGCAGGGATCTCTGAAACCTGACGTGCTGCAGGAACAGGAACAGGAGGAGGGGCGGATGAGACCAAGCCTACAATTTACTGGTCATCAACTCTTTTACGTCTTTGGTTTGGATGGTGTGGGTGCCATGCTTTTATCCGGTGGCGTTAATTTTGCATTGGCTTACCGTGAGTACCACTCCATGATCTAACGATAAGATATACTAACTGATGCTATAGCCATGTACACCACTCAAGACACAGTCAACAACCCAATACGCTTGTTTCAACTGCCGAACACTCTATCGGGCGATGCCGCTGTCACCATCATCATCCAGTGCATCCTTACCTGGTTCGTCGAGATGGGTCTTGTAAGCTACGATCTCTCCAAGCGGTCCGTCCAACCCGTCGGCTTCATGCCCGAGCCAACATCCCAGTGGATGCGATGGCTATTCTTCCTACCACCCAAGACCGAGAAAGCGCCACCGCCTGAAGACTCTTCATTGATCAACACCATCGTGCAAGGAGCACTACGAGGCTTCATGTTTGCAATTGCAGGCTTTGTACTCCTCTGGCCACTCTCTGTAGGCGTGTTGACCACGGTCGGTGAACGCGACGGCGGAGACTGGCGGTATGAAGATCGATGGACACCGCAGGCTTTCAAGGCTATTCTTGGTGGAGTTCTGAGTTTGCTGACGACGCCTTTGATGGCTCTGTTCTGGCTTGTCAAGGCGGGCTGGGAGGGGAATGATGAGCGGTCTGATGCTAGAGAGTCGAGGCGGGTTCAGTATGCGAATGCGCCCGTCTCCGCTGTTTAGAGGCCAAGAGGTGCATTGGGCGAGATGGGCTCATGTCACAGACGGATGAATTGATGACTTGACGGAATATTGGGCTTCGCAATACACTTAATGTTAATAACTGGGATGGAATGGAGGATTGTGGAGGTCAAGACATGTCAACACTTGGCGGTTTGGGCTCGGAAAATAATTCGGTAGATGGCGGAATAACGATGGCAGGAGGAAGCTCAAAGCCCATACTTAATGAGATATGAGTAGCCAATCATAAATAGATAGATTGCATAGAGTATTCGTAATAATAGCAATTGTTGCATTGAACCCACCCCGCTGCCGCGATTCCGGTGATGAGTGGTGTAGGGTGAGTTGTCTTTAATTGAGCCTCATCTCACTCAAGCTCAAAGCTCGCCCAGACTGGACGAGGATTAACAGGACGAGTGAATAAAATAAGTTCAGAACTATCTATGAAATATTATATTTAGACCTGCAAACTATGTGCAGAAGTGTGTGTTGACGAACGATGTTTAACCAACCGTCAGCGGGATAGAAAAATGGATTGCTAAGATCACAAGAAACGGAATTCATGGATCACCTCATACCAACCTAAAATAGAGCTCAGGGTAATTTATCCTGATAGCCTAAGCTTTAGAGGTCATTTCTTCTATTGTCCACCCGGTGAAAGAGAAGTGTAGGGTGAGTCGTCTTCAATTGAGTCTCATCTCTCACTCAAGCTCTCACGAGTCGCTGAGGCGAGAGAATAAAGAAGGATGAGCAATGATCTATAGATATCACTAATAAAACAATTACCGATAAGAATGATGAGATTTGAAAACTATGTATGTAAGTATATGTTGAGGAACAATACTCAATCGTCTTCTATCGACGCGCACCTCAAACCGGTCCGTTCGGGCCATTGTATTTGATGGGCCTGCACTTATAATTGTCCAGCATAATATAATTCTCACCACCCCCGTTCTCGTCTTGCGGACTAGCAGCCTGGATATACAACGTGTCCGTCCCACCAGACGTCTTGAACTCGATGCTAGCAGAGTACCACCGTCCAGGATAATAAGGTTCCCACAAGTTATCTGGCTGATTGAACCTGTTACCCAGAAACTTGTTGGGCTTATACCAAATATCATCATTCCAGTACGTGCGGATGAAGGGGATCCAAGTGCCCAGTTTTTTAGTCCTGGGGTCTTCCATTACACGCTCGTACTGTTTGTCGATGTAGTAGTCGTAGCTGCATTGGAAGGTCACGCCTGCGCAGGATTTTATGTCTTGCCACATTACGAAACTGGTGTAATTGACAAGGTTTTGGCTTTTCATGACTTTCCCGTGACCGTCGACATCTGCTTTGTCCCAGTCAAACGCGGAGTATATACTCTTCCACCATGGGCTGGTCCCGGCTGGGTACTCAAAGTCGCCGTCCTTGATGGGCATTTCGCATATCTTGGTTTCAACGGGGCGCGCTGTAACGGTTACCTGAGTGGAGAGGACGGTGGTAATGGTTGATGTAACTCCATTGGTGACCGTGGTGAGGGTCGTAAGCGTTGTAGTCGCGATTGTGCCGACAGTGTTGGTAGCTTCAATTGAGTAGACAGATGTCGCGTCCGTGAAAATCGTCTTCGTGTAGGTAAACTTCTTGACGTCTGTAACAGCAACTGGCACAACGCTGGTGAACGCATCGTAGACGGTCTCATCAGCAGTAGACAGCGCAGTAGAGGTGACTTCCACAGTAGTCTCAACAGTGATAGTAGGCAGAGTGGAGGTAGATGTCTCGGCGATATCGATTGTCTGAACGACAGGGAATAATTTACTGCGAAGGTCATAAATGTCCTGCGTGCGGGTGACTTCCACCCACGTGTATCCAGTCGCTATACCGTAGAGAGTGATCGTGTCAATGATGGCGATTTCCTTGGTGACCTGCTTCACATCATCATTTGTGACAACCTTGGTGATAAGAGACTGAGCAGTCGGCGTCGAGAGAACAGTCTCTGTGACATCCTCATAAACTGTAAGCGTCACTATAGAAGTGGTCCCATCTACGACAGTCGTATCCGTGACAGTCTTATGAGTTGTGACGGTCGCAGCGGTGGTGAGGGTCAGCGTGACAGTCTCACCATAGATCTTGTCAATCGTGGTGGATTTCTCGACAATCGTTTCAAGACCCGCTGAAGCGTAAACAGTTCGCGTAGGAAGGTCAGGCAAGAAGCATGAACACGCGCTGTGGTAATGAGATTCGCCGAATTCGTTGATCCAATGTTCTTCGAGGCTTTCAAGTCGAGGAATACGGGCCTCGACGGCGGCGCGTTTCTTGTTGTTCAGCCAGGGGAACTCGTGCTGAGTATACGTCTTGCCCTTGATCTTGGTACTGGTTGAAGTTGAAACAGCTGTCCGATGTCAGTATATTCTTGTAGGGATCGGGAGGTCAGAAGAATTGGCCGTCGAGAGCATAAGAGACGAAATAATTTGGCCACCTTATGCTAGCATTTCGGCTCGCGTTTAGGCTACTTTATCTACGTAGCCTGAATCTTGGAAGATAATTCTTCTGACACCCGTATAGATCAATTGAAGATACTCACAAGTCTCGGTAGTCTCGGTCGTCCACCCAACCGTTGTAATAGTGCTCGTGGCAAAATTCGTGTCAGTGCTAGTAGCGATCGTCTCCTCCATTGTATCCGTCGCGGTAGTGATGTCGAAGGTCGTCGTAGGAACAGTAGTGTAGTCAGTATCTGTCGAAGCGAGGGTGACTGTAGTCCAAGTCGAAGTAAGGTAATCGGTGGTTGTGTACAAGACATGCGTGCGCGTAGACGGTATGGAGTAAACGACAAATGTACGTGAGTTGGTGAGGTGAATAGTCATCCCGGGCGCGAACTTGATGGTTGTACCGGTGACTACATACTCCGTAGACGTAGTAGGGATGCTCTCAATGCTGGTGATAGTCTCAGTGGTAACATCCGTAGATGTAGCAGTGGTGATCTCGGTAGTGTCAGTGATCACAACGCTTGTTTCGGTCCCGGTTACATCGTAGACTGTATCAACGCTCGTGGAACCGACATAGTCAACATCGGTAGTGTAAACGGTCTCGTAAGCAGTGGGGAGCTCAACGATCGTGCGAGCGACCGTATTGTAAATGGTCTTTGGCTCGATGATCTCAATGCTTCCATCGCGACGAACAGCCGTGACAGTTCTGTCCTCTCCAGCGACATAGTTGGTAGAAGGCGCGTCTAGAACGATCTTTGTCTCATCGGGGAGATCTTCTATCACAGTGTCGAGCTCGGTAACTGTTGTTTCTGCTGCAGATGTAGCTGCGACAGTGGTGACAGGCTCGATGGCAGCGGTGCAGACACTGCTGGCGTAGTCCGTCGTGCCTTCGAAGGACGCAATGAGAGCGTCATTTTGCCATTCTGCATTTGTGCCTTTGGAAGGGTGAGTATATAGACGTCTGAGTTCAGAGGAAAGACTTACAGTAATCGGCTGAAGTGGTGGTGGTAGCAGGGCCGGCGGTCGTACTCGTCTCGGACTCGCTCGTCGTTTGAGTGGTCGTATCTGTAGTGGCAGGGTCTGTTGTACCGCTGGAGACGCCGCTTGTAGAGACACTGGTGGTATAAGAAGTATCTGTGGTCGCCGAGTCGGTAGTCAAGCTGGAAGTATCGGTTGTAGTTCCAGAGGTTGTGTACGAAGAAGCGTCAGTGGTAGTATAGCCCGTAGTGATGCTAGAAGTATCCGTCGTAAGGCCAGTGGTCTCCTCGGTAGTCGCAATCGTAGGGCCACTAGTCCTGGATGAGGAAGCGTCAGTGGTGGAAGCGTCTGTAGTCATGCTCGAGACGTCGGTCGTAATACCCTCCGTCGCGTGGGAGGAAGTTTCGGTGGTGGCAGAACTGGCGATGGAGCCAGACGTATCCGTCGCGAGGCCGGGGGTCTGCTCATTGCTAGTCTCACTCGTAGCACTGTTGATCGTGTCAGACGAGGTATCGGTGGTGACAGAAGCCGAAGTGAGGCTGGAGGCAGTCAGGGTGGTATCACTGGTTGCGTAAGAGGAAGAATCCGTAGTGCCTGAAGCCGCAAGGAAAGTAGATGTATCAGTCGTAAAGTCAGTGGCCTCGTTAAAAGTCGCAGTCGTAGTAAGACTGCTAGTCGCAATTGCCTCATCATCATCGGTGGTTGAAGTCGTCGTAGAACCGGTGGTCGTAGTTGCCTCATTCGTCGCCTCACTCGTAGCAAAACCGGAAGTTGCAGCTGACTCTTCCCCAGTCGAAGCAGTCACTGTCGTAGCATGACCGGTAGTCGTGACTGCGTCTTTGTCTGTCGTCACTGTGGTCGCAGTGGTCGACAAACTCAGCGACAAACCATCGCTGCCCGTCTGCGTCTCAATACCTTCCGAGATCTTTGTTGAGATACCGGTGGAAACGCCCACCGAGAGCTCAGTGATAACGCTCTCAGATGTAGAGGTGAGACTAGACAAATCCGTAGAGGTCTCACTCGTCGCAATCGAGACAGCATGAGAAGTGACAGGCTTCGGCTTACAAGGACTGGCGAAAACATCAAACGAATGCAAGGCCGAAGCCAAACAGAACGAAAGGACAAGACGGCGAGCCATCTCTAGCCACTACACTCGCAAACAAACACGAATACAACGTAAAATGCACACACAAACTCCCCGCGGATGGGTGGGAAACACTGATCTTTATTCCCAATTACCCTCACCTCTTCCTGTCACTTCTTCCACTACTTTAGAATCGCCATCATCTAGAACGAAGGATTAATTGCTTCGGAGCTGAATTGTCAAGCTATCGATTCCCTAAAAAGCACAACCAGGGGTCAATTGGTTAGTCAGTGGAGACAGTGAAGAAACTATCGATTTGACGATAGCTTCATTAAGCACGAAAGCCCGACCAACGCTTCTGACCGATTGGCGCTTGTCGGGCGGTTTATCCCCCCTTTTATTTACGATTTGCGAAAGACCCTGTGGCGTTATTAGTGTCTGTTGGTGCAGTTTCATGAGAAGTTGGTCTCATGATATGGCGGTTCGACCAACTCACATGTTCATCCTGGCGCAAGATGTTGGTTCATGTAAGTGTAATTTCCACAAAATTTTAATAGAAAATTTTAATAGATATCAATCTTTCCGGGGTATTAATTGATCCAAACGTCAGGCCTCCTCCAAGAAACACCATCACCAAGCCCCTCACTGAATCTGCCCCGCCCAAGCTCACATTCTCTTGGGATTCACAAACACCAAAATTTCCTCCCAAGCCTTAACCAATGATGTACCCATCGCTTCAATGATAGTCCATATCTTTTGCGGAATATACTTGATCAGCCAAAGCACAGAGTACCCGAGCCACCAGATACATTCACCAAGAGTGCCAAAGAGCGCTTTGAGCACATCGTAAATCGTCCTGCCGAACGACACAATGAACCGGCCGATTGCTTTGGGCGCGTCTATGAAGATGGCGCGGACGAGAGAGCAGAAGCCGTTCCATATATCTCGTAATGTGATGCCGCGTAGGAATGTGGCAATTGCCATTAGTGTTGTGTGGAGGAAGGAGAAGAACTTCATGAAGATGTTGCTGATCGCTTCGCCAATGTTCTTTAATCCACGACCGATCCAGTTCAGAACCTTCATTATAGAGCCTGGTATTTCCTTCAGCACTCTCCAAAGCGACTGGAAGACGTACTTCACGAATGACGGAATCTCCTTGATACCCTTCCAGATCGCTTTCCCTGCGCTTTTGACGTGTCCAGGTATCGCGATGACCCCCCTCTCGATCTTCCCAGGCAATTCCTTGACGAAATTCTTGATCTTGTGGCGACGTCTCCAAACCGCACAGCAAAGCTCCTTCGGCGCCTCGTACAAGAGAAGTTTGGGAAAGTCCCATACCAGTATCCTTATGAAGTTGAACAGCTTCTCTGCAGCGCGTCTCGCCCTCTCCATTTGTTTGCGATGCACATGCATCCATCGCTTCCACGAGCCCCCACGGATATTAGGTAGATATTGTACGATTTCGAGATGCTTGTTGATTGCTGCGAGTCGCAACGCGATCGCGCCATCTGGGGCGATAAGATCGTGTTTCGCGCCGTAGTCTTCGATCAGGACTTTGACCAGCGCCAAATGGCCACTCTCGGCAGCCACCATCAACGGAGTCCGCTCCGGCAAGTCGTCGACCTTGATGCGTTTATCCTCGCTTTTCACGCGACCGTATTCGTTGACGCTTGCGCCGAGCGCGACAAGACGACTGACCATGGGCAGTTTACCCGCGCGCACAGCAGCAATCAATGGCGTTTCTCGATATCGACTCGTGGTATCGGGCGAAACCCATCCGCGGGATATAAAGTCGGTAACAACATCATCGTGTCCGTTTTCGATGGCGCGGAAGAATGCGTCGACAATGTCGGTCTCGATACGGTAGGCTTCATGGTACGTGTTCCAATCCGCGTCGTCAGTTGGACGCTGTAGATTCGTGGAGCGACCGGCGGGTGAATGAAGAATCGGGAACTCTACACCGGAGGAAGCTTCGATGCGATTAAGCAGGTCGTCATTGTCGGTAGCCGAGTATGTCGGCAGGGGAATATCTTCGGATGGCGATGTCATTTACGAATATCAATGGAGGTTGACCAGCTGTCAATCCCGCTGGGGAGCGGGCCATTATTTGAATGCATATTTGATGTCGTGGCTTTGGAATTTGGTGTTTGTTGGCGTCGGGCTGTGTAAAGCAAGTTGAAGCCATACCGACATTGTGGGAAGGTTGCTCAGCTGGCTGTCCTGCCACCACCAATGATGTAGTTAGTGCAGGGGTGCGTAAATTGCGTGGGCTGTCCATAGGGCTGATCGTGTCAAGTTTCAGTGGAGACACTTGTCATTGCTGGGCTTGGAGGGGGTTAAAATTGCAGTGTAGAGAATCAGTCTCGGCCCAAATTGAGGCCAGTGAAGCACGCCCGCATCATAATAGTGAAGGAACCTAGTGGAAAAAAGATGCCTGCTACACTGCATCTTTAAGTAGGTATCATGAATCAACTGTAATTATTGTTCCTAACTTAAGCCCTTGGAGGGGCTTAAGATTGCAGTGAAGGAAATGTCACACCACGCTACGTGCGGCTCTGCAGTGAGTACCTAGGTACTATGTTTATTCTTTACTGCAATCTTAACCCCGTCCGAGGGCCCCAGAGAAGCCCGTTCCAACCTAGGAACCTACCTTGGAGCATCAGTGGTCTACGAGCGGCTCTACGAACGGCTCTGTGGTGAGTGGAGACCGCGCTTCTTCCTGGGATGAGGTGCTCTCGGAGAGGGTTAAAATTACAGTTAAGGAAATGGAAAAACTCGGCTCACACCTTCACTGCGATTTTGGCATCAGGTACCCTGGGTTTGAGTTTCCTTTTACCTTTGAAGGTGGTTAAGTGCAGTGAAGGTGTTGGCTGAAGGATCGAGGTACCTTAGTAGCCGGCTATTTTCGGCGGGATCACGCCTTCGGAGGGGGCTAGAATTGCAGTGAAGGAGTCAGGAGTGTAAAAAGGGATTGGATTCCAGCCCAGGCGTCCTGCGTTTAGAAAACGGTATACGTTATTGCTACCTTAAGCTCTTAAATGGGGTTATTATCGTGGTGAAGATGGTTATTCCTATATCATTACCCCGCCACTCCTGCAGGTTGAAGTTATGATTGCTTGGGGTCGGAGGGGTTTAAAATTGCATTGTAAAAGTGCGGCTTCCGGTTACCCTGGTCACCTTCACTGCAATTTTAGATAGCTTCAGTAACCTCCATTCCAACGCCAGCGAAATAACAACAAGATGACTCCTTCACAGTCCCTCACATTAATTCTAAAAAAGACACTTTGCTTCCAACCGCTTTTGCGAGCAACAGCTGAAAGGATGGCGTTTACTTGAACGGTTGCGCCCGGTAATTTAAGACCTTCTTTTTCAAAGTGGTCAGCTTACAGTTAACTACGTTGAAAACCCTTACCGTGACAGAAGCTATTACTGCCATGCTCAAGATAAGAAACTGATGGATGTCCATAATGCATAATTCTTGGACATTTGCACAGCCCATCCTCGATAATGCGTGCTAGATATCAGAGCTACTGTTAATCGATCGTGAAAAATGAAGCGATATCAAATTTCATACATCTTCCGCCACACAACCTTACCCTCCTTTGGATCCATGATAACTGCGTAGTGTGTCTCATCATTACTTATCTCATCGTGCTCCAGAAACTTAACCACATCAGCTTGAGTGACAACATCTCTGCTTTCCTTATACCGTCTTCGACAAACGAGTGATCTTTTCATCCACATCTTCTCTAGGCACTCTTTCCTGTCCAGCGATAAACCAACGAGTTCAGCCATGCCGAGTGCATTATCCGTGCTCTCTAACTCTGCTGCCGCTTGCTCTAAGCGAGAGGGGTCCTCCTCGTCTTTAAGATCGTGGTTGTAGGCAGTGAGAAATGTGTCAGAGTCGCGGACTTTGGCTTTTCTGTGGTCTTTCTCCACGATGTATAATCGTTCTGGTTGGCAGAATATGAGATATGCGGAAGTTGAGTCAGATGCCGTCAGCTTTTTCAACACCTTTTGTACGTAATTATCAGAGACACCGTGCTGTGTTGGATCGCCAGATATAGAACTTTCCGGTTGGCGCAACAATTCGGTCGACTCCTCTAGAAGAATATTTCTCAGGGCACTCGAGATGGATTGACGATAACCGAAGATCACCATAGCTTGGTTCCATCTGAAAGATAGTCGTTGACGCAGTGTCTCATTCGCATGGTATGGCCGAAAATTCAAACTCATGCTCAACCCTCTCCGCACGCCTGTCAGGACACCGACATAGCCAAGATAGGTAACTGTAGTAGCAATTACAGGCCCTCCAGCGGATTTCGCAAAGTCAAGCTCAACGATAATATGCCGGAGCTTATCCATTCCCCAATCCAGAGTCCGAAAATGTAACATCCGTGTTGTTCGTCCAGGCAAATCCAGCGTGCGAACTCCGCCGCTTGTACATCCTAGCAAGAGGTCTAGAAGTACGTTGAAAGCGACGAGAACATGCATAGGGATACTAATCGCTGTTGAAATTCCACGTAACTCGGCCGTTTCCTCTTCTGAGTGAACCCTTCGCATGAGATATGGTGAGATATTGGAGAGCCATTTTGATACATGCGAGCCGGTGAGGTCAAGAAGTAGTTCATCAAACAGACTTGGCAAGTCGCAAGAGGTGACGGCTTCTACAAAGTGCGGAATGATGTGGGAGTAACGCTGCTCAGGCGGCTGGGAGAGGTCGATGACGAATTTCGGTATCGTTGAAGAGCCACTCATTTGCGACGCTGGATTGAACTTGAGGGATCCCCAGGTTCTTGAAGTTGATGATCCGGATATGTGCGATAGGACAGAGGCAACTTCAGGACTGTCGTGCACTCTCATGGCTGCCTGGTCTGTAGCATATCACGTGATCATTGTCAGACTGATTATCGTCTGGTGTCTCTTCACTTAGATGTGTCCATGAAACATAACAGTCGGTGGGAGCCTGCCCGTGGACGGGGTTAAGATTGCAGTGAAGGAAGCCACAAAGCTGCATGCTTGGCAACTTGCTGGTCTTTCACTGGCCTTTAGCTCCAGACATCCCGGGTTCGAGGTATTGTCCATATGGATGCACTGTTCCTCCATCAAGCCCTTGGGAGGGTTTAAAATTGCAGTGAAGGGTATCACTATTATCAACAACTTTCAGCCGTGCCCTGGCAGGTGGGTAACAGGCCAACTCTTCTAACACCCTGAGGCCTAGTTAATCTGCTTCATCCCTTAAGCTCTTGGTGTCGGTTAAAAATGCAGTGAAAGATGAGCCCCAGCACAGCCTCAACATGGATTGCTACAGGTCCCAGCCATACAGCGAGCAGCAATGACAGCGCATGGTATGAAACAGCTGTCCACCTTATTGGCTCTCAAATGATCGGAGGTGACCCGATCAATGTTCCATCAGACTGCTTTTTGCGAAGTGTTCGTGATATATTCTGAGAACATGGGTGTCGAAACCTAATTCCAAGCATGAATGGGACCAATAACTATGACACCACCCGGCGAAAGATCGGGTTCTCAATCATATGACAGTGTATTAAGCCAATCACTTATCAAAGAATGGAGTATGCCAATTTCATGTCGATTGTCGCTACGACCTCGGTAATGACGCGATCGGACGGAACACCGAAAGTGTTACAGGGTAGCCAGTTTGGAGCAACCATACAGCTCACTTGCGCAATGTCAACAGTCAATAGTCAATCTCAAGCAAATCTCAGTAAAGGCTCATCGCGTATACCCGGCCTACGATGATGCTATATGCGCTATCTTTCCGTCTCCCAATAATGCCCAAAACGAGCGATGTTCCTTATCTTCAACGTCGATCTACCCCACCTCAACAGCCGCTAACTACATCCATTTGTAATCGTGAATCCTACGTCGTCTCAATATTAACTCAAGAGCCCATCAAAATCCCATGAACTTATCGTTCAAGAACAAGATCACTACTGAAACTCACCATGACGCTCGTCAAAGCCACCAGCAACAAGCCCCTCAAAGGCCACAAAGCCATCATCCTGCTCAACTCAGAGCCGCCCGAGGACCAAATTGACGCTATAAAGACACAATTCCCGGATCTTATAATCAAGGCATTCTCTGAAAAGAAGCATGGCGAGCCTCTGGAGCCGGCCTTTGATGAGAAGGAGTGGGAAGATACTAACATCATCTTAACTGCTGTGGCAACATCTCATCTGCTTCCGAAACCGGAGCAGGCGCCTCATCTGCAGTATGTCCAGCTTACCAGTGCAGGAGCGGACCATATGATGGATAAACCTATTTTCACCGATACGAAGATTCCTGTTTGTACGGCTAATGGCGTCCACGGGTGAGCTTTGCTGAGTTTGAGGGTAGGATGTTGCTGATGAAATAGGCCTCAAATTGCCGAGTGGGTTATTGGAACTTATCTGGCCCATCGACTTCGCTGTAAGTTACAGACCTCGTTTGAGAACTAAAACTAACGGCAAAATGAAGTGAAGGAATATTCGAAACTTCAAGATGAAGGTAAATGGAAGCGCATCAGCAAGAACGATGAAGATACAGCCGGCAAGCGAATGTACGACACCCCAATCTCAAAATCAAGGCTTCAAGCTAATAATCTGCAGCGGAATCCTAGGCTACGGCAGTATAGGCCGTCAAACAGCTCGTGTCTCCAAAGCACTAGGTCTGGATGTCCACGCCTACACCCTCCATCCACGCGACACTCCATCCTCCCGCCGCGATGAGTCCTACTCTCCACCCGGTCTCGGCGACCCAGAGGGCGAATTCCCCAGTAAATGGTTCTCCGGCGGCTCTACAGAAGAGATCCACGCATTTCTAGACTCAGGGCTCGACATCCTCGTCATTGCTTTACCTCTTACCGAGAAAACCAAAGATCTCATATCCAAACCTGAGTTTGAAATCTTTGCCAAGAGGGGAACCTTCTTGATTAATATTGCAAGAGGACCCATTGTTAACACAGATGATCTCATTGAGGCGTTGAATAACGAGGTTATTTCTGGTGCGGCGTTGGATGTTACGGATCCTGAGCCTTTGCCGGAGGGACACCCGCTTTGGGGAGCTAAGAATGTGACTATCACGCCTCATGTTAGTGGAAACTCGTCTTTCTATTACAAGAGGCTGTTTGATATCTTTAGGTTGAACTTGGAGAGGCTTGAGGAGGGAAGGGAGGATCTGATTAACATGGTCAATAGGCGGGAAGGATATTGAAGAATACGACGCAAGTTGATGCTACGCATACGAGGCAATGGGAGTGAGCATCCAAAGAACAAAATTTAAGTAGCTAGCCCATGACTGCCTAGTTGACCAGTATATTGGGGACTTACGCCTCGGGAAAACTCAAAAATAGTAGACTCCCTTTCACTCGATCTCATCACCACCACAAACCACATCTGCTCGCCATGTTTCCGTCTGTTTGCTCTACATTCACCCCGTAAAATATTCGGAGTCACCGTACTATCAACCGTTTGACTCCGACATGGTAACACAACTGAACAAGCCCGGATTTGCTGAGCCTGTAGGATGACTCCTGGGGTGTAACAACAATCTATAATCCATGATGTACTCTACATAACAAATTTGTATGAGCAATCATTTACCATCTATAAACATTCTTGTGATTGTCGCATACGGGGAAACCTTTATCCGCCGATTTATCATATCATCCACTCTGGAGGGAAAGGCTCAAGCAATACCACTTAGACTTGGCGGACCAGCAGCTCAACAGCACCTGTGACAACCTCTCCTGCGCGGGAACAAGGGAAATATGGACTCCTGCAGCACTTGTGACCGATACTTCGTTAACCCTCAAGCTCTCAAGCAACACGCCTTGAGCAAGCACCCAGAGACCTACTGCTTTCGCTGTGAGCGAAACTTCCGACATGTCCAAGCTAAAGAGCAACACATCAAAGCCTCTCGCAATCATTGGGTCTGCGCGTTCTGTTACGAGCTTGATTTCATTACCCAGAAAGAGCTCAAGGTGCATTACAAGGAAGAACATAACCCCTGCACCGAGTGCGATACCGTCTTCCGCTACTCGGATGATCTTTACGAGCATGAGTTAGAGGAACATAACAAATGCATGCACTGCGGGCGAACCTTTGGTTCTGAGTCAAATTTAAGAAATGTAAGTCTTCCCTCCCGGTGAAAGTAATGAGGCGCTAAATCTCCCAGCATCTGAAAACACATAAGTCGAAGGATATCGACTGTCCTGGCTGCGAGAAAATGTTCATCTCGAACTCGGCTATGGTACTGCACCTCGAGACTGGATACTGTCCATCCGGGGCAGACCAAGATACTGTTCGCGATGTAGCGCAGGATTGTGACTCGTGGCGTTCATATATCTCATATGACTCGGACTGTGACTTTCAGTGTCCAACTTGCGACAAGCCTGCTCGACTGATGAGCGCCTTGTTACAGCACGCTGAAAGCGTTTATGACTGTGACGAGGAGTTGAGACATTATAGATCGCTGTGGGAGTTCTTGAGGGACTTGGAGTTGCGTGTGAGAGATCTGCGCTATTATTCATAGCCAACGGGACATAGAAGTGAAAGGCTTTGTGTCAGGAAATGGGAACGGCAGTTGATGCAGGATCGAACGAGAAGAGAGAAGAACATGAGCGACGACAGTGGATTAGCCCGGATTGGATCGTACTGTAACTGCTTTACCTTGGACCGATATTCTAGAGATAGACCGAGCCTCCATTTATTATCATGAACATGGAACTGGGGGCAGATTTTGGACGAATGGGACATTGGCATGGGCATGAACACGTTGATTGAATAGGTGTAATGGCTAAACTATCTAAAGCTCCGCAGCACCAGTGCCCTTCTCCTTCTCATACTCCTCCAACCAAGCCTTCGTAAACTCAATAATATCATCCTGCGCCTTCTTAACAGCCGGAGGCGGCAATCCAATCTCCTCACTGCCAGGCGCTAAGCCATTCTCATCCCAATGATGCACACCATAAGGAATCAAGATGAATGGCTCGCTAACGGTAGACTCTCTATCGGTGTTGTAACCAATAGCATGAGGCGTCGCTGCTCTCCAAGGATCGTACTCGCCGTCGATGAAGGCGACGCGGGGGTAGCTGAAGTTGAAACCGCCGAGCTTGTTGATGGATTCCACGTTGGGAGGGGTGGTGATGTTGAATTCTTCGCGGCAGGGAATTGTGCTGTATTCTACGTCGATGAGACGGGATACCATGGGGAGTTGGTCCTTTGGTGCGCCGGAGCCGGTTTGCCAGTATCCCCATTGCGTGCAAGTCTGGTACGTCCACTGTCGCGACATAGAGTTGGGATCGAGCTTTGTTTCGTTCATGGAGTTGCGGATGGAGTAGCATCCATCCAAAGTCAAATCCTTACAGCGTCCGGCCTGGTCGCTCTCGACGTTGGAGCGGACGTAGCCGATGTAGTTGAGGAAACGGTTCGTCAAGTACTTGAGCTGCTTCTTGTGGCCGGAAGCGATAAGCCATTTCTTGACATAAGGCTCAAGATGGCGGGTACTGGCGTAGAGAATGTCGTCGGAAGAAACACTGCCGCAGTAGAGACCGAAGCTAGACGAGTCCTCGGCAGGATCCCAATTGTTTCCCTGCAGACCACCAATTCCCTGGGCGATAGTCTGAGCGAAATCATCGTCCCGAAGACCGAGAAGGCCGAAAGCAATCTTGAACTGCTTCTTCTCCTCCTTGTTATCGCCCATCAGGATATCGTCGACGACGCGTGTGAGTTTCTGTGTCACCTTGGCACAATCGCCAGGCGCAAAGAGACGTGCAGCCTCAAAGTACTCCCAGTAATCGACAATAGCAGCAGTGACACCAGAAGACGAGATACCGCCCCAGAAAAGATCGGGATAGAGCTTGCGCGCGAATGCAGCGAAAGCACCAGCGTAAGAGCCGCCGTAGATGATGTACGGTGTGTTGGTAGCGGTCAAATTGTGCTCCTCCATGCCTGGAAACTCAACATGCTCCGCAAAGTACGCGGTATCAGCAAGAGCCTGCTCGGTGGACAAAAACCTCATATTCTCAGGTTTCAAGTCCGGCACAGGAAAACTGGTTCCATAGTACCGATGCTCAAGAATAACACCAATACCGCCCGTCGCATTAGCCAGCATTTGCAGAATGCCATGCTCGAGGAAGGGAATACGGTCTTCGCCTGAGGTTTCTCCAGACGCGAGGATAATGACTGGACCACCCTTGCGATAGTACTGCGCGTCGAACCAATACCTCAACGGGAACTTCTTGTCTGAGTGAGGCTCGTAGAGGGTGTCGTTGTGAAAGTGATCGACTGGGACGCTGATGTTTACAGCCTTGGGACCGTCATCTTTTGCGCGAGGAGAGAGGGCGTACGCGTTTCCTCCCGCGGTGAAAGTCAGGAGGAAAGCAGCGCAATTGACAAACCATCCAGGCGCCATTTTCGATAAGAATAATGGTGATGAAGATGTTTGTTGTTTTGTCTTAAAAGTGGCGGGGCGTTGCCCGCTATATAGTACTAACGGTAGCCACTGTAAATACCTGGATAGGCAGCCCCAGTGAAGTGGAAGGCTCCATCGCGTGTCCGGGCACCTTCCCGAACGAGGTTGACTAGCATCATGGGTCACATTGCGATACAGAAGTTCCCCAGGTAAAGTCGCATTTTAGTACAAGGATCGACGTTTATGAAAGGAACCTTTGTTAGGTCAACGGCAAAGTATGAGCCGATTCTTGATTGTTATCTTTTTTTGACCCCGCAATTGACGTCGCGTAATTGAATTGAAGCGGCGTAGGCATAATCTATCATCTCCATGACGAGCCTGTTCATCTCGACTCCGATGCTTGCTCGTCAGCGAGATGATGCAATAATCCTTATTCCTCTTTCTTGATGGTAGGCATAGTGGGTAAACTAAGTCTCGTAATCGCATGACGATCTAGCATCATGGTGTTCATATTCTCATACTGCTCATTGGCATGGATATAATCATCTTGGCATTATTAGCAGAGCAGACTAAATTGAGGTCCTTCGAACTTACTATTCAGAGTTGTTATATGACCGCAATTCGCAACTCATAAATCTTCGAGGCCTATGCCTTGGCGTTCCATCCATTCTGTCAACGATATTTGCTCATCTTCAACCCAAACATATGGCAGTAACGAAAGTGGTTTCCTTGCTGCACGATTATGGGATGCACTTCGAACACCCGTGAGGGATATGAAGCAGTTTTCGACGCGTTCTCTTATTATCTCGTTGCAGAGGTAGCCGTCACGTTGGCATCTGACTGCCGGGTCCCTGATGGCTTCTTGGAAGTCTGCACAGATGCCCCAGCCGTTCATGGTCTCTGTCCAGACATCATCATCGTCCAAATACCAAATACGTTTGGGATACTGGACAGATTCGAGAATGGATTGCATAAACGCTTGCTCCATCTTATGTGCCCAGTCTATGACGGGCCAATTCTCCTATGGGTACCATAATTCTGCAGCCTTTTCTTCTGTAAAACCACAGAAGACTATTGTAGCTTTGGAGATGATTTGGTCTGGATAGGAGATGAAAGCTTCAGGGTTTGTGTCTGGACAAGCGTCGAGTGAGAACTCGAGGTAGTCGACGGCAGACCGATCAGAGATGCGTCGTCTATGTAGTTTCCTGGAGCCATTTTCGTCGACAGGAGTAAGAAGACCTAACGATTCCAGTTTGACTGCACCGTGGGGGTGAAAAATATGTGAAGGCGGTATGTAAAACATGTTGAAGGTTGATTGCCTTGTATGCGAGGGGGAGAAAACTTGGTTGAGTAAGTACTTGAGTAAGTGTTTTGGATTTCGGAAGAGATGGCCGACTGTTCACGGCATCCAGGACCATTTTCAATGTGCAATTGGTTTAGAATGATTAAACTTTAGAGACGCCGGTGACTCACTCGGAAAGATAGGTTGAAAGTTCGTTGTGTGCAGAACATAAACTTCCCAGCCCGCATCAAATGTGGCTTTCGACCGACGTGTAACCTTCTCCCCAGCTGGGTATAAAGATGGCCTTCCTTCGGCCAAGTCCTCTTTATTCTTTCAACACCCGAAGCCCTCACAGTTAACAGAGACCAGCATAAATCACCGACGCAATGAAGATTTGGAAACTTGAAGACCCTCTACCAGGCGAAGATGTATTCCAAGACGAGGAACCTTACGACAAGAGCTGGATATTTGAAGACCCCCAGTCAGAGGAGATAATACAACAGCTCGGTTTCGACAAGCCGACAGCCTCTCATTTATGGCGAAGGTGGAGTGAGTGGGCAGAAGAAGGGGGCTCGGAATTTGATTGCGCAACTCGCGACGTCCCATTCTTGGCTCTTATCAAAGGCAGAGTCGAATTTTCCGACGACGTTTGGGGTGATGATGATGCGGCCTGGATCAGATGGATGCAGAAACACGGAATCGCAACTGAGTTGCAGGATGCTATTATGGATACAAGATTTAAACAACTTCGATTGACGCGGACTTGTGAGCAGTGGGTTCTCGATATAATCGATATGCGCTACGAGACATTTTACGAGTCTGAAGTAACCGAGGATCTTTAAGACAGTGAGCACGAACCTTCCGCATCTGACAACAACCTCGCTCACAATGAGACACCCGGAGTGACTGTGCTATACAAGGCGATCGTCCTGAAGCGTTATAGGAGCGACTCTCGCAATCTTTTGAACTCTGAAGGACGATTAAACCATTTAAGATGTCTCAAGACATACTTAGGGTCTGAATTCAGCGATTCCAAGGCGATGATCCATCTTGATACCTCCCTTCAGACAGCGCAACTCCGTGCTTCGTATCTCAAAAGGCTATCCAATGGTCTAGGTCAAGAAATAGTCATAATCAGACTATGCCTCCCAGACACAATCAAACAAGATATGTCTGTCCAGACTTATTTCCCCAGCGATGACTGGAAGAAGCTAATTTGGTACTGCCGAACGCGGAAGTACGATCGGAAGCTCAGGGAGGAGATCTCCCACATCTACAGGGCTAGTCTGATCGTCGGGAACATGACGAGTGCACCCGAGGCAGCTTTCAGAGAGCTGAATTCGTGGGAAGAGATTACCGAGGAACATGTGCTGAAGCTTCACGGACATGATGAGAGGGAAATTCAATATGTGTTTGATGGAGATTGCGAAGGAGAGGAGATTTTGCAAGAACATGTCACCGACGTCAAGATACTACCGTATTCGACGGAAGAATATCTCAAGTGGATGGAGAAACATAAGGATCTATCACAAACATATATATCCCGAAGTCACTGTCGTCTTCAGTAACGGGTGTACTTGTTTTTGGCAACTACGAATGTCACGAAAGTATCGGCTGAACTAGAGATTGCTATATTTTAAAACCATGTTATTCTCTTTGCAATCATCACTGAGTCCGAAGACCATTCGTCATGGATATGATAATATTATCACTATTTGAACATTATTTCGACAATTACGGTATCAGCTAGAGAGAAGTCACTACATGTCAATACCACGCTGTTCTTACATGTCCTTTGAGGCTTTCCAATTGTTTAAGTACTGTGCCAGGAGCCATCTAAGATGCACACTTGTCTTCGAAACATTCTTTTTCCCCGATTAGTAAGTTCATGGAAGACATCATACCATCTTCAATGTCAGGGATTAGTGTGAAGCCAAGATAAACCCGCATCAACCCAACCACGAATTGTCCAATCAGCGTGCAGCCTCTTATCGGTCACTGTACATCCTCCATGATTTATGCCCTGTCTTCCCCAGTCGTTCATGCCCTTTGACCATCATATCTATTCCTCGAAAATCGCATGGCTGGTAAACGATCTCGACAAGGATGTGGAGAGTGTAGAAAACGCAGAAGGAAGTGTGATGAAGTCAAGCCGAGTTGTGGACTGTGTGTTTCATCTAACCGGATATGTCGGTATGAACTCCAGGTTGTTTGGAGCCAGAGGGCCCAGATATCACGAAACGGTATGAGTCAATATCCTGATTCCTGTGAAGTTACTGATGAGAGGCAATTGAAGCGGCACAAGCCTCTAGCTCTCCCAGAATAACCAAAACAAAGGAATTGACGATCCCCGAGTCGCTTCCCAACGGTCTCGCTCTCCCAAGGAAATACAAAAGGCTATTACACCACTTTGTAGAAGGCGTTCTGGCCTCACTATCAAGCCATCCAACAATCCATCAAGATTTCTGTCGAGGCTTAATGCCGACAATGCTCCAGTCCCCACATCTCCTCTCCGCAAGTCTCGCCCTGTCAGCTTCAAGCCTAGCATCAAGAGGCGTCGAAGAGATAGAAGGAACAAATATCTTCCGAGTGACGGAGCATTTGCAATCTTCTGGCTTACCTCTTCTACGATCAGCGTTGGAAAAAGGTCAGCAGAGTGAAATTCTTATTGCTACTTGTCTTATTTGGTGTCTTGCCGATGTGTTCTCTGGACAACAGGGAATGACAAGGTGGCCTGTTCACTTGAGAGGGATCAAGGCGTTGTTGAGAGGGCAAAAGAAAGTCGATAGTGGTGATTTGGCACTGAGGTCTGCGATGAAGCACCTTTATATGCTTTATCGGGCTTTGGAAACGCTACCTCATGTGCCCTCACTGGGGCTTATCGCCCCATCGCCGGGAGGAAAGACGAATCTCGGTGTCTCGATTTTGCCTGCGGCCAACTCACAAATAGACGGGTTTCTAGGCTACAGTGAAGAACTTCTCGACATTCTACAGCAGATCAATTCGCAAACACCTGCAGACGCTGATGTCCTGCTTGATCGACTGAACACTATCATCAGCCGAGACGTCAAACACCCACCAAGTGTAACAATCTCATCACTCTCATCCCAGTCAGGCCGTGAATTCGCACTCTGCAACAAGGTCTTCCAGCAAGCAACCCTGATCCAACTATACAGACAACTATACGGTCTTTCATCCGCATCCGAGCCGATAAGATCAGCCATCGAAACTATTAACGGAATGATAAGTAATATGGCACAAGGCGAGCCCTGCCACACATGGGTCGCAATGGCTATGCCTTTGTTCACGGTTGGTTGCGAGGCGTACAAGGAAGATCAGAAGAACTTCATCTTGGATAAAATCCACAAACTGGAGAAGTGCATTGGTTCCTTGCATGTCAAGGTCATTGAGCAGGCTTTGAGGGATATTTGGAAGTTAAGACAAGACTTTGAAGATTTTGAGGGTGATTTATGCTCTGGATATTTACTTGGTAAGTGCTGTCATGAATTCTGTCGATACTCGGCTAATTCTGATTCTTGTGGACAGAGAAACTGTCATATAACATTGTTCTGTTCTAGGTATACAGGATTCCTATTAAATAAGCTTTCTAAAGCTCTTCGTCTTTCTTGCCGTCCATCATGCGGCTGAGAGGTCCCTTCTTAACCATGATGGACATGACTTCATAAAGAACGTCAGCAGCAGCCATGGTAGTATGCTCTGCATTGGTATCATAAGCAGGCTGCACAACTCATCAGTATGGTCCGTTACTAGGATTGTGTGAAACTTACAGCAACTTCAACAATATCCGCAGCGATCAGATTTAAGCTCTCCAATCCTCGAATAATCGTCCTCAATTCTCTAGTCGACCATCCACCAGTCTCAGGCGTACCGGTGGCAGGAGCAAAAGCCGGGTCAAGTGTATCGATATCAATTGATAAGTAGACAGGACGATCTGGACCGACGCGCTTGAGAATTTTCTCAATAATACCAGTTGTTCCTATGGTATCGATTTCACGAGCTTCGACAATCTCAAAGCCGCAGTATCCATCGTTGTCGTAGTCACTGGGGCCGCTGAGAGTAGTGCGGATGCCCGCGTGGATGTTGGTGTCGTTTACGAGGAGACCTTCCATTGCGGCATGGTAGAAGTATGTTCCGTGGTTGATACTTGCGGCTTCGGAGGGGGAACCGCCGAAAACCTTTGGCCGCCCTGTGTCATGGGTTAATGAGAATCCAGCTATGATGGGTCAGAGAATTCTTACAGGTGTCAAGATGACTGTCGAAATGAATGACAGTAACCGGTCCATATGCTCGATTGATGGAACGCAGCAGAGGCAGAGTGATGGTATGATCACCTCCGAGAGTGATGATTCGAGGCAGAGTCTTTCCTTTACTGGCCGGACCGACCTTATCCGCGTCTGTCATGGGTGGTCGCGAGAGGAGACTGTAATGCCCTTCTTCAATCTGTTGAAGCGCAAACTTGTTGTCATAGCTACCATTCTGTAAGTATCCTGAGGCGAGATTAACTGAGACAGTGCTTACGAAGTCACAGGGATATCACCACAGTCCAGGACTGTAGCCCAGCTGTTGAACGGGTTGGTAGCGAGCGGGACATTGTAGCCTCCACTACAACCTATTAGTCATAAATCTCGAGACGATAGTTGAGACTCACTAGAGATTAAGTCGCCGGGAGCCCTGTCGGATACCGGAAGGTCCAAACCGAGCACCAGGTCTGTACGATGTACCTGTATCAAAGGGAGCACCGATGAAGGCGATGTCATACTGGATACTGTTGTGACCTAGGCAGGGTTGATATGGGAGACGTCCAAACGTACTGATCCCTGAGAAGACAGAGTCGGCCTGAGTTGTCAGTATGAAATATCAGATCGCTTGTTGAGTAGTAACTTACTTGAGTGCCGCCATCACCAGGTAATCTGTTGTACCAGAGTGATTGATGGGGGCCTTCCATCTGCTTCTGGTCATGATTGCCATGGGCAAGAGCCACAGAGGCGATGCTGAGGAGAGAAAGCGATGTGAAAAGCATGATGATAGGACTTTTTCACCGTTGAGAGTGATAGAGATCAAATCTAAGGAGACACAGAATGGTAGCAAAACAGCCAATATTTATGCTAGTCTACAGACTCCGTAAACAGAACCATGATCCAACTTAATGCTATAACCTGCATCCTAACGTCACGACAATTGACTGGCATATTCTTGTTTTCCGGAAACTCACATCATCGTAATTGATGTTATTGAGTAATAGCATGACCCAGCTACAACACATCTACAAACGCTCCTCAATGGAGTGCGTAAATCACCATATTAGGTTAGTCCGAGGTAGAATATGCGATGAGACCCCAGACAGATCGGCACCCCGCAACTCCATGCTCTTATCGTGGCTAAGTTACCACATTGAGTAACCACGATAGATAAGGACGTTGCACGGTCATGGTTTTGAGTTTATGCCGTGTAAGCAATGCGGTGTTGATGACATGTTGGACGAAATGCCTCATACTAATGAAATGCGCCTTCGGGATGCAGTAGGCGGATCCTGTAGCTTGTGCTGATGCAGGCTTATCTCGAGGCGAGGGATTGAAGTGGCTTTTGGGAATGGCGGCATGAGGGTCTAGCTCGTCTGTGGGGTGAGCGATGGCACAGTCTGTGGCCATGAAAAATGAGATGAGTGGAGGAACGAGTGTCGCAAAGTAATTAGTTAATGTCTTGATTCTTCAAAGACCTCGTCGCACTCGGCCACAGGGTCATCAATCGCAATCTTCAGACTTGCCAACATTCAAACCATCAACATGGCTTCTCAACACCCTCCGCCTTCGAACGTCTCGGCTTCAGTCTTGCATTCTTTCCCAGACGAAGAAACCCCTCTGATCAGCAACCACCCAGCGGAACCAAACAGCCCATCCAGTTCACCATGGCTCTCCGAAACTCTCCTACTGGTGAAAGCCTCTATACCAGTCATACTGGCATACATGCTTCAAAACAGCCTCCAAACAGTCTCCATCCTCATAGTCGGCCGCATCTCCCCCGAAGCACTTGCGACAGCTGCATTCTCCTACATGTTTGCAATGGCAACAGCCTGGCTCATCGCTCTCGGTGGAACGACTGCTATCGATACACTCGGCTCGAGTACCTTTACGAGCTCGAAGAATAAACATGATTTGGGAATATTGCTGCAGAGAGGCATGGTTGTGTTGACGGCCTTTTATGCTGTCGTTGCGATCATATGGTGCTTGTCTGGATACATCTTCCGTGCTCTTGGACAGGAAGACTTCATCTGTGTTCAAAGCCCGAGATTCTTGATGCTCCTAATACCTGGTGGTCTTGGATACGTCTGGTTTGAAGCCATGAAGAAGTTTCTCCAAGCACAAGAGATCTACAGACCTGGCACTTATGCTCTTTTCGTCACATCGCCTTTAAATGCGTTGTTGAATTGGCTGTTCATCTACCCTCTCGGCTTCGGTCTTGATGGAGCACCAATTGCAACAGGCATCTCATACTGGCTGTCATTCCTCATACTTGTTGGATATGCAACGTTCGTCAGAGGTTCAGAGTGCTGGGGTGGTCTCAACCCCAGACAAGCACTTCAGCATCTCGGACCTTTCGCGAAGCTGGCATTCCTTGGTGTCATCCACGTTGGGACCGAATGGTGGGCATTTGAGATTGTTGCTCTCGCCGCTGGTCGTCTTGGTACCATCCCACTAGCTGCCCAGTCTGTCGTAATGACTCTGGATCAAATCATCAACACCATCCCTTTCGGACTTGGAGTAGCAGCGTCATCTCGTCTGGGCAATCTATTAGGTCTCGGCGACCCATTGCAGGCTCGGCGCTGCGCACACTCAGCAGCTCTTCTGTCAATTCTCTTCGGAACAATCATCCTGACCGTCCTTCTGTCGACCAAGAACATCATCGCCAAGCTCTTCAATAACGACGAAGACGTAGTAGACCTCGTCGCGCACGTCATGCCATATGTAGCACTCTTCCAGATTGCGGACGGTCTCAATGGCAGTTGCGGAGGAGCCCTACGAGGTATGGGTCGGCAATGGGTTGGTGCGCTGGTCAATTGCGTGAGTTACTACGGAGGTGCACTTCCAGCTGGTATTTGGCTTGCCTTTCATGGCTGGGGACTATCTGGACTTTGGGTTGGACAATGTGTGGCTTTGTTCCTTGTGGGTGTTTTGGAGTGGGTTATTGTTGGCATGTGTAACTGGAAGAAGGAGGTTCGGAGGGCGGCTGATAGGATGAAGGCTGGTGGCTTGGAGAGTGCCTTATAAGTCATGGTATAGGATCTGTGTATACTTGGATGCAAAACTCAAAATGCTCACGATAGATAGTAAGCCCGAGTAGGTATCAGAAAATTCATCATCTAAAGCTAAGACTATTAAGATAAAGTAGCCGAATTGCTCGTCTGAGCTAGCATAAAGTGTCCAAAATCTTTCGTCTCTTATTCTCGACCAATGATTTCGATACCCTGACACCCTCCTAAACTACTATAACGCTGCTAAATCATCCCATTCTCACTGAAGCTCCGATACCTTAAGAAATTCAATGTCTCTGGGCTGCGTCTCGCATTGACTACCTACGTAGTATGCTCGTAATGTCCGAGAGCCGATGTAACCATTGCCTCCTCAGATAACGCAGGGACCTTGTACCCCAGATAGATAAGAAATCATCCTGGATAGGAATTGTAACCGCATCGTACTAAACTCACGGACTGATAAGAGATGCGATATCTCCAATCGGCTCCCGAGTGATGAACATGGGTCTAGCCAGAATGGGGGTCACACCTGTACGCCTCAAATACTGATTCCCATATCACTTATCGGCTTCAATTCTGGAATTATGACACATATATAGCATGGCCGATCTGAAGATGGCAAGACCCCCATCGATCAAGCCATTTTACTGCGGGCGCCTAAATGGACAACGACAAAATTCACAGTGGCGTTCTTGAGAAAGGGGATGTGACAGAAGGAGAGTCCACTGAGCTAGGCTCTGTCCTCAATGCATCTGGCCATTCTGATCAGCTCACCCGACAATATGGCCTGGTCGGCCTCACGGGTATCGCTGTTACTGTCAACAATGCCTGGGTGGTTCTAGGCTCGTCGATCTCAGTATCGATCCTGAGCGGAGGTATCTCCGGAGTTATATACGGACTTATAGTCGCTGTCTTCTACTACACATTTATTGGCTTAAGCTTGGCAGAGGTAAGTCCCGTGAACATAACTTTCTGGGCCATACTAACTTTTATAGCTCTCGTCATCCTGCCCAAGCTCTGGAGGTGTCTACCACTGGGCTACCATAGCCGCCGGACCAAAGTGGGGACGAGTCACCGGCTTCTACGCAGGCTGGATCAATTTCTACGGCTGGATGTTCGGGCTCGCATCCTTAGTCCAAGTCGCCGCAAACGCAGGAGTCCAATGCTACGCGACTCTCACACCAACCTTCTCCCCTGAAGCATGGCACGTTTATGTGGCATATCTCATCGTGATATGGCTAAGTGCTTTCATTGTCATCTTCTCGAACCGCTTGGTACCTTATACTCAGAAACTCGGGCTGTTTCTTGTCGTAGTTGGTGGTCTTGTGACTATCGTCATCGTCGCAGTCATGCCTGAGAAACATGCTTCGAGTGACTTTGTTTTCAACTCATTTAGCGAGAATAACCTTACGGGTTGGAACGATGGAGTTGCGTTCATGGTTGGAGTTCTTAACGGTGCTTTTACTATTGGAACACTGGACGCCATTACGCATATGGCTGAAGAAGCTGCCGAACCGAAGAAGGATTTACCGAGAGCTATCTTTCTATACATTGGCATCGGCGGTGTCTATGCCTTGGCCTTTGCCATCGTTCTGGGATTCGCTATTTCCGACCTCTCAGTCCTGCAAGGAAACTCCAACACGTTTCCACTAGCTGGGATATATCACCAAGCAACCGGAAGCTCAGCTGCGACATTTGCGCTACTATTCATCATCCTGATTTCATCTCTTTGCTGTGTCATCGGAACTGTTCTAACGAATTGTCGCACGTATTGGACACTGGCTCGAGACCAAGCAGTTCCATTTTCGAAGTACTTCAGCAAAGTCAACAGCAAACTCGGAACACCGGTCGAGTCAACTCTTTTCGTGGCGGTTATTGCTTCGGGTATTGGAGCTATTCCTCTTGGAAGTCCTGTTGGTTTCAGCAACTTGACTGGATCTTTCATCATCATCACTACAGTTTCTTATGCCATTCCTATCATTTCAAATCTTCTCAGCGGCCGTACACGGTTTTCTCCCGGACCTTTCCATCTTGGAAAATGGGGTTCCCTGATCAATGGAGTCACAATTATGCTGATCATCCTCTTCGACGTTTTCTTCTGCTTTCGTAAGTACATCATTATTGTGTGCAGTACAAGACTAACGTGGATACAGCCGTGGGATTGCCGTTCGATGTCACAACGATGAACTATAACTCAGTAATTCTTGTCGGGTTATGCTTGTTGATAAGTCTCTGGTGGTTAGCGTCTGCTTCGAAACACTACCCAGGCCCTTCTTTCCGCCATACGGCTCACATAAATGGAGTTAAAGACGAAGAATCATAGACACAAAACTAAAAGTACTCAAGTATATGTACCCAAAGGAAGATGATCCAGATTACCATTCTCAAAGTTGTAGGACTCTCTTGCATATGTGGATTCATCCTTCTTTTACTTCTATGCCACCGATCTTCCAAGTCTTGTAATGGCCACAGATTCCGTGTATATCAATGATCCATTTTACCGAGAGACAGTGAAGTCCAGATGTCTTGCATCTCAATCGAGGTCTCTGACAACCTTATCTGCCCATTTTCGCATATCAGCAATACCTCCCCTTATCAATGTGTGCTCCATAGGTATAGGTCGAAAAAGGATCTGATGCTTCTTGTTCCATGGACTCTCAATCTTCTGAGCCCTTTTAGCCCCCTTGAAATTATCGAATTTCGAACCAACTTCGAATTTCAATCTGTCGAAGACCACAAACTTGATTTTACTGTGATCTTCCCATGTAAAGCTTGCCTCACGAGACGCACGTTGCAATACCGATCTAGCAAGACCGTGGAGGAATCTGAATGCTGTATCCTGTTTTTCTTGAACCCCTGCTCCCCATCTATGCGTCTTTGCACAGACTTTCTCCAAGTTCCTGCCATGGGAAAGAGCTTCGGCAATTTCTTCCTGTTGGAAGTTAGTACCGCACTGGCTTGTACGATGGGAATTAGTCTTACCAGTTGTGGCACGTGCATGTGGAAATGGAGATGCTTCAGGTTTGGAAAGTTGAGGATGAAGTTCGTCGCCGTTTGGGCGTCTAGGCCTGGCATTCTGTCTCGCATGGTGTATGTCTCATCCGTGAGTTTCAAAACGGTCAGATTCTTGTGCATGTAAAGACCCCGGAAAAGAGGCTCTTCTGGACCGGGTTCTCGAGGATCTCCAGGATAAATCCCGTTGTCGCAGATGGTAAGACGCGTCAAAGTGTCGAAAGTGGAAAGGAACTCTATCCCTTCGTCGGCATCTTCCTGTAAGTCCATGTAAAGGCTTCGGAGTTTAATATTTCCTCTTGCAGTCGAGAAGATCTCAGTAAGGCGCCGGTAAAGCAATCCCATCCGAGTATTCCTCCGGCCCAAAGTGAGTTCTTGCAGCTTGACAAAGTCAATAGCGTGGAGAATCGCGTTCGTTTGCTCATCGTCAAATTCTCCCTCGACGAGAGAGAATGACTTGAGGACTGACAAGTAGCCTTGTCTCGGAGGTTCCTGACCTGACTCTTCCCATTCAAAATGCATATGATGAAATGTACTCTCGTTGAGCGCTAGACTTTGTAAGGTGGAACGTGAATTCCAGATCAGCATTTCGGGGCTGCTTTTTCTCCATCCACGTCGCCCCCAGAAACCATCTTTATAGATGCTCAGATGTTTCATATCCTTCAATGCACCCAATGCATCTATATCATGAAATTCACTGTTCATAGGAACATTGGTATTGAGCCAAAGCGCTTTGAGGTCCTTTTTCGTCGATAATGATTTTGCCATAGATCTGTTGTATGGTCAGTTATTTTCCTCGTTAACCAGTAGCCGTGAACGTACTCAGTAAGCATCATACCACCCCAAAGCTCCAAATTATCGAGATTCTTCAATAGCTCTTCGACGTATCGATGAACGATGTACCGGTGCCTCTTCCCTGGATCACCAGTTTCAATCAAAGCTCGGCGAACGTAGTTTGCGATTTCAGGCTTCATTTTAGGATCCACATCATCGGGGAAGGTCTCTTGCTGTCCCTTGTAAATACCTTCTGTTTTTAACTGTTTCCTTTGTTCAATGCCGAGAAATGGTTCGGTAGTCTTGATAAGCTTTGCAATGTGAACGTGGTGACTGCAGATTCTCTCGATGCTTTTGAACAGTCGAGGAATAGCGAGCGAATAGAGCGCCTTGCTAGTCATGGATAGACTTTTCAGACATGTCTTATCATCGATCTGTGTTTTTGTTAGTTGAGTCTCAGGTTTTAAATTTCTGAAGGTTTGCCTTTTCAATTATCATATTCATGACTTCTGGCGGTAAGCATGAGAGTCGGCCAATTGAAGGATTGATTTGGAGAGATGACGGTCCAGGCTGTTCGAATACCGCGGCACTCTTGGAATCTGAGCCTTGAGCAGCTGCCTTGACTTTAGACTTGGTCGACAGTCCAGCTTTCGGTGCCTTTTGTAAAAGCTCGTCATCACTCTTGCAATCGGGAGTCTTCCGTTTCAAGACTTTCTTGGGCCCTTCCATAAGGGCTGCGGCAGACTCGGCATTCTGAGCTTTAAGTCGTGAACTCATTTGTCCTATCAATTTTGACCGTCGATTCTGGAGATGTTGGATGAACCAACAAGGGAGAGGCGACGTTGAAATTACAGGTACAGTAATTAACAGTCACGTGATCTCGCTAGCCAAGTGCCCTGGGAGAGGTCTAAACATACAGCCTCTCACCCCTGCTGTACGAGCCAAACACCAGACTTAGCATGAACATTCTCGACGAGATGGGTGCCTATTTTTTCCAAATTACATCTTGAACACAATTTCGTTCCAGAAATCAGAAAGGCCCGCAACATGCCTTTTGGCCAAGGTCTGAATATGAACAATTTATTATTACGCGAAGAAAAAGTCCGTTTGTCAAAAAGACTTATCCGATGGGCAGTGAGTTAATCCATGCCCGGTCATTACCAGCTTCAGGAATAGTCAAGCCTCTTTCTCTAATCGTGACCATCCCAGTGAAAGTGACCATCATAAGCTCCTTCTCTTCCTCCTTAAAACCCCATTCATCACCGTTATGCTTCGGTACATCGACCCCTAGAATCTCGTTCCAGCCCTTTTCAATCGCCTCGGCAAGCTTATCAAATTCTTCCTTGGATCTGCTCGCCGATGTACGAACAAGGCCGACGATGCGATTGGAAGAACTTGAGTGAGACACGCCGCCCACGAAGTAGGTATAATCCGGGCTATTTTCAGGAAAGAATCGAACATGGACGAGAAATCTTGGGGCATTGAAAGCTTCGCAATGTAGGGTGGTTATTCTTGCTGCTAGAAGTCGTCGATGTAAATCGTTGAGAGGGTAGGAGTGATATACTTGATAGAAGGGCATGATTGCAAATCGGAAGGACTGAGAAAGACTGTTTCGTCGTGGAAGCAGATTGTGTGTTGGATTCCTTATTGGAAAGGTTGGTAGAGGAAGCTGGCAACTGACAGAAGCGGGGTTGATAGAGGTTACGCCAACGTCAATATGCACGTTGGTTCTTAGTTCCACGCCAACCTATTAAACTAATATATAGAAAGTAATAATGCTTTTTTACTTTAAGGGTAAGATATAGAAAATATATCTTTAATTAATATTTATAAAAGGCTTATGTAAGGTGAACATAGCTAATAATAGTTTATCTTTATTAGTCAACTTACGAGCGGCTAACTGAAAATAGTCACGTGAGCGAACCGTATCGTTCTCAGCTGACTGTTCTAACTTGGCGCTGATGTGTTTTCAGGCTCTGGTCCATATGAGACCCCCCGACGATATTGAGAATTCGGATCCTTGATATTGCATGAACCATTTGGGAAAGTGTCTGTCTTCTGGATAACAGAAAATGTCAAATCTCATGCGGCGGTCTTTCGGAGGCCTATTAGGTCCTGACAAGATGGCATTGCACAAGCTGACCTTGCTTGGTGATGGAGGTGTGGGGAAAACTGCTCTTGTTCATCAGGTACTTACAGTCGCGCGATATTCAGTCGAATTTATGTCAACTAAGGGATCCAGATCTGCATGCAACGCTTCCTTGAGACATACGACCCAACAATCGAAGATTCATACAGAAAGCAGATTCCCGTGGACGGACAAAATTGCATGCTGGAAATACTTGACACTGCCGGTCAAGAGGAGTATACAGCACTCCGAGATCAGTGGATAAGAACCAGTGAGGCCATTGTGATCGTTTACAGCATCAGTTCACGGTCATCCTTTTCCCGAGTCAAACGCTTTCATCGGCAGATTCAACGTATCAGAAGTCATCCTACACCGATTTGCCTCATTGGAAACAAGTCAGACAGAGTCACAGAGCGAGAAGTATCCACCACAGAAGGGTTTGAACTTGCCCTGAATCTTGGCATTGAACTTTTTGTTGAATGTTCCGCTAAGAATGCTATCAATATTGAAAAAGCATTCTATGACCTCGTGCGATCCCTCAGAGCTCAAAAAAGCGGCATTGAAGGATTGTACGAGAGAAAACAGACAATACTTGGTACCCAGCTTGTCATTCCAGAAAGAGAGAATGAAACATCCTTAGGACGCGATAAATTGGCCAGAGCATTGGTACATGCTGCAAGAACTAATAATTTGACGGATACATATGAACTACTTGACGCAGGAGCTGACATCAATGCCCAGCCAAGTATCTCGGGCAGCGCACTTCATGAGGCTGCATCTCTGGGCTATCTGACTATGGTGAACACTCTCCTTAAGCAAGGTGCTGGAATCAACGCAAAGGCTCCATCTGGGGTTCCACCGTTACAGGGTGCCGCAGCTGGGGGACATCTCGACGTCGTCAAGTTACTCATCCAGCAAGGCGCTAATCGAGACCAGACAAGCGGAGTTCGGGGAACGGCTCTTCACGCCGCGGCAATGAGAGGCCATGCGAAGGTGGTCAAGTATCTACTAAAGCAGGGGGCAAATCCAAATACAAAAGCAGGTCCATACGAGTTTGCGTTGCACGCAGCGAGTTGGTTCGGGGCAGCGGATACTGTTAATGCTTTGCTGGACGAAGGTGCCGAGATCGGACAGCTCACTGAAGAGGGTTGTACAGCACTTCACATGGCAGCATTCACTGGAAATGTGCGGGTTCTCCAGAGTCTTATCAATCGTGGGGGAAAGTTACATATCAATGTTGTCTCTACCAGGTTTGGAACTGCTCTGGACGCAGCAGACAACAGTGGCCACTTCGCAGCTGTGCAGCTTCTGCGGGACGAGAAAGCAAAAAAGTCGGGACTTCAACTATCGAAGTGGAATAACAGGCCAAATCTTTTAGGTCCACCAGAAACGAACAGACAGAATGGATCGTCAAACCCAGATGTCAATGACGGACAGAATGATGAAATGAGTGACAATGAGGACGATAATCAGCAAATCGAAGAACAAAGCCAATCGCCCACTTTAAACAATCACATACCTAATGGAAAGGCTCTAACATCGGAGTCTGGATATGACTTCGCCAACGAGCTAAGGACTCCTATACCCCCAAGGCCACCGATTCAGAATTTGGGATTCACAACTCTGCATAATCCTCCAGAAGCAAGATCCGAGTGAGTGTATTGAATCTAAATTGATTTTCAAGTGAGTTGGTCATTATGTTAACATGGAGTAGTATTGTATTCGTTCACGGTTTGCAAGGTCACCCTGAAAAGACATGGACATTCAAAAACGAACCAGAAAATGTTCCGCTTACGTGGCGGGAGAAGCTTCTTCGCCAGAGACGGATAAAGCGAGCTGTGGGTACTACAGTCTACTGGCCATATGATTTACTATGTCAACATGTGGAATTTATGTCTTCCAGGGTTATGACCTGGGGGTACGACACGAAAGTTATGCGAGAGTTTCTCGGAGGTAGTGATTCGCAAAACATTTCACAGCATGGAAACAACTTGTTGGTTAGGCTCCAGCAAGAGAGGAGAGATAATGTAAGTTTACGTGATACTACCTGGGTATGTCGAAATTTGCTGAAAAATGAGGAATTAGCCAAATCGACCATTAATATTCGTGACTCACAGTTTGGGCGGCATCATAGTAAAGACGGTTTGTTCCCAATACTATGGTCAAGATATTAGGGTTTACTAACGACCTTTGATAGGCACTAGCCATCTCCAAGAATTCCCAGTACCAACCTCAATACCTGCCCGTTTACTCATCCCTCTTGGGTATAGTATTCCTAGCAACTCCTCACAATGGAAGCGGAACAGCAGGCTGGGGCCTAATTGCTAGTAATCTTGCCAAATTCGCTCTCCAGCGACCTTCGACGAGTGTTTTACGAGGACTGAAGCCCAATAACGAAGTGCTTGTGAATCTTCAGCGGACATTTCTTCAAATGCTTGAAGATGGACACTTCACTATCCATTCGTTTTGGGAGACTGTACCTATGTCTGGCATTAAAGGTCTCAAGGGCCTTGTAAGTCGCCCGTCTTACTGAATTATCCATATACTAACAAAGATTTAGGTTGTTCCTTATGAGTCAGCTACAGTTGGCCATGCTAAAAAGGAAATATGCTTAGGGATAACTGCGACCCATGCTAGCATTTGCAAATTCTCAGGACCGAGTGACCCTGGATATCAAGCCGTCTTTGGGGCGTTACAAGACTATATAAGAGCTTCGGCCCACGCTAAAGTAAGCAACTCTAGTTAAGTTTATAATTTCTCTTTTTTATAAATTATATATGTATAGTAGAGTAGTTAGGATTATATTATAGTTTATCTTAATATACTACTTAGCTAAGTATCCTTAACTTAAATATATATAAGTATAAAGTTATAGATATTACTTAGTAAATTAGTAATATTATTTATAGTACTAAAAGCTAAACTAGTAATAATATATATAATCTTAGTAGTATCTTAAGCTGTTTCGTTGTGGAAGCAGGTTATTGCGTGTTGGTCTGCTTGTTGTGAAGGTTGGCAGAAGCGGGGTTAATAGAGGTCACGCTAACGTCAATATGCATGTTGGTTGTTAGTTCGACGCTGACCTATCAGACCGACGTATGGAGAGTGATAACGTCGTTTTGTTGTAAATGATGCACATCGTCGGCGGAACTTTTGTACCAACACATCTCGTAAAGCCACCTTCCAGAACGCGTATGGCTGTGATATGGTCCTGTTGGTTTCGATTGTGTATATACAGCTTCCAGACCTTCTCTTTGGATTTCTTCTGAATGTCCACTAACTTGGACATACAGACTACGTTCTAACTACTCTACTTTCCAGCATTTATCATATTTGTCAGTTCAGTATAACAAAAGTTGAGTTGTATCAACCATCATGGCAAACCAACCTCCCACAGTCCACTACACAGTCGACCCATCCACCAACCCAGCCCTCTGGCCACCACCCGCCCCAGACACAGAGAATGCCGTCATTTACAGAGTCGATGTAATATTTATCAACGTCAACGGCCATTCCGATCTTCGCATCGTTCGAACAGGCACTGACGAACATGTTCACCATGCTGTCATGCAAGTTACAAAGCACATTGCTCGGGGCATCTATCGGATCGTTAGCATGAACGTTAGCGAGTACTCTTGTGTGGTGGTCATGGAGACTGAAAAGTCGATGGAGGAACTCAAGTCCCATGGGTTTCCATGGGATAGGGAGAGTAATCCGCAGCCGGAGGTGGTTCTCAGATGATTATTGATGTATGTAAAGTCTGAAGGAATTTCATTGAATTATACAGGCCTCGTCTTCAGCATTCATCCTATGCCTCTCTCCTACCGTAAACCGATTTATCCATAAAAGAAAGATTTCCACGCCTCTCGACCATCAGATCGATATCAATAAATCTATTACCACGTCTCAACATAGGGACGGATATCAATCTCCTGCGTAAAAGCTGATCGATGCTGCGTATGCAAATTCCAATACGCCTCAGCAATCTACCACCCAAGTCAGTCAAAACACTCAGACAATCTAAACTTAGATGAACTTACCGCGTCAGGACTAATCTTCCCATCCTCAACACCGTTATTCGCAGCCCACTCCTTCGTCCTCGGGATATCAATGACACCATCAATAACAGCATGCGCAATATGAACACCCTTTGGTCCAAACTCCCTCGCCAAAGATTGATGCATCGCGCGCTGTCCCCACTTTCCTGCTGCAAAGGTACTGAATTGGGCACTGCCCTTGATTGAGGCTGTAGCGCCCGTGAGGATCAGTGTCGGAGGGTAGTGCGAGTTTGGCACAGCGTCGAGCAGATGCGGGATTGTAGATTGAGCAAAGTGGAAGAATGATCGGATTGATCCATCGAGAGAAGCATTTAAATCCTTCTCAGTGAGTTCAAGGAAAGGCTTCTTTGCGAAACCGCCGCTTCCGACATTGTATACCGCTGCCGCGAGCTGAGAGTCTGGGAATTGCTTGTTGATGTCGTCAAATGCCTTCTTCAACGATTCTGGATCGGCGACATCCGCGCTGATGCCGATGGCCTTGCCACCAGCCTTTTCAACATCTGCAAGAGTAGATTCATAACTCTCCGGACGACGAGCAAAGAGAACAACAGGATATTTCTGAGCGAAGCGCAAAGCGACAGATCGACCTGTGTTGGTCAGTAGTGAGCGGGGTTCGAAGTGGGGTGGAGGTAAGCTTACCTGTGCCTGGACCGACGCCTGCGATGATAGCGTAGAGAGACTTGGAAGCCATGGTTATTGAAGCGATTTGTTGATTGAGATGGAGGATGATGGAAGTCAGATTCTTATTCTGTAAGATTTGTGATTTCTTATATAGGATTGAAGATGTTCTCATTGCTGATCAGAATTATGTCATCCGCTTATAAATATTGTCCGACGCTACTGCAGCCATTTCGCGTCTCGGCAACTTCGACCAAGTCCGATTCAGTAAGCATTTTATGAAGTTCAAGAATACGAACAAAGATGGATATCTGATCAGAAAATATTGGTGAAAGCTAATTTGGTGTATATTTCGATCCAGGAAACATTGCTAAAGCAATCGGTCCACTTCAGCGTAAGGCAGCTCGTTTAGACAATAGATCCACAGCAGCCAGTCACCACCTCTAGGCATCAATCTCCAAGGTCTTCAGCTTCAGCCTTGACATCGCGATAAATTACCATAGCGTCCAGTTTATTAGAACCAACGCCAAGGAAAATCATTAGCGAACAACCAACGAGATGTTGGCCGTGAGTCAATGTCTCCATCATATCACCCCATCATCAAAATTAAGGGTCCATTTACGGCCCGAGTCTTGGCGCTAAAACAACCATAAAACCAACACGCGCCATTCTTCCCATCTCTTCATCATGGTTCTCAGTTATGTGGTCACTTTATCGACTGGCAGCTATAATTCTGCCATTAATATTGTTGTGGAAACTCCTCGTCAGTGCTTCTGAGGACATACAACATGATGATCCCTATACGACCCCATCATGCTCTGATACTGGGCCCATGAAAAGAGTCGTGGGATATTATCAAGACTGGAGCGAAAGTGTTTACTGCGATTCACCAAGTCCTGAGGACATTCCAGATGGTGTTTACACTCACATCAATTTTGCCTACGCCGGCATTGATCTCCGGACTTTGAAGATCATCCCGCATTTCAGGAAGGACACGGAAACGTATAAACGTCTTGCAGCGAAGAAGAAAATCGATTCTAATCTCAAGATTTTTATTACGATCGGTGGTCCACCTGCCGATGCGGAAGACTCGACTGCTATTGCGTTCTCCAAGATTCTTCGGTCCAAGAAAAACCAGAAGATCTTTATCAGATCTTTGATTTCTTTTCTGTGGACGTATGATTTCGATGGTGTCGATATTGATTGGAGATATAATCTTAACGTGGAAGACTTCGAAGATTATGATCATCTACCAATATTCCTGCGGAACTTGAACGACGCTCTTAAGCAGACTAGTCGAAGTGGCCTCAGCATTGCTCTTCCAGGTTCAGACAGGCAGAGGCTTACGCATTATAACATGCCGGAGGTCGCACGGCATGTTGACTTTATCAATTTCAGGACATTTGACTTACATGGTAAGACACCTACACTCATCTCTGGAATATCACTGACTTTTTTGCAGGTGTTTGGAATGGACTCAATGAATGGTCACACCAGGACAGCTATATCTATCCCCACACCAACCTAAACGATGTCCAAACGAGTACAGGTGTTCTCGCTGGCATGCTCGCGGAAGGAGGAGTCGACCTTGGGAAGATCAACATGGGACTCGCATTCTACGCTCGTACTTTCACTGCCTCGGATCCCAATTGCTCACATCCTCGCTCACGACTTACCTCGCTATCTAAATGCAAACTTGACTCAGGCGGTCCGAGCGCTGACTGTACCAACACTGTCGGTCTCAAATCGAATTCTGAAATCAAGAAAAAGTACTTGGATGAGGAACATAATGTCGAGCTTGATACGATTGACGCTGTGAAGGTTATCAGGGATGGTCGAGAGTGGCTTACCTATGATGACGAAGAAACATGGAAACTCAAAATTGACTTCGTTCGTCGCCAAGGAGCATGTATTGGTGGCGTTGTGGTTTCGGATATCAACCATGATACGAAAGCCGGAGACTTTTCGAAAAAGTTGGAGACTGTTACGAAGTATAAGTCAAACGCCGTGTTTACTTACTTGACCTTTGACAAGAGACCCGGTGGTGGGTATGAGTCAAGATGGGTCGGCGAGCCCAAAAATAAATGGATTTCTCGATTGAAGAATTTCGCCAATCTCCTTCAGAAACCTCCTCCTGGTGGGAAATACCAACACAACATCACAGATAAGGAACCACAGACACCATCTGAGTATGCAGATGAAGCCGTCGATCCACCTGCAGGTGCCATACTTGCAGAAGGAACTGTTCGATCCTGTGGACGTTGGCACACCGTCAAGGAATATGAGGACTGCGCCCGCATTCTCGTGCCAAACAATATCACTCTTGCTGTCTTTGCCTACGTCAACCCATCAGTCTCACCAACCAACTGCACAGGTAGCCTTGTTGAAGGACATACCTACTGTGTTGGCCCAACGCACGAAGTCATTCCCTCCAAGCATCCAAGCCTCCCACAATACAAATACGGTTGTTACGCCCGGGAACTATACACAAGGAATTCTGTCCTGTACCACGATTTTGAAGGTCATCGAAGGGGAATGACAGTCGTCAGATGTCAACTATCTTGTCTGTCTGAAGCAGCAGACAGGAACCCAGTTTTTGGTCTGCAAAACGGGGATACATGCCTTTGCGGGCCACTCCTAGCAATGAACAGCCAGCGCGTCAACGATTCACAATGCGACATGCATTGTAACGGTGACAAGAGACCTGGCTGCGGTGGTAAACACGCTGTTCAGATATACAGTCACCTCGACTACCTACCCGTCAGGTCAAAGGAAATGGGCTGTTTTACGCACGATGAGAAAAAGCCAGTATTAACTGGTGGTAGCTTTGAAGCAAAGGACATGTCGGACGATATTTGTGGTAGCTACTGCTCAGACAAAGGGTTCAACTTCTTCGCGGTCAGTGAGGATACCATGTGTCTATGCGGCGATGCATTGGCGAAGTCGGGTAAGAAGGTGGATTGGGAGGAATGTAATCTTCATTGTATGGTTCGAGAGGCTCCGGTATGTGGTGCGAAGGGAAGGGCGGTTGTTTGGATGATGAATATGCCCTCGAAGGAGATCAAGGAGCAGAAGCTGAGGGTTGAGATCTCAGAGAAAATGCGGGAGCTTGGGATAGATACGCAGAACAGGTACCTTCTTGGTACTTGATGGAGGTAAAAGTTCAGGTGGGTAGGTGGGTAATAGAAGAGCTATACTCTAACGCTTAGGCTGCAGAAATAAAATAGCCTAAGTGCCAGCCTGTACTAGCATAAGGTGACTAAATTATTTCGTCTCTTCTGCTTCCCGGGACCAATTCTTTTGACATTCTGACGGCGGGCACGGTTATTTTAGGGCGTGCATTGAAGCTGTAGTGCTATGACTCGTAACAACAGCTTCATTTTGACAGCACTAAGGTTAAACATGATGCAGATGTCAATTTTTGCGATAGTCATGCACATCTTTTTGACGCTCAGAATACACAATGCAATCATTTTCCCCCGGTTACATTGAGAGATCTCGATTAGCAAGATGACACGCTGCAAACTCAATTGACGTGCAGCAATTGGCAAGGATACGCGCTATAAAGGGGGCACTAACTCCAACAAAGCAGGCGGTCAAACGCGGCATCTCCAATATTGCCAAAACTTTAACAAATCTCGGGTTTCATTGCATCATAAGAACATCGCTACAACCAATTGTACATCATTCTTTCTTCTTGTCGCTCGTTAACAGATGTGATCACATTTTTCATTCATCGCATTCTTTCTACTACAGTGTGGCCCCTTCAATGGGTGCGCTCATCCTCAATTGAGTATGTCACACCGAATACCAATCGGTCCAACAGCTGGCCCTCTTCTCGACCCCTGGACCCATGGAATCAGCATTATCCGCGATATATGCTCTCGCTGGTCCGAACTCGACATTACGCAAATCGGTTCTTTAATCGCCATAGCCGGTACTGTACCTACGGCATGGCGCTTTCTCAATGGCGCATGGCATGAAGTTTATGGTACCATCCGTCGCTTCTTCCTCGCAAGCGTCACTATTCCCGGCGGCGATCCTCTTAACAGAAGTGTCGTAAAATGGGTTCTTGCAAACAGAGAACGCCACTATCGCTCTTTTCACGGAAGAACTGATGTTGGACAGAATGGTGATCGGGCTGCTGCGTTGAAAAAGACGAAGCATTCCATTCAATATTCGCCGCATTGGAATACGCGATGGCTTTTCTGGGAAAGGAATTTGTTTCTCGTTACGAGAAAGGTTAATGATTTTAGCTCGTCTTTGTCGGATCCTAGTTATGATGGTATCGGTGGTGAGGAAATTACCGTGAGTTGCTTTGGATGGTCTGCAGAACCGATCAAGGCATTCATCGAATCATGCCGCGAGTTTTCAGATCGACAAACGCAATTCTTCGTTATTATATATGCCCGCGATCGGTATGGATTATCTTGGAAACCGAAAGCTCGCAAACCGATTCGACATTTGGAAACTGTTCACTTCGACAACGAGATTAAGCAGGAGCTTCTCGGCGATATTCGGAATTATTTGGATCCCAAGACGCAGAAACGGTATCAGAGCAGGAGTATGCCTTATCGACGCGGTTATCTCTTCTACGGACCTCCCGGAACTGGAAAATCGTCGTTATCTGTTGCTATTGCTGGAGAATTTGGGTTGGATCTATATGAAGTCAAGATTCCGAGCGTTGCGACGGATGCGGATCTTGAGCAGATGTTTCAGGAGATTCCACCGCGGTGTGTCGTGTTGCTGGAGGATATTGATGCGGTGTGGACAGATCGCTCGAGTCGTCCTAATTCCGATAATGGGCAAGATAACGGTTCTGCGCCAAACTGTACTCTGTCTGGCCTCTTGAACGTGTTGGATGGCGTTGGATCCGTGGAAGGACGAATTATCATAATGACGACAAATCACCCCGAGCAACTCGACAGCGCTCTCGTCCGACCAGGTCGCGTGGACATGAAAGTCCTACTAGGCAACATCAGCCGCAAATCAGCAGAAGAGATGTTTGTCCGCATGTTCTCTCCCGATCTGGGCTGCACATCACACGTCGACATGGAAGAAATCAGAGAATTGGCTGGTGAATTTGCCAAGGAGATTCCAGATGATACGTTTACGCCTTCGCTGCTGCAGGGTTTCTTTCAACTACATCTTGAGAGCCCGCATGATGCGGCTTCAAGTATTGGGGGTTGGGTTAAGAGGGAGCTTGAGAAAAGCTCGGAAAAGGAGTTTGAGGTTATTAATGGACGGAGAAAGTAGGATAACTATGTATATTATGTATCAAAATCAGGGGTTTATTAGTGCTTTTCATGGGCTAGATATCGTAGACTTGGGTCAAAATGCAAATAAAAATGGTATCTCTTTAAAGTCTATCGTGCATCATGGAGTATCTATCCCAAGCAAAACGCTCATAATACAATGTCATCCTTTAGCTACATCCACCACCACCGCCTCCATCACCACCAGAGCATCCACCTCCACCATCACCGCCCCAACCGCCGCCATCGCCTCCGCCAAACCCGCCGTCGCCCCAGAAACCTCCCATGTGACCTACGCCTTCACCGACGTGACCATATTTGCGGTGCTTCTTGTACTTCTTTGGGTAGCCGTAGTTGTATTGTTTTGCGGCGTATCCCATTGCTGGTTGGGGGTGATAGTCGTAGACTTGTGCTTGTTTCTTTCTTCTGCCGAATGGGAGACACATTTTGATGTCTTGTGTGGTTGTAGAGGCTTGAGAATGGAGAAGTAGAGTAGAGTTGGACTGGTATGTAGTAGCTTTGTGTTTGAGTGGTTGGTTGTTTGAAGTTCAAATATTGAAAGGTAGATTTCAGTTATCGCCGATAAATATTCTTGGAATGAGTGTTTGTGATGATGATACAAACTTCATATTGGCAGGAATCATCCATCTATATATACAAATCCCCATTCATACAATCATCCAAATGACGTGGTTTCGGACATGCCATCAAGGCTGAGCGATCACCTCGCACTTCTCCAATCCTTCCAGAAGTTCTAGCGTCATATATCAGTCCACCAGCATATAATTGGTCAGTTCCAGCGGGCTGTGTAGCTTGATCAAGGGGAAATTTTGGCTATCGCCCAATCATTGCCCTTTTGGGACGAATAAGCTGTCAGCCCTGTATGCTGATCTTTGCTGTATTGGGGGGTAATGCTGCGATGATCGGCGGGTAATAGATCATGCCCCGCCTTGTTGCTGCGCCATGTCGTGGACGAGTCCGAATGCGATGGATGGTTGACTGAATGAGGAATTAATCGGGCGAGATCAGTGTGGTTTTAGGCAAGCACTTTTGGAAGGAATCTGTTGGTTGATTGGTTCAACCGTGGTCTGCCGGAAGACGCGATGCAACGTGGGTAAGAGCCCGGGCCTTGTGTTCTAGGGTAGCCTGGGCAAAAAGGGTGAATAAGCATAATCTTATCATCGTCATGACGAATGAGTATTGGAGTGACAATACATAATGAAAAACGGGTTCGTCATGGAGATGATGAGATTATCCTTGTTCCCTCGCCTTCATTCTGTTAAATGACATTGCAATATCAATGATCTCCTAGCATAAAGGAGTCTATACCGTAGAGTATAGTGTTTATACCACTGCTACGCCAGCTCAAAAACAAACTAATAATCCTGAAAGACCTCCTTCTCACCAAACCCAATCTTTGCCCAAGCTTCAGTCAAAAACTCCTCAGGCTGAGTAAACTTGTAATCAGGCAACAGCGTATTCCACTCATCAGAGACATGAAAAGCGCTGTCTCCGAATGCAAGAAGACATCCCTTCCAATAGAATGCCGCAAGCTCCTCACGGACCTCTATAGGGATAGAGGGATGGTCCATCTTCGGGATCCAAGAAGTATTGACTTTACCAGCGAGAAGGTCATTGGTCTTTAACTTCTCGACAGTGAAGGGTTTACCTAGAATTATTAGACAGGATGTTTGAGTGGAATGTGATTGAAATACCTCTAATTCTCTCTCCCAGAGCTACTAGCTCGTTCATGGTCATGTATGAACCTCTGACACCGCCTACAAGAGGCCATTCTCCCTCATACTCGATAGCTAGCGCAGTGACCTTGGCAGCGTCCTGGACCGTAGTCAGAGTCACGAGAGCTTCGCCATCGTCGACGAGGGTTGCGCGGCAAGCGTTGAAGTTAACGGGTGTTTCGAACATCGTAATATGCTTGGATGACTTGTATGGGTAGGTCATGTAGTTGGTGAACCAGCCATATTGTAAGAGCGTGTACTCGATGACCTGAAGCCCACAGTTAGCCACTTGTATATGGTTACTGGGAGATGCTGTCTCGCCTTCTTGTCTTTGTTGATTTCGGCCAAGTACTCACGAGTCTCCCGCTTAAAGTCATACCAAGGAAGATGATCAAGCTTAGATCTACAGTATGTTAGTGCGAGTTACATCAGGGGGACTGGATACTTACGAAGACCATTCACTGGGCGCAAATCTCTTAACTCCAGCTTTGACAGCTGCATCAATCAAATTCCTCTGGGCAGGCCATGCAGTCGTATCTCCAGCCGGGACGGAGATGAAAGATAGCACAGTGTGCACTCCATCGAAAACCTTGACAAGTTCATCGACACTTTCGTAGTTTGATTTGAACCATTTGACTCCTGGGGCGACTTCCTTCTGGGCGGCGTCCTGGATGTGTAAGCCAAGTTACCTTTGTTCTGGAATTTGGTTGCTTACCTTTCGGGAGAGGATGATGATTTCATGCTTGTTTCTGGAGAGCAGGGCGTCAACAACTTCTCTTCCAACGTCTGTGATTTGGATTAGTGAATGTTGTGCATGTTGAAAGGTGGACGTACTGCCTGCTCCTCCTACGATTGCGATTTTGACCATTTTGAAATTGCGTGATTGTTATATTGAAATTATTTGTTTGTGTAGAGTGAAGCAGAATATCGAACAAACATCATTCTAGCCGGCTCTTATAGGAATTATCTCTTATATTTTGGTGCTTCATTCCGCCATTTCTCAGGACCGTCGTTCTCGTCCGCCGACGATACCATCGCCAAGAGTGGATCCAGTCTACCAGCAGGCTAGATTGCTAGAATCAAGGGGACGAAATAAACGAGCCAGTCGCATACCAAATCTCGCGCAGATCATTCTCGCAACCTTCAATCCTGCCAGCCTAGCTCAACCAATCAGAATCCAAGAAGATTACAAATCATCTCCGGGAAATCGGCGGATGAAGATCTCCCGCCGTCAGCATTGCTCCCTTTATTCCCTCCATACCCATACCATCAATAACCTCCGTCAAATACACTATCAAAAATGGGCGACCACATTTCATTGGCTCCGGAGCCAGCCCCGAAACGGCGGAAGCTCCGCAAAGGGACGCAGTCATGCTGGGAGTGCAAGCGGCGGAAAGCCAAGTGCATATTCTCCGACAACCTTGGAATTTGTGACTCGTGTAAGAGAAGAGGAACAGATTGTGTGAGTCAGGATACGGATGAAAATCCTCCGCCGCTGGGGAGTAATAAACATCTTGTTGATCGGCTTGGGGAGGTTGAAGCGTTGGTGCAGCATTTGCTTAAGGCGCAGAGTAGTGAGAGAAGGTCGGATGATAGGCTTTCGCCGGAGAGTGTTGGGTCGGGAGGGCGGAGCCATGATGAGGACCGAAGACGATCTGATTCGTCTCCTGCCTTTCTGACCGAGAGCGTTGTTGATGCTCACGAGAATGGCGTGACAACAGTGAGTTAAGACAACACGAACCCTCATTGGAGACACTGACACATGATAGGACGTCGTCGTCACAAATATCACGCCAAGATCGGAAGACTCAATACCATCTGGTGCCGCCGAAGGCCATGATGATCTCTACACAGAACTGGTTGCCGCCTGGCCCGGTCCAGAGGACATGGCAGTTATTCTAGGCCTCCCAGTCGAGCCCTCACAAATCATCCGCGCACTCACCTGCGCTCCTCCAAAAGATCGAACGTCCGGCTTTCCATCTCCAGCAAACTTGCTCCGCCTTCCACCGCGAGGCTCACATCCTGTCCTGGTAGCACGGAAAATGCTCGTCCTTGCTACATATCTCCAAGGTGTGCCTATAGTATCCGAGAAGCATCTTGACAAGCTTAGCACCAGCTACGAGAGCATCATGGCTAGGCTGGTCAAAGTCGCTCATAACAAAGTTACGTGTGATGATGATCTTGTCTCGTCGCTTGAGGGCATAGAATGCATTATGCTCGAAGGGCTTTACGCGAATTACAGTGGTGACCTACGCCGATCATGGCTTGCAGCTCGTCGAGCTATGACGATGGCTCAGATGATGGGACTAAACAGAGGCATAGCTCCTTTATCATTTAGAGGAGCCACCGTTGATGTCAGCGACCTCTGGTTTCGCATTCTCAATTTCGACAGATACCTTTGCTTGATGCTTGGTCTGCCACAAAGCTCACCCGACGAACCACTTCCTCGAATCGATGATCTCGAATCACATCCCGCCAACCGGAAGCTGCAAATACTTTGTTCCGTCGCCTGTGCGAAACTGTTGAACCGCAAGACTGCCGATCTATACAACACGGATGTAACAAAAGACATTGACAAGATACTTCGCGACGCTTGCACATCCATGCCGGCACAATGGTGGATCCCGCCTACTCTTGCGTCACATTCGGAACTTCCTGACAGAATCCGTGAAACACTGCGATTTAACGACCATTTCATGCAGTACCATCTTTTACTTGCGCTTCATATGCCGTACATATTAAAGATAGATGGTGATGAGTCTTGTGGCTACCATAAACTGACCGCTATAACAACAAGTCGAGAAATCTTGACGAGATTTATTTCAATTCGCACGCTACCTCAAACGAAGACTTATTGTCGAGGAACGGACCTTATCGCCTTTATGGCATCCACCACATTGACGCTCGGTCACATCCTATGCGATCATCGCCATAAAAGGATTGAGGACCATGGGTATCATTTCCTCACACAGCAGCGGCTGAGCGACAGAGGTCTACTCGAACAAGTTCTCTCCATAGCAGAAACCAGCATGCACAGATTTGAAGACGAGATTTCCAAGAGGTTGACGACACTGCTCCACTATCTGTTGGCGATGGAGGACAATGTCACAGCTGGGGTGAGGTATCATGTGACTTTTTCAGAAGAGACAAAGAGGGATGCAGAGTTGGGAAATCACGTCAAGGCAAGTGATGATAGTACCGTCTTAGAAATTCATCTTCCTCATTGCCCTGTTATTAAGATTCTGCGGAGGGATCCAGAGGGGAAGGAAGCTTTGCCGGTTGTCATGGAGGTTCCTTGGGGTCAGACACCAGCAACCGGGACAAGCGCCGTCCGAACTGTAAATACAGTTGAACCAGTATCTGCATCAGAAGTTATGAGTTCGGGAATTAATGTCAGTGGAATGTCACCACTGCTGTCGGATAATCCTGTTGGAGATACATGGACGTTGGAGGGGTTGGATATGAGTTTTCTTGACAACTTCATAGAAGGGCCTGCTGTTATCTGAGTACTTGAATATCTGGATTGCGAAAGAGATAAGAGAAATACAGGAATTTCTCTCTATGCAGTTAGCTTACATACAACAGTCCATCAGTACAGTAGAACATTTCAATTCATCCACCACCGCGACCCAATCTTCATTCTAGTATGTCTTGGGGTATATTTACCAGCTATTCATTCGACTTCAAGCCAGCTTCGACATGGTGACAACATTGCCATATTTTGGTCCACTCTAGCCCAGCTTTGATATAATATTTTCCAAACTCTCATTCTCTGGCATTGTTTCAATATGAGTACCGTAATACTGCTCGATTTCATGCATCATTGACATATCATCAGCGGTAGCTAAGTTAATAGCCACGCCCTTCCTGCTGGGTCGGCCGCCCCACCCAACGCGGTACATATATTTCTCGGGCTTTGATGGAAGGTCGAAGTTGACAATAAGTAATATCTGTTGGGTGTCGATGCCACGGGCTAGGAGATCAGTAGTGATAAGAATGCGAGAAGAGCCACTTCTGAATCCTTCCATGATCTCGCAGCGAAGGCATGCATCCATATCACCATGCATGGACGAGACGGTAAGGCCGCGAGCGGTAAGCTTATCAGTAAGCCACTCAAGCTTTTTGCGAGTACTGCAGAAGATAATGGTTTGGAAGGATTCCATGGTCTTGTAGATCTGAGAAAGAATATCTAGCTTGGAGTCTTCGTTCTCAGCAGCGATATAGAATTGCTTAACACCCTCGATGATAGGCGCGGTTTTGACAATAATGCGGACAAAGTCGCGCTTGAACTTGGCCTCAAGTACGAGGACATCTCCTGGCATGGTAGTAGAGACAAGAAGAGCCTGGGCAGACTGTGGTAAGAACGAGAATATATCTTCAATCTGCTCTTCAAACCCACGAGCCAGCAAGTCGTCAACACCGTCAAGCACAAACATCTTTATATCATCGATGCGAAAGACGCCGCGCTCGATCATATTCTGTACACGGCCAGGGGTGCCGATGACGATTTGCGCATCGTCCATGAGAACACCAATTTCTTCTCTCGGGCTTTTGCAGACGTGGGTGTGGACGTCCATGAAGTCACCGATGGCATCCATGAGGTTATGGATCTCCTGAGCCAGGACACGCGATGGTACGAGGACCAGAGCCTGACAAGCTTTAACGTTGGGGTCGATTCTCTGTAGAATAGATATACAGAAAGCGACAGTCTTTCCAGTTTTAGACTGCGCTTGGGCGATAACATTGTGACCTGCATGGAAATACAGTCAGTACTGCATTCATGCGTGTTCAGAAAATTGTTGTTACCTTCAATCATAGGCTTTATAGCACGCTTTTGGATAGCAGAGGGATTCTCGAAGCCATATGCATAGACTCCGCGAAGAAGATTGCTCTCAAGGGCCATGTCATCGAAAGTTTCAGTTATATCATCGTCCTTGGACTTGACCTGAGCTACGTGAGTGGAATACAGTCAGCCCTGTGCTCTTTCGAAAATTTTCATAGAGGTGCTCGCCAGACACTGATCACTGGGACTTACTGGTCTCAAGACTTGTACCATCCATTATTGCGGGCGGATGGACTGAGCCACAGCGTGTTGCGTTGGTTTATTTATCAGGGTAAAACAGTAGGGTAATTAAAGGAAACTCGAAAGACCTGATCTTTTATTTGTCTGACATGTTTCCTCATAAACGCTGAATTCACTAAGCTGCTCGGAGTCATACTGATGTCTTGCTCCAAGGGTCAGATCAGGCAACAGCCTTATCTAATCGTCTTAAGCTAGGCCGAATTGGGTATAACTAATAGTCACTGCCACCAGATAATTGGTAAGGTCCTGGTTACTTGAATCAACGACCTCGCTACCTGCTCTCCTAGCACCAGATGCCTTTAACTGTTGATTGCTAAAGAAGAAGGAAGCATTGGGGTAGTTGGCAATTTGGAAACTATCTATAAGTTTTCTTAACAACTTCATAGAAGGGCCTGCTGTTATCTTCATAAATTGGAACTGCAAAGCATATGATACATTACAAGTAAAAGTCTTGATACAAGAAGGGTTGCTAGGACGTAGTACATTAAAGGGCCTCCAGGTCGAAGATTTAGTTACCAAAGACCTTCATAGCTCAGACGGGTATTCCGAACTTTTTCTCTATGCAGTCAGCTTACATACCAAAGTTCAAAGTATAGTGGAACTTGAGAATCCTTCTACTATCGTGACCCAATTTTCCACCCACTACAGCCTAGAGGCTCAGGTGGGTAACAGCAGAATTGTCCCCTAAGGCTTAGGTTACTAAAATAAAGTAGCCTAAGGGCTAATCTAAGCCTATATAAAGTGATCAAATTATTTCGTCTCTTATGCTCTTGAGGCCAATTCTTCTGGTATCCTGAGGGGGCTGTTTACTAACTATCCTCGTAACTTCAATTGAACCAATAGTACTTCTCTGAGACCGAAAGGTCCCGTACAATGGACTCTAACCATCATATGTATGCGAACTACTCATCCCACCATGATATCATTTATGTAGAAGCGAGGTCCAGAAAAGGTGAGCTCTCATCTGAAGATTGATATCTGAAGCTGCAATCATGTCGAAGATTTGGAATGGACGAGAATTACCCCGAAGTAATACTTTCCGATCTCGATTTAATCAAAGCATGGATTTCTAAGAGAGAGGCTGTCTCTGTGATTGAACATAAATACCTTGCCAGGAAGCCATATTCTGGAGATTATTCAATCAACAAAACCTCATCTCCAACATGCGATACTCTACAATCATCGCCAGTGCAGTCGCTGCTTTCAGCCCCATGGTCGCCGCTGACTGGGGCTGGCCCGAAGACCCCTTCGTAACCGGAACTTGCGCAGCGACATGCAATGGCTTAGCCTTGGCCTTCACACGGGACAAAGTAAAGGACTACTGTAACGAACTAGTCAAGGACGGGTACATCCATCCTCTCACCTTCTCCTCACATTCACTAACACATTAGCAGTTGCCATGGCGGAGTTGCCAGCTTATACCCTGGCGCTGTCACATTTGCAGCAAACGGTGACATCGATTGTAAGGATACTGGTCCTAGAGACGTTACGCAGTGCCAGGAGGCTTTTGAACACGTCATTCTTCAAACCAAGAGGTGGGGTGGACCTGGTGCTACTCTGAGTGCTCAGATGTATGTGTTTAACCATAATGGGGACCAGGCAGGTGCAGTGGGTGTTACTGGTGGTTGTATTCCTATTGACCCTCTCAACGTCGGTCTGTGTTAAGGTGGTTTGAGAGTACATATATCGGTTCCAGCATGAGCCAAAGATTCTGTCAGATCTATATATCCTGTCTCATCAACCCTAACTACCGTTTCGTCTGCTCCGACAGGAAATTATTATATCTCTCGAGAAATTGAATGCTTTGCGGCGACTCTGTCATGCTATAAGCAAACCAATGAGGAACGCCGGCATAACAATGAACTTCAACGTCAACGCCGTCATTTATCAAAGCCTCGGCATAAGCCAAAGCGTCATCGCGTAGAGGATCAAAGCCAGCGCATTGAATCACTAGATATTGTCAGCAACAAATCCCTCATTCACATCAGTATCGACTCACGAGTGGGGGGCAACCCCCTGAAGGACTCTGCAAGAAGAGGCGAATGTCGATAATCCGGTTTAGCGTCAGGAGTATACGCGGCCCAAGCATCTTCCATGCCTATTGTGTCCAGGACAACGTCGTCGTGGTTCTGGATGTAACTGCCGTATTCATACTTGTCTCTTGGGAAGAATTTGGGATGACATGTTGGGAGGAAGTGGAGAACCTGTGCGATGACGCCGGTAGTCTTGTTCTCTAGACACTCGAGGGCGAGAGAAGCGGCGAGCTGACCGCCGGCGGAGCCACCGCTGATGATGATACGTTCGGGGTTGATTCCTAGCCTTTCAGAGTTGTTTTTGCACTTGAGATCGTTAGCTTACATGACCTTTGAATTTCGATGGAACGTACCCAGATGAGACCGTCGTAGCAATCGTTGATCTGTGTTGGAAACGGATTTTCAGGCGCCCTATAACCATTAGAATCAAATCTCAAACATAAAATAGCAAACACACAACCGATAGTCGACACTCACGACAACAATATCCGGATTCGTCGCGGCATAAACATTGTCAACTCCATCAACCTCATGTCTTCCAATACACCACTTCCCACCATGCATCCTATACATCAGGACCGCATTATTGTTCACCTTATTACTCTTATAAAGCTTCAACTCAATCATAGTCCCGTCGCGGGTAGGAATTTGTATAAGTTCTATGACGATATCCTTGTATCGGTCTGGCCCATTTGGTGGCATCACAGCATCGGGATCGCCTGCAACTGCTCGCATACTTGGGAAATCAGGCTGTGCATTGAGTTCAGAGAGTGCCTCTTGAAGAAAAGGTTCAGCAGCTGAGTACTCGGGAGACTTTTGCGAAAGGTGCCCGTATTTGGGGAGGGGTGTGAATGGGATTGACAGGTCGAAGTAATCGGATTCGGTTCTTTGGAAGCCCATGGTGACTTTTATTGATTCTAGAATTATTGTGATGTTGTTTCCTTTCTCATTTCACTTTTTATATTCTGCTTTTCGCTTGTCAGAAGTATTATTGGCGGTTGATAGGAAATGATTCATAGTGAGTGCTTTCCATTCGAGTTTAGCGTCAGCAGGGCCCAGATCTGACTAGTGCATATTCAAGAGAGACCAGCTAGGTGGGTGATACAAGAAATATCCTCTAAGGCTTATGATATTAAAATAAAGTAGCCTAACTGATTTCCTAAATTTGCAAAAGATGACCAAACTATTTCATCCCTTATGTTTATAACAGTCAATTCTTCTGATACCCTGCGGACGAGCCACTCACGGCAATAGATACTTGACCTGAGCAACAGGCAGGAGAAAGAGGGCATCTATTAGAATCCAACACAGACAATAAGAGACCAATGCTTCTACATCTATGTAATATAAGGAGAAATATTTTCTTTTTTAGATTGCACCCATCACATCTAACTCTCTTTATCATCCTCCTTCTCCTTGATATCCCGATTCTCCCAGTCATGGCGCCAACCACAGTCCCAATCACAATCCCCAACCGGTTTCATATCATTACGATCATGATACTTTCTATGACTCTCCCCATACAGTTCCTCATGGGACTTGATTATCATCCCATTGGATTGGGAGAATCTCTTCATTACAGCGTCACCCCCACCCTTTTCAGTAATTATCTTATCGAAAGCTTCCGCTGCTGCACACATAAGCTCCTCTCCAGCCCCTTCTGGGTTCTTGCAGAGCACCCCGAAGATATATGCAACCACAAATGGAACTGAGTATTCCCTTTCAAGGTATGGGCTGTCCACTGTTTGGAGAATGGGATCGCAGGCCGCTTTGATTCCGGCCAATACGTCCCACGTCATTCGATGCATGTAGAGAAAGGGTAATGCAAACTCCACTATCTCCCCTGTCAAGGCACTCGAAAGTGGTTTCAGCAGTTCATCGGGTCTCAGCTTACCACCCTCTGTCGCCTTTTTCCGCTGAGTTGGGAATGTTGGCTTTTTCCTCTTCCCACCAGTCGAATACACCGCAATCCTTTGGGAATCGTCTCCGCTTTCTCTAGGTTCGAGATAATTACGGTTGCCGACCGCCTCGGTATCCTCGCGTGAAATGTTGACTTGATTAGACCTTTTCACGTATTCTCTGTGTTCGTTCTGATTACGAGATGATCTCGTCAATATCCTCAGGTGAGAAGTTGACGCGCGCAGATTCTCTCGTGTATCGATCAATGAACATAGATGTCACTGGCGATCAGCCTTTGATTAGTCGTACCCCAGACCGACTCTTGGAGTTACCCTTCAGAAGGCCCTTGCTGGAGATGGCAGAAACCGAGTATCCCATCTGCAAAAGCAATCTCTTATTGTAACCCTCCGTGTCGGTCGGTGGATCTCCAACAAAGAAATTGGATTTGCCGCCGAGGGCATCCTGTACAAACTCTAGGTCCCGCCAAGAGCCTTCTTCAAGATGCTCCTCATTCACCAGAGCATTGTACAAGTGTGCAGAGTATGCGACGGAGCCCAAGCAATTCATGACCAGGATGCTAAACTCGTACATTTGTGCGCGGAAATGGAACACAAGAAGACCACTGATGATGGGCGACAAAACCAACATTTGGTGTCTGGGATTCTGTCACTAGCACCCCGGACTTTTCGGCCCTCCTCCTCTTAGCAAGAAAGACGGGATCTTCCATGACCCAGACCATTTTCAATTCAAGAGCCCGCAGTGCACGTTCGTTTTGGGCGGGCCAGCCGGGTGGCTTCACCCTCGCATTGAATCCCATCTGAAGGTGGAGGTCAGCACGTATGGTGTCGTTTTGGGCGCCTGCATAGTTGAATGTAAGTTCCGCGTCCTCTCTGAGGCAGAAGTGGATATCCAGAACAACTTGAGCAGCGAAGGTCAGATATCAGGGTCTCTTTCCTGTCTGCTCCATCTCGGAAACACCGCGTAGGAACTCGTCCTCAATTGGATAGTCTTTTACTCCGTGTATGAGCGTCATAGCTTCGGTCAACAATGCGCCTAGAATCTGTTCATCCTCTTCAAACTTGGCATGACCATCTTTCTCGAACCGGTTGCTCTTTGGGTCATACGCCTCAAACACACCTAGAGTTACTTGTGTAGGGTCTTTGTTGCCTATTCTGTTTATGAAGTTTCGCAGGAGTACATTAGCGTTGAGAAAGCACTGCTCTGCGATGGTATACATCTTCTCATTTCCAGTCCCAGGTTTTCCCCATGAAGACACCTCATCTTCAGTAAACCCAGCATCCTGGGCCTGGTAACAGGCCCATTCTTCCAGAACGTGACAAGGGTTACCTTGCGCTTCAAGAATGGGGAGAACCTGCTCTATAAGGTTTCTTGCAAGGCGATGGCAGTATTGGTGGTGACGGCGGCGACAGCTGGATCTAGACCGCCACCGTCGTGGCCGGACAAAGCGTTCCACATTGCTAAAATATTTTGTCAGATATCGTTGAGGTCGTTGACAAGGGCCGTACATGCCATGAAAGCATCATCGAAAGACTTGAGAAGCTCTGCCTCGTAGTTGTCGTAGCCTCGTGCTTTTTCAGGTCGGACAGGGTCAGGAGCGTCTAGGAACTCTTAAGAAGGCTCCTCAACGCCCAGGCCCACAAAGCGGTTGGTCAAGTCTTCGAGAGATACAGATTCAGGAGTTTCAACGGGTATGCAAGGCCTAAGAATACTCCTGATAGTTTCTAAACCTCCTACGAAGTAGTTTTAGCTCTTATTGGAGTCCTTATCCGTTTTAATTCCACATTTTATTATCTTCTCGCTGAACTTAGATCTCAGATAGATAACTCGGTTAATGGTTGTAGCAAATGCAGCAGGAACCTTAATCATAGGCTTGGTAAAGGCAAAGATGTGCTTAGCTAAGGGGATAAAGTCCTTAATTGCAATAATATGTTTTGGGGTTGAGGGTACGATCTAGGGTGCTTGCTGATATTTCTTTGCATCCTTTCTGGCCTTGCCCTTGAGGCGGCCAGGTCCAGCCTTGGCCGCGCTGGACAGCTGCTCTGGCTGATAACCGCATTTCCTGGCAGTAGAGGCAAGCCAAGCAGCGACTGAATCGGTGTCTTCTTTGTACTGTGAGTACACACTGGAGAGTGACCCATCAAGCATTTTGAGGATGAGCTTGTCAAATATAATCTAGGATGAGCTGAAGTGGGGGATCCCAATGACATCCTAACGCGTTCAAAGGTCTCCCGTCACGTGATGCCCCGCTGTGATGTCAAGGCATCGGGTGACTGGGCCCGAATTACTCTTAAGTTGGACAGAATGTTGCCGAAAAGGAAGAAGAAAATAAGTGTGCTTAATACACTGTCGAGAGTAGAGATCATTGGAAACACTGCAATATATTCGCGAAATGAAGAAGCACGCGTTCTGACCTGTCAGGAGTCCAATGAACAATTCCCACATTTCAGCTCTGTTCACTTGGCTGACCCAGTGATTAACCACGACCCATGAAGAAATGGGGGATTTGGTCCAAACAAAACTCAATTCAGGTTACACATTTGCCTCAAAACAAATTTGAAGGATTTATTGTCTTGCGAGTCTCGATCGCTCCACCGTTCGAGAAGGAAAGACTTGTCGCGTTGTATTTGCCGATGGGAGTTGGCTAAGGATACATAAAAGGAAGGCGTGGGGGCGGTTGCTGCCTAAGTTGATCTGCCGCGTCTGACAGTCATCAATTGAATAACATACAAGGAAAGTCCAACTGGACCAAGTTTGCATCTTTCATGTTTTGAATTAATTTGCTAAAATGCCCAAATCTGCAAACACCGCAGATGAGTACGATTTTGTCGACCATGAAGATACTGCGCTAAGTCCCGAACTCGTCGCTCAATTGAGAGAGTGGCTCCAGCCTACCGAATACCTGGCTGACTCTGGCGAGTATCGTCGCCATCTTCTTTCGCAAGCCCCAGGAACCGGACTCTGGATTTGCAAGACCGAAGAGTATCGAAAATGGCATGACTCTCCCGATCATGGTAGCCTCTGGATCAAAGGCGTACCTGGCGCTGGCAAATCTGTCATGGCGGCCAGCCTCATCCAGCATCTGAAAGTCACTGAGAACTGTCCAGTACTTTTCTTCTTCTTTCGAAATATTGTCGCCGCCAATTTCTCACCGCGAGCGCTCATCCAAGATTGGCTTGCTCAACTGCTCCCTCATTCACCGAAATTGCAGTTCGCACTCCAACCGCGTCTTGGGACGAGTCTGGAAGAGACATCGGACAATGACCTGATCGAGCTTTTTCTCGATGGTGTCTCGTGCGTACCGAAGTTATACTGTGTTGGAGATGCTCTTGATGAGATGTCAAGCGACAACAACCCATTTTTGGAGAAGCTCAACAGTCTCGCTACCCATCGGCCCAGATCCCTCAAGTTGCTCATGACGAGTCGACCAAAACAATATCTGCAGAGCACGCTTCGGGATTCTTCGATCGTTCATGTCAGTCTCCAGCAGCGTCTCGTTGACGCCGACATTCTCGCTTACCTGAACCATCGCTTCGATATTTCTCTCCAGTCCGACAATCATCGCCAGCGAAAACAAGACCTCATTGACATGATGGCGAAGAAATCTGAAGGTCTTTTCCTTTATGCGAAGCTGACTATGGATCAAGTCGAAGAGTCACTACAATCCGAAAAGCCCATCGATCTCGTAGCCCTCGAGGCATCTCTGCCGGTCGGGCTTGAGCAGACCTATACGAGCATACTGGCCAAGCAGCGTCGAGAGGCAGGAATCACCACAGATGTGCAGCTGCTAGTGCTAGAAGCTATCACCCATGCTTCCCGACCGTTGCGATTGAACGAGCTTGCAAGTCTCTTGGAGTGTTTATACCCCGATCTCGCAAAACCAAAAGTCTTCAAACCATTGATTGCAACTAGCTGCGGGTCTTTGATCGAGATTCTCGAAGACGAGACTTTGCAGGTCATTCATCACTCTTTCACAGAGTTCCTACGCGGCGATACTCGGAGCGTCCCCGAGGTGGGCGAACTTGGCTTTCCCATCATCGACTCGCTCCAGGCGCATCGAAAGATGGCCATGAACTGTCTTCGATACCTGCAGTCTGGAACGATGCTGTTGGAAACCGAAAGGTCCGGCGCTGTTGCCTTGGATCCGAACATCACATTCAAACCACCCAAGCACACTGTTGATCCGTTTGACAGAACTCAAGAGGTCCAGGAAGACCCGTCCGACTACAGGAATGCTCGACTACAACATGCATTCCTTGGTTACGCAGTGGAAAACTGGTCGTACCACTCAAGCTTCTATGATGTGGCGGATGACGACTTCTTTGAGGCCGTAACCAGCTTTCTTAACCCTCAAAGCATTTCTTTTCTACGATGGCTTGTGTTCCAATGGGGCGCCACGTCCAAGGAGAAAGGCTCCACCGTTGGGATTCCAACGTCCCTTCATCTCGCAGCATTTGCAGGGCTGTCCGAGTTTGCCGCAAAACTGATACAGCAGAAGGCATTCGTGTCTGCAATTGACGCTCAAGACCGCACTCCTCTCCATTGGGCCTCTGCGAATGGTCATGTCAAAGTCGTAGCCATTCTTCTCCAACATGGCGCTGACCCCGATGCTGAAGATGGAAGAGGAGTCAAACCACTCCACCTTGCGACTCTCAGGTGCCGACCAGGAGCAGTGAGGCTACTGCTTGAAGCAGGTGTGGACCCGGCTACAGCTAAGACAAAGGAAGAGCACCTGGGATTCAATCGATGTGGCTACAAAAGGACCAAAGGGGATTGTGCTCTGAAGTACGCCGGTCGAACAGGACACGTCGACACTGTCCTAGCTTTGGCACCGTTTTGTGACCAGCCCAAACTGGAAAAGATGTTGTGTCTACTGTGCGAAAATGGCCGCTCAGATGCTGTTTCAGCGCTGCTGAATAACTCACCAGTCTCACCCGACGCCATGTATCAAGAAACAACAGCGTTGTATTTGGCGTGCAGGTCAACAAGCCTCAAGTGTGTCGAAGCACTTATCAATCGAGGCGCAGATACCCGAAAGCTGTCAAAGTGGTCTTCGGAAGAGTACAGCGACAGGCCACTCGATCTAGTTGCAAAAGCACCGATTCACGAACTGGCGCATCAGTGGGAAGAGTCCAATGATTCTGAGTGCCAAGGCATCTTGAAATTGCTCCTGAAAGCCGGAGCCGACATCGACCAGCCTAACAGTCAAGGCAACACTGCTTTGCTGGAATTGGCAGGCTTTCGTCGAAGCCTTTGGAACAATTCTGGGAAATGCTGCGCTGCTGTCAAGCCTCTGATTGAGGTAGGGGCTGACGTCAAAGTCACTGATAATACCCTGAGTAAAGATCTGGATGTAAATGGGCAAGGATGCGCGAGTAGCGTTTTGCACCGCGTTGCTCGCAACACCCGAGATTTGGAAGTCATCAAGATTTTGGTGGAGAAGGGCTGCGACCTGAATGACAGGAATGGCGAGGGCGAAACGGTACTTCTCTCGACCCTGAATTGGAGACGACCTAATTATCGAATCGAATCAGAAGAGAGGACTCGAACTATTGTTGAATATTTACTCGAAAAAGGCGCAGATCTGTCTTGCAAGGACTACGAGGGCAATACCCCACTGTCTCATGCACTGAGTCTTGGACCCAGCATCTTCAAGCTTCTCTTCTCTCAATGTCATGATATGGAAATGAAGAAGGAAAGCTGGTTCTCGTTATCCAGTGTTAGGCCGAGATGGACCGACAAGTTCAAACAATGTCTCGAGATGTTCTTGGATGAGGGGTTTGATATTGAGACAAAGGATATATGTGGAAGGACATTGTATCTACGGTGTTGTGAAAAGTGCTCCTGGGAGAGATTAGAGATCTTACGGGATCGCGGAGCCAGAGTTGACGCGAAGGATAACGATGGGAACAATGCTTTGCTCCATTACTGTCTTTTGTCGAGAAAGCGGTGGGAAGACTTGAAGCAACTTGTTGTGGATGGGGTCAGTCCTTTCGAGACGAATAATAACGGCGACAACATCCTTCACCTTATTGCAAGATGGTATGCCGGAACAAAGGACCGTGCGGAGTTTGTGCACTGGCTTGTCAATTTGGGAGTTCCGGTGAATGCCGTCAACAATCAAGGGTCTACTCCGTTACACTTGTATCAAGACCAAGAGCCACGACGGACCATTGGAGACACACAGGAGCGCTATCACTTTATCAAGATGCTTAGCAGTCGCTCCGCTGTCGACTTGAAGATCCTAGACAACGATGGCTTTACCCCTCTACACATAGCAGCCACCAGATCGGAAACTGAAGTGGCCCAGCTGATAGGCCAAGACGTCGATGTGAATTTTCGCACTTCAGACTCGCAGAACGCTTTGCATATGGCCTGTCACGCGCGCAAATCGAATATCGTTGCTCAGCTCCTCAAACAAGGTATTGACATCGACCAGCAGGACAACGATGGTAGAACACCGCTTTTCTACGCCTGCAGCTCTGGGGAGGTGGAAATCGTGGATTGCCTATTAGAAAGTGGCGCTTCGCCTCATTTTGAGGCTATTGATCGCTCAACAGTCCTTCACGCTTGTGCAGATGTTGCATCTGAGCAGTGTATGCGGAACATCAAGGGCAGACGATCGCATTGGCTGCGAGCTCGATCCCAAAATGAACTCCGACCAGGTGATCCCTCAAGCCAAGTTGATAAACCCTGGCTCTGGTGTGGCTCCAAAAAGCCTCCTCAGGTGGCCCTTCGCAGACAATTCTCACCTACTCTTGCAAGAATTATTGAGACTATCATCAACGCTGGCGTTAATGTTGGGCAACGTAATAATGAAGGGTTAACAGCTCTCGACATCGCCCTATCTACAGGTTATACCGGCTTTGTCGAGGTATTTTACCGATCGAAATCGCTCCTCCAAAAGGCTACTGAGTATTTGGACACCAGTGATTTAGCTCCCGAGGCCATTGAAAAGGCGCGCCAGAGAATCAAAGTGCAGATGGCGTTGATGTTGCCGAGCCCTCGCTTAGAGTCTCTACGACAGGATGGTGCCGCCTTCCGGGTGCTTTTAGAAAATCCTCGCACTGCACTGGGATTACTTTCGATCGATGAGACATCTACACTGATTAACGAGGCCTTCCGAGCTGATCCAGTATCAGAGCCAGTCTACACGCTACTTTCGCGGTTGATGCAATCGAGTCGTTTACAGAACATTGACCACCTGGCTGTTATCGAGAGGATTCCAAGTCTTGTGAGTTATTACAGCAGCGCTGAAGGTGTAAGAGCCAGGTTCGAGGCGGCCAGATCGGAACATAACTTTGCCAGCAAAACCGTGAAGAATGCTCTCGGAATGGCTTGTTCCCATAAAGAATCGAACCTTCTGACTCTGAGAACGCTAGTAGAGAAATTAAAGGTGGACGTCAATGTTCATTTTGTATGTCGCGCTGTGGATGATGGCTATTTGAATTTTGAAACGGCTGGGGGAGGAATAGCTCTACATGTCCTAGCGTCAGCAGGCCACTTCTGGCAGTTAGAGGCTTTGAAATATCTTCTCGACCACGGCGCCGATATCAACGCTGTCAATCGGAAGGGAGAAACCCCTCTTCATATTGCGTCTGTGGGGTTGCAGCCGAGTACTGAATCAGACGGACTATGGTCATTGGATGCTGTCAGAATCCTTCTGGATCGCGGTGCTGACATTAATGCTCTCGACAGTGAAGGGCTATCTGCTCTTCACAAGGCGTCCTCGTCTCCGCGTATCACACTGGAGCTCCTGAATCGCGGCGCAGATGTCAGTATCGGCGCCAAGAGCCCGCTGTTCTTTTGCATTCGCGACCAAAATCTCGAAACGCTCGAGATACTCCTGCAACACGGCTTGAGTCCAGATGTTGTCGACGAGAAACGTCAAAGTGTAGAGGTCGCCATGGATCCGACAAAACGTCACAAGGTGTATCCTCTGTTCTGCACCGCATTTGCCGAGCCGGGTCCCAAAGGTTGGCTCAACTGGCTGCCAGACACACTCCCGCTACTGGCGTGTCTCATCAAGTCCGGTGCTGACATCTATCTTCCTTTGAATGAGGATGAGACGTTGATACACTTTCTCTTCGAATTTCCGGAACATGAGGTACTTGAGGTCTTAGTAGAGGAACCTTGTGCGTCAAGAATAAATTTCGATCGTCGTGATCAGCAAGGCCGAACTGTTCTCATGGCAGCTTGCGACTGGCAGAGATGCCTAGGAGATCATCCGCGAAAATCTAGACAGGCTCCAAAGATATACAAGACAGGGCCACCCTTGGAGATTTTGAGTCTTGGAGTCGATGCCACTCTAGCTGATCCATCTGGAAAGACTGCGTTGCATCATTTGTTGAGCAATCCTGGATTCCCGGACGTTGTTCTTCTGGAATTTATCGATCGAAAGGAGGTAGCGCCTACGTTATTACAGAAAGACGGACAAGGCTTTTCGCCGTTACATTACGCTCTTGGTACCCTACGTCCAGCTATTTGCGAAGCTCTGTTGGACAAGGGTGCAGACTTGTTAGAGCCTGATCCGCAAGGTCGTACGGCATTACACTACATTGCCTCGCAGTGTCTCCTCCAGGACAGAGCAACGTCGCCTTTTGGACGCCACACGCACGAGCTGGCAGATAACTTCTTCGAAGGATGTGTTTCTCTATGGCAGAGGTACCTTTCTTTGGGTGGCTCAATCAATGCGGTTGACTCAGCTGGAGAAACCCCGCTGCATGCATATTTGTCCATGTTGGACCCGCACAGAGAGCAAGAAAAAGTGCATTGTCATGTGGAACATTACAATTCATTCTTCCCGGAAAATACCGGCGTTGATGTTTTTGCAGTGAACAATGCCGGAGAGACGATGTTGCATAAAATTGCGGCCAGACCAGTATCGAGGTACTTGTTGGATGGACACGACAAGGCCTTGTTTTTGATGATGATGGACAAGGGATTGGATCCGTTGAAGGAGGATACGAAGGGGCGAAGTGCATTGGATGTTGCAAGTGCATGTGAAAAAGATGATATTGTTGGATTACTTGGAAGAACGTCACTGATCGACGTTGGGTATTTATCGGAGCCGCAACAATTTCCGCAATAACATCATGGAGATTGATCCACTTATTTCCTACCCCAGAGACGGCTTCTTTTACCCGCGCCTCTCGGTCCGAGGCGTTCGGCTTTTGTTGAGAGTTTGTTTCACATCGTGACCTGTAAGTGGACAATACATACATTAGCGTGTGGAGAGGCGTCATGCCCGATACACTTCGGATCCATAGAATTAGCTCCCGAATGTTTCTTGTGACACCTTGTTCCTATCTGGGGTCCGATGTTGAGCTAAAGTGCGGGGGAGTATGTTGGCAGATGGATAGGGAAACAGATATCCGTCGTGTATAAATTCAACATATTCTGCTGTCCTCTTCCTTTTCATTTGACTCATATCTCGTACTCGAACATCTTTCATCATGTCTACAAATGGAACAACCCATCTCAATCTCAAGGACAATTACGTCCAGATCATCAATGGCAAAAGCGCACCTACACAGAAGACTCATCAGGGTATAAACCCTGCTACACTCGAGAAGAAGCCTGAAGTCCCCGTCGCTACTCAAGATGATCTGAACAACGCTGTTGATGCAGCCAGAAAGGCGTTCAAGTCCTGGTCCAGAGTTCCCTGGAAAGAGAGAAGACAGAAGTTGTATGCCTGGGCAGATGCTGTCGAGGCACAGAAGAAGGAGTTTGCCGATTTACTTATCTCTGAGCAGGGAAAGCCTGTAAGACACCACTCTATACCTTCCTCTCATTATTCCCTTCAGTGTTCAATGCCAAAGTGGAAGTACTAACGGGGTATAGATTCCTCAAGCTACAGGTGAAGCTGACGCCGCCATCGCTTGGATCCGAGGCCAAGCCAGCTTTGACCTTGCCGAAGAGGTCGTCGAGGATAGTGAGAATCGGAAGATTATCACTCGGTATACTCCTCTTGGTGTTGTCGCTGCTATTGTTCCTTGGAACTTTCCTCTTATGCTTGCTGCTGCCAAGATTGCGCCGGCGCTGGTTACTGGAAATGTCATCATTGTCAAGCCTTCGTAAGTTACCATCCCGTCCCTGGTGTCAGGGTTTAGAAAGATTGGCCTCCGAGAGCATAAAAGACGAAAGACTTTATGCCATCTTAGACCAGGACTTAGGCTACTTTATTTTCGTTATCTAAGCCTTTTCTGCCACTCTCACCCTACCTTCGTACTGAAGCTAATGTTTGGCAGACCCTTCACACCTTACTGTGGTCTCAAGCTCGTCGAGTTAGCACAGAAGTTCTTCCCTCCTGGTGTTGTTCAATCGCTCAGTGGAGACGATAACCTTGGACCCTGGCTGACGAGCCACCCCGGTATTGATAAGATTAGCTTCACTGGGTCAACACAAACTGGAAAGTTGGTTATGCAGAGTGCTGCAAAGACACTTAAGCGTGTGACCCTTGAGCTGTAAGTGCAATTTTGTAGTCCGATGAGATGATGATGGCTAATACTTGGTAGTGGTGGTAATGATGCTGCTGTTGTCTTCCCTGATGTTGACATTGACAAGGTTGCCGAGAAGGTATGTCCTTTCTGCCCCCACCAAACCGTAAGATGAGCTATGCTGACAGCTTGAAGGTCTCCACCCTCGCATTCATGAACTCAGGCCAAATCTGCCTCAACGTCAAACGCATCTACGTCCACGAGTCAATCTACGAGAAATTCCGCGACGCAGTAGTCAAGCACGTAAAGAACTACAAACTCGGCGACGGCTCCTCCGAAGAAACCAGCCACGGCCCTGTGCAAAACGAGATGCAGTACAACAGAGTCAAGACTTTCTTCGAAGACATCGAGAAGCAAGGTTGGAAGGTTGCTACTGGTGGAAAGTTTGAGACTGCGCCGAAGAACGGATATTATATTACTCCTACGGTTATTGATAATCCTCCTGAGGACTCGAGAATTGTTGTCGAGGAGCCTTTCGGTAAGCCACACCTCTAACAGCACTGATACTGTAATAGACTAATGCATACAGGCCCCATTCTTCCTATGCTGTCATGGAAAGACGAAGAAGAAGTCATCGAGCGCGCCAACGATACCCGTCTCGGTCTCGGTGCTTCAGTCTGGTCAGCTGACCTCGATGCTGCGGAGCGAGTCGCCAAGCGTCTTGATGCTGGAACCGTCTGGGTCAACAGTCACTTTGAGATCACGCCTATGGCACCGTTTGGTGGACACAAAGAATCAGGTATTGGTGCTGAGTGGGGTATTAATGGATTGAAGGGCATGTGTAATGTTCAAAGTTTGTTTTTGAGCAAGGTCGCTGCTTAGATACAAGGTATGAGGAATAATGAAGTTTATGAGTTTTATAGTCGGAATATGACTACTTGTCCACCAGAAGCTTTTTCACCTAATCCAGCTGAAACAGCATACAGGTTCTTCTCATCATGACTAAGAACAAGAGCCGTAGGTCCAGCCAGTAATCCCTCAGACAAGACTGTCATCTTTCCAGTAGTGGTGACTTTGACCACCTTATCCATCCAACAAGCAACGTATGCATTCCCATAGCTGTCGAGCACGAAGTCATCCGGCAAAAACCAGCCTGAAACTTACAAATAACCTGATAATTCCCATTCCTGTTTCCAAGATTGTCCATCTTAACGTGGTTCAGCGTCTGGTGAGCTGTGCTGGTGAAGTAGAGATAGCCACGGAAGATCTTAAGCCCGTTAACGCCGGTGGGGAACGGTGCACCGGTTTTCATCGAAGTGTTGAGGCGTCTTCATGAGTGGGTCAAGAAGGAAAAGGAGCGTTTCCTCCGACACTCCGCGATACAAAACCATTCAACGGGCCTCTCGTTCTTGACATGAAGCAAGTCATTTTTTGCTGCAGTCCAAACTTGATATTTGGACAGGGCAAGCAAATGTTTTGTTTGTCTGTTGAAGCCATGATGCATCACAAGTAGGGAAAACTCCATACCAGCACCGCAGGATTAACATATTCGTCATGGCGATGATGAGATTATACCTATTCTCTTCTCGTTCACCATGTACATGACGAGATCATGGCTAACTGGATAACATTGAGCGTATTGTCTTGGAGGTGGATGTGGATGCTTAGCACCATATTTTAGGCAGCAGATATAAAGCCCCACTCTTCAACGTCCAACTTCGAGTTCTCTCTTCTCTCCAACACCTTGACAATCATCACCAGCATCATGGCACAGCCTAAACAAACAACAGATTTCGGGCCCACACATATTGTCGATCCTGTCACAGAGCACACGCACACCGCAATCCTTCTACACGGACGAGGAAGCAACGGTCCAGAATTCGCCCAAGAACTTTTCGAAGAAACTCTTTTCCCTGATGGATCAAGCCTCGCTCAGAAACTCCCCAGTTGGAAATGGGTCTTTCCATCTTCCCGTGAACTCTGGAGCGAGGCATTTCAAGAGGACATGCCGGCTTGGTTCGAGGCCCATTCTTTGACGGATATTACGGCGAGACAGGGAGTACAGATACCCGGTATCAAAGAGTCGAGTGAATATGTCAAGACTATTACCAATGATGAGATCGCGAAGCTTGATGGAGCCAGTGAGAGGGTTGTTTTGGGCGGGATTAGTCAAGGTGGAGCGATAGCCATGTGGACTCTTCTAAGTCAAAGCGAGATGTCGTTTGGTGCCTTTTTCGGAACGAATACTTGGCTTCCTCTCTTTTCCAGTCTACGGGACTCTATGAGCCATGGTGCAGAGATGAGTGAGGACGAAGGTGTTGTGTTCTTGGCCGAGATGCTGGGCTCACCGCCCAGCCAATACCAGACGCCCAATCGCTCTACACGCGTGTTTCTTGGTCATGGGACTGACGATGCTTACGTCGATGTCGAGCTTGGGAGGCAAGCAAGAGATGTTCTCACTCAGGTCGGATATTCGGTAGAGTGGAAGGAGTATACTGGCGCTGAGTTGGAGGGACATTGGATCAAGGCGCCTGAAGAGTTGGAAGATTTATTGGAATTTTTAACAAAGACATTAAGCAGATAACTGACTCTTCAAACTCATATCTATGCCTGGTTCCGCCTATTCTTTCGAGAATCTACCTCAAGTCTCACTAGGATCTACCGTCTCCCTCACACACTCAAAACAACTCTGCTCCCAATAAGAAGGCTTGTCACCACCCGGCGCAAACTCAATATCCTCCTCGTATCCCTTGAACAGAAAACAGATCTTGTACGTCGGCGCGCCAGGACCGGGCACATAGTCCTGTGCATAGAAGGACACACAGTCTTTTGTATCGCCGCACACTTTGGCGCAAGCATTGATGTTTTCCTTGAGCTGGCTCCCGATATAAACAGGTGACGAGTCGAGGTTACCACGGTAAACCTCTTTTCCGCAGACTTTGTTGGCGGGATATGGCGTGATGGGAGTCCAGCTGGGACAGGGTACGGAAGAGGTCGTTGTGGCTGGCACTTCAGATGAAACAGTACTTTCGACGACGGAGGAGATCGTGGTTGTTGAGTCGGTTGATTGGGCAATTTCGGAAGATAATGTCACCGAGAGGGTAGATGTTGTCATGAGGTCGGTGGATCTGGGCTTGCATGTCCCACCAAAAACGCCCGCTGTGGCCAAAGCCAAGCAACACCAAGCGAGGGTTTTAAGCGACATTGTGATCAAGAACCGGAGAAGTGCCAAGAATTATTCAACAGAGAAAGCGGAAATGTCGATGATGGGGATTTGATTTAAATATGGGAATCAGGGGAAATTACCATACGAAGATGCGCATCATGTAGCTGTTTTGAGTTAGGACAATGGAAACTATCGATTTTGTCACCAGAAAGAGGAAAGGTCGCGCAGACTATACATGCGCTAGGAATAACATCACTCCGATCTGAGATTGATATGGTCCTTAGTCAGCTCAGCGTGGAGAGCAGCCATTATTTCGATCTCTTGATGCGTAGAACATTGTTTTAGATTAGCTACCGTCAATATTCTGTACCGTTGCTAAAGTAAAGGGGGTCCATCTCCCTGCAGGTCATCATGCCTCCTACTCTCATACGTTTGTTGTCTATACATTCGTTCCCTCGGTAGAACTGCTGACGCCTGTCGGTACAACGGTAATCCCCGTTTGCAGGCCAAAAAAGACAATCAGATATGTCATGATCATCCTCGTCATCGAAAACCCAAGATCCCGGTACAGACAGGGGAGTGGTCTCAATCTTGTGCCAAAATTCGCCAGCGAGTTCCTCAACATATGGATCCCACAGTGCAGCGCAGTCACTTGTCGAAATCCACATTGTCCCAAGACCAGACAAGCTTTGTTTGCGGCTAGGGACACCATAGAACCTCGGGGCCATTGTCAATTGAAACCCTGCCTGGGTTAGGTCTTCCTTGAATATCCCGAGGACTCTATTAAGCCATTTCTCGAACGCCCCCAGTGGGAACTGCCATTGCCATATATCCTTTACAATCTGATCGATATGCAAGGCGGCTAGATCTTCCCAAATAGCGTCACGGAAAAGCCTTTGGGCGGTAAGGCGCCACTCGTCCATCCAGGGCGAGCAATTAAGGTACTCATGGAGGTACTGGATGGCGAAGTCTTTCAGTCGACAGCCTTGTATTGTAGAAGTCCTCATGTCGACAACACTGACCACCCTTTGGGACATGGCTTCAAGCGCTACCACTGGATCGGCGGCTTCCCAATCTATGACCTGCTTAAGCATAACCGATTCCGCGGTCGTAAGATGCAGTATTGAATCCCAAAGCCTTGTGGCTGTAGCGAATCTGTTGATATGAGGTTGCCCGTCGAACACCTCTTTCAGTATTGTTTCCTTATTCTCTGTCCATATCGAAGCAAGGGTCTGTGAATCTGGATCAATGCTTCTGCTTATACTGGAGCCTGCCATGTAGAGAAACGCGGAATATATGTCGATATCATCCAATGACATACCCAAATGTACTAATCTTGGAAGTAACTCGAGATTGCCGTATATTAGTGCCTGCTGTTATGGGGGTGAGGTAAGATTAGCGTGCAACTTGACGGAATCATCCTTTATCTTACCATGAACATCGAATCGCCTGAGGGATCTCTGTCATACAGAGATGCTTCCTTACTCATGATGGATTGAATAACACTGTCTGTCTCGCCTTCTTCGATCCATGAAAAGACTTTACAGGTGTACGGACGTGTGTTCCAAGTCCTCATCTGAATACCCCACCCAGTTAGTGCTCGACAGACCTGGAGATCCCAGGCTTGGGACATCAGCCAATTGGGCGGTTGGATCCTTATTTGAAACGCTTCATTACACCGGGTCAGCACTCATCACCACAAATTTCAAAGTTCGGACGAACTCTTTACATTGTCTGCATCCTCATCTGATTCTTGTGAAAGATACGAGATACTTCCCAATAGGCCTACATTGCGCCATGGAATCGAGCGTTTGCAACCCCACCAATTTCCACTGCCGGAAACGTTCCGTATTTCCCGCCCTAAGCGGGCTGTAGTCAGTTTGTAATCGGAAGTTACACCTTCGTTTTCGGTACTTCCAGAAAGTTGCTGGATGCGGTTTGAGTTTTGCCAATTCTTTATCTCTGATACGATGATCTCGGGTTGGGCTCGCGACAACGCACTGTCCCACACACATTAGTACCTCTCTTGATTGCAAGAATGTCAAACTCACATCAGATACGTCTGCTGGGACAGGGTGACCAACTGAAGCACAGATTGAAGTTGCTGCTGATGTTCCTCAATCACTTCTTTCTTCATCCTAACTTTCAACTGAGCCACGAGCCGGCGACCTTTCTTGGCTGTAGTCAATTGATTTTCTAAACTTCTCACCAGGGACTCGAGTGCCGCGACAGCTTTGCGCGAATACTCGAGACTTCGTTTCGCGGCGGAGTCATTCTGTACCACGGTGCTTATTCTCTGAAACTCATGGTCCATCTCTTCTAATGCTGGAGCGAGAAGCTCAAGGTGCTCGATACATCGCTGGACGCTAGCGGGGACATCTTGAACTTCATCCCAGAGACGCTTTAGTCGGATGGTGCTTGAACCGAGTTTGCCAGCGACGCCGACTACGGTAATGATGCTGGAGGCGAGTCCCAATATTTCTGCCATGGCCGCAAAATAAGACAACAGAAGACACGGAGTGAATTTTCCAGATTAGATTGACAAGGCGAGTGAAGAGGAAAACAAAATTCGAGGAAGCGGGTAGAATGGTATACGGAAGAAACGGTTTACCACCAAAGCGATCGGAGTAGGAACCAACATAGCGGGCTGTGAGGTCGTCAGCCACCACCTTCCAACTCCTCTAACAACGTGCCTGAATCTGTATGGTCTGCTACTGCGCATGGGGGTTGAAAGTCGTGTGTCGATTGGTAGCCTGATTAGCCCCCAACTGCGTAGAACGCCACGGCGCTCCCCTGGGCAGATTCTGGGTCTATCCAATCAGAACGCAAAGATGTTAGGTGAACTGCACAAGATCACGTGAATCGTGATAAGCTACCCGGTAAGGGAAAGGAAAACGAACGAATGACAAAACATCTGATCATAGAAAATATAAAAAATAAAAATAGAAGAACTTAGCGTCTTTAAATTACATACATCCCCTTAACTAGCATAGGGAGACAGTACGAAGGCGTTTTGATTGCTTCTAAGTGAAGTCAATGGAATATTGCACCTTGATTACATGGGAAATCCATAAATTTGGGCCAGAGCCAGGTACGACATTGGGTTGAAGATGCTTACCCACCGGCTGCACAGGCTATAAGACGGATATATCGAGGAACCGCCTATGATCTTGGCCAATTGTAGCTGAAGAATAGCTGTGCAAGTGGGGCATTTTTATCCATGCAGCCAGGTTACCCATTCATAAGTTTGTAACAATACCTCTCAAGACTGATGATTTAAGAAACTGTTTGTTTTCAATTAACGCTTCGCTATCATACAAAAGACGACTCTAAAATACGTCTATGCTCCTTTATCCACTTCATTAACATCGTCGTCGACCACCTCCCAGCATACCTCCCAATCCACCACCCATTCTTCCACCTCCCATACCACCTCCCATTCGACCGCCGCCATTGCAACGTCCTCCACCTCCCATTCGGCTTCCACCCATCATGCCGCCTCCCATGCGACCTCCTCCCATGCCTCCTCCGTGATGATGGTGGTGGACTTCCTTAACTGGACGAGGGCCCATCATGCCTCCGCTGCTGCCACCGTAGCCACGTCGACTGCTGCCGCCGCCTCCGAAGCACATTTTGTAATAGTGTGGTGTTTTGTTTGGTAGAGTGTGTATGTGTTTATGTTTGTGGTTTGCACTTGGTTGTAAGTGCTTGGTGGAGTGACTTTAATTGAGTGTGATGTCTTGGTGTTTGTGTGATGTTTAAAAGTGGGTATCGTGAGAGTTGTGGATAGTGAATTGTTCAAGACAATTGAAGTTGATTGATTGATTGATTGATTGATTGTGAGATGATGGAATATTAACTCGAGAAGAGGAAACAGCATGCACTATTTGTAGTTTCGCAAAATCCTATGACATAGCAATTACTCCCAACATCATCCATCAAATCATTCTCAGAAACCTGCTTCAGAAACTCTCAACTACCGTCATGACGCCACCCGACGGTACTTTCCAGACGCCTCCAAACCAGAATCATGAGGCGCAGAGCGTTGGCACATGTCATGGTTGCTATCGCTGAAGACTTGTGGCTGTCTTTAGCCGCAAACCTTGTCGCAACGTTCAGTAGCGCCAAGCTTCAATCAACGTCACCCCTTGGCATTGCCAAGAAGGGTCTCGGCAGCCGCGTAATGCTTTTGATCTTGGCCTACGATAAAACCTCACTTTTGGCTTATCTAGACTCTGATCCCATAAGTTGCCAAGTACTTGGTAGGATCGGGTTGTTGCGTTTTGTTAAAAGATGATCTCACACTCTTGGCCAATCCTTTGGCCTTGAGACGTTACAAGAATTGGCCGCCGACCAAAGGAAAAGAAATAAGTTGGTTTCTTTATTTCGCTTTAGACAAGGGCTGAGGCTCCTGTGATCTATTAAGCTAAGACTTATCCTAAACTTAGGACACTAAGCAGAGACTTTGACTTTTTTACCTTGTCCTCTTGAGCCTGAGAGAACATTACCAGTCGATACCGCCGTCCATTTACCCGCTGAAGGCCAATCGCTTCCATCCAATACCAATTCGACCTCTCGTACGTTGATCGCAACTGTTGAATAATTCATAAGAAGGTCAAGTGCAGGATCACCACGGCGTGGCTTGGGATCCCATAATTCGATGAGAACATCTGCGGCCGTTCGTCCCTTATCATCTCTCAAGGAACGGTCAGCCCCGAAATCAAGGAGTAACTGCACATCCCGCCAATCATCATCAGTGAACTGTAGTAGCTTTTCGCCGCGATACATGATCGCGCAATGTAGCGGGGTGCACCCTTTGTAATCTCGTGTGTTGACGTCGAATTGCGACTGCAATAGAAAGGTCTTCAGAAGACGGGAATCCTGAACCCAATACCAACCAGAGTGGAGGAAGGTCTGATTCCGGGTGTTGAGTTGGTCAAAGTTGATTGACTTGATTGATAAGCCGGTATTGAGTACTGCCTGCAAAGCAACGAAATCGAACAGCTTGGCATGAAAGATCGTACATCCTCCTACGTCAGTTGTGTTGATGTCGCAACCCCAGTGGTTGATGTATATCTCCATAGCCTCTCCCCACATTCCTGCATTGTCTGCCACATCCCCAATGGTTTCCAATAGTGCTTCGAGTAGCTGGATTTGAGGTGTCAGTCGAGCACCCCACTCTGTTACAGATCGCTTAGCAAGGTCAAATAGGCCACATTTCAGTGCTATGTGAATTAACTTATCACCATAACAATCTCTTAACTCGACGCTGTAGTTCTTCTGTTGAATGAGCTCCTGGCATATATCCTCCCACCCCTGTTGAGCAGCGAGGTGGAGCAGCGATCTAGAATAGGGAATGTCGTTATTCTTGATGTAATGTTTAGCGTCTTTTCGGTATACCTTTCTGCTTGTGTTCCAATCTGCTAGTAGTCGATATATCTCGGCAGTGGAAGGATATCTAAGGGCATAATGCAGTGGCGTTTCTCGCATATGATCCTCGCTAGCAACATCAGCTCCACAGCTCAGCAAGAGCTGAATGATATCGGTTGAGCCTTGCTCCACAGCGATGTGTAGCGGTGTTTTTCGGCCTATGCCCCCTTGTTGGTTGATCTTTCGTTGATGCCCTAGCAGTGATGATACGTCTTTCCTTCGAAGACATACTTTCGCCAACGAGTATAGCCTGTACCGACAAGCGAAGTGCAAAAGCGGTAATGAATCAGAAATCGGTACTCCTTTGTGAGCAGCCCAGCCATCACGGGTCTTCGATACGTTATCAAAGAAAGTCTCATGTTTCGCCACCAGCAGTTTGATGTCATTTCCTACCTGGCTGATGTGATATATCAAGGAATCCACAGCGTATGCAAACAGAGGAAAACGATTGCACCACTCGTGAGCAGAAGGTTTTACATCGCGAGAATGAGACTCTAAAACTGCGATGGTGCGATCTAAAATCCTCATATGCGCTTGACTGATGCGCGTAGTGATCGGTAGTGATATTCGTTCCTCATCTGTCCCGAGCAGGAAGTCTTTGGCGCTTTGGTGGACGAAAGTGGTGCGTAAGTGTAACTCCGACATGGTATCTGTAGTTTTATCGGAATGCAAGTAAGGAACAAAGGTGTCAGAGTCTGGATCAAATACCACAACTTGGAGTAAGTGTCCGCATGATCTGACGTAGTCGAGGCAGACCTCCTGTTTTGTCAGAGTCTGACTTGCTTCAATTTGAATGGCTTCGCAAATATCGGATATCTCCAGTGGACGCTGAGCAAACAGTATCCACATCAGCATGTCAGCAATCTTGTCGCGATTTTCGACATTGATATGCGACATGATTCTCTCGTAAATCTCTTGGAGGCCTCGTGGGAGTTTTGTAAGAGCAAGCTCGATTTGGCGCAGTGACATCGTCTCCAGATCGTGAGCCATATAGCTGACCCATAGAAAGGTGCCTTCGGCGCCTTCTCGAAATGCCTTTTCGATGTGGTCGTGAAGAGGAGAACCATGAATCATCTTGATCTTAGCAAGATATGAAACCTTCTGCGAGATGTAGAGTCGGATGTCTTCGTCGATATGCCCAAGGGTGATTCGTGGATATCTCGCAAGGGCTTGTGGTAGTCCTTTCGGTTCCTCGCGGCTCGCGATAATGAGCTTCAGGGGCATTCCAGTAGGGCTGTTGTACGAGTCTGTGACTTTGCGTAGAAGTGATGTAAGTGACTTTTCATCGCACTCATCTAGAGCATCCAATACGCAGCAAACCTCCTCGCCTTTCAGAGCGTCTAGCATATGATGGAAGATCCTCCATAGGGTCTCAAAGGACTGGAAAAGACCATCTTGCTGTGTCTTCCATGTGGGCAGGAGGCAAGACAGTAGCTCGCGGCGAAGTTGAATCAGTTGACTCATCAAACCACGGATGATGTTGACCGCGCTATTCCGAGAAGCCGTTTTGTTATCGCAGAAGAAATAAATGACGGTGCGCTTCGTCGCCTCCAAGAGCTCGGAAAGGAAGATGGAGATGACGGTTTTCCCTTTCCCGGGAGCGCCTGATATCCAAAGAAGGCCCTTCTCAGATGTATTCCAGTCGAGAAACTGTTTGGTTTGTGGAATCCACTCGAAGGTGCCGGGGGTCCTGTGCCCTTTAATGGTGATGAGACCATCGCGGTCACTTCGAGAATCTGTGATAAACAGGGCTCGGAGGCAACTTTCTTCATCGGAACCGGATCCAGATTTCAATAAAGACATAAGGTCGTCTAGCGATGTCGCTGTATGAGAGATCTTTTGGCTTTCATTCCTTCACTCTTGTCAGCTTGTATTCAGGAATAGTGACTAATAGGGTGGGTATTAGGAGAATTAGATTGGCGTCCTAAGTCTTGGAAGATGTTTTTCCTAAGACTGCCTCTCCTTGGGGAAATGGTGGATATGACTCACAGGCCCTTGATGGCTATATGGAGATTTAAAGAAGACTTCAGCTGTTCGAGCTCGCTGAACGAGGATCTAATTTCTCCTTCCTTCAGCAAGGAAACGGCGGCTCTCCAGGTCTTGTGGCGGCGGGAGTCTGATTCGCTGAACTGGATAGCATTAAAGGTATGGAGCAAGGAGCTGATGATAGCCTCGCATCGATCGAGAGTGGAAACGATCTCCTTTACATCTCGAAGACTAGGAGGGATGCTTTCGACCAGCTTCTGCAAGCTTTATACCTGCCGCTGCCAGTTTTCGATCTCTGTTTGGGCATCTCGGTATTTGTCTCGGGCTGCCTTCGCTATCTTGACGATCTTGATGCTTTCTTCGATGAACTGACCGCTGGCGGCTATCAAGCCGACGACTTCAGCCATGTTGAGGATATACGCTATGAACGTATTAGCATTAGACACCAAAAGCATGATGGATGAGGAAGAAAATACTGGACGACTGACGTCGTGCTCCTCGGCCGCTGAGGCTAGATGAAATACCTGCGAGGCGATGGGTAGTACACCCAGCACATCAGACTCACGAAGCTTTCTTCTGCTGGTGGTGTTTTTCAAAAGAGGTATGTGTTGTTTCTTCGGATTCACTCTTGAGAATCCACTATCTCAGGTATCTCGAACAGTGACAAAGGTGAGGACTGTTCGGGGTGGGGGCAAATATCCTGCTAACAAAGCGGCTGGCAGGTGACCCTTAGGACTTCCCACGTCACCACAGCCTTAAGTGATTTCCTGTGCGAAGATTCTTGCAGCCTGGCAGATTATTTTGTCCTGGAGTTCACATCGGCTTGCTGGGAGTGGTCAGTGGCGCCCCTGATTGGTTCTGGCCGCTTCCATAGTTGATTCCGTTTTGCTACCCGCTGGAACTGACAACAAAGTAGCCGTTCACTCCTTTCATTCACATTTCACTATTTTCATCAGCATTCAATCGAATCATGAGTCCTCCGACTCTCCCCCAGCTCCTAGACGACCTTGGCGAGGTCTTACGTTAGATCGCCCATTCAGTCCACAATGAATCACCACCGGTCCTTGAATATGTCGCTTCGACTCCCAGTCCCGATAGGACTTCGTTCCTTCTCAAGCTTCCAACTGAGATCATCGGCGAGATCTTCAAGGCCTGTCATCTCTCAGACCACCTCAACTTAGCTCTCACATGCCGTCGTCTCGCAGACGGAGGAAAGTTGACCCTCGCGCGCCATAAGACTGCAGCCCGGGACTATGGTGTCGTCACTGACTGGCATCACTTGAATATCCCAGACGTTCTCAACAAGGCGATCTCCGATCCATACTTCCGATACAACATCCGCAAAATCGGGATTCACGGCACACGCTACAACTGGGAAAATTGGGGAGACTTCAGAGCTGAGCCACCTCCCACAGTCGCTTCACGAACCTTTGAAGGTAGCGATGTCTCGTATAACTTCAGATGGAGACAGGTATTCGACAGGCCTTCTTGGAAGGAGATCTGGGGGCCGGGTCATGAGCACATCGGTGCCGAGTTTGATGAAGACGCCATGACCTACGCGATGTTGCGCGTGAACAGGTTCAAAGAACATTTCGCAGGTTCCATTAGCCAGCATTGGCACCACTATATTCTGCTCATGGCACGGCTCGAATGGTTCTCCACCAACGGCAACAGCGACGACGACTCGATACTACGAGGGATCGACTGGGCGCAGGATCTACTTCATGCTGGCAACGATAGCCTCCTCAAAGCGTTGTTGATCTGCATATGTCCCAGACTGAACGTCCTGAGACATGCCAGCTGCAAATTGACCGACTAGAATGCGCGGAAGTTGTAAGTAAAGGTCCTGGACTCAGTTTGCCTCGGATACTAAGATGTTTCTAGGGATGTCATGGATTGGTTGGCGCGAGTTATCCGCATGGGCTGGCGCTATAACATGTGGGCACCAGGTTTAAGAAGCTTACGAGACGTTTCCACCGGTGTTCCGACTGGTCTGTGGTTCGAAGACCGCGAATCGAGTGATTTTCACGGACAGCATGTGGCTCGCAGCATCAGGCTACTTTCAGGTCTGCAAACCGTCTATTTTGGAACTATCAGTCGCCAGTGTACACCCCCCTCAACGTCAAACAAATCTCTTCTCAATTTATATATCTCTTTGTCACAGCCTCGATGAGCGACCTACGTCGTTGAGATCCCCAGACGAATCGATTCGAAGATGGAGACCCGCTGCGATTGGCCTACGAGGATGTCTATATCATATCTAGATGTCAGAAACGTTAGCCGCTGAAAGCATAATAGACGAAATAATTTGCTTACCTTAGACTAAGACTTAGTCGACTTTATTTCGACCCTATGAGCCTTAGGAGAGTATGTCATGAAACCGCACAACGTCCCTTGTCCTCCTTTGCATCCCCGTTCGTATCGTCTTTCGGCGGTTGTTGAGAGACTCGGATTTGTTCAAACCACTCATAATGCTGTGGATGAAGTTGTGGCTGCAATCTACACCAACAAAAGCGTGCGAATTCCGCCTGATATTGCGGGTTGGGCTCGGAGTATTTATGCAAAAGAGGGTTGAGGTCGAATTCGTGAAGTGCAACGACGCTATCCTCCACCCACACCCTCCAACGACCTTTATGCCTGGGCCAGTGCTCGCCGTTCTGATCCACGTGAACACCCTGCTTCGCCATATCGAACTCGACGATAGCGCGGCCGAGGAAGCCGACTTCAGTTGACCTGATTTGATCGATCCCGTGATAGCCAACTACCATGATCCAACGGCCAAAGAAAGACTCGAGTCCTTTCCTAAGAACCTGTAGAGGATCTTTATGCCGCATTTCACGTCTTTTCTCGCCTTCACTGTTCATTTTCCAAGGCGTGACAATAGTTACTCGTGGTTTTCTGGTATGGTGTAGCGGGCCGGGGAATTCGTTTGTGCCTACGAGCTTGGTGATGCTCAAGACACAGCCTCGTTCTGTGCCATCACGGAGAGCTCTCCAAGTGCCGTTCTCGATCTCTTCCGTTGTCTTCCTCTTGTGGTTTAGGTACACAAACGCAGGGCTCTCCCAGATGTGCGCGATATAAGCCCCTACCTCGGACACGATGATGATAGCCGTGCAGCCGTACAGTCCCTTGACGCCCGCTGCGCCTCTCCGATATGGTGCTGGGGCAGCGTACCAATGTCCAGAGGTGTCTCCGCACTGGCTGACCCAGATCGGATCAAGGCTCGCGACGTACCAACCGTTCAGACCTGCATTCGCGTTGCAAAGTCGACCGTGTTGTCTTCGTCCGTGTACTATTTCTCCAGCTGGGGATCTTTCCGGAGGGCAGGCACATGACATAGTAACCGAGCGACCGATCGGCAATGGCAAGCGGTAATCGTATATCGAGACAGGTGTAGAGCCAAGGTAAAACCAAGGGTCAAGGTCAGACATTCTACCCGCGCCTTCAGGACCAGGCCTCTTGAAGCAGTCATTACCGCCTTGGCAAACGCGCTGAGCGGGACGCGGATTATTATTGCGGTACCGGGGGAATATTTGGACTCTATTTTCGTACCCCAGGTTCTGGATGAGGTACCAAAGATCATCAAGTTCCCCACTGGCCCAGAGTCGCTCAAGATCCGCCTGGAATTCGGCCTCGCTGTTCCAAGTGAATTTGATGTGTGACGGATAGTGTGACGGCGGCATAGCTGAAGTCGGAAACGTGGCCATTGCTGTTGAAATCGTATAGAGATTAGAAATCCGGTCTAGAGGATAAATGTGAATGATACTATATTGATGATGTTCTAGGTCAGATTACAGCAGGGAGGGATGTAAATAAGAACTGGTTCAAGCCGTGCCTTGCCAGCCAGCACAGGTTTCCTTCATATAAACTATATACTGCGCACATTAAAATTCTCACAAGAGAGAATCTTGGTGGTGTAAGATCTGCACACTCGAAACTATCATCGTGTAATTCCAATCTGCTGATGCCATCGCCAAACTCAAAACCCCATCAGGTTGTTAGAAGAAATGACCGCCGAAAGCATAAGAGACGAAATAATTCACTCAACTTATGTCGGCTTAGACCAGAGCTTAGGCTCCTTTATCTTAGCACTCTAAGTTTTAGAGGACATTTCCTTGCTTTGCTGAGTGGCATGAGACTTTCCTCGAGGACTTGGTCCTTTAAAGTATCATGGCTCCGACGCTTGCACCGGAGCTTCTTCTTGCATAGCTGCAAGCACGGCCTTCATCCCGTCGCTGACAAGCTGAGGGGGCCAATCTCGAATCTTCCTCCCGTAATACCCTTCCAAACCTGAGTTCGCGCCTTGTTTCAAGAGCCACTTCACCCTCTGAATAGCACCAGCCATGATAGCAACTTCGAGCGGATACGGGGGGACCATATGACGTGAAACGATCCTATCGTTCACTCCCGCACCGCTACTCACAAGAAGTTCCATAACGGGTATCATAGAGATGTCGAACTCGCTTGTCGGCTCGACCTTGGCTTGATATGGGTTCGAACCTATTTGGGGTTTAAGAGGTCAGCGTTCGATTGGTACAGTTCAAATTAACACAACGTTGGGATCGTACCTGGTGGACAGACTCCTGCTGCGCAATAAAGCGGCGCACCATTAGATACCTTGGCGCCAGCGTCGAGCAGTTTCCGTGCAAGGTCAACATTGCCTGTTCGGGCTGCTGTTTCAAGTGAATCGCAAGATTCTTTGTCAGGTTCGCCGAGGCGGTCTTGGAAGAGCTTCTGGCAGCCTAAATTAGGGTCTGCCTTTTGCGCGAGGAACCAGTCGATAAGCGATCCATCCTTGGTGCTGATGACCTTGGGAAGGAGGACTTCGCCGTAGAAACCTGGCGTGTTGGCGGTCCAACCATGCTGCGTAAGTGCCTCGAATAGGGAGATTCGCTTGTCCGCTGGTGCCGTGAGGACGAGAGGCGGAAGTGCTCGTGAGATGGGCGTGCCAGCTTTGAGAAGAAGGTGTGCTATTTCGACATTGCCCTTGCTCAAGGCAATGCTAAGGCCTTCAACCAGAAAGCGCGGTGTGCAACGTTCCGAACTGACGATTCCTTGAAGGTTCCGCAGATCATCGTTTCGACATGCCGATAGGAACAAGCTGAGGTCAGGAGACGATAAGACAGAGGCGGGTTCATCGCCCGGCTGCATAGGAACGTCGTCGTAAGTAGTGCCCATTTGGTTGTTCCGGATCTCAGTGCTGGCCGTCTGGTTGTTGCTCATCGTCTGTCGTTGGAATAATGCGGCACTTCGTTGTGCTGCTATCGCTATTTGTTGCCGTTGTCGTTGTATGAGTGCCTGTTGGGCTTGTTCCTCTTGAGCAGACATTGTCCAAGATTGTCTAGTGAAGGTCTAAGCTGTCGTAAAGTGACCAAATGATTTTCTTCGTCTCTATTTGAGGTTTGCGAGACGCAGATTTTGGAAGAAGCAGGTAGAAAAACAACAATTGATGACTCTTTCGTCTCTTATGTTGAAGGTGGTTTGTTATGTGATGGCAAGTACCTACCTTAGGTGTTGCCTGAGCTGACGTAATGGCGCTAGAGCGTTTCACGTAGTGGGAAGGCTCGTCCACGATGACTGTCAGCCTCAGAAATTTCGAATACTTAGTCGTTCGTTTGTTAAACAGAATTAATCACCAGTGTTTCTGAGACAATCTGTTCTGCGATGCAATATCGTCGGATCCAAACTTCTATTGTAAAGTCATATCATTAACCTAATGAAGAACTCCCAGGTAACAAAACGCCTTTATCCATGCACAAACACCACGCGGACCCATCAATTATGCCCATCTCATATCATCCCAATCCCTTTTATCAGAGATACCCATATCCTCCTCCAGGCGACGTTCCCATTCCACCAGGTGCAAGCCCACCACCAGACGCAGTCCCCGAAACACCTCCATAAACACCGCCATTGACACCTCCATTCGGTCCTCCACTGACACCCGAGTAAACGCCCCCATTCACACCGCCATAGAGACCACCGTGGGGTCCTCCGACGCCTAATGATGCACTGCCAGGACTGTATCCGGTGCCATAGGCGAACTTGTCTTTCTCAGCCGCTTCCTCCCTTGCACTGGCATCGCTTGAAAATCTGCTGTTTTGCAATCTTGATGTGGCTTCTGATGTTCTTTTGCCGACGTTTGTAGGTTTTGGTGGTGGTAGATCATCATCTTGATCTTTATTTTTTGAGAAAAGGTTGAATAGACACATTAGAATTGATGTTGTGTATAGGTTTGTAGGTATGAAGGTTTAGAGTATGCAGATGGAAGTGAGGGACAAAGTCAAATATTTAAATGACCATCAGGATCGACCAAGGTTTTCGGCAGACGCGTACCTGCTTTAAAAACCGGGTCGGAGTGGGCTATGACGATCATTAATAGCGAATGATATGGCCCGCACCGCCCCCCGTATTGGTCCCTGATTTTAAGCACAGCCTGAAAGAACCCCTGTATTTCTGCTTAGCTGGAGGCTTGGACATGGTCATGACGCGGTCAAGTCCGGGACCATGGCGCGTCGAAATTGTCCTTCTAGAATTGTAACACCGGTAGTTCAGCATGCGCAGTCAAATGCGTGGATTGATGTCAGAATTTGTGCGACTCGTCATGCTGGAGTTTGGTGGAATGCAGGGATTTAAGCTTAAATTAGTGGGACCTTGGGATGGGCGAAAGTCACAGCAGGCCTTCTTCTTGGTCCTGGTGACATACCGTCCAAAGCTTAATGATGCAATCTCGCTAATAAAATAAAGTTATCATTCAGGTTTCATCGAAGATTCCCAGCATGAATATTTCTTAGCTCCCTGCGCATAGACTAGACCGATCCCAAGACAGACGAATCTCACCATCCGATCCAGGGTAGGATAAGACATTTACGACCATTCTTGGCAAGAACCCTCCAAACTACAGTCCCAATCCGATCTTCGAAATTACCTGCAACATCAGCCAAACCGACCTTCGGAGTGGAGGAGACTTGACCACGATGTCCGAAACCTGGTCCACCCTTGGGACCTGGGCCATGATGGCAGGCACGGTTTTCGTAGGCTACATGGAATCCTCCGGGGTTTGACATCGGATCCAACGAGTTGTTGGCATTCTCATTGACGGCCCTCGTTTCCGTCTTGAATCATTTGGTTATCTTGGCCACAAATCTTGTCTTGGCGAACATCAAGTACCCCTCTGCTTGGTGAAGTTACACGAGGCACCCGTTTGGCAGGTTCAATAACCACCTTAATGACTTATGCTGCCGAATCGGGTGTCGTAAGGAAGATGCGAGCAAGCACGGAGAATACATACCCCATAATCATAACTAAAAACATATGGTATTTCTATATCGTTTTGCGTGGAATACATGGGTCGAGGAGTTCATGGCAGGTAGTACAATGAGACCATATATTTATACCACTTTATCTTGAGCTTGTAAGCACTACATGTTGAAGATTAACATATGAAAGCCGCGACGATTATAAATTACTATTGACTTTGTTGATCCGTTGAGCTGGATGGCACAGCCTTCTCCTTTCCCTCTGGAATGCCAAATAAGAATGAAGCACTGTGCCTCGCTTGTTTTTTTCCAGGTGAAAGGCTCGGAGTCACCATATTGGAAAGCTCGCCAGTCCCGCCCTAAGTGGACCTTTCAGGGGCTGGAGGAGGGTTAAGGCCAGAAGAGCTAAGAGGGGGCCTATAACTAGGACGAGGTCGAGGAAACACGGGAGGAGGAGAAGGAGGAGGACGCCTAGGACGCTAAGGTGCACCACCTTGCCCATCAGATGGAAAGGGACCCTTGCCTGGAGCCGAATAATTATCCATTGGCCACATTGCCATAGTAATCGACATATCAGGCTGAATCATCTTCTCCCATACAGAGGGGAGAATAATTTCACCGTCAGGACCCATCAGGTCGTAGCGACCCTCCATAACGTAAGGACCGATCATATCGACATGCAAAAATGCTTGCTTGATAAGTTCTTCCATGCCCTGAGTTAAGATTAGCATCAGTCTTGGTAATTTGGCTTGATCGGTGGGTTTATTACCTGCCAAGTGGCGCAGAGGCGATATGGGAAGCTGAATTTGCGGCCGACAGCATCCTTGAACCTGACCGGTGCTTTTTCTGTCCTTTTCCTGAGATCTTCAAATTGTGCCATTAACTCCGGGTCCAATTGTGCAAATGCTTCTGGGTCCTCCACGATCCTTTTCTTGAGCTCTTCTGCAGCCTTTTTCGCGGCCTCGTGTGCAACGGTAGCATCATGCAGCTTTTCGATCATGGCCCCAGCGGCTTTCACTTCTTGTGCTATTTCCTCTCCACCAAGGGGTTCGGACCATTCCCTTCTGTTACCAGCATCTTCGGCGACAAGGTTTTCCGAGGCTCCAATGCTTTCCTTAATCTGGCTGGACTCAGCTGCTTCCGGTGTGACTGGCGCCTTGCCTTTTATTTGTTCAAGTCCTGACTCCTCTGTCACCTCTCCCGAGTCTGTAAGCGCGTTGCTGCGGATATGGACTCCCTCTTGAACCAGAACTTCACGTTCCTTTGTGGCATTGCCACTTGATCCACTATGGGAATCACTATTCGCTTCCTGGATAACCGGAGCAGAGTCGCGTCGGCTGAGGGCTGGATAGTCAATGTCAAGTTGATGGACTCTTATAAGGTGCTCGTTCATCTTGACGATAGTGTCTAAATTGACCCGGCCGCCCCCACCTCGAATTAGAATTGAAGGTGGGTTAGCCGGCTGGTTCCTCACACCTCCTTCATTACTGGACCCATGACTGAGGGAAGATTCATCATCAGATAAGCTAGAAGCGCCCTGTATCTCTAGTCCATCAATTGCAAGCGGAAGTGCCTCAAGTGCCAGTTGCTGCAGGTGTCGGGCCAGATGACGACTGAAACCCTTTGCGTTCTCTTTCGTGGATGGTGGTTCCCAATCGGCGCAAAGAGGACAGCTATCTGAGGCAAAGGACTGAACGGGACGTTCACAAGTCTCTATGATCAATGGCATCTGTGCTGCTGTTACCATGCCGGCGTGGGTGTTGTTGAGATGCTTCTTCAACTCTTCCGCACTTTTGAAGGTTGTGTCGGGCTGGCTGCACCAGTTGCAACTCCACTGTAGGCGATGGACGGTAGATTCATGTCGGAACCACTCTGCCCGAGTTGAGAATGGTTTGCTACTCACCGCGCAGTCCTGGAAGGTGCAGACATAAGGTTGGAGATCGGTGAAGACGTGCCGCCTAAACTTGAATATCAGTAGAGGAACATCCAGTCGGGTTTGAGGTACTCACTTCCACTCATATCGGTTCCCTACATTTAGGATAGTTCGACAGTACGGGCATTCGAAGGGCTCTCCATAATCCAATTGTACCCCATCAAGAACCATGTCCGAAAGATCAGGAATAGACCGTGCAGTGGTCGTGCCGTCTTCCAAACTGAGGAAGGAAGTTGCAGAAGTAAAAACCGACATTCGACTGCTTTCTGCATCTTGTGGCGTTTGGTTCGTTCTAGAAGCGTTACTTTCCTCTTGAAAGGTCGTGGCAACGATAGTAGCTGAGTCGGTTGGATCAGAACTTTTGACATCTCTCTTCGCGAGACTTTCACGGTGGTGTTGTCTATATTGTATAAGCCTCCTTTGTTGAGTGATGTTATTTCCTAAGCGTCTTGCAAGCCACATGTTTGACCTGGCCTTTGGAAACTTGTCGGTCAGGTAGCTGATGTCGGGTGAGCTCTCCAGGGCCAATCCTTCGATTTCAGGAAGTCGTCCTCTGGGTTGTTGCCTTCGTATCAGAATCGACAAGCTGAATAAGTGGTTGATCGCTGAACGGATACTGAGTAGCAGCTCATCTAGCTCGGTGGTAGCTTGTGCGTCGCCACCATCTTTAGATGAGGTTGATCGGTTCGGGGTACTTTTGTTTAGTATGGCCAATGCTGCGAGGATCAAATCTGTTAGCCGTACTCCTGGGCATCGCATGCATGACTTACCTCTCTCAGCCGAGCCCTGAAGTCTTTCTAATCCCGAGGCAACGCTCCTCCGCATGAGAGGCGCGTCTTTAAGTCGTTGATCGAGCGACTTCATGGACTCTGGCGGCTGTAGAGCTCCCAGATTTGATGCCCATATTCTAAACCGGCCCTGTTGATCTTCTAAGGTAACGCTTAGTCTACCCCAGTCGTGAGTCTCAGAGTATTTGACTATCTGGTGAAGAGCTGCATCGCTCCTGTGACCTAGGGTAGAAAGCGTTGGGACGTCAACAGGCTGAGAGAATCCTTGTTCCATGTTTCAAGTGACGTTTGGTGATAGTCTTTTGAGACACCTTTGAGTGATTTTGGGTGACTTTGAATGGCTTCCAAGAAGCAGGTCGTTCCGACTATGCAGTCAAAACAACACAACCAGTAACCTGGTAATATTCTTGCTTGGATCCCTCTTGGGATGAAACAGCCTGTGTATGAAGCAAAAGTTGGTCAAGCTACAACTTACGAAGTCCCAGGAAGGTAGTAGAATCAGGTGATTTGCCTGGGATTCGGCAACGATCTGCTGCAGCTTGATTATGTGAGACAACATATCTTGTGCGGCTGAACGATGTCGACCCCGCTCAAGTGAGAAACATTGTTGTCAAACTCGGATTACTTTCACCGACCGAACTCTGTGGTATTGTCCCGATCCTCTATATAATCTGAAACCTGCCATGTCGGGTTTCGAAATCGCTGGCGTGGTCCTTGGGCTTTTCCCAATCGTATGCGATACCGCCAAAGACCTACGTGGTGTTTTTCATGATGCTCAGTCATGGTGGCGTTTCGAAAGGGAATTTGAAGACTTTATCCTGGAAATTGAGAAACAGCAAATCGCCTATTCTCCAATACTTGAGATCTTATTCGATCCGCTTCACCAACTTTCACTAACGGACCGTGAGGCTCTCGAAAGCAATCCCAACTCGCCTCTTTGGTATGATCTCCGCATCCAGGCAGTGCTGAAAGATCGAATTTGTCAAAAATACACAGGATGGTTCATGACGCAACTGGGAGACATTAATGATGCTTTGAAAGAACTGCTTGGTTTGCTACCTATAGAAAAGGTAAGATTCACTTCCCCGTGATGAGCACTAGCTATCCAGATATATCAATACTCACAAGGCTATGTAGGCTTATCATTTGGATAGTAGCAGTTTGGAAAGCACCATGTTTCGAATTAAGACAAGTTTCTCTCACAGAAAGAACGAGCTCCTCGCCAGAATCGAAGCCAGAAACAAAGATCTATACGAGTTCCTCGAGAGGGCTTCCCATGTCCAGGAGTCCCGGGTTTCTACGAAAGCAGCACCAAGAGGCAGCGCAAAGATCGTATCATCCTTTCTCGAATTTCAGGACCAGGCCAGAACCATTTTCAGTGGCTTTCAACGACACTGGGCCTGTAGCTGCAATTGCAACGGCCTTCATTTGTGTAGCATCTCTGCACAAGGGTCGGATCTGAAAGCGCTCTTTGATAACGGCACAGAGGCCAGACACGTCAAAGTTGAGGTTGAAGTCAAAGGAAAGGTTGCAGACGTGGAGGAGGACGCAAATGCCGCAACAAGCCAAGAGGATGTGGACAATTTGAGACACCAAGTTGCTATCAAGAACAAATCCAAGAGGTTACGAGACCAAGGTCCAAAGAGTCTCGTGAAACTCATAGCGTCAAGTCTTTCGGCGTTTTCAAATCCGGCAGCGGTGAAGACTGGGAATGACTGCGAAAAAGGACTCGAAAGACCCACTGAGAAACTCAAGAAGAGGTAGGTGCTTGGTCTGTCAGAGTCTTTGTATTTAGGTTACTGCTAATCCAACTCAGCTTCAAACGACAAACAGTCCGATTCGATTCACCTCCACCGCCGATTGTCACGACTGCAGCACTTCCTCCCACACCTAGCCGTTGCGACCAAGCAATTGATGACGTATGCCTGGCAATCAAGAAACAAACCGAAGAATCTTGCCTCGGTTTTTTGAAGCTGCCAGGTGAGAACTTGTTCTTACATGTTGATCCACCAGGGCATGTACAGCTTCTCAAGAAACAGACCCTCGATGAATTCATGAATGCCACACCACGAAGAGCCTCCCGGCTTGAGCTAGGTATGGCAGTTGCCACAACAGTTCTAAAGCTTGGTCCATCATGGGTCCCAGAAAGCTGGCAGAAGTCCTCGCTCGTCATACTACAAACTTCCGATTCTGTCCCACAGCCTTGCATTTCGCATCCATCGATCCAGACAGCTTCACCATCATCCTCAGCAAAGACAAAAGCGACCCTCCTCGCCCTTGGCATCATGCTATTGGAGTTGCTCTTTTGCGACACGCTCGAGCGCCAGCCGTTTCGAGCAGATTATTTGGGTAACGGTGGACAGCCCAACGATATGACGGACTTTTGCACTGCGATGAAATGGCAGAAAATGGTAGAGCAGGATTTTGGGGACAAACTTGCCCATGCCATTGAGAGCTGTGTGAAATGTGCTTTCGAACCAGTGGCGGATCTGGGTAGCTTAGCATTTGTACAGGCTGTGTGGACAACGGTCATAAAACCACTTGAGGAGTTTCTACAAATATATAGTAGTAGGGTTTGATCCCTATGAAGATAGAATTCTTGATGCTGGAGCATCCATCTCATACAGGCATAGTTCCACCATTTCACGCCGGAAGGTCGGACGGTTCGGGAAGGTCGTCACGTGATGACGTTGCAGTCGGGGACTAGATCAAAAGAGCGACTTCCTACAAGACCCCGACATCTCGGCTACTCCCTTGACATCTTCGTACCACAAGCCACAAATCACCCACCATAACTCGCTACAGGCCCAAATATGGACGCTCCAGGGGAGAAGAGCCTGCAGCATCAGGTTGCATGCTTTAGTTGCCGCGCATCCAGACAGAAATGCGATCGCCAAGACCCATGGTGAGTTGGGAAGGGGTATGATCCACCTCAACATCCATACTAATTCCTGCTAATATAGTTCTCGTTGTTCTATGCATGATCGGGTTTGTAAATATCCTGCTAGGTCGAATCGTGGTCGTAAGCACGGTAGTACAAAGTACGTCTACCCAATACAAGACATACATCATTCTAACCATCACAGTAAACCGGATAGCGTGGACAAACTCCTCGCTCGCATCGAGGAAAGTGGTGCTCGGGAGGAAATCATTGCAGCCCTTCTGAACACCGGTCTTCCAAGTCCGAACAAAACTGTTTCCATACGGGGAACACCTTGGACCCAAGCTCAGGATAGTCGCGACACTTCTCAACCACGACCAGACACACCGGAAGAGGATGACGATGAAAAGCCTGAAGACTTAATCTCGCCACTTAGTATTGTTACTACTGCTATTGCGACGAATACTTCTGCCCAGTGTGAGAAGCTCAGATCGCAGATGCCGATGCAGCCCGGTATGAGAGAGGCTATCATGGCGCCGATCAAGGAGAGACTTGGTGCTTATTTCTGTGAGTGAAACCTATATCCGATACTTTGGAACGAACTGACATTTGAAAGCTTCGCAAAGAGAACAACAGAAGGACTGGGATATTCTTGCGGCGCAATCGGTTGATTGTCCATTCAAATTGGAAAAGGCTACATGCGATCCACTTGCCTCGCGGCTGATCGATGAAAGCGATGCAACTGTGTATTTCCAACTGTGAGTTAATTAATTTAGTTGACATGATCCTGTATCTGACAATTCTAGTTTCTTTCAAACTCGAAACCCACTAGTAGGTCTTCTCGACGCGACATTACACACATTCGAATACGTCTACGCCAACTCATTTACTCTATTCTCTGTCATCTGCGCTCTCGGCTGTGCTATGTCGGCACGTCCTCGAGATAGAGCCATCTATCCAGTTCTGATAAACCTAGCCACCGGTAACGTCAAGTGGTCTATCGCGGCTGCGGTCAAATCCCTCTCAACTATTCAAGCTATCGTCAACATGCAATACTGGGCACCAGTGTCTCCGAGACAAGTAGACGACACGTCTTCGATATCTCTCAACCATGTAAGTCAAAGCTTATAGTATGCTTCCAGACTCAATAGCTGATATATATATAGGCAATCCAATTAGCCAGAGAGATGGGGATCGACAGAGCAGATGCCATAAGAGAATACGTCAACTCAGAATGCGAGGACCAATCCCCCGAATTCAAAAGACGATGTATCCGCAACTACGAAAGGACTTGGCTTAGGACTCTTATAGCTGACAAAGGCTTCGGTATCATGAACGGAAGACTCAATTCGGTGAATTACAAAGACATTCCTCGCTCCGCGACAGAATGGTGGAAATCGTCTTTGGCAGAACCTACGGACAGGATGTTGAGCGGGATTATCGAGATTCGAAGATTGCTGGTAAGTCGTAACAAACTTATTTGATAGTGGGAAGTTGAAACTAACTTCGAACAGCTGAGTCAAGTCGACAAACGAAAACAAACCTCCACACCAACACCGTCTTCCATTCTCGAATGGCACAAAGGAGCCTACGACAACTTAACTCGCCTCCGTAACGAGCGTTGCACGCCAGATGGATCCCCATCTGCAAAGTCACTCCCAGCCCTCGCATTTTATATGGATCACAGCATCTTAGTGCTCAACGCCCAGGCCATTCGAGATATAGACGGCGCCGTTGCGATTGACAATAGTGCATCAGAAGCCCTGCTAAATATCGAAAGAAAGTCTATCGAGGTAGCGAGTCGCGCTCTACACTCCCTGGTGGCTGACAAAACGATGATCGAACTCGCTCTTGGGTTCCAGAATAACCAATATCTTATGATATGCCACGGCATGACTGAAATCTTACGAGTCTGTACCACTTCCTCAAACGCTACCTCACCATACTGACACACAAACAGGCTGTAAAACGAGGCGCCCTAACTTCCGAAGAGATTTCCGCCGCCGCAGAGAAAGTCATTGGCGTCATCCCCCTTCTCGACAACATAGTCCAACTCCTCCCCTCATCATCAGCAGCCCATCTATACTTCGACCTAGCGCGCTTCTTCGCGTGTCAAATCGATTCGTTAATGGGCGCATCTGATCCCCAGGAGACGCGTGAGACGATTGACTCGGGCATGTTTACAAATGACTGGTTCAAGTCTATGGATATGGGGATGCCGGATGTTTATACCATGTTGGATATGGGATATCTGGGCATGGATTCGATGATGGCCGATACGGATAACCTTCTTGGATTGGATGATTTGGGAAATATTGGTTAGAGACCATAGTTGCAGATCCGAGAGGTTGAAGAATGGAGTTCATGTACATTAACATAGATCCTAACGTGCTTCATCATGCCAAAAAGGACACGACGGCAGGGTCTCCTTCAACGCGAAACAACGAAGACATGACGTGATCAGGTAGAACAAGAAAGGTAAAGGACGATAATACATGGAAATTCACCCATGTATCTGAAAGGTGTGAAGCACAGTTCATGTTGGCGGAATAGCTGTTCTTAGACTGCGTGTTTCGTGCGTGATAACATGTTCCTCGCCGGATTTAGGCAGTGGCCACGATAGCCAGGCATAGATCGCGGGTATTAAACCAAGATAAGCCGATCTTGCCGATGAGAGATATTCCTAATTACTTACCATGGGGTTCGATCCTGACATTGCCATCGCGGCAAGGCGATGAGGGAGTTTTGCACAAATTTTCGAGGTCGATAGACACGATCACAGCATAGCTTGTGGGTATGTTTGGCATGGCGGTTCTAGGCCATGATGGATCCAAATACTGCATGTCGATCACAATCTTGCCGGCATAGTCCGTCCACTTTCCAAGAAACTTGAGTTCCCCAAGTTCGTTGACCGCTTCTTGCGCCTCGACAAGCTCCAGCTTAACTTCTAGTAGACAGTGATCGGCATCCTTCGAGGACTGCAGGGTACGAACGAGCTGTGTTCTCACCTAGGCATCGTATCTCGTAAGCGTGTGCTGTGTCGTGTTGGTAACTAATGGAGGATCTTCGTTCTGGTGGTGACTTGTAGACAGCTTGAGAGGCATTGATGTCGCCTAAGAACGAACCTGAGTTGATTGTCCTACCCAGGTGAAAATGCAGGCATCATGCAGGACCGAGATATCAATACGCCATTGACAATATTATACAGAAGAAGGTGAGTTGGCGATTCTAAAATAGTAATCGCCCCCTACAATAAGCTAGGGTCCTTGCAAAGCTGAAGTTTATAGATGCATCTAGACTTTGTTATGCTACTAGCAGATTGAGATAGCAGATTTGCGTAGAAAATGTTAACATAAGATTTATCCTTAGGTCTAGACTCAAATATGAATACGCTATTGACAATAGTGTACGGTAGAGGGTAAGTTAGCGCCTCTGCGCCTCTAAGCTAGCAATCGCCCCACAATAAGCCAGGGTCCTTGCAAGCTAAACTTTACAGATACATCCAGACTTTGTTATACTACTAGCAGATTTCTATAGCAGACTTGCAGAGAAACTATTAACGTAAGATCCGTCTTGGTTCTAGATTACTGATTTATTCAACTTGCTCAACAGTTAAAAATGATATGATATTGTTGCAGTAGGACATGGGTTTTTGGTTGGAGGCGACTTGGTGCACAACTATGATGAGAATTACGGATATAAGATCGAAGTTTCTTCTTGAACCTGTGCTCGTGCTGCCAGACATCCTTCTCCTCTACGAGCTATTGTATCCTCACCAAAGGTTCGACATGAAGTTTCAGAGCGCTTTCGTTTTATTCACTGCTGCTGTCTCGGCCATAGCGCCGCCGCCGACATGCAAGGGTTCTACTCCTTCATACTGCAAGTACACTTCAAATCGCGACGCCACTGAATGTCGCCGACTGTTTGGTAAGGTTTAACTACTAGCGCTAGTCTGCAACCCTTACTAACTATCTCTCCAGCCAAGAACTACATCAACGTCGCTACATGCCAGCTTCCAGCAAAGACCGTTACCTCCACTCGTGTCAAACGCGCTACTATCATTACTACCAAGACTATAGCGCCGCCAGCAAGAACTACCAAGCTTTACAAGACTATAACCAGGACTGGCAGACCGTATGTCCCTCTGATTCGTTACATACCATCCTAAGAAGAAGAGAATAGAAACTTCCAAACTGTACTGGGCTAATTAATAACCAGTACCACTTTGCCAACCATCACCGTTACCGCAACGTCAACCGAGATCGACACAACTGTCGTGACTGACAGTACCGCTATCACTGAGGTCAAGACAGTCACTGATACTGAACTCAATTCTATGACCAACACCCAGACTGTTACCAGGTAGGGTTTCGCATTCAGATTTTTCTGCCAAATCTAACATCATCATAGCACCTCAACCTCTTTCCTTCCGTTTTCTGACCCACAAAGCTGTACGCGTAAGAAGCGAGCACGTGGTGTGTCAATTCCAACCTCATGCTGTAAGCCAACGTACATTCTCCTACTACACCGGCTTATACTTATAACTATCATAGCTTGCTTCCTCACAGCTACCAAGCCTGCCGTTACCAGGACTACTGTTATTACCAAGAACAAGCCTGCTATTACCCACACGGTATATAAGATTAGCGGGCCCCGAAAGGTTATCTCTCGAACTATTGTCATCGTCCGCTACGCTTCTGGCCCGACTATATCAGCTCCCGAAACTACTAAGACTAGCACTGCTACAATCACCCAAACCGACCATACAATCACCACTATCACAAATTCTCAGACCACAACTACTACCGAGGTCAAAGACGTAACGGATACTGTTACCCAGACCAAGACTGAGACTGCCACTGCTACAAAAAGTCCTTGTGACAATATTGGAAGCGAGGAAGCTATCAACCAGCAGATTTCAGGCTCCGTCATTGAAATTACCGCTTCTAAAGACGCATCCGGACCTAATGCTGCAAAGTTATGTTGCCAGTCTTGCTATGCCCGGCCTAACTGTGTGCAATTCAGAGTCGGTAACGGCCAGTGCGACGTTTTCAGTACCAAGCCTAGCTTTAGCAGTTCCTGCTCATCGCCTCTGTGCCCGCGAGGCTTCCCTAATCTTGACATTGGGTCGGACGATGGGTTCGATTACTATTTGGGGCCTTGCTTTGGAACCGCTGTAGCCTAATTGGAAATAGAATAACAGGGATAGATATAACCCTAGGAATTAATTATTGGGTACTGGACTCTGGTCACCTTCCTGTCCTACTTAAAGTCTACTTCACCCGCCTCATCATGAATATACCGCTGTTTCTCCTACAATCCCGTAGAGGCCATCTCTCATGCCCGTATAGCCCTTGTACAGTCTGCCATTATCGTCTTTACAAACTGGTTGCGTTTTAGTGCTAGTTATATAATTCATGCTGCCCATGTCCCAAAGATCAAGGCCACACCATCGTCACCAGCTGCAACATTCCTCTCGCCTTTATGGCCATGGACAAAGCCCAAGGCACTGCCACCCTCACCACCACGACGGTGGCCCTTCCATTCCTTCTAGAGACCAGCCTCGGGAGCTGTGGCAATCGCTTGAGGGCTTATAGCGTCAGCACCTCGGAGATCACAGGCACGGAGAACCGAAGCTGCCGACTCAGAGTATTATCTCAACGACCGAGACGAGCGCCGAGCGTCTCAAGACATGGGAGAAACAAAAGGTCAGAGAGTACAGGGTCGTTTTTCTCAACAATAAGGGGCACAGGAAGGCCGACAAGTACAGGAAGAAAACTAGAGACCATTGATTGATGGCTATGCAATCGCCGCTACCACTCCCGCCGTAAGTATAAGTGACGAAATAATTCACTCACACAATGCTAACTTAGACCAGCATTTAGGCTATTTTCCTTTCACGCCCTAAGTCTTATGATTCACTTTACGTTCGAACTCTATACCATTATCTCCAGTCACCGATCAAGGTCATACAGCTCACTAGCTCCTTGGATATATGGAACTGGAGCCCTCTGGACCTGAGTGTCCGCTCAATGACCAAGTCGAGCGCCAGGCGCGTCTGGGAGAATGGCAGCAGGACCGGGTCAGGGAATCTAAGACCATTGTCCTCGACAGAAGAAGAAGGTGTGACTTCATGAATAAAGACATTGACTTGAAAGAAGATGGCTACATTGAGTTCTTTGACGTTCACGACAGAAAGTTGGACTTCTTAACAGACTTCCGACCGCGAGCCCATTATGGGTGGTGGACCTACGTCAACGCCGTACTAAGCGCGGCCTGGGAGTACCATAAGCCGAAGGGTGTCCTATTCTGCCAGACGAGAACAGACAGTTGCGGGAAGTTCGGAAGAGTGTGCGATACTGGGGAACGCAGGGCCGCTATGTCAAGAGAACACACCTTCCGGGCTTTGTAGAAAGGCTTTGACATGACGTTTGAAGTATAATCGATGAAGTCCAAGGAAGATGACTTTGATTTGACGGTGCCCGAGACCGGAGCGACAACTATGAAGTTTAAGAAGCTTTTCCAAACTGTAACGATAAAGTTTCCCGTGCACTATAAAATGGCCTGCCTTGTTTTCTCCATTCCGCCCAGTTCATCTTCCTTTTACAATTATTACAAACATCACAGCCCCAGTCATTTCCATCGACCACACCAGACGGCAATAATTTCCAATCTAAACAAAGTCCCTCCGTACACTACAAAACTATGACCGGCATACAGGACCTTCCCAGTGAGCTGTTGCTCCAAATAATGGAGCATTGTAGCTCAGACCTCCTATCGCTTACAAAAGCCTACCCAACTGCGCTGAACACCTTCTCCGAAAAACGGAAAGCTTTCGTTGCCCGCATGTCGGCGCGCTTCGGCGACCTAGCCCTTCCTTCGCTGGTGCGCGCAGCACGACTGCACCACATAAGGCGACAACCAGACTTCGAGACCCTGCATTTCATAGCGATTGAAGCAAAGATAACGGAAGTATGCAACCTTACCAAAGATACTTCGTTCCAGAAAAGGCCCGACGCTACACTACCCGACTTGAACGGGTATTCACTTTTGGCACTCTCCATCATGTGGGAGCTTGGGGAAGATGCAAAGAGGATCACTGATATGTATTCGCAGCAAGCCTTGGCTGCGATGGCTAGGGCTCCTGATGAAGAGTTTTATACTCCTCGACAGTCAGCAAAACTAACCCTAGATGAACGCAAAAGTTTTATGACTGCGGCGTTTATCTTTGACAGTTACTGTCTGGCTTTCTTCCACGGGCCACGACTACTGTTTCGGAGGAATGAACACTTTAGAGAGTCTTTTCTTCGCGGGGACCCTACCGCTATCGGAAGATTCTACTGCATTATGTTTTACATAGTGCAGAAACATCGGGAACTACTCGCATTTGTTATAGAGCATATGAAGGTCGTCCCTGGCAGGTCATCGGCTCATAAAGCTCGATCCATTGAAGAAGAGTACTTCTTAAGGATGGCAGAAGACGATTACGAAGGACCTGAAATGGTCCTAAACTATCTCCAGTTCCTTGCTTCCCAAGGCTTGAACATGCTTACAACCCTTCAGAAAATGAGCATCGACGAGTTAACAAGCTTCACGCTAACGACCTTCCTACGCATCGACAGCAGTGATCGTCCCTTCGTTTTAATATCAAGACTGCATGACCACATGTCGTTAGGAACACAAGAAATTGATGGATGGATGCCATGGGCGTACCTCGATGTACTCCTTGACGACACATGGAAAGATCATGATGAAGAGGAGATTTGGGAGGATACTTGGAGTCGTGCTATCCCATTCTGGGACCCAACTGAAGGGGAAGATCCATATTCGCCTTTCTATTGGTTTCTTGAAAGACGTTCTCAAGCAGGGAAGACCACTGGGCCATTGCACAAAGACGGGCTCTACAACTAATTCGTCATACGTTTAGAAAGGACTTTTGGGGGTTTTCTAGTGACACGTCTGGAGAAAAGATACTCGCAACTTGTACTTAATAAAATAACACTTTTGATCACACAAATTGTCAGTTAACAGTTATCTTTTATGATGGACCTTGTCCTTAACAAAGTATTCAGAAAGGGCACCTACCTTTTACCCATTCCCAAACCTAACTAGCATGTAGTGATTAGCATGATACGACGACTATGGATAGTCGACTTTGAGCTTCCCACTCTCTGCAGACCTGGTTCAGATCACGGAACAGAATCTTCCTATCTATATATCAGTTTCTCCTTGCTTCTTTCTCCTCCTTCACACTCTGAAGGCTATCTTGTCTAGACTGTCCTGAAGCCATCACTAAGTCCAAAGTTGGTTCATTATCGACATGATGAAATAATTGCTATTTTTAAGCTTACATTAACAATCAGCGCTTCCTCTCAATACACGATGAAGAAATACTACTTGAGCACGAGGTCTCGGAGGCCGTATTCAATTAACAGTAGACTCGGCTTGTCCCGTTATAACCTGGCCATGTCCATGACGAAGGTTTATGAGCCTTTGAATCCCCCTCACCATCATTCGTCACGTAGATGATGAGATTATCACTCCGTGCTCTTCGCACCATTTGGAACAGATCTCAAGCACTATCCTTTGGGGAGTTATGAGCCACTAAGTAGTTGACGATCTAAAGAGTTATTATAGAATGGCTTAGGTTTACTAAAGAATAAAGGCATCTGAGGACAGCATAGTCCAAGCGAACATAGCCGCTTGAAGATGAATATTGCCAAACAGCGAACCTAACTCTCAGCTGTAAATTGAAGCCTGACATGAATGATTCCTGGTCGTCTCAAATTTGTACCTATGCAACTGTGCCAGTCGACTAACGGGCAGCTGCATCTCTTCTTTCCCTGTTAGGTACTGTCTCTGCTTAGCATACTCCAATGTACTCTGGGTATCTCTTTTCCTAAGATGAAATGGCAAAGCGACTTGCGCAACCCATATTCCTGACCAGGCTTTCAGCTCACTATCATCATTGGCAGCGTCGTTCGGAAGCCTCTTTCTTTCCGTATGTCGCCCAATAAACAGCCATTGTCTAATCATGAAGTCTGGGTTTCTCGTACTGATAACATGATTCTGTGCCTTGCTGAGCTCAAATGGTACCGACGCACCATTCCGTACGAGACACTTGACTATTTCGAAGTGTCGGTGGCTGATTGCAGCTTCCACAGGTGTGCCGTGATCCTCGCAGCGGTGTTCCAGGTTGTCGACTCCAAACGAGATAATGTTGCGGATTGCCTCAGGCAAATTCCAGCACACTGCTCTGCATAGTAAACTATGACTCCCTGGACTTCCTAGGTCGCAGATCTGGTGTATCTCGCTTTTCGTGAGCACCCTTTTGACATAGCGGAAGTTTTTCGTGGTTGATACCAAGGTCACTGTATCGAGGTAGCCATTAGACCATCCTTCCAGCTTCTCAAGGTCCAACTTCGGACATCGGTCCAGAAAGGCTCGTAAGTAGATGGGACAGCTTTCCAAGAACATATTGTGGAAGGCAGAGACACCGTGATCGTCCGTCTCATACAGGTCAACCCCATCATCGAGAAATCGGTGAAACAGCTCGATGTCGGGGTTCTCGCTTGTCGAGTTAGCCGACGTCATAAGGTTGAGTAAGTTCCTTCCACTGTCGGTGGTATGTGTAGTCTGCTCTCCAATCTCCAGGAGAAATGTCACCAGCTTCCAATGGTGTTTGCGGCATGCCAATAAAATGAGCTCCCCATCATATAAAGTTGGCTCGTCATATCGGGCACCGCGCTCGATTAGAAGTCGAGCCATATCGCGTAACCCGTGAGAGACTGCCCATATCAAAGGCGTATCGAGGTTTTCGTCCAAGGCATCGATCTCGGCACCATGGTCAAGCAGTGCCTTGGCTGCTTCTAGGTTATTCTTCAAGACTGCGAAATGTAATGGTGTCGGGCCTTGGAAGTCACGTTGGTTGACAATGGCACCCAACGTATTGCCACGTGTGACGTATCGAACAAAGCGACTGCCGGGCTTTTTGCGTAAGTCAAACCTAGTGTCTTGAGTTAGCCTGATCATTCAGGTACCAGAACGTTGGCCACAGGAACCTAAGGGACGAAATAGTTTGGACACTTGCTGCCAGTCTAAATCAGCACTTAGGCGCCATGACCCGTAGACAACAATGTTTATGCTACCTAGTGGCTTGGCGATTTTCCAGCCAGGACTCACCACTCACCTTCGTTCCTCGGGGCCAAACGTCTTGCCACATAGTGCTTGAAACAAGATAAGGAGGCCCTCATGATTTGAGCAAATGATGGGGATGCGTAGAAGGCTAAAGTGCATATGCGAAAAGTCTCCGCCTTCTTCGAGATACCTGTCTATCAACTGGGGGAGCATATGGTTGAACTTCGGACGTTCTAGAGCGAGCTCCACGGCCGTACAGTTATAGTTGCCCGTCGGGTGTTTGAACACAGTAGAAACCGGGGTATTTTTCGTCCAAAACCATTTCACCGTATCTTCTTGGGCCTTCCATATGGCTAACCCGAATGGAGTCACATTTGGACCCATTTCGAGATCGAATTCTGTAGGGCAGCCCAATGTGAAGAGTTTGTCGCAGTGATATAATATTTCTTCCTCCATGGCCTTCTGAAAGCATGTTGCTAGCATTCGTAACCCACCCGGTGTCTTAGAGAATGACTCATGCTTCCGGAAGCTCTCAAGAAGGTAATTGTTGTCTGCGTCTCCGAGTATCCTAAGGAGCAATTCGCTGCTTGCCAAGTACTTATGGAACTCTTCTTTGTCGAGGTAACCGTTTGTTTCGCAATATGCCATAAGAATGTGAAAGACTTCAGACGTAGCGGCGCCGATCGGTGTTTCTCCTTCGTCCGATACCATTTTCAGAGCAACCTCGGCTTCTGCTCGAGACAGAAGTATTTCAATGATCTCTATTGCCCCCTTCTCGGCCGCACGATGCCAGATCGTCTCGCCACATCTGTCTGTATCAATTGACGATCCAGCATACCGAAGTAGAGCCAAGAGCGCCTTCCAGGTATTTCGTTCGTCACATAGGTGAATTGGGGTTAATTTGTCACATGTTGTTGCCCGGGGATCCAATCCGAATGCTAACAAAGGCTCAATGAGATCCAAAGACCTCATACTCACTGCCAAATGCAGTGCGGTGTAGTCGGGACGTTTGGGGTCCAGTCCAGGTGATTTTATAAACCTCGCATGCTCCGTCGCCAGAAATACCTCTAGCCCTCGCTTATCATTGAGGTTGATTAGAGAAAGAATATGTGCCTGAACTTCCTCGGCAGTAGCCTCGCTTTCAGGATGGCTCAGCTCAGGCTTCTCGTTCGTGACTTTCCCAATTTTGCTGATAGTATCAACCGTCAGGTGATGAAGCATGTAACGAGGCCCATTGAGTTCCCCTTCATCAACCAGGGCTTCCACAAGCTTTTGAAGGTCTTTTGGCAAGTTGGAGGGGGAATGCAGGTCATGAATAACAAACGTGGTCTTATAGAATTTCTGAAACTGCAGTACATCAAAGATTCTGATGTCCACATGAGCTCTAACAAGCAGCGCAGCGATTTTAACGACCAGGAAAGGTTCTTGACGCTCCATTGCAAAGGAAAGAAGCGTAGTAGTAAAGAAGGGGGTTTCTATTTCGTCTTTGGGCTTCGCTCCTGATGAAATGAGGAGCTTGATGATCTCAAGTCGTTGAGTCGGCGAGAGGTGAAGTGCTGGGAGAACATTAAGAGGTGTCGTATGTCCCAGCTCAAGAAATATAGCCCAACCGCCAACAGCATAGTGTAGTGGGATGCCAAAATTACTACATACATCTGGACTTGCACCACTTTCCAATAGTTCTTGGCATATTTCCAGTATACCGAACGCCGCTGCCATATGTAAGGGCGTGAAGTCAGGTCTGAGCACTGTATTGATAGCCAGTGGAATAAGTTCGGCGACGTTGAGGGGCTGTCTAAGATCCTTGATCTGGTCAGATCTGAGTTGGACTAGGAATTCGACAGCCCAGAGGCAGAAAAGAGGGGTTTTTCGGAGCAGCAGCTTCTGTGCAAGCTGGTAGACTTGACCTCCGATAGCCATTCCTTTTTGTATCCATATTATCCAAGCGCACGCGGCTTCCCTATGGGTTTCGTGAGCTCTACGCTCTGCAACAATGTCGAGTATTGTCTGGGCCAAGCTGCGTGCGCGGAGCTTTCCGTCGAGACCATCCATGGTGAGGAAGCGGAGTAAGGTGTATGCGCGAAAGACATGACCCTTGTCAGGAGGAAGGGCGTAGTGACTCAGCTTAGAATACTGAGCACCAAGGGTTCTTATATTTAGAGCATCAAAATACTCCAGAACTGTGAAGTGTGCAAACTCGACTATCGTCATATTTGTTCCTCGAACTAAGGCCTCTCTTGTTCTCACGAGGCTACTGCACCATCTTAGAACGTCTTCTTCTGACACAATGTCGTCGTCTTCGAGATCGTCTGCCTCCTCGTCGAGGGAGATGCTCTCGCATAGCACTCTGAAAGGGATGGACGAAGAAGAGGCCAGTAGGAGCAGTGCTTTTCTCGCCAATCGCTTCACTTCATCACTGTATTCTTCGACCCTCATCAGGATGCGGTCGTAAGTTCCAAACAAGGTCGACGGTAGTTTGGTCAAGGCCTGTTGACGGGCTTTGTCCGTGGGGAGTTCACACATATGGTCCAGCTGGCAGGCTACCCAGCGAAACCTAGAATGTTTGTAAGCGGACTTCAGGGTCTCCTTGGCCACCTGCATTTTGACTCACATTCCTTTGGCACCTTCTATCAGCTTTGTCATGATGAGGTCCTTGAGTGCTGGGTCTTTGAGCCTCAACTTCCTGGAGATGATCCTTTGACTTAGTTCGGAAGCCACGTATAACTGCACGTCCTCGGTCCGAGCCTCGATCTCGATATGTTTGAAGTCTTTGTCCGTGATATGCCGTATGACCACCTCATTCCGACTCAATAGGGCCATGTTGATAGCGTCATCCTTCTGGGTTGCCGCGATTTGCGCCAAGGTCGCAGTGATTTCTTCGGTATGGTCGCCGCATTCGTCGATTCCATCAACAATGAGGTATACGCGAGTGAAGCAGGAGGAAATTCGTTGCAAAACCTCGGCAAGCCTTTCGGGCGCTGGTTGCGTGTTCACGTAACCATCGTACAGTTCGTGATGAGCTTCTTGTAAAATCTCGAAGGCTTCTTCATTCTGCAGTGCAAGTTGCATGCAAAGAGATGAAAGAATCGAGCGTGGGTCTTGACTAAGCGGCTGCTTGTAGGTGCAAAAGAAGTATGCGACTGCCTTGTCTGGGTCCTTCCCATTTCGCTGCAAACATTCTTCGATTATGGCAGCTGCGAGAACGGACTTGCCTCCTCCAGGAATTCCGCTGCACCAAAGCCTGGCTCGAGGCGTGCTGTACCAATCATTGAACTCATCTCCCTGAGTGAGCCACAAGCCCGTCAGACCGTGTCGCAACTTCCTGTTTGTCTCGTATTCTTGTCTGGGGTTCATCTTTCCAAAGTCTTTCAAGATCTTATCTTTCTTTCCGTCCAGTGCGATCTTGACTTGAATATCCAGGATCTTCTCAACAGTCTGTTGAACACCGTCAAGTTTGTTCTTTATCTCTGTTTGCTGCGAGAGACAGACGTTGAGTTTTGCTAACGAGTCGGCGGCCAGTGCTGTGTCAATGATCTGCTTGTAGCGCTGTATCTCCGCGATCATTTCCTTGGAGTCAGTCGATGTAAAGGGCCATTTCAAACGTGCCTGGATCTTCTCGAGCCCTGACTTTGACTTAAGTGAGCTATCTGTAAGAGACAATCCATTTTCCATGCGTCTCAAGAGCTGGCGACAATCATGAAGATGATGTGGTTGGAGGCTTGGCTTCTCCTGATGAGGGTTTTGATCCGGTGGCTCAGCTTCTTCTAGATCAAATGCAACCAGTTCAAGATTGTGCAGGACAACTGAGAGGCCCCTAACCTCACGCATCAGGCTTTCAACCTCTCTCTGAGCTCCTTTGTAACCTTTGGCGTATTTAGTGCCTGCTCGGAAGATCAGGTCGGTGAGGGCGACCAAGCCCGCGATACTTGCTGAGATTGAGAGAGGATCTGCCATCGCGGTGATGCATGGAACTGGTGATGTATGCTTTCAGGTGAAGGTTGAGAAGACTAGCTGGCAGGTCGTGAGCTTTATGGATGAATTGGGACCTCAGGCTTACCTATAAAACGCTTGAAGAGCCTTGTGGTTAACCTGCATATGTAGGCTGACCAACCCCAACATCAGGCTGGCGAAGAGTCTGGCTCGTTTAGTATTACACATGGAAATGGTCATCTCAAAGTCTCTGGTCGCCTGTCGTTAGCTGACCTGGCTCCTTGGTCTCCTCTCATTCTCTGGATGATTGTAAAGAGCCAGAGAGCCTGCAAAACCGCATCAATTGATACGTGCCATTAGCCGCTGAGAGCCTTCAATATTGTCATGCAGGTGCCGCCGACCAACATGGCCCCCACGACCAGGGGATTACAGGGGTCTCGGGTCTCACTACATGGCGCCTCAGCGTATAGATTAATTGGACAGTGTATGCTGTCAGTTTTCAGATCCCCATAATCCATTTTGGTTATGTCTCCCATGCTTCATGGCTGGCTGCAGCCTTCCAGTGACAAAGGCGGGTGCGGTTGAAGTGGCAGCGCCGCGTTGCTGTTTCTTGGGTAATTTCCTGCCTTCCCGTCCATTCTTCTTAACTTCCTTTAGACACCTACTCCCCATGAGCGGATTCCTAGTCTAGGAGAGGCTATCGCACCTGTGTCGATGTCTCCTTCCTCAAACACAACACCCGAGCTCCTTCCCCGCCAAGCAACAAGGCCGCCGCTCCTCCCTTCCGTCCTCGTCGCGAAAATCTTATGACCATGGCTTTCCTTTCCCTTCTACTGTCCTTTCTCTTCGTACCATCTGCCACGGCATTGTTTGGCGCCAGCAACGATACTGATTTCTGTGACGACTTCGCAAACAACTTCGCTACCGATCTTGCGCCAATCATCGCTCTCTTCGGTGAGCGAGTCACTAAACAATTTCTCAGTCAATCGACCACAATCCTCGACGTCGTCATTTTCTCTGTTGCACCGCTCGGAATCATCACAGCCGTCGTCTCGTGCATTCGAGTCTCAAATGTCGCCTTCCTCAAATCCGCTGTCGGGCGCGCCCGTGAGCCTCACGGCATACCTGAGGTTGAGCTATGCACCTCTACTAGCGAGAACGTCTGTGAGCTCTGGTCAAATGGGGGCATATGCCGAGTCTTTGGCCGGTCAAGGATCCTCGAGTTCATACACAAAAGGCCCACCGACTCAAAAGCCTATCGTGCGGAATACGACGACAAGGGCATGGACGTACCAGGAAAGTGCAGTATTGAATCGACTCTGGAGATCTTCAATAGTGGAGGTCGTGGTAAAGAGCAAGCCCAGTGGAAAGAGACCTCTTCCTACAATTTCATGCTTTGCAAATGGTTATCCGGGAAGGAAGCAAGCATCAAACCTCCCAAGCTTGACAAACAATCTGAAGGCAAGCCAGACATCGAAGAAGCGCTTTCGGGCATCACAAATCACCACATCCAACGCAATTTATCGATAGTAAACAGGCAGTCGAAGTCGAGTCCGATAGATCCAGAAGACCAGAAAGGATGGCAGCAGAAAGACGACATACAAGGTGGCGGACCAAACAAGTTCGCGCCTTTTCCAAACTTGGCTCTAAACATCGGCGTCCCCAGGTCATCAAAAGAATTCGGCAGTCTGTGGTTTGCAGCCATAATCGGGATCCTCTTGCAGGCAAGCTTCTTCGTCTTCGCGACTTGGGCGACACGATACAACACGGGTTTCTACGAGGATGGCAAGGTTCCAAGTGACCCGACTTGGTTTGTTCTTACTGTTACAGGCACTGCCTGTATAGTCATTGGCATGGCGCTTTGTGCGCAAGTGATTGATGGGGTGTCCACAGAGCGTAGGTTCGTTCACGCTGGCGCTGAAAGGCCAAGAATCTACTGGTTACAACCTGCTGGGCAGCGTAATGGTGACCAAGTGTTCGATGGATTCACTTATAGCGAAGCAAAGTCGGAATACATCACATCCTGGAAAGCGACACAGGCCACGGTGGTTAAGTCATGGCGCGTCTGGCTAGCCATCACTCTCAGCATACTGGGCTGGGTGATACAGTTTATCGGTCTGCGAGGTGTTCATAGCAGTGTTGCTCTCTATCAGCTCGCCATTACGCTTTTTATGTCAGCCATCAGGTCCATCCTCCGCAGTTACCATACTCCACCCAACAACCACCTGTCGAGTGAGTCAGGGCGTACCACTGGGCATGAGCTGGACTGGCAGGCGAGGGAACTCATGAATAAAGACTATCCACACTCTTTGGATAGCAGAAGCAAAAGTACAAAGACTTCCGAAGGCACGACTCAGAACTCACAAACGGGCAAGCTCTTCTACAAACTACTGATGATGCGCGTCGCTCTAACGTACGTTGTCTCTAGGAATCCTTCTTTCCATCGATGATCAAAAGACACCCAATACCCTTCCAGATGTTTATGACGACCCGTTTCACTACACAATCCACTGGCAGTCACCTCAGAACAATCTAATTCTTGGGAATGATTATGGTAAGAGAATACACGGCCCTACCCCGAGAATCATAGAATGGATGGCGAGTAGAAGCCTGCAATACTGGCAGGAAGCCACCACATCAGAGGTTTTCCAAGCCCTTGATAATATTTTGGAATCCGGAATACCGTACTACTCAGAGCCTTTCCCCCAGCATGCAGTTAAGATGGTTCGTATCCGATCTCGATTGGCATTTCTGACGAATCAACCACATTATCAAACATGGGATAGCGAGGTTCGAGACATGTCCAGGACATTGAAAAGCACCCTGGAACGAACTTCTAGGATCCTGGCGACAGAGGGAGTCTTCAATTCAGAAACACGAGTTTTTGACTCTATAGTCTGGTCAGTTGGCTGTCAGTTGAACCACAGTTGGGGCTATGGCAGCAAAGATATTGGGCTTCAGCAGCCACTTTGTTTTCATTTGTACCGTATTGGCGATGTCTGGAACATCGATCAATACCAACTCGAGGCTGTTCTCGGGCTTTGGTTATGGGCTTATGACGAACGTCACTCTCAGACGGAGAGGTTGCAGCCAGGCTCCAAGTCGTGTCTTGCCTCTCCTGGGGCGCAACGCACCACGAGGCTTCTCCTCCTGCGTTGGGGAGTGCGGCCCCGTGAAGTAACTAGTCCTATTGCGCACGAAGCAGGAATAATTTCTGTCGCTTCGGCAGCGTCGATGCTTAACTTGATGGCACAAGAAGTTTTCACTCTTTTTCTCAAAAGGATAGCCTTGACATTCGATAAAGAAGCACTCCTAGACACTCTATATCCCGATCTGGACGGCCCCCGAGGCACGCGACGATCTTTCGTCGAGGATATATCACAGGTGCTAGTCGCCGAGGGGTTAGCTACGTACGAGGAAGCAATCATGTCTATCGTACCAGCTTTTTATCGCGATTCAGCGTTCCGAAAGTCTGGCTTACCACTGGAACTTCGGTTGATCTTGAAGGCGAACTCTTTGAAACGTCAAATCAGATTTGACGAGAGTGAAGAGGCACTCCAAAGCCTCATGGACTTTGAAGTAGGTGGCCATAGCAAGGACCTTGCACAGCAGAGCTTTTTGGAGCTTTATCGCTTTCAGTTGCGGCACATGGCAAGCAATCCGAGAGTCTATGTGTTCTCGGAACTACAGCTAAAAGCCGCAAGATTGCGAAGACGTTTAGATATCCAGCCACTTTACATGCGCAGAAGTGCGTACCTTACAGTTGCAGAATTCATTCTTGCCGAGGCGAGTGCTGCTAATGCTCGCCAATTCAATTCTCGCAGAACTCAATCTTCTGGCAACTCGCAAAAGCGGCCGCTAGACGAAGAGAACTTGTCTAAACTCAAGTTAAATACACCTGGCAGCTTGGATTCCACCATTCCTATATACGCGCTGGCTTTGACCCTGAGAGACAAATATGATCTTGAGACAACTGACTGGCGCATTCGCAAGGCTCTCCTATGTTGGGCTATTGTCAACGGTTGCACCGGTCTAGCTGAGGACTTGTGGGATTTGGAGCAGTGGCTTGGTCCTGCTGATAGCGCCTTCAGTGGAGGATCCGATGAACTTTTGTACGCCATCGTTTCTCCGAAGTCCATAGCAGACACCATGAGCATGCTTTTGTTCTTGCTCCATGTGACACGAGTCCCTACTTCGGGGTTCAGGTAGGATGGGCAGATGGAGGATGCACGTCTGCTATTGCAACAAGACCAAACTCTTCTCACGGCGGCTTATGAGCAGCATACATGTGCATTGTCTGTGGCAGCTGCACGAAGTGACGGTCTGGTTTACGTACGAATATTGGCTGCGTCGGCAGTTTGGAGCGATGAGTATTTACAAGAGGCTGTCCGTGCCGCCGACGAGTCTGAGAACTCGGAGATTGCCAACTACCTGCGTTGCAAGATCGGAGCGTAGGAAGGTCCAGGACATTGGACATTGATTCACAGTTGATCTTGCTGGAGAGAAGAGTTCGACCGCCACAGCCTCGATGGGACAGGATGGTTTAAAGGCGCACTCAACTGGGAGTGTGCAGAGGGCCACAAGAGAGTCTTGTCACAGCCAAAGATTGGATGTTGCATCGGTCCAAGGTAGAGAAGCGCCAAGCATGTACATGCGTGCCGTCTTGCGGATGAGTTTGGGGGTTTGTCGCGACAGCTTCAGCCAAGGTGTTGTGTTGGCCTCATAACGGGCGGGACGTCGAGTATGGACTCTCTGTCACCTCTTCTACTTCTTCTAACGTTTCTCTAGATGCGAACATTATCGTCGAAAGAATGCAATCGCCTACGCCTTACGTGATCCTTGCCAATGGGATGATACTGGAAAGACCAAGACCTTTTTCGCCGCTGTTAAGATGCGACAGATGCTCCCAGAAAGACAACCCAAGTCCCGGAAGAAGAACCCGAAGTCAAGGCAATGAGCGCCAGGGACAAGCTGAAGACAGAACGATTTGAAGGCTTCCGGCCTCATCTGTTGACCAGCCCTCTCGCGACCATCCGTCGGTGTGCCAGAAGAATTGGCTGCTGAGACCATAAGAGACGAAATCATTAGGTCATCTTATGCTAGCCTAGGCTAGTATTTAGGCTACTTTATTCCTGTAGTCTAAGCCTTGAAGGATAATTCTTCTGACACCCACCTGTCATCGTGCAGACCGTTCGCGAGGCCGTGGATCACTCTCCCGACTTCCGGTCTACTATCTACTTCGCAACCGCAAGCACCTTCCCTATTAAGGCGGCAAAATTCGAGCATAGAGGGGCACGCATCCACACTCTCCTTGGGGCCTGCAGAAAGCCTGAAGAGATGCTGAAGCCTGTTAACGGTCGTACCATCGTCTTCACCACCTACCCAAACCTGTCTAAATGGTGGATGCGGAAGAGGGAAGAGCCTTTCAACTTCAAGAAAGACTCTGACACGTCTTCCAAGAAGAAAAAGGCTACTACTGACGATGAGCCAAAACGTCTTAAGAGATATTTCGCCAGTTCTCTTGAACTTGATGGTATTGGGAAGCTTCCAAAGGGCCATCGGGGCGGCGCAGATGCCGTCTTAGTGAGTTACAGAGCCTCACAAAATGCCGGGGAACGAATTCACAAGCATCACTTCAACATAATCATATGCGATGAGGCACATCGATGCGGCGAGTGACTGGCTCATATGCAAATATGGTTCAGCTTTTCCAGTGGCAACGACTTCTTTTTGTGACTGGCACGCCAATTTCCAGCTCGCTCCGCGATCTCCTCAGTCCTCTAACCCTGGTCGCGTACGCCAACAGGCTATTCATGATTTGAAGAGCCTCGGCAGCGACGTGGTAGGGTATGTTCCTGGTCCTTACGGTGGGAAGTACGACGCCTACCAGCTCAACAATGAGATCATCGACGAATCTGAACAGACGCTTGGTACAATAAAGGGCATATTCTGCGAGGGGTTCTAGGAGACTCTCAAGAAAGACCAGCTGAACAAAACCTCTCTACTTGCAGCAATTCAAGAATTGAGAGCAAGTCACAGCTTGAACCTGCAGGCTTGCTCAACGGATCTCAGATGGACTACTGCCCTCGGAGCGAGGGTAGTAAAGCCATCCTTAAGGTCTTCTATTCGAGGCCATCGATGAATACGGCTCTGACTCTTCCTGACTAGGCAGTGACTTATCCATCATCAGTTATGCTTCCCACGGAGATTGTCGTGGAAGTGTGTCCCTACGACGAGGATGACCCTGATTTTGAGCTGGTGAAAACGATCGGCAAACAATACGCAGAGAATCTGTCAAGTAGATTACAGAGGAATTGTCTTCTAACTCTTAGGCTAAATTAATAAAGTAGCCTAAGTGCTAGTCTAAGCTAGCATAGAGTGGCTAAATTATTTCATCTCTAAGGACTTTAGGGTCAATTCTTCTAATACGTCGAGATCTGTTCAACCAAATCAGACGGACTGGCTGAATACTGTACTGTCAGACACCTGGTTCATAGCAAGCCAAGGACCACAGTTCCGAAGCAACAATGAACTTTGGCGAACATCGTGCCGGAGTTATCACTGGATGCAACCCAAGAACCGTGAAGATGCTAAACCCCAAGACGCTAACTTTCTACGGTAAGAAGAAGGGTATGATGAATCGCATCGCAAACCTAGTGGATGAACTTCCCATGACACCAACACGGACTAGGCACGCGAAGAAGATTGCTTCTGGTGATGAAATAGTCGGTCTGGGCGTCGAACACATCGACATGTTGCTGAAGGAGTCCCACAATAGTGGTCTTGGTTACATCTTGCAAACCTGCAAGCAAGACCCTCATCTGGGCCCGCCTACTGACAGGACAGCTTTTGTCCGGCTCGCAGCCAGGACACCGACTTTCATTCGCGCCATGGAGCATTTCGATGAGTTCATCCGAGGACAGAATTTGCGTGTCATCCTAGCCGTGGAGACCCTTTGGGAGAGGAATATTCAATGACTGCTCGAGTCGTCTAGCTATGGCCACAAATGCTAGATTTTGATGAAGAGTAGATATGGAGTAGCATCCTTCTTCAATGCCAATCACTCTAGAACGAAGAGCTACATGTGGTACCAGACCCAATACTGCCAAGAAAGACTTGGATGCTCCCCTGTAATTAATTCTCCGGGTGGACGGGAAACCCACCTGTCACTCTTGAGAGTCTTGGCTTCCTGTTTAGGTAGTCTGCTTAGCGGGCCCTCGTTCATGATCATGCCAGAAGTCGATGATGGAACAAGAGTCTAACTACCGTGGATGTAAAAGACAAATCGCTGTATCAGGTCACAGTCAATCCTGACTCCCCAAATCTTGAATGCCATTGAAGTCCAAAGCTATGAGGATATCGACTTTACTGAAAAGAGTTTGATTGTCTGCCGGCCCACTAGACTCGGACCCATTTTCTCGGAGGTCCACTTCTCGGCGGTCGGCACCGGGCGGATGTGGCTTTTCGGGCCGTTAAACTCCACTTGTGCCGTTCGGTAGATGAAAAGCTTTTTGCGCCCGTCTCGCAGTTCGCTCAGACGTGTTTGGTCACTCTGCAGTATATTTGCGCATGTGCGATGTGCGTGCAAGTATTGATCACTATGCATAGGTTACTGAAGAGGATCAGTGGTAATGATACGGCTTCTCTTATCAGGGTTAGAAGAATTGGCCGCTGAGAGCATAAGAGACGAAATACTTTAGTCTCTTATGCTGGCTTATGCTAGCATTTAGGATACTTTATTTCTGTAGCCTAAGCCTTGGAGGATAATTCTTCTAACACCCACCTGGCGCCCGTTTCTAGAGCTCTCCCAATCGCGAGCTTGTGACGTGCTCGCAAGTATTGATCATTGGACATACGTTACTGACGAGGGTTAATTGCATTGATATAGCTTCTCAGTGTCATCACAGCGATAATTAAAGTCCATGCGTTAAATACGTTATTCATTTATTTATGGTATATACAAGTTAATACATGTCACTCAACCTCTCGGGAATGACGAGTTGGGGTATCTTTTACTTTTAGTAACGGCCTGGACTTCAGGCGAAGCAGCATTGGTAGTTCTGCCGATCTCACCAGGGTGGTGATGAATGGTCGGCGAAGCCTGACTCCAGCCGCGATGATCTCAGCAAACTGACTCGGCAGCTGCGCTGTGACGTTTTTCGTTCTCCTCACCACTTTTCAGGCGATTCACTCAAACCTGCGCCTCAGCTGCAGTCTTGTTCTTCTTGTTCTTCTTAATACCAACAAGGCCGATGATCTCCTCCCAGAAACCGGTAGGAGGGTCAACGATCATGGCACGCTCCTCGTAAGCATCGATGGCGGGGCGCTCCCATACGAGATCGCACTCCTCGGGCTTGACGATCTTGGTGCGGTGGATGAGCTTCCAGCCGATGTAGGTGAAAGGTGCGATGATTTGCATGGTGTAGTTGGAGAAGAAGTTCTTGGCGTTGAAGGGTGCAAGAGAAGTGTAGCCGTAGGTGTAGCAGACGACGGTGTGAAGAATGAGGGCGATCCAGGCGCAGTAGGGCTGGAAGTAGCCGAAGTAGGGCATTGTCTTGCGGTCGATGCCTTGGGCCTTGCAGGCGCGGTAGTAGAAGAGGAAGGTGATGTTCATGGTGATGTAGTCCACGATACCTCCACCGGTGATGAGGGCAAGGAGGATAGTCAGAGCCTCAGCGGAGCTGGAGTCGAGCTGGAGGAAGGCCAGAAGAGGGAAGACCATGGTGACACCGAAGCAGTAGATGGGAATACCGTTCTTTGTGGTCTTGCGAAGGAAGGCAGGGGCTCGTCCTTCGAGAGCGAGACTGTACAGAGATCGGGTCGCGCAGTAGGTGTAAGTGTTGCCGGCGGAGAAAATGGTGGTGAAAAGAAGAGCATTCACAAGATGAGGCAGTCCTTCGATTCCAAGGTTAGCCATGGCGATAACCCAAGGAGAAGCAGCAGCAGTGCCGTGACCAGAGCCATCACCCAGATGAACACCAACGAGAGTGGGATCAGTGTGGCTAAGAGCAATACCGCAAGTCAAAGCAGCACCGATGAAGAAGAGACCGAATCGGAAGTAGACGGTCTTGAAGGCAGTCTTGACATAGCGACTAGGGTGCTTGGCCTCGGCAGCAACCATGGAGATGTAATCGGGACCGACGACGAAGAACGCAGCAGAGGCCAAAGCACCCATGAAGCCCTCGAGACGGCCAAGATCACCCTCGGATCGGAATGTAGCGAATGCGTCATGCACGTTGGACCAGTAGCGGAAGCCATATGCGTCACCCTGAGGATTACCCCCGACCATCGTCACAAAGGTAAACATGAAGAGGATGAAGATGAGGAGGACTTTGCCGAGGGCCAGCCAGAATTCTGCTTCACCAAAGACACCGACAGCGAGGAGATTTAGTACACTAGGACACGAAGTTTAGCATGCGGACATACACGGGAGGGAATGTGAAAAAGAACTATGGAGTCTCATCGCTGAATGCACATCAGGATGACGACTCGCAGTTCGGAAAAAAAGCCTTACCCATAAGCAATAATAACCGCAATAATAAAGCCCGCCGTAGGACCAGCTTGCGTAACGTTATCACTCCAGAAAGAAACAACCAGATTCAAGGCGACAATCTCAAAAGGGATAAGCAGCGCCTCGTAGAGAAAGAAGTTCCAGCCGACCATAAAGCCAAGAGCATCATCGACCCAGTGGCCCGCAAGACGGATAAAGCCACCAGAGACAGGCATGTACGTGTTCATCTCAGCGATGGAGTTGTTGGTGAGACCGAGGACCATGGCGTATAAAGCTGTGCAGACGAGAAGGGAACCGGGACCGCCCTTGGCTAGGCCGGCGCCGATACCGATGAAGAGACCGGTGCCGACTGTGCCTCCGATGGAGAGGAGTTGGACTTGTCTGTTGTTGAGACGGCGATGAAGACCATCTGTGTTTCCGCCGTCTGTTTCGGTGGGGGAGGGGGAGGCGGCCCTCTTGGAGGCTTTTTCTCCGTCTGAAGACATGTTGGGTGGTGTTAGTTGAAGGTCAGATCAGATCAAGATGTGTATACCCTCAGAAGTCAATCTGGGGTTGTTGATCATGTAGGGAAAGAAGAGAGAGAAAGATACTGAGTAAAAAGAAAGAGAGGAACGAAAAAGAGAATGAACAGCGAGAGCAAAGGGTTTTATCGACGATCCTACTGCTTGGAGGCAAAGCTGGTACCTAGCCTGGCTTGTACCTCTGTCTGTCACTCCGCAGTTCCTCAACATGGTGCCAGTGGAGAGGCAGTTCAAGCCAGTGGATCGAAGTTGACACTCAGTGGGTCGTAACATTTTGGACGTTTCCAAACCCTTGCATTCAAGTTCGACCATCGCGTCATTATGGGTCGTGCAAAGACGAGTCCGGCTGGATGTTGTGGATATCGTGGTTATTAGATCTCCACCATCAAGAACTCGACTCGTTCGCACTGCTATTTACTCCATCAAACAAGCACCGTTAAATCGAGGAGAAAGAGGATCAAGTCCGTTCACAAACGCATGTCTCCCCAGATAATCATGCTTGGCTCGAAAGACCTAAAATTTGTCTCCCTCCCAAGGTACGATACGTATAAGCTGCACGCACTTATAAAAATGAGATTTCTGGCGCTCGGAGGATTAACAGATTAGGCCCAATCTGGAACTTTTGAATCAAAATCTGACGTCACAGGGTTCTCGTTCAGCTACGAATGCCGCAAACGGTATCACGTGAATCAGCTAGAAAAGGTTGCGCTGAGGGTGTACACGTGATGCGACCTTTCATGATTCGACAAAGGAGTGGATACTAGGTGGTGTAAAAGCAAGACGGCAGAGTTTTTTACTCTTGATGATTTGTTCAAGGACTGCTCTGTGGATCACAGAAATATGGTGCGGCTTAGCACTAAACGGGGTTTCCGCTGCGTTTCTACTGAAGCGGTATTTTCAGCCGACTGAACCATGAATGAACGTTGGTCCCCGATCCTTTTGCGCAGAAGTCCAATGGTTGGATCTTGGGTCTGGCAATTCATTATGTAAAGCAATGGATGTGTCATGACAATGGTTTCCTTGCCTCTATCATATCATGTAACCCTTCAATTTGAACCCATGTTACTACCCAGTGAAAGTTTGTCTGAAACAAGGCACAAAAAAGCAAATTGTTGAAGAATTCTTGTTACTGTTGTTCATCTGTCGTTCAAAATGCCCAGAGTTTAGCTTGAGGCTCAGCGGGTGAGCAACGCCAAGTTTCTCATGGCAGTTGCCTCATTCGGTCTCAGCCAAACAGAAACTTCCAGGGGCAAAAAAGCTCAACAACACCGCCGGCATCGCCTAGAATAGGTATCCCGCTTATTGGCGGGCATCTTCTCTTACATGACGCGCTGTAAGCGCCAAGAAGTGCAAAAAAAACTGCGGTATTTTACTTGAGCATCGTATTTTGTGGGCTCCACAGGGGATGAACGGTATACGAGTATATGCGCTGCGGCTAAGCTAATCATCAGAGATTCAAGCAACATCGGTCAATGTCTATGATACGATAACATACGGGATAAGCATAAAAAGATGCACAATCATATACAGTGCCTACTGAATTAGATGTGTAGTTCGCCGATCTTTGGACATTCAATTAAGCTTATTTGCCAAGAGTTTTTCTGGTTCTGGTGAGGTAATACAGCATTGGCAATTCCCACATAGATGTCTTGGACGTTTTTCGCGTATCGAAACAAAACAATTTAAGGGTCCATGAGAGTCTGGGGGTGGACGGACCCTCTATGCGACAAAACGTCGTTTGAGGCGTTTGAGGGTCTTGATGATGGATGGACGCAGTTGCCGACGATATATTGGGCGGCGGGTCGTGCATTGATGGTCCCATATCTTGAAGAGGTCGAGACTCGAGAGGTGAAGCAAATACGGAGGCAGTGGCGGCTTTGACTTTATGCGATACCTTGATCTTGATCGGTTATGGTTCCGTCTCCCAGGTTTATGGCAGGCTTTGGGTAGACGATCTGTCTGTTGCCGAGTCAGGGAAGGCATCGTGAGAGTTGGGAGTTGGCTTCACATACGTCATTTCATGGGGTCGGGTAACATCAACATAAGTTCCTCGCTTCACCACAACCATGTCCAGGAGGTCAAAAGTCACTTCCTTGGCATTCAACATTCTTGCTTGACCCAACAGGATCTTCTTATAGCTTTGCCAATTAATAATCGTACGTTCTTTCTTCAAGCTTTCGGAAGTATGCATTTGCAGCAGATTGACAAGCTTGAGGAGCATGACCAACGATCCTCACTACAAGTGAGCAGAGTGATCAACTATAACTAATGCCATGGAACCCAGCATGACTCGATTTGATGTTATTCTTTGGGGACAGGAAAGCGATTGGTGGCTGGCGTGGTCTTAAAGCGTGTTTGCTCTGATCTTCATTCCCCCTCACAGATGCTTTCTTGGATGATTGAGACTTTTACGGAGTCAAGATATTATGCTTACCACTAGCACACCAATCGAAACATGACACTACATTAACTAGCTAAAAAGAAACAGTTATTCATTGGATACGTTATCGATGATTGCAATTAATTTAAAATGGCATGTCATGCCCAATACCGATTTCTGTAAGTCTCATCAAGTGCAACGAGCTTACCCTGTAGCATATGGCCCGTGCTTAGAGTTTCCAGTGACATAAGCATCTTGACTTTCAAATCTCCAAATCTCGAAAGCTACCTTCCAAACATCACATCCGCATACAAACCACCCAAAATGTCAGAATACTGGAAATCAACACCGAAATACTGGTGTAAGCACTGCCAAATCTACGTCCGCGACACAAAACTCGAGCGCCAAAACCACGAATCCACAGCAAAGCACCAAGGCGCCCTCAAACGTTTCCTACGCGACCTCCACCGCGGCCACGAGCGCGAAGAACGCGATAAAGAGCGTGCAAAGCAAGAAATCGCCCGTCTAAATGGCGTCGTCTCAGGGTCTTCTTCGTCAGCGGCTGGTCCGTCAAGGCCTGCGCCCCGCGCGCCACAACAACAACCCAGCGCACCGACCGAAGCCTCGTTGAAGAAACAGAGGGAACAATTGGCTGAGATGGGCGTTGCGATGCCGAGCGATTTTAGACCCGAGATGGCTATGCCGGGAGAATGGACGGTTACGAATACTAGGGTTATCGAAAAGACGGAGGAGGATGGGGATGTTAAAGTTGAGAAGAGGGCGAATGGGGTGAGGAAGAGGGAGGCGACGGAGGAGGAGAAGGAGGAGGAGAATGCTATGCAGAGCTTGTTTAAGAAGCCGAGACGATGGGGTCGGGATTCGAAAGCGATGCCACAAGAGGATCACGAGCTTGATGCGCTATTGAGCGGGTCAACATTTGTGCCTCGCGCGGTTAAGGAAGAGGCAGTTAAGGAAGAAGAAGAAGAAGAAGAAGAGGATGTCAAGAAGGAGGTCGAAGGAGATATCAAGAAGGAAGACGACGATACTACGGCGCCGATCAAAGAAGAGGAGACAACGACTGTCAAGACGGAAGCACCGGACGAACCTCTGATAAAGCCAGAGCCCGAGGAAGCTGAGTCTGGTGTACAAACGGTGGTGTTCAAGAAGAGAAAGCCCAAGGGAATTCGACAAAAGTAATGAGATTCGGTGTACTATAGAGATATCTGCTTTGAAAGCACAATAATGATACCATACGAATACCAATGCTGATACAGTTGTTATCTGCTCTAATCGCTATCTCCCGGATGCAACGGAGTTTACGTGAAGCCTTTGCGATCAGACCCTCCGTGGAGCGTCTTCTCGTTAAGTCCATTAAAGATCTTCACCTCCAACTCCTAAATCCATGAAGCCTTCCGCGATATCATGATAATCATGTTCTTTTCAAAACGCCGAGTCCGGCACCGAAGTACGGAAATTCCTGCATGATTCCGAAAATCCCATTAACTCCAGGCGGCGTTTAATAATTCGGCATTCCGTGGAGTACGGAAATAAGAGTCCTAATCCAAACATCGGCATTTAGTTCTCACCCAATGAGCTCTCTGGATCTGGCATCAAGGGTTCTGCTTTGTGGGGTACTACGGACATGTATGGAATATTATTTTCGGGTTCCATTGCGTCACAGAGGGGATCCGCTTGGGTGGGAAGTGTTTATATAATTCGGGTCATCGGTCTCCGAAAGAAAAGTCTTTACATCTACAGCTTCACTCAATCTACTCTCAATACCAATACACTCATAACTCATATACAATGGCTTCTAACCAACCCGGAAAGTGCTGCACCGTCGGTGTCCGCCACGAGTAAGCACCTTAACCATCATCCCGGTACCATTACTCACAAATCACAGAGGCGAGCCCACTGGCAAGATGATCAAGCTTCCCAGCGGCATTGACGCATACATTGCTACCGCCCCCGAGGGCAAGGCTCACCAGGGCGCCGGAATTGTTTATGTTGCTGATATCTTTGGTATCTGGAACAACAGCAAGCTCATGGCCGACCAATTCGCCGCCAACGGGTACACCACCATCATTCCCGACCTTTTCAACGGCGATGTCCTGGAATACCCTCCCGTGGGCGTCGATATCATGAGCTGGATCATGAACGGTGCCAATGGCGATAACCCTCATACTCCTGCTCAGATTGACCCTATTATTGTTGAGTCTATCAAGTATCTCAAGGATCAGGGTCTTGACAAGATTGGAGGTGTCGGATACTGCTTCGGCGCCAAGGTACGTCCAACATCCCCCTCTTAAAGATTCACTTACTAACAGAAATAGTACGTTATTCGCAACTACAAGGAGGGCATCAAGGTCGGCTACGTCGCCCACCCCTCTTTCGTAGAGGAAGATGAACTCCGAGCTATTGAAGGACCCCTGTCCATCGCAGCGGCGCAGACCGACAGCATTTTCCCCGCCGAGAAGCGACACCGCTCCGAGGAGATTCTGATCGAGACTGGCAAGCCTTTCCAGATCAACCTGTACTCTCACGTTGAGCATGGATTTGCTGTGCGTAGCGATCTTAAGGATAATGCTAAACGATTTGCCAAGGAGCAGGCTTTCCTTCAAGCTGTTCAGTGGTTTGATGAGCACCTTATTTAAGTTAGAGATATAAATAATAGAGCAATGGAATGTTATTGAAGATGTTCTTGATTAGAGTTTGGTGAAGAATGGTACCTTAGCCACTGAAGAATCCAGAGTTGAGTGAATCTGTCATGTGTAACTATTCAAGTCGCGCAGAGCACAATTGCAAATAAAAGATCATAATAAGCGGTTTATTGTTCTTAATTAATTTTAAAGACCAGATCTCATCTTGAATCCCATGGATCTCTTCCCGTCTCGGCAATCCAGATCCTTGGAACCTCAAGCCACTGACACAACCTTGCTCGACCTAGTTTCAGTGACCTTCAGGGGAGACTCCACTGTGGCGCACCCACTGGCCAGCGTAGCCAGCTCACCTCAGCTTTCCCGTGTCTTGTCTCACTCTTTCATGCTCGGTGACGGCTTCGCAACGTATTTGTCTCTCCTTTTCATCACGCGACTCGACTTTCTCCTCTTTCACGCTCATTACCTATTCTTAAATTGACGACGTGTAACGAAACATGCTTCAGGAGCACAAACCCGCGTGATGGCCGCCTCTGTCGATACCATCCCACCGCTTCCCTCCCCTCCAGCATCAACATGCGCCGACACCAAACTCGCCTCCGACGAGGATCAATCGTCCGAAGGATCCAGCGTCAGCATGCGTCGCGAACACTCCAACTCATCATCCATCTCGGAACCGACGGTCGAAGAAGACTACGAGCGAAGACTGGATGAGCAGCAACGTCATTATTCATTGATTGACGATGCGCAAAAGGATGCCGACTTGGAAACGGCTGTGCCTTCTGGAAGGGCCAGTCGCAGCAGTACGATAAGCAATACTACAAACCCAAATGTTCGTCGTCTCTCGGCGACCGAGATGCAGCGCCTCACAAACTCTCCTGAGTCTTTACCTGTTGCCCCCGCTCCGCAGCGGAGAGATTCTACTTCTCAGCACGAAGCTGTACGACAAGCGACGATGAGGCTCGAGAATCAACAAACGGAAGCGTTTCCTTCGCTGCAGCCGAATAGTGTTGCTGTAGAAGCTCGCTCGGCTACTGGTCTTGGACTTTGGGATCTTCAACTTCCAAAACGACCGTCTCCTGGAGCACGCACTCTGTCAACGCCTCCCACGAGTCGAAGAGCAAACGATTCGGGCACATCCTCGCCGCGAAGGTATTCTTCCTTCAATCCCGCTGGTCGGCCTACATCTCTCAATCTCGACGGTGCAGGTCCAACATCTCCTATCAACAGCACACGATCAACACCCGCGACCGCCATTCCCGTCCAAACCGATGGCCTACGACCACCGTCACCGATTCCGCCTATTATTCCTCTACCGCCCATGTCACTACCTACACATCTACAGCTCGAATTGGCGGCTCAGCGACCTAGTCCGTTGTACATCCATCAATCCCACGCCTACGACATCCCCTACGAATCCAACGCTGTCAAATTCGAGCGTCTGAAGAATGTACTTCTTCTCCCGCCGTTTCTCGAGCGCACGCTCAACTTTGGAGCCATGGCTTGTCTTGATGCTTGGTTGTATAACTTTACTATCCTCCCTATGCGATTTACTCTAGCTGTTGGCGTACTGGTTCGTTGGTGGGGGTACCTGGTTCTTAAGGAGGTCCGATGGCTCGTCGACTATGTATGGTACGGTCTGGGAAGGCTCTGGCAACGAGGACGAGGTACACTGCCCACAACAACCGACGAGAGCAGCACCGATGAAGGAAGATCACGAAGCGAGAGTCGTCCTAGAGGGAGGTCGAATGATCAGAAGAAGCACGATTTTAAACCGCACGCAAATGCTCACTTCAAACCCTTACCATCTCGGTCCCAACCTCGATCTGGAGCGTTTCGACACAGGAGGACCAAATCTATGCCTTCAAACCTCTCAGCATTCCACAAAGCTGATCTTCTTCAAGGCTTGGTTATTATCTGTAGTTCCATGGCCCTTATGACCCTCGACGCAAGCCGAATGTACCACTTCATCCGCGCTCAGTCCGCTATCAAGCTCTACGTCATTTACAACATTCTCGAAGTTGGCGACCGTCTCCTTTCTGCTCTTGGTCAGGATATTCTCGAGTGTTTGTTCAGTACGGAAACGCTCTCTCGTAATGCGTCAGGACGATCAAAAGTATTGCTCCCACTAGGCATGTTCATGCTGGCTTTGGCATACTGCTGTCTTCATTCGATAGCATTGTACTACCAAGTCATCACGCTCAACGTCGCTGTCAATTCTTACTCCAACGCCTTGCTGACGCTCCTTCTCTCGAACCAATTCGTCGAGATCAAAAGTACTGTCTTCAAACGTTTTGAGAAAGACAATTTGTTTCAGCTCACCTGTGCTGATATCGTTGAACGTTTCCAGCTTTGGATCATGCTTCTCATTATCGGCATGCGCAACGTTGTTGAAGTTGGTGGACTGAGTGTTCCTGGTGCTGGTTCTGAGACGTCCTTTGACGACGCCTCTAAGCCGTTGCATAACCCGTCTATTCTTCCTCACAGTTTCACGGTGCTTCCGCCTTGGATTACAAATTGTCTTATGTCGGGCGAGGTTCTGTCTCCGTTTCTTATCGTTATTGGGAGTGAAATGCTTGTCGACACTATCAAGCATGCATATGTTACCAAGTTCAACAATATTAAGCCGGCGTTTTATAGTCGTCTTCTTGACATCCTCTGCAAAGACTATTACACCAACGTAAGTCTCTCACCACTCTCTTGATCACTCTTACTAACAAACGCAGGCCTTCATGACTCCTTCTCTTACCAAACGTCTCGGATTGGCAGTCATACCGCTCTCATGCCTCTTCATCCGCGCTTCCATCCAAACCTACCACATGCTCCTCTCCACGCACCTCCCAATGCCAATGCCCATCCCCGAATCAACACAAACATCCCTCACATCCGAATCCGCAACACCCTCATCGCCCGCCATAGTCGCAGCGCTAAACCACTTCGACACTCTAATCCGCGACTCCCTCGGCCGCGCAACATACGGCTACCCCTACGGCTCCCCCCTCAACTCGCGTCCGTGGTACTCCTGGACATCCGACGACGTCATCGCCGCTCTAACAATGGTAGTCGTTTTCTTCATCGCCTTTCTCGTTCTCCTCATCCTCAAATTGTTACTGGGCATGTTACTTTTAAAATATTCGCGTAATCGGTACGCGGATATGAAGCGCAAGGAACATGCGATGTATGCAGCTGAGGCCTTTGACATTGCGAATGCACGACGGGTAGGTGGCTTTGGACAGGTTGAGGTTGGGGAGGATAGGCAGAGGTGGATACATGCTGATAGGAATGAGGGCCTTAAGGGGGGCAAGGGGCCGGGAAAGAGGGTTGAGAAGGATAAGGGGAAGAAGGATGATTTTGAAAAGGTTATGAGGTATGAGATGGTTGCGAAGAGAATTTGGTGATTTCCATCCGTATATAGATTCTTTTAGCATTGGATGGCGTTAAGGACGGTGTATTTAGGACAAAATGAATACAGGTAACAAGTATGATTCATATTCAGTGCACTGGAATGTCCTCAATAAGTACGTTCAACTGCCTGGCAAGACGTGTGGTACAATACGAGTGCTTCAAAGTTACCAACAAGGGCCTCTGACGGAGGTAAGAGTGACTTCAAGCTACCAGGCATTGCGACAAGACGCATCAATGATAAAGTAGTCTGGCTTCATGAAGGCACAGTTACTTCATAATCACTTCACAGTTCAGAGGAAACAAAATGTCCATATGGAAAGGTATCTTTTCTTTCTATTCCTAGGTATCAAAAGTCCCGAAGCATCTATACAGCTTCGTAAGAAATCCCAGCGCTTGCCATCCCTATAATCCTTTTTCCCTTTTGTTTTACCATTCCCTTATGCTGCCACGGTATAAACTCTAAATGACACACCGCGTGTCTTAACTTTTTTCTTCATCAAATCATAGCGTAGTTTCGTATCCCTATATATAATAAACCCTTTGTCGTTCGTTTCAAGTCATGATGCTAAACCGTCAATCTACTGGATGTTGGCAAGCTTGAGAAGGCCGGGGTTGTTGGCCAGAAGGTCGGGCTTGGCCTTGTACAGCATCTGGACGGTCTGTGTAAGGATCTGTCGTGTCTCAGGCTCGAGCTGCTCCTCGGGAGGGCTGAGGACCTTCTCGAAGATGGAGACGAGCTGGGGGGTGAGCTGCTCGACGGTGGGGTTGGAATGCTGGTAGAGGTTGTAGATGTTCTCGTAGATGGGGGCGTTCTCCTCGTAGTCCTCCTGGAGGGGAAGGACGTTGGCGACGGCGGGGAGAGCCTGGGAGACGAACTCGTTGTTGGGGTTCTTGGCCATCATGCGAGAGACGGCACCGGCGACGTTGTCGGTCATGCGCATCTCGTTGACGGTCAGGAGGGGCTCGAGCTTCTCCCAGAGGAGAGGGTACATAGGGAAGGTCTTGCTGGTGTCGGAGGAGTTGAGGACGACGAGACCGATGGCGTAAGCAGCGTTGGACTTAGCCAGAGGGTCGGGGTCTGTCAGGCGACGGACAAGAGCCTGGCCGAGAGACTCGGTGAAAGGGGTGATAGCGTCACCAGTGTACTTGGTGATCTCGGCGATGGTGCCGACAGCGGTGGATCGGTGGAGATCCTCGCTGGAGCTGGCGAGTTTGAGGACAGGCTTCTCGAAAATCTTCCAGAGCTCGCCGAAGCTGCTGCCGAGAGCGGCAGCCATGCCGACGACAACGTCAAGAGCGGTGTCAATGACGAGCCAGTCGTACTCGGAAGAGCCGCCCTCAACATCGGGCTCATCCTCCTCGTCACCGAGGTCCATCTGGCAGGGGTGCGATCGGGTAATGATAAGACCAACGACCGAGACAATCTCCTGGAGGAAACCGTCCTTGCAGGTAAGAACGGCGGGACCGCAGGCCTTGAGGGTGGCGGCGATGTTGCGGTTGATGTCGGTGATGACAGAGCTGTAAGACTGTTAGCGGATGATTCAAGTCAAGAGTGCAAGAAACAAGAAGTAACAGTGATATCAATCAGACGTGATTAGACGCGTTCTCAGCAACGGCATTTGCCTCTGAGTGAGCTGGGTATAACGCAAGGTAGTCATCATTTTGGAAGAAACAAGGTAAAGCAAAAAGGAAGTTACTAACCGTTCACAATCGTCAGACCAGATGGTCATGGTAGCCTTCTCGAGAGCCTGGCCCATGGAGATGAGCGAGGTAGGAGGAGTGTGCTTGGCGGGAAGACCAGCCTCCCACTTGACGCCGGAGCCCTCCTCCCAAACCTGGAAGACACGGGCGTAGGTACGCCAGAGGGTGGAGACGGCGGTCTTTCGGCATCCCTCGTATGTGTGCTCGGTGAAGGGAGAAACCTTCTCGATGGTCTGCTCGACGTACTGCTCGAGGTTGGCGCTGTTGCAAGAGTTGGAGATGACATCACCGAGGACATCGAGAGCAATCTCCTGCTCAAGAGCGACAGCAGTCACAGCACCGAGGTCGTCAAGATCCTCAATGTCATCCCAGTCCTCCTCACCACCAGCGGCGATGGCAAGGTCGTCCTCGTTCTCAGGAGCCTTGACCTTGACGCGCTTGCCGCCAACGACGATAGAACCTTCGCCAAGCTGGTTAACGTCAACACCAGGAAGCTCAATCTCCTCATCCTCAAGCTCGAGAGAAGAGAAGAGACCCTTGAAGACACCGGGAAGGAAGTGGTCGAACTGCTCGTGGTAGACCTTGGACAGGTTAGACCACAGGATGAAGCTGGTCTCCTTGAGGCGGGGGTTGTCAAGACTGAGAGCCTCCTCGGAAGCGGACATGAGGTCCATGACGTAGGGCTGGAAAGCCTCAGAGCCGACAGCCATAGCGATGCGGCCCAAGCTGTCGCAGGTGGAACTTCGGAGGTCGAGAGACTCCTCGCCGTCCTTGATGGAGACGAACTTGCCGAGAGAGGTCATGACGTCCTTGAAGTAAGGCTCGAAGCCCTTCTCCATGGAAGAAGCGATGGCACCAATGGCGGAAGCAGCAGCAGCCTTGACACCAAAGTCCTCGTGGTCGAGGAGACGGACCATGGGGCCGATCAGGTTAGGACCGTACTGAGCCATGATCTTGGTGTCGATACCGTCACCGAAGGTGTCAAGAGCACCGCAAGCGCATCGGATGATGCTGACGTTGCTCTTGTCGGAGGGACCCTGAGAAGCAGCCTCGAGGTTCTTGAGGACAGCAGCGATGATCTGCTCGTGGTGAGAGGACATCTCGTCGGCCATCTCCTCAGCGAGGTGGATCAGACCAACAAGAGAGGCGTGGCGGACACGGGTCTCGGAGTCCTGGAGGAGAGAGATGATGGTGGGGAGGAGAGGCTGGAGCTGGGTAGAGATGAAGTCGGGAGCACCCTCAGCGGCGTTACCGAGAGCGAGCATAGCGGCCATACGGTACTTGGGGTCGTTGTTACCAGCGAAGTGGGGGAACTGCTCGAGAAGAGGGACAATGGCCTGACGAGGGGGAAGCTCGTTGGACAGGGTGTCGATGAGGCTGATGGCAGTGCGGGCAGGAGAAAGGTCCTCCTCGTCGTCCTCGGGGTCGAGCTCGGTGACGATGTGCATGGCCTTGACCATAAGCTCAGGAGCCATGGTCTTCATGCCCTGGATCTTCATGCGGCGGTAGCGAACGCACTGAATGAGGAAAGCAAGAGCCTGAGATCGGGCATCCTCCTCAGCGTTGACGTTTCCACCAAGCTCGATCATGAAAGAGAGGAGATCTCGGAGGTGGACGGCAAGGAGAGAAGAGTCGTAGGCGATGAAAGAGTGGAAGACCTCGAAGACGATCTTGTAGCTCTCCTCATCCTCACCCTCGACGGTAGCCTTGAGGATGTTAACCAGGCTGGGAACGAAGCCCTGCATGGCCTTGAGGGCGATCTCGTCCTCCTCGGGCTCAATGATCATGAGGATAGCACCAATAGCGCGAACGATGTTGATGCGAACCTCCTTGCTCTCGGGGTCCTCAATACGGGACTGGAAGAGCTTGAGAAGATCGTGTGTGTTATCGGCGAAGTGGGTGGGGTCCTCCTCGAGAATGGCGTAGAGAAGGAATGTGCCAACCTCACGAGCAACGACGTTGTCGTTGTTGCTGAGAGGGAGGAGCTGCTTGAGGAAATCCTCACCCTCACCGTTCTCCATATCAGCGCTGACAATGCCGGCGATGAGACGGGCGAGAGAGTGGCGGACACCAGCGGAGGACTCCTTGAGGACACCCTCGAGAAGGTGGTTGCGGGCAAGCTGTCGCTGGTCCTGGGCGGTCTTCTCCCAGAACTTGGGGATCAGACGGAGAGCCTGGACCGAGGCGAGCTGTCGAACGCCAGCATCTCCATGTGTGAGGGAGATCTCGACAAGGGCGAGAAGCGACTCGGGCTTTGTGTAGAAGTTCTTCTGGAGCTCGGCGGTAACGGCCTTGACCTGCTCAGTGTTGGCTGAAGAAGAGAAAAGTTAGCTTTCAGAGTATGTTAAGCGACAACACACAAAGCAGAGCTTGCATGTTGACATCAACAAGAGTCAAAAACTTACGGACTTGGCTCCCTTCAAGGAGCTGTGCAAGCTTCCCCTTATCCATGATTATTTCTAAGTCGAAGCTTCAAACGACGTAGAAAAGAAGGAAAAAGGAAAGGAGAAAAAGAAAAGAACCCGAAGGTTTATAGTTGGATGAAGAGAGAAAATAAAATCGCGAGGGACCCGCGTCCGAAAATTTTAAATTATTTGGGGTCCTCGGGTCGAAATTAGAGGGAAAGAAAAAAAAAATTCCCATGCCCCGCTCTTGGAAGCTTCGATGCTGGTTGGGTAGGCAGCGGCCAAAGCGCTCCAAGGGTCTAAAATCTGGTGTTGCCCCTCGTTTTCTTTTCCACTTTAGCGCGGGGCTTTTTGTGGTGATGATTTCGATGAGAAGAGAAGCTCCAAGGTTGACCGCCTTGAATGTGATTGAGCAGGTGATTGGAGTTGCTCTTCTTCTTTCGAATGTTGTTTGTTGACAATCTTCGACGGCCTGAAGAGTCTGTGAATCTCCTCTCCTCTCCTCAGACTCGAAAGATAGGCAGGCATCGCTGAAGACATCGGATAAATGCAACGCAATGCAACGCAACGCTCCAAGGGCCAAGACTTGGCTTGCTGGCACAGGTCGGTCCAGATGATGCACTAGCTAACGTGCATAATGACACAGATGGCACCCAATGAGTGGCCACTGATAGGCCCAGCATGACGTTGCCCGGCTGACGGATACGCTCTAAAGAGCTTTGGACGCTTCACCACCAAACAATTGGACAAGAACATCCAAAGACAAGACAAGACTGGGTTCAGGATATGATTAATCCATTAAACAGTACTTGCTTGCAATAGGTATTGTTGCTATGGAAAGCCAGGCATCCACCATGACGCTTCTCAGCATGAACGACAGCCCGCTCAGGCGCAGCTGTCTAAGCACAGACTGGTCCCAAGCTCACTCAGTTTAGTTCGATGCAGCTCACAGTCGTGCGCCATCATCTGCCGTCGATTGGTCTCACGAGCGATGCTCTGTACATGATTCCACAAAACACGGTGCAACTCAGTCAACGCTCTTCTTGCCAGGCACGCAAATGCGATCCCCAATCATGAGCGCCTCGCAGTCAACACCCTTATTCTTCTTCAAGATCTCATCAAGATCCACGCCCGCCTTCTTGGCGATAGACCAACACGTATCGCCCTGCTTAACACCATAAGCAACCGTACCCTCCGGACAATCCGGGATAGGAATATGTTCCTCGGGCGAGGACTTGTGGCCGAGGAACCAGAAGAGGAGAAGCATCGATAGGATGATGAGCATGAGGAAGTTGAGGAAGGGCTTCATCTCGGTGAACCAAGACATCTTGGGCTGATGGTACTGCGGGTTTGACACCAGGAAGGACTCGGACTCTTGGCCTTCTGGACGCGCTTCGCCGACCTTTGTGAGCTGGCCGTATTGGTTGCCTGGCGCGCTCTCCCAGAAGCTTCCGTCGGCGTCGCGGAATGTGTAGACCTGGGAGTCAGCATCGTAGCCTACTCTCTGCATGCCCTCCGGGAGACGTTCTTCGTCGGTATCATAGCGAGAGAATCGAGACATGATCGATATTGATGCAGGTAAGTTTGTGATGTGATGTAGATGATAAATGGGAAGAAAAGGGACGAAAGAGGAAGAGATAGTCTCGCTTCCTTTGAAACACGGACATCATGTTACAGGGGACCGCGTCATGATCTTAGTCAGCCGTCTGGCCTGACCAACCTCGTCTAAGGTCACCGCCAACCCAGAAATAGGAACAGCGACAGCTTACGCGGGATTGTGATTCAAATAGGTAATTTGGATTAGTCTCTACCGATCGAAGGGACTTCAGCTCAAGGTGTATACTGATGTTCGTAGCGTTAGGGTCTTGACAATCGATACCTGGGTAGCTGAATCAATGGCCTTGAGAGAACAAGAATGGCGCATGGTATTACCTGTTTCAGCAAGCTATCATTTATCTACATGTAATTGACATTCCAATCAAGCTGCGAATAATTGAATTAGACGGTCGTGGTGATCAGCCATCTCACATCGTGGAACCCCTGTCAGCCTCGGCTCATGTCTATGACAAGCGCCAACACGAACATTCTGTGCAACTCGCAGTTTACCACCAACAAGATATAAAGCAATTTGATTCAAAATGTCGGGCTATCCACTCCTAGAGATCGAATCTCAAGTCACGCGGCAAGATGAGAGTACTTTCACGGTCAATCTCGCAGAGTCCTTCGCTGTCGGAACAGGTACGCATGCCTTCAATAAGCCCTCCACTTACTAACAGCTACAGTCCCTCATGGAGGCTATATCTCTGCAATGTTCATTCGCGCCGCAAGCCAATATCTCGGATCCGATCAACCCGACACCTTTGCTGCGCATTGGCATTTCCTAAATGCAACACACCTCGGTCCAGCTGTTCTTATAGTTGAAGAAGTCCGAAGAGGCCGCGCTCTATCAATCGTCCACGTAGCACTGTACCAAGAAGGACTCCTTTCACAAAGTCCCTGGATAACTTCACAATCTAAGAAGAAAATCGCGGCTTATGTCACGAATAATCGCATTGAGGCTGAGAATGGTCTTACTTTACCCACAGGCTTTGAACTCCGCGAGCCTCCTCCTCCAGTGGATTTGACCAAACTCGCAGAAGACAACGACCCAAACTGGGAGAGATTACATATGATAGTCATGGACATGGCACCAATGATGCGACACGTCGAATTCTACAGTCCCAAGAATAAGAAAACATCACCAGCATGTTGGGATCTCTGGCTCCGCATGTCCAACGGCGAGCGCTGGAAGACATGGATGCTGAGCTATCTCGCCGACGTAGCTCCCGCGCTGATAATCGAGGGCCACAGACCTACAGATATTGAAGCGCCGACTCCTAAAGATCGGTTCGCGTTTGATAAGATATTCTGGATGCCGACTGTGTCGTTGAGTTTGGATGTCAAAAAGGCTTTGCCGGAGGAGGGAGTGGAGTGGTTGAGAATTAGGATTGAGGCGAAGGTTGTTAAGAATGGGAGATATGATGCTGAGATTATTGCTTTTGATGGCAAGGGGGATGTTGTTTCTTTGAGTAATATTGTCGCGTTGATATTGGATGTCGAGAGGAATACGGGACGAGAAGTGAAGCTTTAATATAGACATCTGACCATTGTGCTTGAAGATGGACAGATTGGTGGCTTATGTGAGGCAGAGTGTACTCGTTCAAGACATTGATCTCGATCCTCTAATTGTCTTGCGTGCATGAGCCTTTAATCCTCATGCTGTCATCATTAGTTGTTTGAGTCAAAGTCTCGCTGGGACTTGAGCTGCAGCACGATATCCATCGTTCCATTGTATTGAAGTTTGAATGCACTCGTGGAAAGACTTTAATGCCTTGGTTTCACTTCTTTGTTAGTCACTATATAATGATCCAGTTGTTAGATATAAGCAATTAAGCTTTCGTCTCTCATGATCGCCTATCTGATCATCGATACGCGGTTACATGAAAATATCTGGTTCATTCCATACAAATTCTGGCATCTACCCTGAGGCTCCAGACGGGAGTTCCATTTTAGCGCCCGCGCCCAGCCCCCCGCACCCACCAATTGTTCCAGCGCACGATCTGCTAAGCTTTAGGGCTATAGGGCGCTAATGTCATCACTGTGACGAGATAACCTTTTTTCTTCAACGGTTAATCGAATTAAGGTATGAACATCAAACAAGATCTGTAACCTCACCAAGTATTGAACATCCACGTCTTCTCCATGTCAACAGTCCACATCATCTTCTGCAACAACTCTTAATTGAGGCCTTCTACGGCCTTCAAAGTGGCCGCCCCCAAATGTCTTGTCTCCATCACGCTATGTCCACCTCATTACGCTCGATCCAATTAAACCCCGGACTTTGAGCCCTGTACGCCCTCCCCTGCTAGAGCAAGATGCGAACTGACAAGTTCAAACGAGGCTCTGCTTCTGCAGCTCACCTCTCTCCTTTCAATTCCTTTGGTTCCCTCTTTTTTCTCTTTCTTGTGGTCATCATGGGGCCATCTTGAAAGAATTACCACGCGGGTCTTGGTTGAACAAGGACATTGACTGCTCTGCGTGCCTCTTTAACCTCTCCCGTCGCATCTTCAATTTCTACGACTTCAGAAGAAAGTACGAGCCCTAGCCTTCAGCTGGAGACGGCTTCTCACTACGCGACGCCACCATCTGAGACACTAGACGAACGAACCGAACGAGCGAATCTGAATAACCATCAACATGGCCGATGATAGTGCAGATCCCGAAGTCATTGTGGCCTTGGTAGCCCTGATCATATCTCTAGTCGCGCTGGCAGCCACCTTCATGCAAGTCTTGCAACAATACTATGCCTCTGCCGCAGGATACGCCCAATGCAACGAGAAAGTAATGGGAAAATGGGCCTTGACAAAAACCCGCCGCTTCTCATGGGACGAACTCCGTTTCGAGGTCGAATTCGAAGCTCCCGTCATTTTCGTTTCGCCGCCAGATAACAAAAACGGTCCCATTATCGACTCTCAGATCTATTTCTTGGACGGTAGTCAAGAGAGTCTGGACGCTACCTGGTCTGAGCTGGCTATCAATTTGAGAGAAGAATACGCCGCCAAGACGAGACGAGAACGTGTTCACACTGCCGATAACGAGCGAGCTTCATGGACGCTACTCCTTAGTGCGGTGCAGCGCATGGAGCACGACTCGGAGAAGTGGCAGAAGACACAATATGAGGAAATGAATAAGATCATTGGTCCTCCTAGTACGTCCGAACAGCGTGATATTTCACCAGAGCCTCCAAGTTTATACGATGCGCATACTTTGACGGTGGCTCTTCAGCGCAAGCGCAAGAGTTGGGATACAATGCCTGCGACTGTTCTTCGGCCGTATGCGACGACAACAATGTGCCATCTTATCGAGATGTTGGCTGCATTGGGTATTTACTGGAAGGAATTCGACCGCAGACGTGATCGCTACCGCGCTGAAGGCAATGGGTTTATGGTCGTTGGCGAAAAGGTAGCTGATTTGGGGTTGATGTTTACGTTCAGTATCTATGGAAGAAGTCGCTTTGAGTCCAATCGAGTGATTCCCGTGGACCAAGTCAAGGAACTTTGCTTTGGCTATGTGTCTACCATTTACAGTGTGCTGTTGGATCAGCGACGTCTTCAATTCCCTGAAGATGATCCTGGAAACCTGGCTTTCCTACAGCTAGCTACTCGTGAGGAGATTTCTCAGACTCTGATTAGAATTGGTTGCAATACCAATGCTGTTCGTGCTTTCCAGGATGCTGGCAAGCATACGTCGCATCTGTTTCCTGGTACGTTTTGTCGTTCCTCCATGTCGCATTGACTAACAAGTTGCAGTCTCATTCGAGATTCTTGGTATGCTGAGTCGGACGTTCCATATCAAGAACACCATGTTCACCCATATTCCCAACCCAACTTCAGACCGCTGGGACAAACAATCGGTGTCACTCTACAAAGTCATGGACGCTTACTACGATCTTGTCGAGGTCCCACTAACAAGGGCGCAACGAAATCCAGTCATCGTCAAGAGGATCAGGAAGCACGCCGACAAAATTCTGGGATACAACAAAGACGAGAGCACAGCGCAGAAGATGTCTGTTCTTAGGGCACTTCACGAAGCCATTGACGACTGCGATCAAATTCTGACGGCCAAGGAGCCTGCTGGTACCATTACCCCCTATGCAGAGGCGAACGGGCTCAAAGTACACGAGAGCGAGGTCCAGAAGAAGCGACGAGAAATGGTCCAAGATGTTCTAAGATCGCATATCCAGGAGGTTCTACGTCTTCTTAATGATGGCGAAGATCGTTCGTCAGATGTGACATCTTTACATGCCGAGTGGAGCCCGTCAACTCGACCAGATGCACAACCTAGAGTCACACCCCTTGGGTTCGAAGACATGCACGAAGCTAGCCCCGACGAGAGACAGCACAAATTCATGGAAGTCTACTTCCACGTCATCCGCGAAAAAGTCATTCCTCGCGCCGAACGCTCAACAGATCGTCGAGCAAGCATCGTCGGCGCCCCTCCAGGCCACGGTTTCCGCAGAGCAGGAACCGGTCGAACTCAAGCAAGCAGCATGCGCGGTCAGGAACGCGGCCACTCTCCCCCACCACCGATGCCAGCACCTCGTCTTCACAGAAGCGCAGAGAACATGACTCTAAACACCGTACCCAATGGTCGTCCGTCTGTGTCTACAAGTAGACCCGGCAGCGCTATGAGCGAAGCTGTTTCTATGCTTAGTGAGGTTCCGGAGGGAAGAATTGAGAGTGCGTTGTATGCGCAGGAAGTGTCACATGATGATGCGTGGTGCACGTTGATATTCCGTATGATTTGTTGGTTGATGCTGCATGACTTTAATAAGTTGGATGTGCAGTTGAGTAAGAGTGAGTTGCTTGGGAGTCGAATGCCGGTTTATATCTCGTAAGCTTTGGGTAGCTTTGCATGAAACGACCTTTGGTAAGGTGATGTTTGGAATGCTAGCGATGGGGTTTTAGATACCAATAACGACTTATGTAGTCTTTTGTAGAAAAGCATGTCTGTTATCAATGGAACATATCACAATACTTTGGGTTTCAAGATCAAAAAGTGGCAATGTCCTAGTAACTGCTGGTGCTCATAAACTTCCATGGAAATCTCAGCTACCCTGTACCAACAATATCTTTTTTTCCCATGCGGGTATCACATTCCATTCTTCGCCGCCTCATCGGCCAACCCAGGCCTCCGAGACCCCCGCATCGGTGCCCGCACCGGGATTGGAAATCCGGTTGATCGGGTACACCGATTGCCTGGTATCGCCCCCTTTTTCTCGGCTGACTAACGAAAACTCTATCGGAGCGCACGTGAGTCGCGGCGGAAGTGCTTGTTTCGTGGCGAAAGAGTGTTTTTAGTGAGCTCGGCCGAGAATGTTGAAGGGAGATGTCAGAGCCTGGACATGGTTATTGTTATTTCTATGGGGGAAGGGAGTTATATGTGGCGAGTGGAAAGGAGTTGTTGATCGCTTGGGGGAAGGGATGCATATATGGTCGAGAAGGGAGGAATCGCATCTGTATAGCCAGGTGGATTATGATCAATAATTGACTGAGAACGACTTCACCAATATAGAATTCTAACGCCATTTATTTACAGTCTATTCTTCGATCTCTCCTTTCACTCCCTTGGCAGGACAACAGGACAATAATCACAAATTAATCGTGAAAGTAATTAAACGCACGCGTTAAAAGGTATTATGTCTCATAAACCCATGTCGCATCTCGATACAATGCCATTAATCAAGGATCATTCATTCATTCACAGAGGCAATAACCTCGTCCTTCGCCGACGCCGGAGCCGATGGAAGGAAATCTGTCACGTGAGATATAAGTCATCATGGTCCTTGTTTCTTGAAGGATTCTGTTCCAAGGAGCGCACGAGCACGAGCCTCGATTTAGACCGTGGAAATCCGGTTGAGAATCGAACAGGCGTTCTGCCTTGGACAATGACACTGGGGCTGAATAGGTGGTTAAAACCTGTCTTTGAATTCCAGCTTTCTCGGTCACGGACGTAGCCGCGGCTGGAGAAGGTCTGTCTCCAGGTGACAAGACACAGACCAAGTCAAGTCACTTTCCGTGAATTCCACATACTAACAAGGAAAGGGAAAGGCGTTTTCATGCACAGTTAGCTTGAACCATCACCAACAGATTCATCATGGGCTTTGACAACAGTTAGAATGTGATAGGGTTGCAGCTCAACTCTCCAGCATTGCATTGCATGGCAGGTAAAAGTACAAGTACCCTTTTTCGCAACCGCCCATTAATAGTACCTAAATCCGTGCGGAGAGGTACTTGGTCACCCCCCGTGTCAAGGTCATGTTTCCCCTTCCCCAAGAGTAACGGATCTAAAGCCCAATCGTCCAATCATAATCACATGCTCGATAGGCTAGGCTCTGTTTGTCACTGGGAGGGAACCCTGGGCCAACCATTGCCTTGCAACACCAAACCCAATCAGGTATAGCTGTAAAAGATTGAGTCCACATCTACCTTGGCCCGAGAACCAGACCAACTCCTCCGTCACATCAGCCTGCACAACCATATCTTCTCTCTCACCAAAGCCTCGTAAGCAAACGAAGCCCTACGACAAGAGAAACGGAAAAGGGCACCGACAAAAAAAGAGGCAAAGACGACACATCTTAGGCGAACATACCAAATCCTTTGTTTGCCCTGTTGTCTTCTTTCTTTGTATCTTGGCTTTCCTTTTTCTATCTAATTACTCATTTTCTTTCTCTTTATTCCCGCCCGTCTCGCCACACTCCCTTGTACTCCCAGGCATCCCCTTGCCTTTCCCCAGCTGTCAAGTCCACGCTTGCACGCGTCTCCAACAACAACAGGAAGCCCTACGACCCTTCCTTCCGCCCTCGCAACGATCTTTCGATATATGCTGCTCTGAACGTCGAGCGTGCAGTTCTATTCCGTTCTCGGGGAAGCCTCCATCGAAATCCCTTCGCGGTCTGTCGATACATCACGCTCTCGTCTATACTCCCAACACGACTTAGTTACTGTTCGTACATACTGGACTCGCTTGTCTTCGTCGATCGTTTCGGATAGCGTTCATTACTTGGCCGTTGTGGACGTTGCATATGCGTGATCTGGCGTTACCTTCGCGTTAAGTGTTTCGTTCAGCTTGGTCGGTTCCGCAGAATACGGTTGACGGTATATTTCAACACGTCAACTCTCCTCGAACGGAACCCTAGGAATTTGTCTCGCACAGGCATTATTCTCAACAGCCTGGTGCTTGTCACGGACGAACACTACACAAACATCACGAACCATGACACCGTCACCCGCAACCAGTCAGGCTCTCGAGCCTCGTCACCCCAAACCTTCACAAACAGTGTCTGTGAATATCTCCGAAGGCCAGAACAATCGATCTCGTCGATTCCAGCTCGAGGTGAGCGAGTGCGTCGAGACCAAGACTGTCACGACCACTACTCGTCTCACCCGCAAGTTTCCCCACGTCTTCGTTCGAGATCCTGTACCCCTCGAAAACCTCGACACAAAAGAGTATCCTCTGGCTATGAAGCCCACGCCTCCAGAACTGATCCAGTTCTCTTATAATATGCCTGGTGCCCTTGAGACAGATGATGAAGGCGAGGAGTCAACAGATGCGCAGGTAAGCTTTCACTGCTGACACATACATGCTGCCACGCAACGCGGCTATGTTGGCCCAAAATTAAACTAACATTTTTGCAGATGACATATAGTAATGGCCGTGCTACTCCCGGTCGCGTTAATTCCGAATCCCCTCATGAATCCAATACCCTCGTCCGAGTACCCAAGCACCGATCACAATCCCCTTCAGAAGGTTACCCCCGACGCTCCCGAGCTTCAAGAACCAGTCCTACAGACTCTCCCGAATCATCAGCAGCCACATCCACCAACCCTCGACGAGCCCCTCGATCAAATGGACTTAATGCCGTTTCAGACAAGCTCCGCCGCTCCATTGCTCATGGCTCAAATCGACGAGAAGGGGAGAGGTCTTCTCGAGCGGCTACTGGCTTCCTTGCTACCCCTGATACTTCAGAAGCTGTTATTTCATCTGATCGACCGGCTCGCCGACGTTCGTCACACCCTGAGCGACAACACTCCCCCGAAGCATCCTCATCTACCGTCAGTCCTCATTACGAAGCCACAAGCCCTGTTGAGAGTGATTCCCACACCGTCTTCAGCAGTAATGTGGCTACTCCACCAATCACCGACACCGACGCAGAACCATTTACAGATATCGACGGGTCCCTACAACAGTCCGCTCGTCCATTTAATCCCAGGCCCAGTATAGATGTTGTTGCCGCCCAGGATGCTAGTCTTCCTAGTCCTAGACTGTCGCCTACTTTAGCAGCTGCTCAGTTACACACCACCGACGCCGAAGATGAAGGCCAGTCTAGCTTTCAGACCTCAAACTCGGACTCTCGTTGGGTTGATGAATCACAGCTTACAGAAGATGATCCCTCGACTGCACTTGTACCTGCTGGCCGCTCTGATGACGACTTCGCTCTCACTCGTCCCGACGGATCTCCCCATGTCGTCGACACGCAAACACTCCTGGAGGCATTCGACTCGATGAAGACCGAAATGAAGACATTCATGATGTATCAGTTCCTTCGCCGATGCCCTCGACCTACCCTCCGAGTTGTCGCCAACGCTGTCAATCCTGCTCTGAAGTGCGACTTCCTTCGTCAGCTCCCTCTCGAACTTGGATACTCTGTCCTGTCACATCTCGACCACAAGGATCTCTGCTGTGCCGCACAGGTCTCTAAGCACTGGCGCAATCTTGTCGACCGCAACGAGACCGGTTGGAAGGCGTTGTTCGATCGCGATGGCTACACGCTCCCTCCTGGTGAACTTCAAAAGGCAATTCTCCAGGGTTGGGGATGGCAAGATCCTGTTGGAGCTACTGGGTACGAGAAGGATCTCAGCATGCGAAACCGTTTGACCTCAACTGAGCACGAGCTCACCCGAACCCTTCGACAAGAGACAGCTTCGAAATCCCGAGCTTCCAAGCGAAAGCGAGCGCTCAACACATACTCGGCTGCCGAGCGATCGAAGCGACGTGCCAGTGCCCAGGAGGCCGTGTCTCGCGAGGAAAGCAAGTCGCAGCCCGAAATCAGACAACATCCATCTGAAGGACCACTGTCTGCTGCTAACGCCGCTGCCACTGCGGTACCTGATCCCCAGCTTGGATTGCCTAGTCTTCGCGAGCTTCATCTTTACAAATCACTTTACCGCCGCCATCACATGATTCGCAAGAGTTGGACCAGTGGTGAGGTAAAGCCCGGTCATGTTGCCTTTGCCGCTCATCCTCGACACGTGATTACCTGTCTGCAGTTTGACGAGGACAAGATCATTACTGGCAGCGATGATACCCTCATTCACATCTACGACACAAAGACGGGCAAGCTCCGCAAGAAGCTCGAGGGTCACGAGGGTGGTGTTTGGGCTCTGCAGTACGAGGGCAACATGCTTGTTTCCGGCTCCACCGACAGGTCCGTTCGCGTCTGGGACATTGAGCGTGGACTCTGTCAGCAGGTCTTCTATGGACACACTAGTACTGTCCGTTGTCTACAAATCCTGATGCCTACCGAGACTGGCAGAGACTCCAGCGGACAGGCCATTATGCAGCCTGAGAAGCCTCTCATCATCACTGGATCTCGGGATAGCCAGCTTCGAGTTTGGCGACTTCCCGAGGTTGGCTCTCGCCGATACATCCAGACCGGACCTCCGGCCCATGAGTCTGACTGCCCTTACTTCATTAGAGTTTTGGCTGGGCACACTCACTCAGTCCGCGCTATCTCAGCCCACGGCGACACTCTGGTCAGTGGATCCTACGATAGCACCGTCCGTGTTTGGCGCATTAGTACTGGTGAAGCACTTCATGTCCTCCACGGTCACTTACAGAAGGTATACTCTGTCGTTCTGGACCACAAGCGCAACCGTTGCATTTCAGGCTCAATGGACTCTTTAGTCAAGATTTGGGACCTTACAACTGGCGCATGTCTGTACACTCTCGAAGGACATAGCCTACTTGTCGGTCTGCTGGACCTCCGCGACGAGATACTAGTGTCTGCCGCTGCCGATTCGACTCTACGAATTTGGGATCCCGAAAATGGCAAATGCCGCAATGTCCTCATGGCTCATACTGGAGCTATTACGTGTTTTCAGCATGACGGCCGCAAGGTCATTAGTGGTAGTGAGAAGACAGTGAAAATGTGGGACGTCAAGACCGGCGAATGCGTTCAAGACCTCTTGAGCGACCTCAGTGGTGTTTGGCAAGTCAAGTTTGATGAACGACGATGTGTGGCTGCAGTTCAACGAGACCAGCTCACCTATGTCGAGGTATGTTACGAATTGAATGTGAACAGGAATAATTACTAACAGGACGCAGATTCTTGACTTTGGAGCTGTCCGAGATGGCAAGCCCCCAGAGGAACTGGGCAAGCGCATTCTCCTCAACGAACCCGAAGTCCGGGCCATGATTGAGGAAGAACCGTAATACAAATTACGAAACGTATGATATCAGCGATATGGTTTTGTCGGTTTTGTTATTTTATTTCACCGACGACTAATGAAACCACTTGGGCGTTACACATTTTACGTATAAACAACATATATAAGTTTACGATGGCAAACCAAAGCATGAACAGGGAAGGGTACGGCGTTTTTCATTTTTGCTGGGGGAATGGGAAAGCATATACCTATTGTTTTTATTTTCAGAAATGTCATCAAGATCAGACGGAGGTGTCGAGCTGAGAGGATGAACAAAAGTCTTCGTTTGGGCGGTAGCATTGCAACTGGGAGTGAATGAATTTGTTACACATCATTAAGTCTTGTGAAGTTTGAGTGACTGTCGCATGAAGATGTCATTCTGGGTGAGTGTAGACCTTACTGGGCTCTCTAGTTCCGATATCTGAAACTGGTGATGCATGGTGATTGTAATGTGACGGTGGAACTTGTAGTCTGTTACATCCAAGTCCTAGAGCGGAATACCACCGCTGCACGGAAGCAAACATCCCAAACGGGTCCCAATCCTTTGAGGCAAAGCAATGGAGATGATCCAACGGGCAGTGGAGGTTGGTTTGTTGTACTCTGTAAGCGATTGGCTTGGCAAGAGGCCAACTGGCAATGCAGAACAAGTCATGATATACACACTGGAGAAAGTAAGACGCTTGCTGTTTGTGCTATGGGATAGAGAGTGCGGTTTTGAGTTTGTGTTATTGACATAAGCTTATTGTTTGGTCTTGGAGCGTTTTGTCCGATTGTACCGAGCTGAAGACAGGGGTGGGTTACATTAAAAGATGTACACCTGGACAATCCATATCGAGATGATGTTATCAACTCGCCGACTAAACTGTTAGAAGCAACAATTTTGTGATGAGATAATGGCAAAGAAGATGTTGATTTCATTGTGGATAGTATGGAGAGCATGAGTATGTGTTGTAGATGTGATTGTCGATGTAAGATTGGTCAGACCATTGACCGATGCGTTGGATATGCGGCTTATACCCACCCGGCCTTCTTACGCGGGGAGTTGCAGACGAGTATTTAGGCAAACAGGGCCCCTCTCGAACTACGCCTTTGTTTTTCGCTTCACAGGCATTCGGCCTGAATTACTGAGCTGTGCCTCTTTGTCTCACGTGGGTAGTGACCATGGCGTGGCTCAAAGACTTTGTTGACAAGGCGACGGAGGAGTATAAACAGGGAATGAAGCTGGAACGAGCAAGACAGCGAGAGTTTACAGAGTATCAACAAGAGCGGGAACAGCAGAAGCAGAGAGGTTTTGGATATTCGCAGGGTTCACCTTCGGGGTGGCAGGGTCAGTATGGGCAATCAGCGCAATATGGACAACCTCAGAGTCCGCAATATCCACCCCCGAACTCACCATATCAAACAACACCGCAATCGCAATATCAGCCACAACCACCATATCAAACCCAAGCACAATCACAGCAATTCCAATCACCAAATGAATCATTCACACCCCCTCTGGATCGAAGAGCCCAATACTACGCCGACTTAGCAAAATTCCAAGCCCAAGCAGAACAAGCGAAGGCGGATGCAGCAAAAGAACAAGCTCGTCTCCAAGCGGAATTTCAAGCACAGCAAGCCCAAGCAAGAGCACAGGCAGAGCAACTACAAGCACAATGGCTCGAAACAGAACGTCTAGCAGCGCACTACAAAGCCGAATACGAGGCACAAATGAGAAAAGCGGAAGAGGAAATGGCGAGGATGAAGGTTGATGAGGAGAGGTTGAGGGCGGATGAGGCAAAGGGTTTGAGGATGGGGGAGGAGGAGCTTGTTAGGGAGCAGCAGAGGTTGTTTGATGAGATACGAGCACGAGCGCAAGGGCAGAAGGAGGAGGAGAGACCGCCTTTACCGCCGAGAGTCAGTACGGAGGATAGGCCTGCTTTGCCGAGGAGGCCTGTTAGTACTGCGAGTACAGGATTGACGTCAAACTATGAGTCTTCTCGTGAGAGGAGGACGTCGTATCTTTCGACCGAGATCCCTCAAGAGACGTTGAATTACGAGTCTTCCAGGGAGAGGAGGACATCATATCTTTCGGCCGAGATTCCTGAAGAGCATGTTCCTCCCCCGCCGCCGGGACCGCCTCCTATGAACGTTGCTGGTGGAGGCTATACACAAAGACAGTCATCCGGGCAAGCTTCTCAACAGCCGGTGCCTCATCCGACAAGCCCGCCACTGACACCTGTAGAAGATACAAGGCGAAGACCTTATCACTATTCGAGTCCTACCGCTTCTTATCAGGCACCGCCTCGCCCACCTACTCAGAACTCGCCTAAGCCTCAACAGCAATCACCACCTCAACGACAACGACAACAGTCAGAGACCTCATATTCTTCGTCTGCACCTCAAAGTCCTCCTCAACAGCAAAAGCCACAATCTGCTCCTCCTCCTCCTCCGCCGCCGCCTGGGCCGCCTCCTAACCTTGGGGGTGGAGGTAATCGGCCAAGGCAGTCGTCTGGACAGGCTTCTCAACAACAGGCGCCGGTTTCTCCTCCTCTTCCGCAGACGCCTGTAGTGCAGTCACAAGAGGAAAGGCGGCGGCCATATCACTATTCGAGTCCTACGGCTTCGTATCACGCACCTCCTCGTACGCCTACTCAAAAGTCGCCTCAACCTCGACCTCAACAGCAGTCATCACCACCTCGGCAACAACCGCAACACCCAGTGACCTCATATCCTTCGCCTCCATCTCAAAGTCATCCTCAAAAGAAGGTGCCGCCTCCTCCTCCACCTCCGCCTGGACCGCCTCCCGTGCGCGTTGGGAACGGGGGATGGAGTCAAAGGAAACCATCTGCTGCGAATCCTCCTGGGCAAGCTTCTCAGCAGCAGATGCCACAGTCACCTCCTCCTCCAACAAATTTACCACAGACGCCTGAAGATACAAGGCGACGTCCGTATGCCTTTTCAAGTCCTACAGCTTCTTATCAGGCACCGCCTCGCACGCCTACTCAAACCTCACCCCAGCAGCAGCAGCAACCACCACCCCCACCTCCACCGCCGCCTGGACCGCCTCCCAACCTTGGACGTGGAGGTTGTAGGCCAAAACAGTCGTCTGGGCATGCTTTGCAACAGCAGGTGCCTCCTCCGATGAGTCCGCCCCAGACGCCTGTATCGCAGGGGCAGGAAGACTCGAGGCGACGCCCATATGCCTTTTCAAGTCCCACGTCTCAGTCTCATGAACGGAAGGGTTCTTACAATACACCACCGCGTGCGCCTACACACTCCTCACCTCAGCAGCAGCAAACACCACCTCGACAACACCAACAGCCAGAGCCCTCATACTTCTCACCTCCACCTCAACAACGATCTCCTCCTTCCACTCAGCCAAAACCCACCCAAGCGAAACCGTCTCGTGCACGAACACCACCACCAGCCCAACAACACCCCTGCGGCGCAAAACCCGGGGCCGAATGCTCAGGGGCTCTAACAGCCTATGCTCAACACTGGTTCTACCACCCCGCCGTCCCAGACTTTGTCATCTGCACCCGCTGCTACATCGATCACATCTACAACACCAAATTCAGTAACTCCTTCCGCAAAGTTTTCTACGAAGATGACGAAAAACGGAGATGTCGGTTCAGTAGTAGACGTGTCAAAGATACACTCTTCCCTCAGGCCATCGAGTCTGGCAGTTTGGACGCGCTTGTTGAGTTTATGCAGAGACGGATGCAGATTAATGACTGTAGGGAACAGAATGCTGTTGAAGGGGAGTTGTGGTACAGAGCTGCTGATATTCCTAATGGAACTATATGCCAGGCTTGTTTTGAAGATGGGCTTATTACTTCTTCGTTTGCAAAGTATTACACTCTGCAAAGAGATCAAGGCGGCGCTTATTGCGATTTGAGCGTATGGTTTCTTAAGCGGAAGTTCATGGACTATGCGAAGGAGAATAAATGGGAGGAGTTTTGTCGACAGTTCAACGAGCGCGCCCAATTACCGGATTGTCCAAAGTTGAACGTCGTCAATGCGAATCGGTATACGTGGTACAAGTCTGTATCTGGACCAGAAGGACTGCAAGCTTGTGGAGCGTGTTACCACGATTACTTTTGCGCTTCTGAAGATGAGAATAAGCTACAGCAGGTCCCTGGTGGGAATTACAACACGAGATGTGCTCTTGGACAAGTAAATGTTGTCATTCCCATGCATCAGGCTTTGGATGATGAGGATAGAAGTCTCTTCTGGAAGGCAGTGCGAGAAATGGACAAGTATCCATTCTGCGACAGTCAGGGAACCAAGGGCGGTGTTTGGTACACACCTATCAACGATCCTCAAGGCTGGGGTATTTGCGCTGCGTGCTATGAAGGCATCGTCAAACCCGTTGGAGGCTCGAGGTGGTTCATGAAGGATACGACTACCACCCAAGAAGGCGTGTATCTGTGTGGTTTCAATCTCGGACACCCTCGTGCGATGAAAGCGCTCGGTGCATACTCGCATGCGCGTAATTGGGGAGATGGCAGGATTTTGTTGGACTGGGCTGCGGAATGGGGTTCTGTTGAGCCTTGTCCGGGGATCAAGTTTGTCAAGAACAGACGATGGTGGGGATGGGGAATGGTAGCCATCTGTGAAGACTGCTATGCTTCTTTCGCGAAGGGTACAGCGCTTGAACCAAGGTTTGCACTTACAGGTCAGAGAGAACCTAACAAGGAACGCATGTGCGATTTGTTCTCACCTCGTATGAGGGGTTTATACAATGAAGCTTGCCAGACGGGTAACCTCGAGGGATTCCTATCATTCGCAGAGCAACGACATATGATCTACACCCAGACGATCATGCAATGCGAACAAATCCTCAATGAACAGAAAATGGCAGCTATGCAAGCGCAGATGCTAGGTGTACAAGGAACTGTGTACAAGAGCATGGGATGGTCGCAGGATGCAACGATGGGTCATAGCTACACAGTCGGAAACCCATATGCTGGTTATGGCCATGAGAATGAGTTTGTTCTTCAAGGGTACACGTATGATAGACAGGCTAGGGAGAAGGCAGCGGAGGTCATGAGTGGAGGACCTATGATGAGGGTTCAGTTACTTGAAGCGAGATGGAAAGAGGTTGAGTAATACACAATGAAGCATTTTAGACGCCTAGAATACAAGCTCCCATACATCCAAAGTCGACGTCCCAACCTTCAACCCCATACAAGACGCCGCCTTGCCCAGAATAAGATATTTCCCATCCCAACTAAACGACGCGGCCGTAACAAACCCGTTTTGGAACTTGATAGTATACAGTACCCTTCCAGAATACAAATCGCTTACATCGACTCCATCATCCGTCCGACAGCATAGAAAGCGGCAGTCCGCAGATACAGCTACCGGCCAACCTTCTCTTGTTCTTCGTCCGCTGAGACTATACGACTCTAGCGCCGCGGTCGCGTGGTTCCAGTGGAATACTGTATCTCCCCAGAGTGCGACGATGAGTGCTCCGTCGGGTGATGTACCCAGGAATAATGGCTTTTTCCACGTATCTGTTTCGAGTTTGGCGATTGAGACGCGAGTTTTCACGTTCGTGATACGAATCGTACCGTCGCGGGATTGCGTGATGAGGAGTTTACTATCCGGTGTGAAGACGGCGTGAGTAACTTCATCCAAATGACACGGGATAACGACGGAGGATCTGTTGATGTTGGCGCTGCAATCCACAAGACCAACGCGTCCTCGTGTACTTCCTACAGCAAGCCAATTCCCATCATCCGAGAACGCAAGCGGTTTAGCACCAGCCCATTTCGCAACAGGGACTTTTCTACCATTAATATAATCGCCGAGATAAATAACTGGCTTTCTGAAGTTGATGCCATCGTGGTTTGCTGCGTTGAGACCCTTGCCGTCTTCTTCACTTAGATAAGCCCACTGACGTCCATTGCGCGAGAAGATCATGTTCACGCCGTGCTGGTTCTGGAGGCATGAGACTTGATTGGCGCTCATGTCGTAGAAACGTGTTAGGGATTCGAGGGTTTGGATGGCGAAGGTGTGGGCGCCGTGGCGGGAGAGGTAGCATGTTTCGAGGACTTCATGGTTTGAAAGTTCTTTTTTGGCGAGATGACGGAGGGAGATGCGGAGGGGTGTTGTGGATGTTATACCGATGGCGTTGTAATCTGGGATGGGAGGCTCGTTTGTCTCTGAGTGAGGCGATGAAGCAATTGTTCTGAGCGTGTGAGTACACCGTCTATAAGTGAGAGGAGAGGGACTTACTCGGGATTCGCGAAGCTGCTGTTGCTGTTGCTGACAGCTTCATCAGTCGGAGGAGCAGGTGGTGCGGCAGATGAGCTTTCGGAAATGAAGTCATGAACAGCCTCCAAGAACTCAGTGATAATGACCCGCTGACTCTCGACGCGGAAATCTTCACTGTCGCTTTCGCCGAGATACTTTGTTCGTATGTTTGCTGCTTCCTGGAGGATCTGGGAACTGCTGTACCCAGGTAACTCTCGTTGACCATCATGAGGCTGAGAATTAATAGCTCTACCCAACATTAGTATTCATCCCATAACGAATGAGATTGGAAACTTACAGTAAGACACAATCCAAGCCAACACTCATCGCACTTCTCAAACTCTCAAGCAACTTCGTAAAATGCGACAATCGCTCAGCAGTATGCTCCAGCCACGACTGCGTACGTTCCTCCTCTTTATCCAAATCCAGCGCATCCTCAGCCTCTTCAATCAACTCCCCCGCCTCACTAATAACAGCATTAAGCGCATCGTCCAATCTTTGCGGAAGAGATACGTTTGAATCTGTTTGCGCGTTGTGATGCAGTAGCCTCGCTACCATCTGCAGCTCAGCTAATTCACGTGAGAGACTGGCTAGGTCTAGACGCGACTGCGGGTAAGATGTTACGAAGTTGCGGAGGCCATCGACGACTTTTGCTATTGAGGTTTGGAGGGAGTCGCATAGCGATGATATTTGAGACATTTTGACTCTGTCGTACTCTGTCAAGAGTATTCCCCTCTGATTTTGGTGGTGATGAGATAGATGGCTTTCTATGATGATGTGATGGTGTTTCACAAGTGCGGGATAATTGTGTGGAGAAGCCGGAGCATCGGGATATGACGCGGGTTTATACTCTTGCTCCCAAATGAAAAGAAGTAAATCTCATAATTGAAGTGGAATTGTAACTTCTATGTTCCGTAGAGAAGAATGTTGAATGGTCGTGTCTATGAAGTGAGAACGCGTACTCGACTAAACAAGGTTGGGGGCTTAGAGGTAGTTTCATGGGGTGATGGTGATGTATTGACCGGGGATTGTCTATGCTATGGTCGCGATTATAGGATATCTACCATCAATTAATTTCACTCAATCCAACTCTAGAATACTCGTCAACATCAGAGATACTTTACTCTCGAGTATTACCTCAATGATGCTTCCTCGGTCCAGCTCGGAGTTGTCATTCTTTGTACCGCCAAGCTTGCGGGGTGAATCTTGGGGACCCCGACCATCGGACATCTAACAACCTCAATGTACAGTAAGACAGTCATTCAGTCTGACTACACTAACAGAAACAACGTCGTATTAATACAAAAGTATATAATCACTAGCAAGTCAGGTTCAACAAATGATAGCAGTACAGGTGGAGTAAATCAGCAATTGATATCACATCTTGAGGCCTTCCGAGGCCAAGACCGCTGATCATTCTTCGGGAAGACTAACAACTTGCTTTTTGGTGTTATTGATCTGCCACATGGCATCGTCTGCTTTATTCCGAAGGAAAATATGTCTTGCCGTTTTTGTCTCATTGCGTGATAAGTGCGTTTTTTGGGCAGGAACGAGATATCACGTTGGATTACGGGTCTAGATCAACAAACTGCAAAGAATCAGTCGCCGTACAGAACATCTCACCACCTGTCTGCCTTATGTTGAGTATGAGCAATTAATGTGCCTTACTGTATTCTACTCTTACAAAGATTAAGAACATTGCCACAGAGCTTATGTGGCCGTGACGAATGCTTCATCACGATATAGCGAATAGACATGAAGGTGTAGGGTATTTGTCAAGGCTAAGAAAACAAGAGCAGCTGAAAGAGGGGCGCTATAGTCAAGCCACATTCGTTGCGCTGGCCAAGTGTGGCGCAAGCACGCTTGACCTTATTTCGTCTCCCGTGATCAGCGAGATTCTCGCACCAAGAGGGAATATCCTTGAAGACCAAAAACCAGGATCAACTAAACGGATAAACATCCCATGCATCGTTGTCTTTTTCCCCAGCCATCTCATTCTTCTCCGAGTCTTCTATTATGCAAGACTAGATGACTAGGTTATTGTCTCCTACGTAGGTAGCATTTGTTCGTCGCCTTGTCATGGTTTGATAGGGTATCAGATGAACCACATGTGCGAAGCGAATTGGCGCGATCACGGTCTTTGGAAGCGCTGTTGGCTAAAAACAGGGATATCCTTGCTTTGGTCTCTGTTGGGTCAAGTGTCAAATGCACAGGCGCCTGACGAGAGAAGTGGGCGCGAAGAGTTGGGGACTAACCAATCGGCATGTCTTCCTGTGAGACGTTTTGAGTCTCGGCCATGATAGTAAAGATACCATACTCTGTAGTACTGTTAATTTGGGCTTGTGTTGGAGATTCAGGTTGATACTGAGTGAGTCTGTGACTGTCAAGAACTGTAGTGGATGAGTCTGTGACTGAGAAGAATTGTACTGTGGATGAATCTATGACTGTAATATCTCGTGATACAAAACATGTCATAATGGATAGAGACCAAGTATACGGTCAAGCCCATTTGATCCATATGCAATGCACTCCATGCAAAGACCCAAGTGTTGACCACCTGTTAATGCTGCATCTAGCTACTAGCTACTGTATGTAACACGACAGACCATCCTTCACATCATCGTGCAGCTTGTCACATTTCCGGGTCCTAATTCGCTTATTGTGCCTGAGAATCGCTATCCAACCATTCATCACATTGCTACATTAAACTGCAAACCGAACCGCAACCCAACCCATCCCACTCGAATTACCGCTCTCTTTCCCAAATTGCCCAAGCTGAGCTGAAAAAGTGTGTGTGCATTGCCATGCAACACCTTTAGATTTAATCTCTGTACAACCTTTTTTTCTGTCTCAATTCAATTCAGTTCTTGATTCTATTTTCTGTTATCGTGTCTTGTTGTCTAACACTGGGATTCCCTGCTGGTACAATCCCTCCGGGTTTTCCTCACCGACAAATCCACCGCCTCCCAAGCTTATTCTTCCACTTTTTCGCTTGAATACCCAAGCCCAGTCCCCTTTTTTTTTCTTCTATTATCGCTCTCCCCACTGGGCTGGTTCTATCTTTCTCTTCCCCGGTGTCCACCGCCTAGTACAACGAGGTCCCCATCTTTTGTGCCACTGCGATCGGGCTTGGCCTTGCCCCCTCCCCTGGAGGCCGCTGTAACTATAGCGCTGGGCTCCCTCTTTTTCAGGGCTTGACCGACCTCTTTTTATCTGAGGTGTACACCCGGAACACTCTGAGTTGTTCCGCCCGTGCTCTCACACCTCTTCCAAAACTTCCAATCCTATTACCCCACTGCGGATCTCAGCTCATTCCCACCGCGGGCCCGGGACTCCAAAGCGTGAATCATTTATTCTACCGGGCTTCCTTTTCCTCTTCTCGCCTGGCCATTTTTATTTTTTTTCTTCCTTGATCGGATTTCGTTAAGGGGTATCCCAGTTCCCAGTCCCAGTCCCTGATCGGATCGTATCGTTCAAGACAGGCCAGGCCTGTTCGTACTTGGAACCTGACCCTTCGTTGCGGTCAGTATCACAATCGACGACAACAAATACAGCTCAGCTCCCTTTGTCTTTTTCTGTCTCATCATTCGCATTCCAGAGACATACAATCAAAAGACATATAGAGAGAGCTGGTCTCCTCCCTCCGACATTACATTATACCCGACATCTTCAGCTATAGCTCTGACCTACACCGCTGCCCATCATGGCGCCCGCGCTCGAACAGACAATTACCATTGTCAACAATTCCGGCAAAATTATCAAGACCGTTCGTATTATTCTGCGCGCTCTGCACTCCCCAGACTAACAATTCTCAGGGAAAGCAGCTTTTCTCCATCTTCAAGGAAGCTCAAGGCACATACAAAGACAAGAAAGCCGAGATCAAGTCTCTCCAGCGATCGCAAACCTTTGACGCTCGTGCTCCTCCTCCACAATCTTTCGTCGACGATGACCGCTCCCGCTATTATCCCCCTCGCGCCGCTGACCAGCGCAGCGAAGCTGGCTCACAACGCAGTCGCCGATCACGAAGCGTTCAGTCACGACAGGACTTTGACACACGCAGCCGCAAGGCCCTTACCCTCGACAACCTTGAGCGACACACCGAGATTTCTGCCACAGCACCCAGCAAAGCACCCAGCAAAGCTCCCAGCAGAGCGCCTACAAAAATGATGTACGACGAGGACGGAGTTGCCATGAATTATGCTCTAGCTCCTCGCTCAGTGGCGCCATCAGCCTACAACGCGGGCCAGATGGTTCCCCGAAATAGATCGACCGGAGAGCTGGTACAAGCGACAAAACCTCGCAAGGAAATCGACATGGACCTCGCCTACGGTAGCGTCCCTCCCGATCTCAAGGACCGCACCGATCTGGACCCGCAGGTTGTCGATGAGAAGCAGGCCATGGGACTCGTTCACCGCGTCGAGGGTCTCCTTACCGAAGCCAAGTGTATCCACCACTCTGCCACGCACACCATGTCCGAGCTTCAGAAGAACCCTGACCACGCCGCGGCCGTTGCGCTCACCCTAGCTGAGCTGTCCAAGATGGTCAAGAAATCATCACCCGCCTTCCTGGCCCTTCTCAAGAGTGGATCCCCCGCCGTCTTTGGGCTTCTATCGTCACCGCAATTCCTCATCGGCACGAGTATCGCTGCTGGTGTTACGGTCATCTGCTTTGGAGGATGGAAGATTTTTCAGAGAATGGCGGAGGGTAAGGCTGCGCGGGAAGCTCTGGCCTACGAGGGTGTGCCCATGGAACGACCTGAGTTCGCGCGCTCACAGAGTGCGCCTACCGTCGAGTACGGCGGCATGGACGAGGCTCTCATTATCGACGACGATCTAAGTTCAATCGAGACTTGGATGCGCGGTATCCCCGCTCAGTCCGTCGCCGAGAGCGTCGACATGGAACTCATCACACCCACGGCCTACGACACGAGAAGTCGCATGGGCGGCGACGACTTCGACACCAAGTCCCGCCGCAGCACAAGGACCAGCAAGACACACGAAAGCCACCGAAGTTCCAAGTCGCACCGCACAGAAGGTAGCCACCGAAGTTCGCGAAGCCGTCGGGACGATGATAGCCGCAGCATCGCCGACAGCGAGCGAAGTCACCGTTCCTCAAGGAGCAAGCGTTCCGAGAAGATTGAGACGAGGTCTATTGATAGCCGAAGCAGTCGACGAGATGATGCTTCTGAGGTTACGCTGCGACCTAAGGCTAATCGTACCAATAGCAACATGCTCAAGGCTCTTTTCAAGAATAAGGAGAAGAAGGAGCGATCACTTGTCATGGCTTAGATTGGTCATCTCACGGCTTAGACTGGCTATTTCATACCCTTATCACACTTTTGCATATTATTCTGGCGTATTGTTATTTGAAGAGGTGGATAAAACATCTACAAGGCGAGACAAGATTTCATTTTTATTTACATTTCGAAGAATCATGGATGGGGCAAAGGAAGCCCTTCCCACCAGCGATTTATTCCCCTTTCGTTATCATTTTTTACGATTTACTATGGAAGAAGTTGGACAAGACAAGACATTATGAACAATGAAGGGCACGGAAACGATGGCGACTCTTGCACGCGCTTGAGTATATATTTTGTTTCATTTTATTGCATGACGCACGGAAGACAGATGACGGAGCTGTTTGCATTGGGATTTTTATTTATTCATGGGATGGTATTTTGGTTTAGTTAGGGATTTTTTTTATAGATCAATTGGGCTATGTGCCTTTGATTCTACTTGATGTCCATTCTACTTGATGTCCATCTCATGCCGTGATTGAATGCTGCAATTGATGATGTGATGTTTGAGCTGTGATTGATACTGGTTGAGGATGTACTCTTTCATGTGAAAGCTGGTGCGAGTTGACGTCAGATTCGGCATCCACATCAACGAGATTTCGATCAGATTGGTAATGCGACATAACGAGATTTGTTCAAGGTTGATACCCGATCTCATGTCAGATCACCGTTGTTTGTGGTGTGGGATTGGGATGAGATTTGGGCGTGAGATTTGTGGGGTGTAGCGGGTAGGTGCTGGGCGTATGATCAAGTGAGTATTCACGAGACTGTCGATGTTTTCAAGGAGTGTTTTTATTGAGAGTGTTTTCATTGAGAGTGTTTTTAGACGAGGGTGTTTTCAATTGATAGAGGGAGTGTTGAATTCATTTCTTGATTTAATTGCTTGATCCACTCGGCTTTGAGTCATCGTATTTGTGTTTGCGGGTTGGGGATGTTGTGTAACGGCGAGTAGACCGAGCGGAGAGATGAGGATGACTAGTGGTCTGTCTACTCTGCCATCCTGGTGTCAGAAGACTCGACAGAGAGGATAAAAGATGAGATATTCCGGTTTCCTAATGATATTTTATTGGCATTTGGACCAGTTCAACTCATTACCTTTCGCTTTGGAGAAGAGTTCTGGCATCTGGGGTTGGTTGCTCTGTGAGGGATGGACTAGGGCGGATGTACGTATTCTGCAGCTCGCCAGGCGAAGAGGTGGTTTGCCGTTGAGCTTTGGCATCTGAACAAGAATACGAGGTCAGATTGAAGATATACCTGGATTGACGGGAAGCAGGGTGCCTGATGGACGGATTGTTGCTTGATGCTCAGATCGGAGTTTGATGTGAGGATTGTGCTGGGCGTGGACTCAAGTGTTTGACGATTGCTGTATTTGCTGCTTCCATAATCTTCGCCATTGGGGCGTGAGATCTGCACGGGAATATGCTTGATAAAGAGGCGGTCGAATGTTTGAGGATTGCTGTATTTGCTGCTTCCATCATCTTCGCCATTGGAGTGTGATGATCAACGGGAGTATGTTTGATGCTATAGTGGGAGGCTGGGTGAAGATTGCTGGACATGTTACTTCCATGGCCTTCTATCTGAACGGGAGTATGCTTCGCCATGGTCGGAGAAATTGCTGAACTTGTCGCTCTTTGCCATCAGGGAGTGATATCCGACGGGAGTATGCTTTGCTATTGGCGGAGGTCAGGAGTACTGAAGTGGTCCTTTGTCACCAGGACGTCATGTTTGATCGGGAGTACGCTTGATGAGAGAGGGTAAGATAGGTCGATGCTTCTGGATGCTGATATGAAGCTGGCCATGAAGCTTGTTGGACTTGTCGCTTCCACAGTCTTTGCCATCTGGGAGTGATGCCTAATGGCGAGTATGCTTGATGAGAGAGGGTGAGATGAGTTGATACTTTCGATTGCTGGTGTGGGGATTGCTCTGGGCATGAAATCGTCATTTCGATGGTCTTTGCCATCGGCGTGTGATGTCTAAGCGGGAGTATGCTCGACGAGAGAGAGTAAGATGGGAAGATGCTTTCGATTGCTACTGTGAGGTCGGTCGTGATGATTGTTGCTTGTGTCGTGTATCTATCGACGGCCCACTCGAGCAAGCTTGCCTGCATCTAAAGAGTCCGATTCGACCGGATGACTCTCCCGGCCATGTCTTTGCTCTCGGATGAAACATCTTGCCGGACGTCGGCAGAGTTGTCCAGCTTCGACTCCAAACATGGAAGACCGGATGTATTCCTTGGCCAGATTGGATGGAAGCCCTTGGTGTTTTCTCTCAGTCGTCGTGATGATGTATTTGTTGGACTTCTAACATCAAGACCGGATGTATTCCCCGATCAGATATTTGCTGTTGGGTGATATTGTCGACAAAATCATCCAGATATTGGACTTCAAACATGACTTGAAGTGGAAGAGCTTGCGACTTTCCAGCAATCGAAGCACTTCACTTGGTCGATTTGCACTCGGAAGAGGGGACTGACGTGAAGTCCCGTCTTTCAGATGCAGTACTTAGTCAAGACTGAGCGAGTATAAATAACCCCTGGTATCCCACCTTTCCCCCTCTTCCCTCTTTCCTCCTCATTCATCTTCCGCCATGGACGACTTGGCTCTCTTTTGACACAATGTCCCCCGTCGACTGAGGCTGTAGCCTGGACTTCTTCTCATACACTCTTTACATCTTCCCCATGTGCAGACACGATGTCTGTCAACCATTAGTACTGGTGTCTACACATGGAGTCCGACTATCGACATGACCTACCTCACCACGAGCAAGTCGCCGCCAATGATCCGGATCTTGATCATTTCCCTCATGCTTCCTCGTTATCTGGTCTCTCAACTGTAAGTCCAGCCCGTTACGTGTCATGGAGTGACAGCAGACTAACTCAGAAGCAAATCACCACCAATGATCCGTTGATGTTCACCAAGGTACTTTATGCGTCTTAGTTATCTACTTATGCATTGTAAGTCTCTCTTGCTCTTTGACATCAAGTTACAGTTGACTGACTTAAAAGCAGATCGCCGCCAATGGTCGGCTGACCTTTACCATTGCCTTCATGCTCTTAGCTATCTGCTCCTTCGATTTTGAGTCTCCCTCGTTCCTTGGTATCATGTCCAGCAGACTAACTCAGAAGCAAATGCCTGCCAACTCACACGTTGACCTTCTCTGACATCAAGTTCGATGGGTCGGCTAGTCTCAAAACGACTCCTCACCCCAAGTATGGGGTACTCTGGCCAGTGACCATTACCCCTTTATTTCATCGTTATCTGCTCCCGAGGTGGTAAGTCTATTCTGTTCCTTGGTAGCTGGCTACACCTGACTGACCCTCCGTAGGAATATCACGCCTTCCGCCCTGTACCCATCCCACCTGCCCCTCACTCTGCGTTGCCCCATGGCATCTTTAGAAGAGTCTCGTCGCTGCTGAGACTATGATTCGCTCTGAGTGCGTTTTGAACGGGGCGAGATACGAGAACAAGGTTTGTTGCCCTCTTCATGGTTGTCTTCATGGCTGACACTCATATTTTCCTAGAAAGAACGAGCTGACACCAACATGTTGTGCCGTTCGCCGTCAATGACTTACAGTCCCATGAGCGGATTGAGCACCAACGACAAAGCCCAACGCAAGAGGCTTGACGATGCCTCGCCCCAGCTTCACAACGGGGCCTGCGACCATATTGGGCCATGCTGTCTTTCCTTAATCAAGAGTCAGCTTGCCGACATATACTATATATACATGAGATTGAACCTCTCACTGGAGTCGCCACTCACTACCAAACTGCCGCCTGACGGATGAGCACCAGACATTTGACATCCATACTCCTGGAAGTACCCTTCCCCTTCACCTTCCCATTCATGAGAAGCAGTCAAGGCCACTCTTCTATTGCGACCACAAGCTGCATTGGGAAGGCTACCCAATGTTCAGCCTAACAGTGCAGACGGCATTCTCAGCCTTCCTTCGAACGATGCTGATACTGCAGTCTGCTTCATTCGCGTGCTGTTCCTCGATAGTATCCAACTTGAACCTCAATTCACATGTCGAATAGGGCCCAAGCCTGTTTCAAGGCAGCGTTAAGTTGGACAGCGACAATTTCAATTAACGCTTCTATATTATATCTCCGTATCAGCTCAACGCTGATCAATGCAACTTCGCTATGACGGCGACAGGGGACGGTCATTGTATCTGTTGCACGAAGATCCGACCGCCGTCTGTGGGCTCTGTCTTTGCTCCCCGGTCATAGCTGTCGACGGGCATCTCACTGTTCGCCTCACGACAGCTGTATACGTCCAAGGGAAATTCAAGCTCTTGAAGTTTCTCAATGTCGAGGCATCTGGAAGAGCAGACATAATTATCAGAGCAGCGCGATTGAACAAGCTTTGCGACTGCGCCAAAGTCTCTGCTCGTGCCTACCATGCAAACTACGACATCCCCACTTCCTGAGGATTATGACAACAAGTTATGGCCTCGTTATATATATTATATCCATGATAATCGAGCCACCATGCCTTCCACCATCATGGCCAACTCATGCCAGCTGTTTGTTGCGACAGGACTGTCATACCTCTACACACACAGAACACTGTCTCATAAAGAGAACATCATGACACACTATCGGGGAGGAAAGGCGAATCCTTCCACCCACCCACTCTAGCAATGCGTGGTCTACCGCGCATGGCCAAGACTATCATGCGTGGTAATATTTATCTCTTCCAATCTCCTGCCAGTCATGGTGGCCTTTGCATTGCAGGGCATCGACGTGCTTCGGCCTCAACACAGATCGATCCTGATCACATCCTGTCATCTCATTCAAAACGTGACGACTTACAAGACACGTTCTTGGACGCAGTCGAGGTGAAGAGACCTACCGTTGTCTTCAAGAAGAAGCTCTGGAATTCCGCATGACAGTGGCTCTGAATCCGCAACCATCGCTGGCTGGACATAGTCTGGGATACGTGGCCTGCCTATATGCCCTTTCCAATCTTGTGCCCGTGTCATCCAGGCATCGAAACATTTCATTACTCCGTGGCCATGTCAAAGTCATCTCCTGACGTCTCGTCTGACCCGCCCCCATCCTGATGCCCGACTGGATTGCCAACGCAGCCACCTGTCATGGAGCTATTTGAACGCTCTCGCGATATCGTCTACCAAGCAAGCGGGTGCGACTTCTGGTCTGACCAGTTCCCCCAATTGGCTGGAGTTTGAACTCCTGGAGATATGCTTGTGCGAAGTCCCGCTGTATCCCGTCACCACCATCGTACCTCTCATGAGCACTCAAAATGAGATACTGCGCAGACCTCACCTGTGGTGATGGCCTCACGATGGCAGGTTATCATCTTTGACACACGCAAACGTCTCCTGACCTTTGTTTTATCATATGGTAGCAGCTACCATCAGCGCATCGAGCACAACATCGGATTCAGGTTTTCGTGAGGTAGTGCTATGACCTCTTCGAAGATCTACCTGGAGTCAAAGATGTTGTCAAAGATGTTGTCAAAGATGTTGTCAAAGATGTGTGGGGTCTTCCTGCCATTCAGAGAATCTCCGAAAAACTCACTGTGTCAATACAGCAATTCTTCTACGATATGGAGCAGTTCTAAGAACGACTTCATTTATACCAGGTGGTTAGACCCCTTGACTCATCGAACGGGATTATGACACAGGAGCCGATGGGGCTCGGCGTCGTTCCCGATTATACTTATCATATTGTCAACTTGGTTGCCCCTTGACTTTTAGTATGGGTCTACTCTTTGTATCTATTCTCATCACACTTGTTATTGGCATTCTGATTACCCCTCGGCCAATCAACACAAATTGCTCAAATAAGTTCAAGAGTTACACTGCTCTGAAGTATCATGTGGACAGTGCACACAGGAACATCAAAAACGACTATCAGTGTGCCTGGGAGGGATGCGGAAATATCCTCAACGGAAAGCGGTCACTCCAGCATGGACGGTGCCTCGCAAGATATACAGCCATGATATCAGCTATCGGGATCGCAAGACACAGTTTCTCGGTCGCATCTTCTCAATCATCGCTAAGATCATCCTGTGCTATGAGGAAGTTGACAAGTTCTGGATTGACAACATGCACCTGATCACGCTGGGGTGTTGGAAGCCCATTTAGGAGCATGCCCCTGAGTACTTCAGGCTACCTTCCGTCATCGCAAGCACGAAAACACATTTCCTGTCACCATGAAGGTCCGCCTTCGAGGTGGTCAGACAACGCGAGAATAGGAATTCAACGTGCAGGAGCTGAATCCGAGATTACTTTACGTTATCGGGATCAGCAAGGTGGCCGATGCAACAGCACTACCGGCTTTACGGAATATCGACCATTCAAGATTCTGAGGTACAAACCAACAAAGCTCCCCATTCAGCGGATTGAGTACCCGGCAACAACTGAGGACACAGTATGGGTATGCTTGGGGGTTCGATGAACAGTACATCCGAGCCTATTTCGATATGAATGGGCTTCGACGGCCTTATGAGCACCTTCAGCCAATCCTGAAGACATTCCGTATACTATACATCGGCATGGCAGGGAAGCCAATCCCGCGGCGAAGAATGCTCACGCCAACTTTCGATCTCGAAGACCATCCTAGCAGGAGGATGGCAGAGATTAAGGAACTAGAAGTTCAAATTATATACTTATCCACGAAACGTCAAACCTTTCTGTCAATGATTGAGCTGACTGTGTCGAGCATTCGAACAGGGTCGCGGTGAAGACAACGGGGGATGATTGGAACAGGAAGCATGGTTCGTCACTGAACCCTGCCCAGCCGGTCTGTAATTGATGCCGACCTTGATGCCGATAGGATTAAACTTCGCGAGGCAATGAGGGATCCGGGTGAATCCGTCGCCTGTACCTAGATCGACGGCCGTTATACCTATGGTTATCACACAGTCCATGATGCATTACTCAGGCGAAGCCGCGATGCAACACTTGGGGCCCAGACTCGGGCCCAACTGGGCGGAGTTCAAAGCCACCGACATGCGATAATGCTGGTATCTCCTAAAAATCCTCTCCTAGCACATGAAAACTCTCGATCCCGAAGGAACACACGCAGCCTTGGTAACTATTGATCTGTTATCAGACGAATAGACTTCGAGTCAATGCTGCCGTCTGAACCGGACACACGAGGCAAAGGTATTCAAAGGCCTACGAGCAAACCATGCTTGCCGGAATGGGATACTGTTGCAATACCCTCTGCAATTCATGAAATAGGCAGAAGGGACCATCTCATGCTAACGTTCTGTCTATCCTATATATATTATCGACTGCTGAAATGATTAGTGACCACATGGGTTGGGAGAACATCTTACCATGGTCGCCTATACAGATTCCAACCTCTACAACGGTCCGTTTCCGTTTTCTCGTCTTGTCAAGGACTGCCAACGGCTATTTGACAACCTCGATCACGGACCGCAATAAGAGCCTCGGCCGGTAGCCGGAAGAAGCCCTGAGCAACAAGATCCAAAAACTGGTATTGGGTATTGTATGCTTCAGCCGGAGCGAGAAGCAAATATTGCAGCGGGTGGGCGTGTGGAAGTTGCGCAGTTCGTTTTCCAGCTTTGAGGCTCTAATGTCTGGGTAGCCATGCAGTGCGGCGCGACATGCCCTGCCATGTGTGTCTGAACAGCGCGCTAGCTGGCCACAGCCAAGGTGGTAAGGCTGCAAAGACATACCCAGACGCCACGATGGTGGCGAGTCGCCGTGGCCATCCGCATGGGATGAACCAAGAAAGGGAGTCTTTTAAAGATGGCCTCATTGCTTTCTCCTGAAATTGAATGGGAATTAGCACGAGAACCCGAGCACCCTCAAGTTGGCCCCTTACTCGGCGAGTAGCACTGCTACCCAAGAAACCCGAGCGCCGAGTCGACGAACAACACCCGGGCAAAGCCTGCAGAACTGCCTGCAGAACTACCGGGGATCGCGCGACGCAATCAGGACCCACCCTGTTGTGTCTATATTATATATTAGTCAGTTTCACGCTTTGCTCGACGATCACGATTGATTCAACGTCAATTGTCTCTGTCCGTCCATGGCGACTGCCTGCCTAAGGCCTGTCCTCGTTCGAAGCTTCTTCTGCCCCTTGCTTCTGCCCCGACAAGGAAACAGAAGCATAAACAAGTCTTCCAATGTATAGAAGTCTCGGAGATGAGCCTGTGACGTTAGGAAACTGCCTACAGGAGAGCCAACTTCCAAAAATTAACATCAAGCGGTCTGTCGGCTTCTTAGGTCACCAGAGCGTTGTTTGTGGAAACTACAACAGTTTCGAGCATGTATACGAGCAGACCAGTTTACTTTGAGTCAAGCGAAGATGGGCTTGGGCTGCACACCCCATTCGGACCTTTCCAATTCCTCGGTCTCTGGAGACGCAGTTGCCGCATATTCGGCAGTGCCTCCCAGAAAAGCGAGCTACTGGCATCGCTGCGTCTACCATTGTCAAGGCTGCGTGTGGTATATATATATACATCGATGGACCCTCTCCGCCCACTGGTGCCTCTGAGCCTCCATCCTTTAAGTCATCCTAGCGTTCTTCGCCAGACTTGAAGTTATCCCAAATATGGCTGGGTCAGGTGAACCCTACCTGGGAAGAACTTGTGCTTTTCTCAATACCCCAGCGAGAACGTACAAGGCATTATATATCTGGAACAACAACATTGGGATTGGACCTTTTGTCAATTCCGGCTCAATACGCCATATCCCGTGCTTTTCTCCCCCCTTATATACCCCGATGTTTTAGTCGGCCGCACGACGGATGGGAAGGTGTACAGGATCTGTACCAAGTAGTCGAACAACGATCAGGTGTGGCACCACAATCTCCTGGGACCGGGCTGGGAAATCACTTCGTCTAGGCGAAATCATTTCATGAGAGGAAAGGCCCGCCAGAAGTCCAAACGGCGGCTGGAACCGCTTATATGCAGCAAATAACCTATCACCCAACGTGCAGTCTCATCATCCCACCTCTTTCTCTGTCAACATACTCTACTATCCAACATGTCATCACCATCCCCTCATGACAATGCACCTAACGCTAATCCTCCTTCTACACCCCGAAGAAACAAGCCAATAAAGGTACAAAAGGATAGAGGAGAGTGTCCCATATACAACTGCGAAGCACGAGCTTAACCACGTAATCTGGGAATTTCGAGTGTCATGATTCAGAGCTAGCATCATGAGTCTGACTATTCGATCGCTCCCCCACCGCATCCGCACTACAGCGTAACTCCTCTACAGCACTAGGACATGTGGGAAGCCACAAAGTATGCCAAAACTATACGGATTCCCTACACATTCAAGAAGGACCTTGGATCTGCCCGTATCCTAGCAGCATGCAATGGCTTCAAGACTGTAGCTGACTATACAAGCTATCTCGGTTGTGTCGGTACGTTATCCATCCCTATCCTAATGTCCTTAGCTAACATTCTTTAGTATCAGACATTGTTCCCGCCATGACGAACATTATCGTCTCGGGCTTCGACCCTAAACTCACACAGTCCCTCCTGAAAACCCATCGACATGCCTAGAAGGCACCCGTTGACACATATCGTTGTCTCGGGCTTTAAACAGCATCACATCGCCTTGCTGGGCATTGGAAAGGTCTTCCTCCTTTATATATAAGAAGCGACTCGGAGCTGGAACTTCCCATCCCCTCAAACAATCCCAAACCCGCTGCTGACTACACTAATCACATTGGCTACGTTGGTATGTTACTAATTCCCATTTCGATTTCCACAGCTAACCCCATACAGTGATGTGTACAAAGAAAATAACAGCCTTGGAGATGGCGTCACCAAGGCATTTTTCACCCTGAACACGTCAATACTTGTGAAGATACCTATCCCTATGTTCTTGGACCACAAGAGTCAACTGTGGAACTCCATGTGGACATCTGCAAGGAATCAACCCTGCTTCCCAAAGGCAAACTTACCTTTGCGCAGCCGCAAACTGTCTCCGTTACCACTCACTCATGAGGGTCAAGAATGTACGGCCGCAAAACACAGAAGCTGCCGCTATTAAGCGTGTATTTGCACACATCAATGAGCATATTTGCCCATACGTTGAGGGAAACAGCGGTTCAGGTCTTATGGAATTCCCTGGCTCTCGCTCTGAACTCGAAGACAGTTCGAGAAAGCATGCTCACTACAAGACGTTCATCTCTGAAGAGGCCATTTAGTTCTCTCTTCTGACCTTGTCAGTGTCGGGAGGAACAAAGGCAACCCGGTCAAATCCTGGTCGTGTGCTACTACATGGCACAAGTTCGACAACTTTCACGACACTTTGACAATCTATCCCGGGATCGATCTTCCTTCTCACACCTTTCCAGTCTCGAATCACCCACGCCTTGTGCCGTCGTTCCTTTTGAAATTATATATATATGGCTTGGCTCGATGCAGTTGGAGTTGTCAATGATGGAGAGGTGTACAGATTGTACACCAAACTCGAACAACAACCAGATGTCCTTCGTAACTCCCCTGGGGTCGGGCTGAGAAATTAATCTACCTCAAGCAACCCGACCGACCAAAATCAAGGCGTGTCGGAAAGTTGCAACCGCAAGGTTCAACTGCATCCGCGAACGAAAAGACAGCCTTGACTATGAGTGCAAGTGTCTCATATGCGGTCACCGGATATATTATACTATACGAAACGTCAGTCGATACCTCTGCTCTCAGCAGCAGCTCGTCTGACAAGACGATATTGGTGGTCTGTAGACGCAAGCAGTGGTCGACATGTTCCTGCGGCGTTGAGATGTCTTCATACTCTCTAAGAATGGCCTTGCGCTGCTTATATATTTCCTGCTTATGTGGATCCAAGAAGATGGTCAAGTCCCTCACTTGTCGATCCGTTCAAATCTACCGAGAGAACACGTTTGCGAGAACGAGCTACGTATCTCTCAAACAACCCCAAGAGGAGTAACGGAGACATTCAGACGAGTACGGAGATCGAGTGTGTTCGACTTGCAGTATACCGTTGCCCGCCGAAGCATTCGTGGTGGGCGGGTGTTGTCATCGTCGTTACGGACGACCACTATGGTACGTTACTATGACCTCTTTTGTATATCGCCACATAGTTCCCCATGCTTATGGCCTGATTTATGCCTAGTTGTTCTTGCTAACGATGTACAACAGTCGAAACGAACAACGAAAACAAGGAGATGTTTGTGTCAGGTCCGATTCGACCACCGCCTGCAACAGCGCCTCCTCTAAGCCCGGAAACAAGCCTGGGATACACAGATGAGGAATCTCTTCAACAATACCCCATATGAAGATATTCACTTCGAGCTGAAGTGGCCACGTTTGGCCTTGCTGAAATTCCCCAAGGCCATGATTACAGCCACCACAGGCAGCTCTTCAAAATGAGGAGTGGCAGTGGTGGTACACGGGCTCGTCCATCGACATCTCACTGCTCTCAACAAGCATGTCAAAGTCGGATACTTGTTGCAGCCATTCAACAATCTATGGCTACTGGTCCAAAAGCCACCTTTAGTGACTAAACGATGAACGATAAGCTCTGCTGAATCTGTATGGATACAGCAAGAAGGGCTGTGAGACGCAGCTACCGTGTGCGCCGGTAATCAGATGGACGATCAGTTATCGCGCATTCGACTACGACGCCAACGTATATCTATCTCGGGACTGCTATGCCGCTGTGGACAACTAGAACGACTTGCGCCTGCCCAAAGGCTTGCGAATGCTCCCTCTAGGTCATGTCTGCTCTCTTGCGATGCCATCTTCCAGATGCAGACAACAATCTTCGGTAATTCAATCTTTGTCGCGACGACTTTACGCTTCAAGGAAAAACCAATTGTTTCTTTCTATATTTCAGCCATACTATCACATGCTGAATGCCGAGACACCAACAGTCCGCGATGCCATTCCCCTTGTCGGGCGGGACGCCCAGTCAAGACAAGCAAGTTTGGATGTTACTCCTTTCCCGGACAACAAGATGGGGACGGTGTGTCGAATGGGAGGCTTGGACAGTTGAGCGGTTTCCCTGGGTACAAGAGACCGCGTTATCTCGTAACGTGAACAGTCAACCTCCATTTAGTAAGGCCACCCGCATACAGCTGGTTACCTTTCCCAATTATACTAACTTAACTTCAGACACAACATTGACTACCCTATACCGGCCATTCAGTATCTCGAGCCGAATGATGAGACCACCTACGCGTCTCTGAAGAAGTCAATAGAGCACGCTAGTGAATCTCAACTATTGGAGACGCAGGATTGTCTCACAAATAAGCTCATTGAGATTAGCATGATAATGGTTCAAGTCGGGTCCTGTTAAACTATCGGGAAGGCATCCGATGCTGGGGCCGTACGGAGGGCGATCACAGTCGCGTTCCCGCGAAGGCCCAGCGTGCATGGGTATCTTTACTAGGCTCCGGCTGATCTGGACACACCTTCGACATCGCATATATATATACTTGAACAACATACTGCTTTGGAAGCCAGCACGCCTCCGGGTCTTCCCTGACCCATTTTGTTGGCCCCAGGCGTCGGAGGAAGATCCAAGACGAACTACATGAACACACATACCCGGTTCTGACCTTGATGACCGAGCAATCTGATCAATATGCAACATTCGTATCAGAATTCGCTCATCGAGTCAAAGGATAGTCTCATTCGGGACTTTGATGAGCTGGCGAGTGAGGAGCCTGTCATTATTGTATTTTGGTCGGCAGCTGGTATTTGCAATCGGTCACGCCTATAATCCGACAGGCGTTCAAGACCGGCACGATCGCGCTTTTTAGCTAGTGGTTTGGCAAGTCGAGTTTCCTGACCCGGAGTTCGAGCGAGGGTGTGAAACTGCGTACCAGCTGTACAACAAAGAAGACACGCTACTGGAAGCTTCAGGTACATCGGCTTGCCCGTCCCTGAAAGTACGAATGTCGCTCAAGCAGCGTATGGATGTCTTCAAGGAGAATCAGCCACTGGTCTGAGATGGATACTGGCGAGGTATGCATTGACTCGGCCCTTGGCCGACAGTTGACACATCCACCATGTTTGGTCTTCAGCCTCAGGGCGTTGTAGGATACGTAACATCGGACACTTGACCTTCAATCGTCTCGTTCCTGCATTCGACTACAGAATGACAACAATGGACATCCAGACCCAATCGAGATCTCTGCTGCTATTTCTTTGTCACGATTACATCTCGCTGAAGAAGAGAAATGGCCTAGCGTCATCGCCTCGATCTGCAATATTCACATCCTGACTTCCATCAGCCCTCGCAAAAACGTTCGACGGCATCTGTTCATTGAGGAAGACTCCTCCACGAAAGGACATCTGAAAAAGACCTTTCTGAGTCGATGGACTCACTGTCCCCCAAATCTCCTTACCAAGAGATATACTATATACTTGCTCCGGTATCGGCCGATATATCGTGGCGCATGATGATAATATGGCAAACCCATCATACGGCACGTTGGGCTGCTATCTCGAGACTTGCACAAAGACTCACCCTTTATGGAAGAAGGTAGCTTTGACAAACTACCACGTGGTCCGACCAGCATTTGATGGCTTCCCGAGAAAGAAAGATCAGGAACCAGCTCCAGTCATTTCGTCCTTCGCGTCTTCTTCGATCTGATGGTCCGGAGATAGCCTACGACTGGCTAGAAGATCAAGTTCAACAGTGGCGCAGACATGAGCGATGTAATGACCTCGGCTAGTGATATGCTTCTCTCTTCACAGGAGAGAGCTGACCCCGCGTCCAGGATCCCATCCACCGGATTGAGCACGACATCCGAATGAGGGCTGTATGCAACCAACCGTCGCATCGCGCTGCAAGTAATGACATGGCGAGCTGCGCAGACCTGGACATACTGCGATCGATAACTGTCACTTGAAGATGAACGTGGGACTTGAACGTTCAGGAGCCAACTCTTAAAGCCACTCACACGCCGAAGCTGTTGACTCTTCCCCTTGGCCGACTTGAGGCCACTCTCAACACAGCCCTCCCATCATGAAGCAATCCCCTTTCTCAATGACCAGCGAAAGGTAGATGCACCGAATTGGGGACTTAGACAAATGTGGTCTTCACCCCTCGAAGCATTTTACGACACATCGGAGCCAAGCGACAAAGATATGAGTCGCACCAAGCTCAAGACTGTCGACAATGCGCAAGGTGATGAGGCTGATTTTGTTATTTATGACATGGTTATGAGACTGGAATTACTTCTGATTGTCTTTTCCTATCGGTGGTTATCCTGTTCTGCGTCATCAAGAACAATGGTGTGACGGAAGAATGCAACAACTTCATTTCGAATATTGGGAACATATATATACACATACCCACAGGTATTACTTCGACATTTCAGTCGTCAATACCCCAAAACAGTCGCAAACAGTGGGATAGCAATGCGCAAAACTCTATTGCGCTTCCTCATACACCCGCACAAGGAAAGCAATGGCCGAGACACAACATCGATACCATAATCTGTGTGGTGGTAAAAGGCAATAGGAAACTTATACCAATTATATATACTGTATGTTTTCCCATCGTCAAAATGCAAGCCGTGGAGGTCATCGTTCTTTGTTCCAAGACTGGCATTGGTGTCTTGGCGAGTCGATACAAGTACTACTGTTTGTCTGGGCCGTGGAGATCATTTGGCCCTTGCCAAACCAGAAACCCCTCCTTCGGAGATAGAAGGGGTGGGTGTTCCAAGCTTACCGCAATGCAAGCCAAGGCGGTTCGGTTGTAAACATCTTTCCAAGTGGTTATGAGCCCGGAGGTGGTCTCTCAACTACCTGCAGCTAACATGGCTCCCGAATTGACACTTGGACCTTCCAAATCCAGAGGTGGCCGAAGGAATGGCGTGACGAACACAGGGACTTCAACAGTGACGATTGCACCACTTCTGTCGTCAACCTCCTGCAAAAGCAGGATAAGCACCTTAAGGCAAAAGATGCATGGTAACATCCAGCTCTGTATTGACTCAACTCTCTCACCTCTCACTATCATGCCATCTACCATCATGGCCACTACACCCGACGCAACGGTCTACAAAGCCACTGGCAATAAGATAGAGAACCAGGTTCAAGGTATTGCGGATCATCTCCGCGAGGCACTGGATGCGATTATGTGCGTATTGTCAATGTATCATTTTTATACTCGGCTAACAAGTAATCTAGCGACCTCCCAAAAGCTTCACAAGTTATCAAAACCCATCAACACACCAACTACAAAAACCCACTAACCAAAGCTAACAGTAGCAACAAACACCAAAGTAAGGAGCATATTAAATTTGTTAATAACCTATTCAACAAACTCTCAACTGATCCCAAACACAATAGTTACCAGCACATACCTACGCCAATAGACGTCATTTATACCTACAACCAATACAAGGCTATCAAGGATAAGGGAATAAATTCACTAAGGGTTATCAAAAGCCATCCATTATCGTATACACAAACGAGCTTCTCGAAATAGACGGAAACCCTAAGAACATCAACCCACTAGATGCAATTGCGTGCGTATTGTCAATGTACCATCTTTATCCTCAGCTGACAAGTAACCTAGCGACCTAAACGAGATGGTTCATATCCGTCTTTTGCTCCTGTATCTACGTTGCGAACCTTCAATTTCACCAACTCACCGGCAACATATCTCCCAGGCTCAATCGCGACTCCTCAAACAAGGACCCATGTACCTATACGTGCCTCTGGAGTCAAGTGGCTTGCTGTCCAGGGACAGATCATCACTACAAGACCAGTTCAGAGAGCGCTGTCATCATCCACGTTGAGAGCTATATATATACCCGACAAGGAGCATGGGACATGTCTCGAGGGTGACAATTCTCTCAACACATTTCCTGTATCAGGTGGCTGCGCCAGAGATCGAGACATGGGCGTTTCGCCAATTCAGTGATCTCGGCGTCTCTTCCAGCGGGAGACTTTGCCCATTCTTCTTCCGCTGCGCTGGTTGCATTTCCTGGGCCGAGAAAACGCTCGAAGATGGCTTCATTTTCTCTCCAGGTACTGTTCATCCGCCACTTACAACTGGTATAGCGGCTAACACAATCTGTCTTAGATGAATGAGTGAATGGCTTGAGAACCACCGGAAGCTTGGAATCCATGAATTGGTACGGAGCAGGACCAAGACATGATTTACGCAGGAATTCCAATTCCGACAAGACAACCCTTGATAAGAAAATGTTTGGCAGCGAATTCTCGCCTGTTACATTTCTTTCCATTGCCGGAGAACAGACATGCGACCTTGCCTTCCGGTCCAACCTTGAGCTGTCACACACCAAGTCAGCGTCATGGCGAAATGCGATTCCGAACATAAGTTCTCTCTTTCATCTCGACCAACTTCATTATATGTGTCTGATCGAAGACATATATACTACGGGCATTCTATCCGATGAATCATGGACGGACAGTTGGAACATCGTGATTCCTCACTGGACAAGGAGTACCACTCAATGTACTACTCCTCACTTCCAACATGCTGCCCAATGAAACATGGACAATAGGGAAGAGGTAAAAGCAACCTTTGGCGTACCACCCAGGCACTCTCCTATCGACAATACCGTCACCCGACTCATCTCGTCTTGGTGTTGAGCAGCACTTCATTTTCCCTCCGGAAAATGTCGTCTAAGTCCCGCCAGCAGATACATAGAGATGTCTGGGAACAAGGTTGCGCTCGCTTCCGGCAACGATCTCTACAAGTTCACCTCGCCGCCGTCGCAGTGTTGCTGGCAACAGCACCGCTTCTGTCAACTTCTCATCCCTCCCGAGCTCTCCTGATAGCACCGCTCAGCAGAATCATTATTCAACGACCGACGACATGCTCGCTGTCTCCCCAATCGCAGCCCACTCCGCGTACAGCCCTCCAGCGAATTGATGACGGGAGATGAGCCACATGAGATCGTCTTCATAAGAGCCTGGGAGTCCTGTCGTTCAGAGTGGGAGAACTGATGCTACATTGGGTGTGCACCATCCATATATATTGAGACCCAAGGATTGCCCAACACCGGCGTGGGGTCGCAAGGACAAAAGCAAAGCCTATCTACTGGATGGTAAACGACAGACAATGCGATTTGGGAAATTATATAACCGTCAGGTCGCGATGGCGCCCGTCCGATGTCCCGGATGACGATAACCGCGTGACGTTCCCGCAGAAGGAGTCATCTGTTGCACCAAAGGTTGACAGTTGGCCTACTCCATCTACTGAAGCGTCATTACTTTCAGTATATCCAGCGGACTTAGTGACCCAGGTTCATGGACGTACATCTGCCGCTATGGACTATGCTACAACCATTCAGCGACAACATCGACCACGGCCAATTGTCAAGCGTCCTATGTCCACAACGGTACACAGACTACGACTAGAAGACAGAGTCGGGCCTATGGAGCTCATCACTGGACTGATGAGTCACCTTGTGAACCCAATAAACTAGCGACCAGAAAAAGACAAAGGAAAAGGCAAGCAGTATGGCACTTCTGTATTCGTCCTTCTACTAGCCCGACTGCACCACAAGTCCACTGCTGAAGTAGCTGTCGCACATGCGCAAACACTATCGTCGTCCCTCAGCGTCAGTCCCTGGATATCATTTCTGCCAGCGGTACTCCAACAACTGTCCTCGTTCTAAACTAGAGGATATGGTGGCCACAGTGACAACGCCATCACAAGCAGTCACCCGGCGATCTTCGAGGCATACTGCTGGTGCTGAAGGAAGAGTCCATCGCCAAACTGCAATCGGCTTCACACAATTCATTATATATACTAGACGTACGATCGTTAGCCTCTACTACAGCGAGTTGTCCAGGAAGTATGAGTGCTTCGTCAGGACCTACCATGCCCGACAGGTGCATCACATTCTTAGACGATGACTTTCGCAAGTCTTTGTCGGCCTACGCGGTGCTACAGAACATCAAGGACGACATTGAACATCGTCAGTGTCATGATCGTAAGCTCCAGGGGCTCATTGCTCTCGTCGCAAAGTACTTGGACAAACTTATCAAAGCAGAAACCAGCATTACGGTATCGGATCCTCTGCCGATAAGCGACTCGACGGTGCCTGAGAAAAGCCCAGCGTTCAACAAACATGGCGTTGCAATACTTTCTGCCCGAAGTATATATCAGTCAACACCAGTCACACGAATCAGTACGAAACGAGCGACTACGTTTTCCACATCTTTGGTTTGCTGGGCCGAATCCAGATTCGAGAGATTGAGTATCGTCACGCCAAACTCGATGATTCCCCCGTTTCGAAGCCCTGGGTAAAGTTCATGCCCCCCACCGTTCAAGCGCGAGGCTATTACAACATGTCTGTCGGCAATGACAGTTATCAACTCTGCCGTGAAGTGGATCGGCCCTGCAAGCGCGGTCGTGGAAAAAAGAAGTGTAACACATGCACCACAATCGAGGTGAAAGAAGAATGGCGGAACCGCCCTTTCACGAGCAATTCGACATTATGATCCTCGGCTCAACAGCGGGAAAGGGATATGAGAAACTGATCCAGAAAACAAGAACTGCATCCCTATGATCGGATTTTGTCGTCTAAACCTGCCTATATATATATTTGCCTTGGCCGACCAGATGTACAAGCAATGCTTTCCTGGGCACGCGACAGCCCAGAGGGGTACATAAAGACTGCCAAGTTTCTGTCAAATTTGGGGCTTTTTGGCATTTATATCATATTACATCACGGATGTCCATACAATCCGGTCGGATGCAATGCAGCCTTGGCATCCCAACTGCTTCATTACACGCAATCTTAGACCATCATGTCGCTGCTTTGCACATCCATGAAGATCGCGATACCTTTACCCGTTCAGCCAAGACTTCATGACACCCAGTTGTCAGGAAACATTCAGAATGATTGCTCAGATAAATTATTGCATCACATATATAAAGCAGAGGCAGCAGTCCTATCCCTTATCCTCTACACAAGGAATGCAACATCGCCGGCTAGAGAACGGAAGGATTAAAATCCATTGTGAAGGCTTTCACCGTCAAAAAGATATATACGACTGCCCTTATGAAGACGCTCCAGGTAATATTCCCAGGAGATCCCGAGAAGCAGACTGGTCCGTTCCGTCGACATCATGAAGAAGCGGCATGAGAGCCGGCTCTCTGTCGCGTTCCCATTGATAAAACCTTGTTATATATACAGGGAACAGTGAATGATACGAAGGGGCAAGTCAAACTTGCAGACAAGGCCGCATTCGATCAAACGTTCTCTGGGCCCCAGTCTGCTGGAACAGGCTCCTACAACTCCATTTACTCATGAGGGTTGGAAGTCAGCATCGAAGTCCCGAAGCACTGCCCTCGTCTTAACGGGCTGGTCCAAAGGTCGCTAAGGCTCGCCGAATCGCGAGCCAGCCGACCTTGCTTCACTCGTTGCTCCTCTCTTCCACTACGAATATGTTCCACACACTAAGAAAGGCGAACACCGTCAGTATAAAACATGTGACAGTCTACAAGTTCAACAAGACATAGCAACCGTTGCTATTGCTAAGCATCAAATATCTGCCTTACGATAGCAGGTCGAAGAGCTGCTATATAATATTGCAGTGAGCGCCGCCTCCAATATGAGGCAAGTCTATTAAATACTCATCCTATTCAAAGTGATGAGAGTAACCGCCGGCGCGTTTCGCAATACGATAGCAATAAGGAAGCTTATCTATAAGCGTGATCGCGCTCATAGGAAGTCTTCGGGACTATTGCCTGTTTCTAGAAGCTCGGCTCGTACGACCGATTCTGGCAACAAGCTATGGAGCAATATATCCGTTCTCATCGTGTCAATTCACAAGAGTACAATTCCAGCGCCTATCAGTCCACTCGTTTGACACTACATAATGTCTGCACAGGATGCGGTGTTCGCTCGAGTTCAAGTCCATGCCGCCGTTGTTATACACCTGTATGTATTGGCTGTGGAGAAGTTTATTCGAGCAGGAATCGATGCGCGGTATGCTTGCGGGTTTACAACGAAGGCTTGCCGAAACCTCGTTGCCACGTGTGTGGCCATGGGCCTCGCAGGGAAATTCCAGGAAAACTATCGTCATCTCTGACGTCTGTGAACCGAAAGCTCAGTATGTCCCCTACTATTACCACATCTAGTATTCCGTTGCGCTAACCATTAAAAGCACTGAGGTTCAACCAGTGACAGCCATCCTATCTGAGCCTTCAGACGACCAAAATTACCTGATCCTGCGTTTCTTACCCTATACGAGTTCGTCTTCATCACATGTCCTGGTCCAACATGGTCTTGAACTGCTCCCAGTCTACAACAACACCAACACTGAAAAGATGCCAGATCTTGGAGGAAAGATCAAGCTCTTTGAAACCGGCCCACGCGCCGTCGAAGCGACTGATGTGCCAATGGACCCAGACTCAAATTGCCCACGCGGATGCCAGAAAGCCTGAACATGGTTCTATCGATCTACAGACTCCACTTATTTGGCCTGTCCGGTGTGTAAGTCTCTCCTCACTACCACAATTATACTTGTGGCATATCATGCTAACAAGCCATAGCTTCCTCTAACTCTCAAAATACAGACAGCTGGAATTGTGACGTGTCTCAGTGCGTCTGTTTATACCCAGCTCAAAGGCTTTTGTGACTTGACGTCTTGTCAAGAAACGAATTCCTAGCTTTGCGTCTGGACGTTTTTTAACGTTAAAGTCTGTCTGGATGCATGTATCTGCCGGTCTCTATTATCACCGTCCCTCACGGTTCTCAACTACAAGTGGGATCGAGTGCATGTACAGTGGATTAGATATTCCATTATTCGCGACGATGCCATCCGGGGGCTGGAGCTATCCTTCACTTGTAACGACTTATATATACTATCATCAAATCACCTCACTTCGGTCCCTGTTTCGTACCTCTGAATCGGCTGGCCGTATCGACAAGTGGCTCCCTGCATAGGATGCGTCCCAGAGCCACTATGCCAAACGCGAAACATTCTCGAATCGGTGTTCTGCAGATCCTTCTCGACCCATCACGGAAGCATTACAACATGAGGAGGGCAATAGCTATCACCGATCATCTTTGGAGACTATTGGGGTATATATTAGCTGGCTTTACCTCGAGGATACCTCGCCATTTAAAGCAAAGCATGAACCGAACTGGCTCGCGCTTGTTGTAACTGCAGGACAATGCTCACATACGTTTCGAGAGAGCGTTCCCACAGTTTCGGGCAATGTTCCCTGATTGGTTATTTCGACGATCACTATATAACGGCAGAACTTGGTCGCTCGTCGAACACAACGCCACGGTCGACCATGGAAAAGTGTTATCTCCACTACTACAACCTACTGCTCTCGCTGGGCGAGAGTCCTGTAAGGCAGCGTTCGAGACCTGGCGCAAAGCCAAGATCGACACTCTGCTTTGCCTCTGCGATACCGATTCATCGTATCACTTAGCCGTGGACAGTCTGAAAACAACCGCGCCTCCCGTATAACTACTGGCGATCGTATACACGAGATCGGAATAAGACCACGGGCGCCAAAGCAGCGAGTGATCGAACCACACTCAGCTCGTTGAAGATACGATTCCTCAAGGCTCGAACCCACCGTGCCAGACATCGATGATGATGGCGGTATAGGTTTATATACTATACTAGAGAATCAATCCCGCCGACGAGCATCTCGGGTTGTGGCGACAAGCGCACCCACTGACTCCCGACAGCATGTGTTAAACACATCAGAGGTCAAATGGCCTGCCATCAATCTGATCCTATCTCCCTGAGGTAATTTTAACAATTTAATATAGTTTTTAGTCCTGATAGATCCACAGAAAAGACAGCAGATACGATATATGCGGTTGCCGACTATGTCTGTGCTCGAGATCACCGAGCGTCTTTTCATATTATAGTATACTTTGTAAGCTCCTAATATTGGACTTTTCTCTGTATGCCTTCTGCGAGATGTCTTTAACATCTCGAAGTACAAAGGCAATGCTCCTAACACCCAGTATCGGGTCCAGTGGGTTAGTCACTCCCAGATCCATACCACCTGGGAGCCACTGGAGAAGCTTTGGGATTACGCCAAAGCATATGTTTGTGCCTAGCACGACAACAACATCCCTCTTCCCAACGGCTACCGTGCTCATATTTATGACCACGGTATCCTTCGTCGCTGAGCCTTGTCGTATGAGATGTACAAAAACATAACCTGAGTATCAACTCACCCGCCGACTCGACAACACTGGGAACGACATGTCAGGTGGGCGCCTTGGACATCAACATCTAGGCTGGTTGCGATTCCTAGTAACATACATCCGGATGCACATCCAATCTCTATCGCACATTAGTTCCTAGACGGTATTATCCTTTATATAGCCTTCGTGCACAGTGGGTAAGTCACCATCGCACCACCGAACATATTCCCCAACCACAAGCTTGATGTCCAGCAATCTCCGTATTCCACCATCTTTATCTCTTACTAATACATTATAGTGAAGAAGTCATGAAGTTGCTAATCGTCGTTGAGGGAATACAGTGTCCCTGTTCCCGCCGTGGCCAGGTATTCCTAGGCATCACATGGCGAGGTGTCCGGATCCATGATTCGAGTCGATATCAACCTAGAGACAAGGGACAGACGTTGCTGAGTGGCCCTTGGGCCGACCACTGAAGAGATTCTTAATCCGTATTCAAAGGGAATACTACTATGTTATACCTGTCCGTTTAGTCAAGAGAAAGGCAATCGGAGACGAATACCATTCCAGCACATAGTCCCATCGCATGCTCCTGATATCTGGGAGGTATGTCCTGGCATATCCATCAACCTTTGAACTTGGTTAATGCATTTAGATCAGCACTACAACCGTCACTGGCCATAGCGGTAACATCCTGACCTAAAACATGCCAAGGGAGTACAATTACTTGTTCTTGAAAGGTTCAAGGCTATTCCTTTGCTATCATATGGGTTGCTCGGCCGCGGATCGACGACAATGCTCACTCCAACCCGTTTGCAGTGAGAGTATATATTGCAGCGCTTCTTTTCGATGAGGAGCACATCCAGTTCGTCGAACGCCTGTGCGTCAACGTCGCGACGTTATATGGACTTAGTCTCACCTCCGTTCAACGGGGATCGATATTGGTGGTCGCATCAATTCACTTGGACGCCGGGCCCATGCGCATGGGCAAGGAAGGACAGCGCCTGCTATCGCTTTCGACGTCCGGCTTGTGAGAACATCGAAGAAACACTCCGTGTCCTTTATCGCTTCCCAGATGAGAGGCGAATTGTGAGACATCACCATGCCTCAGATGCCTCATAGGTCGCAAGCCACCGATACACGAATCGCTTGTGAATGAACGACATAGTCGCAAACCGCCCCACAAAGCCGCTCAAGATCCCGAAACAAAAGAAATTCGCGTGTCACTTGAACCTGAAGATTCTTGCGCTCGACTGAGGACTATAGACCCTCCGAAGGGGCAACGAAATCCGCCGCTGGAAAGTTTCTTATATTACGGTATAGCTTATGTTCTCCTGTGCCCACCCCGATATATACCCAATCACCGCCCGCTGTTACATTACGTGAGCAACATATCAGTCGGCATCGGCGGGAGGTGTGTGCGGCGCAGCTGGAACAGCTCATGCAAAAGCCCTCTTCCACATCTCGAAGTGTGAAACTGGCATTCTATACTATACGTCTTGACTCTACGGAGCAGAATCGCAGCAGAAGTGCACATGCGTCTTGCAAATTTGTGCATGTAGACGAGGTGATGTTCATGGTGTACTTCAGTTGCTTCATCATGAACACCCGAGTACTAGAGTCAATTACGGCCAGCAACGGCATCATTTTGCCTGGATTTATTGGAGGCGAGCCACCATATGTCTTCGGTCGCCCTTGCGTTGTACCACCTCTTGTCCGCATTCTCCTGAGCCGGTACTGCTCATCGCTCCCATTATTGCCTGACTAGCAAGAAGTCGAACACTTTCGTGAGTCATATTCTTATCGTTCGCTAATCAAGGTACTAATGCCTCTTCAGGAACAGCAAGCTTTGTAATGTACAGTCATCAGAACAACACTGCTAGCTTCCACCTCCCTTTCGATCGCGCCGACGTGAGTGTATCGACCTTCCTCCGTGGATCTTCAAAGTACAACGCCTGCGCTGGATGTGAACACATCAAGATGTTCTTTCTTTGTGTTACAGTAGTTGTATGCGTTCCAATTCGGCCCAGACACCACCAATGAGCTTGGCGAAATAGAGTTCAAGACGTTTGAGCTCGATGACCCGGCTCTTGTCGATCTTCTCAACAAGTGCAACGGGAACGGCCTTTTGGCGATCAATGACAGTCTTCACTCCTGATGCGTTCTGTTCATTTCATTGCCTGAAAGAAATATTCCTCTATCAATGTATAAGACGTACAACGCCATCGCCGAGCGATTGCATCCCCTTCCTAAGCATGCCAACTGGATATCGTTCGCGGAATTTGAATTCGAAAGAATATTTTCCTTCTTTGAAGGGTTTATGGACGGCATCCTGGGACGAGCATCACCGCATAAATTCCTTGCACAGCGAGTCGACTACATCTGTCCATATAAACGAACCTTACACGATCAGGTAACATTATATAAACTATACGTCATTATAGGTCCCGTCGAGAAGGCGATCATAGATATAAGCTTACGTTTGGACTTCCGACATTGCGACCGACAATCCTGGTTCGTCTTAGGGACCTCGGCAGTCGAAACGCGGCCCTGGTAAGCGTCAGCTGGATACTTTGACCAGAATAGGCCAAGACGTCGCCACTCCCTCCTCCTCTCGCAATAGCCAGGTGGCACAGTCCACTGAAATATGGCATCACTCTTCGGCCAAGCTGCTGGTAGATGGGGTGCCACGTGAACAAAGTCTTGTTCATGGAGCTATCGGCTGCTTTGTGGGCGTTGATCAGTCCAGTATAACTCATCAAAGCGCTGAACTCGCTCTTTCCAGATCTCCAAGGACGAACTCTTATATAAAGACAGTCTCATCTGGGTCGCAAAGGAGGACATTTGCTTTCCTTCTCACCCGAAAGCTTGCTGCCATCGCGCCTAGCTCCCAGCATGGACGCTTCGTCCACCACCGCCACTTTGGGGTTACGGGACCTGCTGAACGGAGCCAGTTACTTCATGAACACCAACGGTTACTACCGAACAGCTCATGCAATCAATACCTGCGGCGAGCCGTATCAGCATCAAACGGTTTGGCTCGCCAGGTTTCTATTATATATGACAAGGGATTCAACTTCTGCTGGCCGGTACATTCAGAAACCGGATGCTTGAGACGCGCCAGCTAATGAGATGGCAAAGATATTCAGCCTTGAAAGCCAAAGCACGAGATGCAGGAAGATGACAGGCCGTTTACCATTATCGTCGATCAGGACTGTGGATGCTTCTAGCAGTGAGGTGTGACAGAATCTGACATTGCCTACCTTCC